CTTTACACCATCATTCTTGGTTTTTCCTTTGTAGCTCTGTTGCCTCCGAGCTACAAAAGCGCTCCCCGAGTCATCATGGATTTTGACTCCCGCCATTTGCGTGGCTAAGGATTCTTGCGAAGCTAGCAGATTTTCAAACTCCTCCAAGGAAGGTTGTGTAGCCCATCCTTGAACGGAAGTCACAAACGGTGTATATTCGGGTCGTAAACCACGAATAATAGACCGCTTTAACCGAGCTTCCGAAATAGACTCCTCCGGATTAAGAGTGTTAATCTCAGAGCAAAGGTTCTTTACCTTGATGAAGAACTCTGAGATTGAAGACTCCCCCTGCTTCGCATTCGCCAACTCGTTCTCTAACAGTTGTAGACGAGCCTCATTCTTCTTGTTGAACAGTTGGTCCAACGCTTGCCAAATGGAACTAGCGGATGTGCACCTTGAGACATGCTCAAATACTCCCGAGGATATTGACCTCTTCAATGCAAACTCCGCCTTGGCATTCTTCCGTGTCCATTCCTTTGTCGCTTCCGCTGTCGCAGCAGCTCCCATTGGTGGTGTGGTGCTACTGCCGCCGACGACATCCCATAAGTCCTCACTCACCAAGTATGACTCCATACATGACTTCCATAACCGGTAGTTAGATTGGTTTAAGATCTCCATTCCCAATCCAACAACACGACCCATTGATTCCATACTTAGAGTAAACCCGAGTTCTCCTAAATCCCGATCTTGATGAGCACAAGATTAGAATGGCTCTGATACCATGTAGAGAAACCAGCACCGATAGTGCTTAGCACTAGCCCAAGACCGTAATACCCGAGAAACCCGAAAGAAACAATAAACCCTCTAAGTATGAAGAGAAATATGGAAGAACACAAGAGAATACTTGAAAGACTTTTAAGAAGAACAAGAGAGAACTTAGCTTTAGAACACTCTTTATTAACTTGTTCAATTTCTTGTACATTTACAAATGAGGGGGTGAGGAGGTATTTATAGCCTCCCAAATCTACTTACAAAGTTTCTACACTCTTCTATAACCTCCTTAGGTCCTAGATATTTCTTCTTCTTCTTCTACAACTTTCTACAAATTATCTTACAAGTTTATCCTAATCTCTAGAACTCTCTAACATAATATCTAGATTTTTGTCTTACAAGAACTAGAAAGTTCTACATAAATATCTAGAGAGTTATCTAGTAGAATTCTCTAGAAAATTTGAGGAAGTGATGACCTCTTATGATGTTTCTAGAGAGTTCTAGAACTTGGGCCTAATTTTGGGTTTAATAATAATTTGTTTATGGACCCAAAATTAAACCTTGATCAAAATCAAGTTTAATTTCAATACAATGGGGCGTATTCTTGCTCGATTTGTCCTAACTATGCCATTCATTCTAGATGTGCGGTGAGAGATGATGTTTGGGACAAGTTAGAACTCAAGGGGATACTCGAAGAAACACAAGAGATCCAACCGTATAAGTCCATGCATGGAAACCTCATTTGTCATTTTAGTCACGAGGAACATTATTTAGGGCTCAACGAGGGAAATATCATTTCTTGTGGTGGAAGCATTCGTTGTGCAGCGTGTGTCTTCCCTATTTGTTCTCACGAGGCATTCTACAAGTGTGTGCAATGCGATTTCATTCTCCATGAAACTTGCGCTAATCTTCCTAAGAAGAAACGTCATGTGTTTACTAACATACCATTCACTCTAATACCTGGTGGCATGAGGCAATTCTTTTGCTCGGTGTGTTCTAACTACTCCTCTGGTTTCAGGTATAAAAATAAATTTTACACTTTAGATGTGAAATGTGGTTCCCTTTCTGGAGTTATTTTCCATGAAAGTCATCCGCGCCCCTTGTACTTCATTCACGGGAGCGAAAAGACATGTGTTGGTTGCGGCAGCTGGAGTTATTCATCATTTGCTTGCGTTGACTGTGACTTTGCGCTAGATTTCAAATGTCTTGTTATGCCGAAAACAACCAAGCGTTGGTACGACGAACATCTACTCTCTTTATGCTGTGGAAATGATAAGAGTGGAAAATGTTGGTGTGATATATGCGAGAAAACTATTGAAAAATATTGGTTCTACAGATATGACACTTGTTGTGTTGCTTTCCATACTAACTGTCTTCTCGGCGATTTCTCACTTCTCATGTCTGGATGCGTAATAAGTTACAACGATAAAGTGATATTTGAAGTGATGCAACTAGTCCTGGTTTCTTACCACGTTGTTATGATTGTCGCTCTCGATCATCAGTTCCCTTTGTTCTTAAACTTTTTCATCCCACTAAAAATGTGTTCGTTTGTTCTTCAATGTGTTTATACCGCACGGCACATTCATGTGAGGACCTGTACTAAATGTAAGATTGTAATGTAATAAGGTAATTGTATGATTGGAGAAGTCGGACTCATCATCAAGATGTTAGATGAGGTCGGTCACATAAATAAAGATGGATGACTTTGGGATCATTGCAAAAGTATACCCCATGTTTTGGTCAAATGCAAAAGTATACCCCTGTAATACTTACACCCATCTTACTCTATATTATCCTTACCCTCTCAACATATCTACAGAAATGCCATCAGCTTTTATAATTTTTCGATTTATTTCGAAAACAATAATGTCCAAACCAACCTCATCTCCTACACTTATTCACCAAAATGCCATCCAATTCAATTCATCCAACTACCATTTTCAACCATATTGAAGCTTTCAATGCTTCTTCTCCCCATTTACACCACCGAAATCTCACTCTATTCTCTTCTAACCTTCTTCTCTCACTTATTTTCTTCATTTTCATCACAAAAACTCGAAAATGCATCTCTTCCACATCCAACTTCTTCTATGATGCCTTTTCCGGTCACCAAGCTCACGGAAACGGCTGGGTTTCTCTATTAAAGGTTTAAATCGACGCAATCCGCCGTCCACTACACCAAACAGCTATTCAAGGTGATTTTTCGTTCGATTTTCGTGAATTTCAAACCTTCGGCGCGAGGTAGACTTCAATTTGAAGTCTACGTTTTCAAAAATTCGGGATTGTTGACTTCATCAAGAAGTCTGTATAATTCCTTTCATAACAAAAAATGTGGGCCCCTTGTGTAGACTTCTCTAAGATGTCTACTTTAGGAAAGGGTACACCAATTGCAATTGACCAGACGAAGACTTTCGTTGTTGAACTCTACAGTTGAAGTCTACTCACTCGGGGTATACTTTTGCAATTGACCAAATCACGACTTTTTGAAGTAGACTTCTTTTATCACTGTTGACTTCAATATGAAGTCTACTTTGACGTGTAGACTTCATATTGAAGTCAACTTTGACGTGTATACTTCTGTATGAAGTCTACTGCTACGAAATGAAGTCTACCGGTCAACGAATGAATAGTACCACGGATGGTGTCATGCAATATGAAGTCCTAATAAGGGAGTAGACTTTATATTGAAGTCAACTTTTGCTAGTAGACTTCAATATGAAGTCTACTTTACGTGGAGACTTCATTGTGAAGTCTACTTATGGTAGTAGACTTCAATATGAAGTCTAATTCAAAAAGTCGTGATTTGGTCAATTGCAAAAGTATACCCCTGTATGTGTAGACTTCCAATGTAGACTTCGTAAAAAAGTCGTGATTTGGTCAATTGCATTTGGTGTACCCCTTGGTAGACTTCTCATTGATAGCTACATGTAGAGGGCACGATGAAGTCTACATTGTGACTGAAAATGAAATTCTATTTTTGTGCGTTATGACATTAAAATTTTTAAGATTTTCTTTGGCAATAAGCTGTAGTAGTATGTTTACTTGCCTGTGTATCATTTTGACGTGCTTAATCATTATATTTTGAAGTAAATCGTTGTTTTCAATTTTGTTGGACAGTAGGTATAATAAAGTATACTTCACTCTGATGTTTACCGTTACACTTCACTATGAAGTCTACTTTGTGTATGTTTTTTTAATTCGATATTTGAGCATTATGACCTACTAATTTTCAAGATTTTCTTTGACAATGAGTTGTTTTAATCTGTTTAATGTGTATCATTTTGGCGTGCTTAATCATTATATGTTTCAGAAAATCAAAGTTCTTAGCTTTTTTGGGCAGTAGCTGATAATGTTGTAGACTTCATCATGAAGTCTACTTACTCTATTACCCCACTAATATTTACTTCTTCTTTCTTTTATATTTGCAGAAAATGGTGTACTTAGCTGCTATCTTTTGATGCAGAAAATGGTCTTTATATACTTAAAGAAATCTATGTCTACTCAAAAAAGATGATTATGTGGTAGATAAGAATGTTGAGCTTGTAGACGTAGCATACTCATTTATAGTTTGATTGAGCTAAGTGAAACGCATATACTACGATCGCCCACACAATCCACATCCGGTATATGGACCAAATACTACTTGTATTTGAATGTTCACAAAGTTATGTTCAAAAATTCCACTTAAAAGTCGATGTCAAAAGTATGATTAAGAAGACTTCGATTGATGAGGTTCGTATAATAAGTACGTTTTAATATTTAAACACATTAAACTGTTACATGGATATGTATATATTTGGATTCTTGAAACTTAAATAAGAATTCTTTTTGGAGCATAAACTTCTTATTAATGTCTTAAATAGAGAAAACTTTGGTTTTGAGTACAATGCAATTGTGTAACTAAACTAGGGTGATAAAGACCAAATGACCAAAATCAGAAATATGAAGAAGCCCATAAATCTTAAGGCGTAGGATCAATTTAAAACAAAACATCAAGCCGTGATCTCTTTCTTGAGCTTTGCAAGCTCCTGCCTCACCACGCCAGCTCTCTGCAAATAACAAATGAAAACTATTTTGAACAGTGGCTATGTGAGGTAAATGACAATGAGCTTAGCATTAACTTTAGAAACATAAAACTGGTTTTCAGATTTAAATGATTCTAAGGCATCATCATTCAAATCTGACCTTGATTTTGATCAACATGACCTTGAACCGATCAAAGTCATTGAGTGCAGCTCTTCTCTTCTGCACTATGAACCTCCTACCCACATCAACTCTTCTCCCACTTGTTCTTCACATCTGCAAATGTTTTAAAAGTTAAATAATACATTCATAATGTCAAACAAAACTCATCAGATTGGTTTCATGAAGCAGACATCTCTACACTATGTACCTAGAGATTGGCCAGAACACACCTGCAAACAAAAAAAAACACAAGAAAAGAATCAGCAACTTAATCTATTGATAGCAAGGTGACAGTTTTAAAGAACATCAAAACACAAGGTAACAATGTCATAGATTTTTCTAAGGAAAACAAAAATTCTGTATAAAGAAAATAGAGCCGAGAGTGAAAAACCAAACCAAATTACTTGTTTTGAACCATAAAGAACCACAAATTTTCCTAAAACTGAGGGAGACAACCAAGCAAGTTTAATAACACAAGGCGTAAAACACATATGGTTCCTCACATTTCACATAAACCACAAATCAGTTAACCAAGAGTGTGATCTTAAGACGATATTAGCAAAGCTTACTGATATCAACATCAGACTTGAGAAACTTGTCAGTGACAGAAGAGATTAGGGTATAGAGAGAGCTCACCAGCTATGGAGGCGTCTGTGGAGATTGATGGTGACAGAAGAGACTAGGGTATATAGGATCTCTCTCAATCGACTTGAGAAACTTGTCACAGGGGACCAAAACTTGTCACAGGGACTGTACGCCGCTCAGATCTGATTGTTTGTTGCGAGGGACTGGACTCGACAACGGCGGCGACTGGAAGCGACGACGCCGGAGAGAGAAAGTGAGGCGAACGCTGGAGAGAGAGAGAGAGAGAGAGGCGAGCGCCGTTGCTTGCTTTGCTCTGGTTTTCAAGAAAAAATCGATTAAACAGAGATAAGAGAATAAGAGAGGTTACGAGAGACAGAGAGAGGGAATTACATAGAGGAGGAGGTCGTAGTCGGCGGAGGTGCGGTTACTGGCAGAGTTCACCGACGTAGAGAGAAGCTTGAGAAGGTGGTTCATGGCAAGAGAGGAGGGTGAGAGGTTCACGGCGAGAGAGAGAGAGGCCAGATGAGGCAAGAGGAGGAGAGGTTCACGTCGAGAGAGAGGGAGACAAAAGGAGGAAAGATAGAAACTGGACAGCGACGGTGAAGAATAGAGGAGGCCGAACATGATCTCGTCGGCCACATTTGAGAGGCGACATTTAGTTTTAGAAATTAGGGTTTCATGGAAAAGTTCCTTTATATAAGTTGGTATAATTTTCGGTTTAATCAATAGTTTTTCGGTTATGTTAAAAAATTGGGTTATAATTTTCGGTTTAATCAATAATTTTTCAATTAGGTCAAAAAAATTGGGTTAAGCAGCCTCCAGATAAAATCCCGCTCATTTGCCTTAAATAATTTCAATTTCCCACTTGATTTTATTTCGGATATGTAGATTTATTTGTGAAATCTATCATTGCCGTCTACTGAAGAAGTCTTCCAAACTCTAAACCTTAAATCGAATGTTTTACACAAAAAAATTTATGAAATAAAATAGCTTTCGTTGAATATACACAAATTACATTATAATCAACACATATATGAACCTTAAATGACTATACAACGTATAAACTTAGTTTTCAAAAATATTTGGCTAAACCCTAACAACTTATACTACCAAGCCCTATACTTCAAACCTAAACTCTATCCTTGATGGACCAAATACTCATGAAACTTATAAACTTATACATTTTCATGAGTTTGTATTTTCTATTTATGAACATTGTATTTACTTAGATTACTAACAAATTTGTTAGCAAAATATTTTTTATAAATTTTAAAATTAAAATTTAAGATTTCATGAGAGAATAGACTTCATGAGTATACTTCTCTAAATTTATAGGTTTGCGGCATACTTTGCCTTTGCTTGACTTAGACTAATTCATTTTCAAGCAAAAATATTTTTAAGAGATGCGAAATAACAAGGTCTTTTTATGTATAATTTATTTGGTTTAGATATTTTTCTTTAATTTTATAATTTAAATTTAAGATCTTAAGGCGTTGTAGACTTTGTTTTAAAGTCTACTTTATGTTGATTTTTTCAGTAAACTTCACCACCGTGGATAAATTGGTAATTGCGTCGCTCATTTATTGTTTGTTCGTAAAAGAGAAAAGGGTCATTAACCACCCTTTAGGATATATCAATTGTCAAATATGTCATTATATGGATATGGAGTATACCGTTTTAAAAAAAGAAATGTTTGGATGTACAAATGATAATTTCCCCGATGACTTTTACTCTGTTTCGGCTTCTTTGGCTCTACTCGAATAACGAAGAAAAAGTCTAAGTTGGTGGTTATGTATATGAATAATAATGAATCCATCAAAAAATTAATTTGACCTTATCCTAGATCTGCTTCAATATACAGCAAAGGATTTTCTTTGCACAAAACACAAAAACCATATAGTAGTTTCAGTTTCTTTCTCTCAGACAAAAGCTCCAATGACTTCCCAAGAACATAAATCGTTTATATTTCTTCCTACTTCTCCTTCAGGTTTCAGATTCTTCATCCAGGTTTGATAAATTCCATAAATATAACTAGTTTAAAAGGTGTTTTAGCTGTTGTTATAATACAATATCTGTAATCATTGAAATCTGAACATAACTTCTCCTAGATACATCTCTTATTTTTAAATCCAACCATTGAACATACGCAGAATGATAAAAAATTTGTAATAATAGGAATTTCCACAAAACATGTAATATAAACAAACTGAGATTGTCCTTCTCTTTGTGAGCTTAACGTCCAGTTACAGCTGTGAGGCTCACATCGTTGATAGAGACCTTTTGACTGCTCTGGTCAGAAGATTCAGCCTCAGAAGCTCCTCTTCTTGCTATAAACGCAGGCTGCTTCGGCTCAGAGAGGTTCGTGTTCTCGGTGGTTAGCATCCAAATCACGTTTGAAACATTTGGTCTATCGTTTGCAACTTCTTGCACACACAACAAACCAATCTGAACACACTTCTGTATCTCTTTCTCAAAAGACTCATCAAAGACGTTAGGATCTGCTAGAGAAGCAGCCTCACCTTCATTCCACAGCTTCCACGCCTGTTACAAACAAAAATTTATGGTAAGTTAAGTTCTAAAGCTTAACCATAAGTTACTAAACACTGATTAGTACACACTTACATAAGCTAAAAGGTTTAGATTGTTCTCTTCCTTGTGAGAGTTTCTTCTCCCACTTATGATCTCTAGAAATATCACCCCTAAGCTGAAAACGTCTGACTTCTCTGAAAAGAAACCTTCCATTGCATATTCCGGTGACATATAGCCGCTGCAATAATGAAAAAATTTCATTCACAATGGTTTATTATTAAAATGAATTTCATTATGTTTGTTGTGTATTTTGGGAAATAGATACTTACTATGTTCCAACGACCCTTCTAGTGTTAGCTTCATCTTCATTCGCTAGGAAAACTCTTGCAAGTCCGAAATCAGATATCTTCGGATTCAGATTCTCATCTAACAAAATGTTGCTAGCTTTGAGATCTCTGTGTATGATCTTTAGTCTTGAATCTCTGTGAAGGTACAAGAGTCCTCTGCAGATTCCTTCCATTATGTTGAACCGAGTCTTCCAATCAAGAATCTTTTGCTTAGATGGGTCTGAGAAATAAAAAAGCTTACCAAATCGTTAGCTTTCTCTTCTATCATCCATAGCCAAATGGTAAAAACAGAGTTGACAAACAGAGGTGATAAGTTTACCAAAGAGATACGCATCCAAGCTTTTCTTTGGCATGTATTCATAGACTAACAATCTTTCTTCACCTTCAATGCAACATCCAAGTAACTTCACCAGATTCCGATGTTGCAACTTCGAAATCACAACCACCTCGTTCATAAGCTCCTCTAGCCCTTGTCCTGATGCACGTGAGAGCCTCTTGACTGCAATTTCTTGCCCTTCTGGTAACTTCCCCTGAACAAAAAGATTACCAGTCACTTAATCAGTCTGATATCTCTCATTAGAAGGATTCTTGTTTAATGTTTTACCTTGTAAACAGGACCAAACCCTCCTTGTCCAAGCTTGTTTCTGAGACAGAAGTTATCGGTTGATGTAGCCAACACTTGAAACTCAAAGAGAGGAAGCTCCTTGAGCTTGACTTGGTTAGAAGCAGACTCATTACCACTTGTAAGTGCTTCCATTCTCTTAAACAATATCTCTGCGCTTTGATCTTTCGGTGGTGCTTCTAAAGCAATGGTAGCAAACAAATTATAGTAAAAAGAAACACTCTCAAGCTATCAATATCATCAATAAGCAAAGAAAAATCTTAACCTGGACGCTTCTTGAACTTCATGCATGCTAAACGAACGCAGACCGCAGCAACAAACGCAACACCTAGCACAGGTGCTGTGATCATAATTGCTCGCTTGCTATGTGTTTCTACAAGTTTTTTTTTTGTTTCGTATGAAGTCTCTACAAGATTTGATGAGAAAACATAAGTCGATTCAAATGGAGAAGAAAACAAGTTGAGACTAGTTAGAGATTTTTGACTCACTGAGTTCAGAATCCGCAAGTCGAATATAAAGATCCATGCCACTTCCCAAGAATGATTGCATATCAAGTAAGCTACCACTCCAAAGCATGCATCCGAGTCCTCGATCATAAGCATAAGCCGTGCAAGAACAGTTTTCTAAACACTGTTTAGGACAAGCTTTCTCATTAGCTAGAGACGATTCCGCAGATACTGGCACTTTCATTTTCTCGAGTTTCAAAAACCCATCTCCTTTCCCTCCTCCACCACCACCAATACTACTTACATTGCTCTGCCTCTCGCACCGCAATGGAGTTCTTCTCACACATTCATTACTCCAACTCCCTCCATTCCAATTTGTGTTATTCTTCGGCACAAACCCTTGAACGCATTTACAAGGCGGAACTTCCCGAGGATTGCAGCTCGCGAATGGACCACATCTACCGTATACATCACAAGTGGTCGATGGAATAATTGCACCAATCCTCCAACTTTTTGTAGAAGTATTCCAATCTCTCTGATAGATAGCTCCATCAGGATCCAAGTTAAAGTGATACATGAAAGAATCATTAGCATAAGACAATGAAGATACTCCTTCGTTATCATTGTTGAAATTAAACCCATCAAGAAACAGAAGAGACTCCACATCCGGTAAACCGACGAAAACCTGACCGTTCCAAGGACCGCTACGCCAGATTGGGACACTGTTCTTCCAGATTAGAAGTTCAGGGAACGTGAAAGGAGCAAGACCAGCTGTGTAGTTTCCTGTTGAAGGATCTACGTCGCTTCTCCAAGAAGTAAGCTTTAGATTCTCTCCGGTTCCAGGGTTGATCCCAAGATTCATTCTTGGCAAGAAAGAGTTGTAAGGATGCTTGAAACTCTTCCAGAGAATCTCACCGTTGTTTCTGTTATCTTGTAACCTAAGATTCCCAGTATCCATTAGCTGAACCCAAGTAGCATTTGGAGCCACTGGTACTGTGACGTTCGTCGACCATACAAGGCGGTTTCCACCGTCGGTGACCACGAGATTTCCGTCGTCAGAGATCGAGATAACACCGGAAGTGTCGTTGATCGGGGTGTCTTTGTTAGCAACCCAAACCACGGTTTGAATCGGTATCTTGTCGTACCAAATCCCAGCATAACGTAACCGAGTAGTGGAATTTACAGGAGTGAAGAAACCGAACCTGAAAACACCACTTTTGCAGAGAAGGGTCTCTGAATCATTGATCGGAGTCGAGAACGTGATTCTGTCTTCGCCGAAACAGAGACTCTGAGAGAAGCAAGTCAATGCAAGCAGAAGAAGAACAAAACGACGACGTGTGTTCACTGGAACCACCATAGCTGGTTTCATTTGTTGCTTTGCTGTTTCTCTATATGGAAGAGTAAAGAGTTTCCTCCAAGAGAGGTAAGATATTAATAAAAGTAGTCGCCATTGTCTCTGTGAGAAGACTTAGAAAAATGTTTTGTTCAACGGGAGATCTGTTCTGTGGTGTGAGTAATGAGAGTGGGATAAACGGCTAATCTTGACTTTTCTTTGAATGAAGAAAAAAAATTGAAGTGTGAGGAAGAAAACGAGAGGACTAGTTGGCTTAATAGTGCCATTTTTCTTACCTTATGAGTAGACTTATAAATTGTTTTCGTCTTTGCAAATTAGAGAAATATAATTATTATTTTTCCTCAGACAAAAGCTCCAATGACTTCCCAAGAACATGAACCGTTTTTGTTCTTCAACTTCTCCTTCCGGTTTCAGATTTTTCATCCAGGTTTGATAACTCCACAAATATTATTAGTTTCATGAGTTGTTTTAGCTGTTGTTATAATACAAAATCTGTAAATCATGGAAATCTGCACATAACTTCTCTTTGATACATCTCTTATTTTTGAGTCCAACCATTGAACATGCACAGAATGATAAAAATTTATAACCATAGGAATGTCCACAAAACATATAAGCTATGTATATAAACACACTGAACTTGTCTTTCTCTTTGTGAGCTTAGCGTCCAGTTACAGCTGTGAGGCTCACATCGTTGATAGAGACCTTTTGGCTGCTCTGTTCAGAAGATTCAGCCTCAGAAGCTCCTCTTCTTGCTATAAACGCAGGCTGCTTCGGCTCAGAGAGGTTCGTGTTCTCGGTAGTTAGCATCCAAATCACGTTTGAAACATTTGGTCTATCGTTTGCAACTTCTTGCACACACAACAAACCAATCTGAACACACTTCTGTATCTCTTTCTCAAAAGATTCATCAAAGACGTTGGGATCTGCTAGAGAAGCAGCCTCACCTTCATTCCACAGCTTCCACGCCTTTGGAAAAAGACCAAATTTACATTAGTTTAAAAGCTTAAGCATAAGTTACTAAACACTGATTATTAGTACACACTTACATAAGCTAAAAGGTTTAGATTGTTCTCTTCCTTGTGAGAGTTTCTTCTCCCACTTATGATCTCTAGAAATATCACCCCTAAGCTGAAAACGTCTGATTTCTCTGAAAAGAAACCTTCCATTGCATATTCCGGTGACATATAGCCGCTGCAATAATGGAATTTTTTCATTCATATTGGTTTATGATTAAAATGAATTTCATTATGTTAGTTGTGTATTTTGGGAAATGATACTTACTATGTTCCAACAACTCTTCTAGTGTTAGCTTCATCTTCATTCGCTAGGAAAACTCTTGCAAGTCCGAAATCAGATATCTTCGGATTCAGATTCTCATCTAACAAAATGTTGCTGGCTTTGAGATCTCTGTGTATGATCTTTAGTCTTGAATCTCTGTGAAGGTACAAGAGTCCTCTGCATATTCCTTCCATTATGTTGAACCTTGTCTTCCAATCAAGAATCTTTTGTTTAGATGGGTCTGAGAAAGAAAAAAGCTAACAAAATCATTAGCTTTCCCTTAGATCATCCATAGCCAAATGGTAAAAACAGAGTTGAAAAACAGAGGTGATAAGTTTACCAAATAGATACGCGTCCAAGCTTTTCTTTGGCATGTATTCATAGACTAACAATCTTTCTTCACCTTCAATGCAACATCCAAGTAACTTCACTAGATTCCGATGTTGCAACTTCGAAATTACAACCACTTCGTTCATAAGTTCCTCTAGTCCTTGTCCTGATGCCCGTGAGAGCCTCTTGACAGCAATTTCTTGACCTTCTGGTAACTTCCCCTGAACAAAAATATTACCAGTCACTTAACTACTCCAAAGATTATTTATCAGAAGGATTCTTGTGCAGTGCTTTACCTTGTAAACAGGACCAAACCCTCCTTGACCGAGCTTGTTTCTGAGACAGAAGTTATCGGTTGATGTAGCCAACACTTGAAACTCAAAGAGAGGAAGCTCCTTGAGCTTGACTTGGTTAGAAGCAGACTCATTACCACTTGTAAGTGCTTCCATTCTCTTAAACAATATCTCTGCGCTTTGATCTTTCGCTGGTGCTTCTAAAGCAATGGAAGCAAAAAAATTATGGTAAAAGAAACAATCTGAAGCTATCAATATCATCAATGAGTAAAGAAGAAATTAAACCTGGACGCTTTTTGAACTTCCTGCATGCTAAAAGAATGCAGACTGCAGCAACAAACACAACACCTACCACAGGTGCTGTGATCATAATTGCTCGCTTGCTATGTGTTTCTACAAGATTTGGTGAGAAAGAACATAAGTCAAACTGAATGGAGAAGAGAACAATAAGTGAGACTAATTAGAGGTTTTTTGACTCACTGAGTTCGGAATCCGCAAGTCGAATATAAAGATCAATGCCACTTCCCAAGAATGATTGCATATCAAGTAAGCTACCACTCCAAAGCATGCATCCGATTCCTCGATCATAAGCATAAGCCGTGCAAGAACAGTTTTCTAAACATTGTATAGGACAAGCTTGCTCATTAGCTAGAGACGTTTCCGCAGAGATTGGCACTTTCATCTTCTGCAGTTTCAAAAACCCATCTCCTTTTACTCCTCCACTACCACTCCTAGCATTTCTCAGCCTCTCGCACCTCAATGGAGCTCTTCTCACACATCCACTAGTCCAGTTCCTTGCAGCCCACTCTATGTTATTCCTTGGCACAAACCCTTTAACGCATTTACATGGCGGATCTTCTCTAGAGTTGCAGCTGCCGTACGGACCACACATACCGTATGCATCACAATCTGTGGACGGAAACCTAACACCGACCCTCCAAGCATTCCTAGAAGTACTCCAATCTCTCTGATAGATAGCTCCATCAGGATCCAAGTTAAAGTGATACATGAAAGAGTCATTAGCATAGGACATTGAATATGTTCCTCGGTTATCATTGTTGAGATTAAACCCATCAAGAAACAGAAGAGACTCCACATCCGGTAGACCGACGAAAACCTGACCGTTCCAGGGACCGCTACGCCAGACTGGAACACTGTTCTTCCAGATTAGAAGCTCAGGGAACGTGAAAGGAGCAAGACCAGCTGTGTAGTTCCCTGTTGAAGGATCTACGTCACTTCTCCAAGAAGTAAGCTTAAGATTCTCTCCGGTTCCGTTGTTGGTCCCAAGATTCATTCTTGGCAAGAAAGAGTTGTAAGGATGCTTGAAACTCTCCCAGAGAGTCTCACCGTTGTTTCTGTTATCTTGTAACTTAAGATTCCCAGTATCTAGTAGCTGGACCCACGTAGCATTTGGAGCCACTGGTACTGTGACGTTCGTCGACCATACAAGGCGGTTTCGACCGTCGGTGACCACGAGGTTTCCGTCGTCGGAGATGGAGATAACACCGGAAGTGTCTTTGATGGGAGTGTCTTTGTTAGCAACCCAAACCACGGTTTGAATCGGTATCTTGTCGTACCAAATCCCAGCATAACGTAACCTAGTAGTGGAATTTACGGGAGTGAAGAAACCGAACCTGAAAACACCACTTTTGCAGAGAAGGGTCTGTGAGTCTTTGATCGGAGTCGAGAAAGTGATTCTGTCTTCGCCGGAACAGAGTCTAAGAGAGAAACACGTGAATGCAAGCAGAAGAAGAACAAAACGACGACGTATGTTGGCTGGAACCACCATAGCTGGTTTCATTTGTTGTTTTTCTCTGTTACTGTATTGGAAGAGTTTCCTCCAAGAGAGGTAAAATAGTAATAAAAGTAGTCGTCTTTTGTCTCTGTGTGAAGACTTGGAAAAATGTTTTGTTCAACGAGAGACTTTGTTCTGTGGTGACTGGTGAGACTTGAGAGTAATAATGTTTGGTGGTTTTATTCATGGAATTGCCCAATTAGTAATGAGAGTGGAATAACTAAACCACCAATGTTGACTTTTCTTTGGATGCAGAGAAAATTTGGAATGGGAAGAAGAAAGTGAGAGGACTAGTTGCGTTAGTGCGATTTTAATGGGGCCATTTGTGATTACCTTTTGAGTAGATTTGTAACTTGCAGATTGCAGATACATAAAACAAATATTATTTTTTTCCATTACTTTTTGACCTTTTTGTTCACGCTCGTTGATTATACTAAACAACACGTGTTTGAAAAACCACTCGTTAATCTGTCGTTAGCGTTTGAGGATTTGGGTTAAAATTGGACTAGGGTCATGGACCACTAAAATAGGAGTCTTATCGTAAGAAAGTGTGATTGAAATTGGACTAGAGTCATGAACCATCAATCAAGAGAAGTCTCGTATTGTAAGAAAACTAAGAGAGACTTCATACAGATGGTTATGTAAAACACTAGATAAGATTCCAGGTAAAATTAAATGCAACATGAAAAGTTGACAAAAACTGTTGGAAAGCTTTAAGAATCAAATATATCTTGTATTGAATGTGTGGTGTGGTTCATGGAAGATATAAGCAATAAATCATTCCTGTGTTTTCGGAAAACTTGGATTTGTATGATTAAACAAAAAAGGAGATTGCAGAAAAGCGATAAATAAAAGGGTTACTCAAAAGACAAAATTGCAGAACAAGACCAATCTCTCATGAACAGAAGAGAAATCTACAATAGTTAGTGATGATACTAAGTTTTATAAGTTTGTAACTTGCTTTGGCCCTCCCTTAAGAGCTTCAAGAATCACGTATTCACTTTCTTGTTTGGACGTTTTTTTGAAGTTACCAATGAAATTCACAAATTCTTATAAGATGAGCGACAAAAAGCTTAAGTTAATTGACACAAACGTCTGAGCGGGAAATAAGGGGCAACATAAATTACCTATTTGCCATGGTGGTCTACATAGGACACTGTCGCATCAAACGAGTCCACAGAAGAAGGGCATTGACTTCTACAGATGAAAAGTCTACAAATTTTGTAGGTTAGTGAGAGGTGTAAAGTCATCATCGCTCTCAACATCACAAGTAGTTGCATGTTATTGATCAACTTGGCTCTGTTTTGTCTTCTGTAGAGTCACTAACTACTTATTATGATATCTAATTAACTATGTTTAAAAAACTGTGTTTAATTCTTCACCTATCTGTCAAGTTGCAATGGCGACATACTAGATGTAGTTTTTAATTCCTGATATTTTAGTTATCCCCAAGCTTCAGCATTATGCCATCTGTTACCATGTAATATAAAGAAGAAGCAAATTGGTGTATTATATATGAACCATGAATGTACCTGGAAAGACTAACAGTAAGATCACAGAGACCAATGAGACTGAAGCATAAGACCTATGGTTCTTCCGTTACTCTTTGTGTGATAAACAAGACCTGGACTTAAGCTAAACCGATCACCTAAGTTGAATTTCAGATACGACTCCACATGAAACCGGTCATGATTTCTTGAACCATCGACGACACCACCAACGCTCATGCCCCAGCCCACTTCATCCTCTGGTTTGTCTGTAATCGACACCGACCATTTCACTTGCTTCTCACTTGTGTTTTGAACTTCAATCCATCCCCCAATTCTCGTACACTCGTCCATCAGAGAGTCTAACTTCAAAGCAACGGAGCTACACGACACATGCTTCATACCTCCTCTGCTCATCTCTAGAGGCTGTGCCGATGATTCAGGCTCCATACCAGTGCCACGCCTTAGAAAACTTACTGGAACTGTAATGGCTCCAACGGAATTGAGGTTGTTACATGGTGCTAAAATTTGATGACATCCCAGCAGAGATAGTTTTACACCTCTCAGAATGTCGCAGGTGACTTGGCCAAAAGTTCTGTAACAACGATTCGTTTCATTCACACCCTGTTCAACTTCAAGGTTGGAGATGGACTGCGCCATTGAAGCTGTGACGTTTGAGCTTCTGAGTGTTAACCCTATGGCACTACCATTATCTTGGTTTAAAAGAGGTGGTCCAAGTTCGGAAACTTCAGTAAGATTCATTCCCTGATAAGAAGACACAATAGCAGCATCAATGTCTCTGAAATGAGCGCCAACAGGAATAGCAACTGCAGAGAACCAATCACTAATCTCTGCCTTGTAAAAGACTTTGGCTAAAGAAAGCTGATTCCCTGAAACGTCACTGTGATGATCTCCTTCCCCTTTGTATCCAGCAACGAGCTCAGCCACAAGCTTATCTGACTCCCTAAGGCTTGTTTCAAACATGAACCTAGATAGCAATCCAGGTCTCACTCCTTCTCTGTAGAGTCCACTGAAACTCTCCTCGTCAGTGTTTCCCATCAGCAACATAGCTCCAAGGACATCAACCTCACCTTTCAAATGAGTGCTATTCTCTCGGAAAGGACCTGTTTTTGAGAGTTTATATGAGGAAATTATTCGCTCCACTTTCTCTTGTCTTTCTCTGAGTTTCATCAAATCCGAGAATGCTTCTCTTTGTAATCGCTTCAAGATATCAATCTGAACATAATTCCAAATTTTCTTAAGTTAAAAAGAAAGATCACGTTTTACGAATCACATTACTGAAGGAAGTGGTTGAACAACAATGCAGAAGCTCAAAGTAAAGGGGATTGATGATGAAGATACCGGATTCTGGCGAGAAGGATTCTCATGGAAGCCGAAGTGGCGGGAGACTAAGTCCTGGCTCGATTTCGCAAAGCCCTTCATTTTCTCCATAACCGAAGCAATCGGATCCATTTTTTACTCGGAAACTAAGGAAAGCTTGAAGATTGAAGAAAAATCTGGACTGTAATCGCGCAATTGACGATTAACTCGTTTCGTGGGCACTACCAACTAGTAAAAATGACAGAAGGCTGTACAAAGGAGAACGATACAAACGAAGAAAGCCGAGAGAGCTAGAAAGAGAAGCAGTTTGGAGAGATGAATGTGCGTGACGATGATTTCTACCGGCGAGAGGGAAATTGGATAGAGAAAAACTGGAAATGTTTAGGGTTTATGAGTTTGGATTTTGGGGGTTTGAGGATTTGATTTCAAAATCTGGATTTGTGATGGATCATGGATGTTGTTTGGCTATTCGGTTTCTCAGGTCGGTTCAATTCGGTTTGCTTCGGAAAACCAGCATATTTTTAATTGGATTTCGGTCCGCTAAAAAGTTGGTTCAGTTTTAACGGAATAAAAATTAAAAAAAAATAAATTGGTCCATCCCAACATAATGTGGTAGGAGGTTAGGTCTATGGAGATGCTCTATCCAAAATTCCAAGCTCGTATCTATTGGCATTCGAATTTTTCAACTACTGAAGTACATTGACTTGATGTCGTCCGACAAAAGCAAGTACCCTGATGTTAACATACGAATATTAACTAACGTATATGCAATTATGCATTAAGCAATTACAACAAGGGCAATCAAATTGTAGTTCTTTTGTTTTCCATTAATTTAATCATATAAGTGTGAACTGTGAAGAAGAGAGGGAGATAATTATATCTCAAGTAGCCATGGTCAAAACGCCCATTGAATAAGAATAAGAACGTTGGTATTTTTCGACTACGCCCAAAGTCTTTTACAAGGCAGAGATTAGTGATGCCCAAAGTCTTTTACAAGGCAGAGATGCCCAATAATATATTTCGAAATCATATTCAAATGTGACCAACACGTCTTCACATTTTCATACGTTCGTGTTGATTAAGCATTACGACTCAGCAACAATTCAACCACATAATCTTTTTTAATTGGTTAACTTGATATGCAATTAAATACTTGTTCATCTCAAGTGTCCGCTCATTAATTGTTGTATTTGATATTTCCAACTCTGGTGTCACAATTGCAACTTGATTTCCGAGAGTTTACTAACAATTTGTCAATTGTGGTCCAACGATCAACGATGTAGGTTCAATAGTAGTAATTATACACCTTCCACGTTTTGCCGACAAATGCTTGTTTTTTTTTGTCTCTATGAATACATATACGCTTGAGCATATGCATTGTTATTTATGAACTCTTTGAAATTTAGTTGCACTTGTGTCGGTCATAATATGGTTAATAACCGCTAGAAGTTTTTATACACATGCAAATTCAGTTTAATAACCAAAAACATAGCTAGATCCCGTTTCGAAGAAAAATTATAAACGTGTATCATTGGTTGGTTCCTCAATTATTTTTTGTTAACTTGGTTCCTCAGTTCTTTTTTGTTAACTTGATCCTGCTTATAGGTATGTTAACTTGCAGTCCATCCATATAACCATATTAGATGTTTAATTTTTCTTTAAAAACAAACTTCTGTCAGTCTCATTGTTAAATCACGTGTGAAGTAAGCACCAGTGCACCACTCTTATTATTTTAAGATATTGCTGGAGATCTAAAAATAACTTTTAGGTTTGCGGGGGTTTAGATTAAGAATATTTTTTTTTAGGTTTGCGGGGGTTTAGATTAAGAATAAAAAATCAATGATGGCTAATGGAAAGTCAGCTAATTTCACAACATTTCCCACTTCACATTTTATTTTAACTATATTGATTAATCATTGTTGCATGCATCCGAATATTTTGTAGGTACGATTAAGATAATTTTTCTTAAAGATAATCGGGTTTCTAAAATTTAACATACAAACAAAGCAGCCAAGACTAAATAATGGAGCAGTCAAGAATCTCTCTCTGTTTAGACTTTCTCTTTTCTGATGCTGCTTTGCACAAAATTTACCATTTTCAAAATAATTCATGACTCATGATTTGTTTCAACTTTCTTTTTTCGCCGTCTCACAAGTAAATCTTATTTAATTATTTTTTTGAACCAAGGCTTAGTCTCACAAGTATTTTGTTACGTAGATAGTATAATGTCAAAAGTTAAAACAAGTTGACAAAAAGGTAAAAAAAACAAGAAAGGAAAAGCGGAGCTTTCCAGCGAGGTCCCATTAGGCCATTATGGTAACGTTATCCTTATTTTATAAAATCTCAAGTGGCCATTTGATATAGCTTTACAACCAAAATAGCAATATATTACACCCAAAGAATATACGACAAACCTAAAGGACAAACGAATCAAATCAAATGCTGAACCATAGGTAAATTATAGTCGTTTAAAAGAAAAAGTATGAGAGACCGGAATGAAATATTTACCAAACTTGTTTGTGATCTTGATTAAATTTAAATATATTTGCCAACCGAAAAACGAAAAGATGTGACGTGAAATGAAAAACAAAAAAATGATTGACCCACAAGGCCATAGGGAATCATAATAATAAATAGAGAAATTGCACTCGAAAAAGAAGGGTGATAATTGAGAAGTCGTCACATGAGGAACACTAAAAAAAAAGTCAAAGACGTTGAACACTTCTCCGAGAGACGACGTAGAAGCCTTGTAGTTCACAGTCTCTTTCTTATCTTCTTCTTCTTCTCATTCTTCCTTCTTCCTCCTTTCGCCGTCTCATGCCTCTATATTATGACATTCAAAATTGCGTATCGTACTAATTAAAAGCAGAGAGCAAAAGAAGAACACGAAACTCTCTCTCTCTCTCTCTCTCTCTCTCTCTCTCTCTCTCTCTCTCTCTCTTTTCTCCCTCTCTCTTCTATTAAATCGAAAAGTTGGATTTCTCAAAGAGGAAAAAAAAAGTTTTTTTTTGTCTCTCTCTTAAAATTGAGCTCTAATGGCTCAAGTAAAAGAACGGACTTTAGAGCAGACCTCTACTTGGGCAGTAGCTGTGGTTTGCTTCGTCTTACTCTTTATTTCGATTTTCATCGAAAAATCGATTCACAAGATCGGAACCGTAAGTTCACCTTCTTCCTCATCATTAAATTCCTCTGTTTCGTGCTCTTTCTCTGTTTCTTCTTTTGTGTAGATCTTCTTCTTGCTCTCATTTTTTGGGTTTTTAATTCTTCTTGCTCTTTTTTTTCGTGTTCTTGATCTGCTTCCTGCTCTGTTAACTCTTTAGTTCCCACTCTGTTTTCTCTAAGCTTCCTTTTCCTAATTTCAATTTCTTCTTCTGCCTTGTGCTCTGTTTCTTTTTTGTTTGTTCGTTTTAGGTTCTGTTTTTTTTTTCTTCTTTTCTTTTCTTCTTTCTCTTGTTTAGTTCATATGCTGTTATGAGGTGACTAAATCTGATCTCTGTTTTTTTAACTGCCAGTGGTTTAAGAAGAAGCACAAGAATGCTCTCTATGAAGCTCTTGAAAAGATCAAAGCAGGTAAGATTGAAAGCAATATAACTTCTTTTGCTACCTAACTCCATCCATTGACAAGCTTTATCTTTTTAACACAAAATGATAAAAAAAAATTGTTGATTCAGAGCTTATGCTGTTGGGATTCATATCACTACTCCTGACAGTCGGACAAACACCAATCTCAAAGATCTGCGTCTCCAAGAGTCTTGCTTCAACGATGCGCCCTTGCAGCCAGGCGGAAGAGAATAGAAAATACCCCGAGAAAGGCGCCGGTAAAAAAGGAGACGATGGAGAAAAATCCGGTAGAAGACTTCTTCTTGACTTTGCTCAAGAAGAAATCCCTAGACGGTTTTTAAGCAAAGGTTATGACACATGCGCAGATAATGTAATCTCATCATAATCTCCTCTACAAACATTTGACAAACCGACCAATTTTTTTGTGTTCTTTTTAATTGTGATTGTTGTGTTTTCGTAGGGGAAAGTGGCTTTTGTATCTGCTTATGGAATCCACCAGCTGCATATATTCATCTTCGTTCTCGCGGTGGTTCATGTTATCTACTGCATTGTTACTTATGCTCTCGGAAAGACCAAGGTAAACTAAATTAACTTCTCTTGTGAATTCCGAGAATCAAGAAAGTTTGTATGCAAAAGATTTTGATATTTTGTTTTCTTGAGTATTGCAGATGAGGAGGTGGAAGCAGTGGGAAAATGAGACTCAGACAATAGAGTATCAGTATTCCAATGGTACGTAATACTATTGAATCAGAGTATTTTGATCACATGTAAAGACAGAAATAGGAAAGTTTATGGTGAATGTGAATGCATGCATTCTTGTTATGCAGATCCCGAGAGGTTCAGGTTTGCGAGGGACACATCTTTCGGGAGAAGACATCTCAGTTTCTGGAGCAAGACAAGTGTTACTCTATGGTTTGTGTGTTTCTTCAGACAGTTCTATGGATCTGTCACCAAAGTTGATTACTTAGCGTTACGCCATGGTTTCATCACGGTATGGAAACTTTTAGTGATCTTTTTGTTTTGTTTTATCTTCTACTGTTTATTATCTAATGATCTAACTAAGCTCATTTTTTCAGGCGCATTTGGCACCTGAGAGCCAAATAAAATTCGATTTCCGCAAGTATATCCAGAGATCATTAGAGGAAGACTTCAAAACCGTAGTTGAAATCAGGTTTGTATCTAATATTTTAATGACTATTTGTATAATCTGCATGAAGTCCAAGTTGAATACTTTTGTCTTAAAATCTTTGCAAAACTTTATGCAGTCCGGTTATCTGGTTTGTCGCTGTGCTATTCCTCTTGACCAATACAAACGGTAACGCTCATTGCTTACCGTGCAAAGACACAATCTCTGCATCAATGTTAAGCAACAAAACTAACATTTGTTGTCATTTGAAACAGGACTACGTTCTTTCCTCTGGTTACCTTTCATTCCGCTAGTTGTAAGTACAACAAACTCTTAAAACATTTCTTGGACTTTTGTCCTTTTTGCCGCCTTTTTAGAAACCTGAGTGAATGTAAATCTTTTCAGGTGACTCTAATAGTTGGAACAAAGCTTCAAGTGATTATAACCAGAATGGGTCTAAGAATCCAAGAGAAAGGCGATGTGGTGAGAGGCGCTCCGGTGGTTCAGCTCGGTGATGATCTCTTCTGGTTTGGCAAGCCAAGATTCATGCTTTTTCTCATCCATTTGGTTCTTTTCACGGTAGATTCAATATTCTTCCACAGCTCGGTTTATCTTCTTTTTTGTTTTTGCCTTCTCTCTTAAAACTCATGATTACCAAAAAACCATTCACTTTTGCAGAATGCATTTCAGCTTGCCTTCTTCGCTTGGAGTACGGTAAGAGAGATCCATTTTCACATTCTTCACAAACATTGCTTCTTTTTTTCAGAGGCAATACTAACTCTTATGTCATAAATTTTCTTGGTATCTGCAGTATGAATTCAATCTTAAGAACTGTTTCCATGAAAGCATGGCAGATGTGGTCATTAGAATTGTAGTTGGGTAAGCTAACTTAAAACTTGACTGTTGATTCTGAGAATGGATAAAGTTAACAAATCTTTTTAACCTTTTTACTATCAATCTTGCAGAGCTGTTGTACAGATACTTTGCAGCTATGTGACTCTTCCACTCTATGCTCTAGTCACTCAGGTACTAACACAACAGTGAGATTCAATACTGAATTTTCGATATGTTGGTTTTTTTTTTTCTGACATTATGTGTCGATGTAATGTGTGTAGATGGGAACTACGATGAAGCCAACGGTATTCAACGAAAGAGTAGCCACGGCGCTAAAGAAGTGGCATCACACAGCAAAGAAGGAGACGAAACATAAAACAAAATCTGATTCAAACACACCTTACTCTAGCCGTCCAACAACACCAACGCATGGCTCATCGCCGATCCATCTCCTTCACAATTTCAAGAACCGAAGCGCTGAAGGTTTCCCGGAGTCTCCTTCTCCTAGATACTCTGATCGTCATGACGACCACCAGTTTTGGGATCCTGAGTCTCAGCACCAAGAAGCTGGATCTTCCACACATTCTCTTCCGCAGGATAGCTCTGAGAAGAAGCCTATTATTGCGTCCGTGGAACTTCCTCCTATACGGACTAGCAAAAGCGCAAGAGATTTTTCTTTCAAGAAGTGATGATTTTCTTGATGTACATATCTTTATCCAGTTAAAAGCTCTTTCAAGCTGGATCTTCCACACATTCAATTCTTATAAGAGTGAGCGACAAAAATTCATATTCTAAGCAATGTCTAACTGTCACAAACGTCTGAGTGGAAATAAGAGGCAGCATAAATTACCTATTTGCCATGGTGGTCTACATAGGACACTGTCGCATCAAACAAGTCCATAGAAGAAGGGTCTTGACTTGGACAGATGAAAAGTCTACAAAATTTGTAGGTTAGTGAGAGGTGTAAACTGTAAAGTCACCATCGCTCTCAACATCACAAGGACTTGCATGTTTTTGATCAACTTGGCTCTGTTTTGTCTTCTGTAGAGTCACATACTACTTATTATGATAACTACAATGTTTAATTCTTCACCTATCTGTCAAGTTGCAACGGCGACGTACTAGATGTAGATTTTAATCCTGTTATTTTAGTTATCCCCAAGCTTCAGCATTTATGTCATCTATTACCATGTCAAAACAAACAAAAAAGAAGCAAATTGGTGTACTATTTCAACAAAGATCAAAGAGAAAAACTCGTAACGAAGACAAAATAGATTTGATAAAAGAGACGTAGGCAGATAATAAACAATAGGACTCTTTTATCACTCATCAAGGCAAAAATTATGGCAGCTACATTTTCAGACATATAACTTGCATAAGACCAATCAATGGTATAGATGAACCATGAATGTACCTGAGAGGACTAGCAGTAAATATCAAAGAGACCAATGAGACTGAAGCATAAGACCTACGGCTCTTCCGTTACTGTTTGTGTGATAAACAAGACCTCGACTTAAGCTAAACCTATGGCCTACGTTGAATTTCAGAAACGACTCAACCTGAAACCGATCATGGTTTCTTGAACCACCAACGCTCATGCCCCAGCCCACTTCATCCTCTGGTTTGTCTGTAATAGACACTGACCATTTCACTTGCTTCTCTCTTGAGTTCTGAACTTCAATCCATCCCCCAACTCTCGTAGACTCGTCCATCTGAGAGTCTAGCTTCAAAGCAACGGAGCTACACGGCACATGCTTCATGCCTCCTCTGCTCATCTCCTGTGCCGATGGTTCAGAATCCATACCAGTGCCACGCCTTAGGAAACTTACTGCAAATGCAATGGCATCAATGTCTCTGAAACGTCACTCTGATTTCTTTCCCCTTTGTATCCAGCAACGAGCTCAGCCACATGCCTATCTGACTCCCTAAAGCTTGTTTCAAAACATGAACCTTGAAAGCAAGGCAGGTCTAACTCCTTCTCTGTCGAGTCCACTGAAACTCTCCTCTTCAGTGTTTCCCATCAACCACATCCTTCACATAAGTGCTATTCTCTTGAAAAGGACCTGTTTTTGATAGTTTATATGAGGAAATGATTCGCTCCACTTCTCTTGTCTATCTTTAAGTTTCCATCAAATCCGAGAATGCTTCTCTTTGTAATCGCTTCAAGATGTCAATCTGAACATAATTTACAACCAACCCAAATATCTTAAAGTTCAAAAATATCACATTACTGAAGACGAAGGGAAGTGGCTGAACAACAATGCCGATGCTTAAATTAACGGGGATTGATGAAGATACCGGATTCTGGCGAGAAGGGTTCTCATGGAAGCCGAAGTGGCGGGAGACTAAGTCCTGGCTCGATTTCGCAAAGCACTTCGCTTTCTCCATAACCGAAGCAATTGGATCCATTTTTTCTCGGAAACCAAGAAGGAAAGCTTGAAGATTGTAGAAAAATCTGGACTGTAATCGCGTAATTGACGAAAATGGTTAGGGTTTTTGAGTTTGGATTTTGGATTTTGGATTTTGGGGATATTGAGGATTTGATTTCAAAATCTGGATTTGTGATGGATCATGGATGTTCTTAGCTATTCGGTTTCTTAGGTCGGTTCAATTCGGTTATCTTCGGAAACCAGCATAATTTATTAATTTTAGCTGGATTCGGTCCGCTAAAAATTTGGTTCATAGTACGGTCCGCTATGATTAAATATTGTTTGGTCTCATTTGGTCCATTTAATTCTAAATCAAATTGATGTGTTTAAGATGAACAATATTTAATTGCATATCGAGTTAAACAATAACAAGAAGGAATGACATCAGATTTTTTTTTTTTTTTGGTCGGAAAAGACATCAATTTGATTTATTGTAATTGCTTAATGCATATACACTAATGTTAATATTCGAATATTACATTAATTAATTACACAAAGTGCTTCCTTCTGTCGGGGACATCAAGTCAATGTACTTCAGTCTACAGTAGTTGAAAATTCGAATGCCAAATAGTGTAGATATGAGTTTGGATAGAGCATCTCCACACACCTAACCTACCAGTCTACCACATTATGCTGGGATGATTCATTCAAAGATAATCGGGTTTCTAAAAATTTAACATACAAACAAAGCAGCAAAGACTGTATAGTGGAGGTTAGTCAATGTATCTTTCTCTCTTATTAGTCTTTCTCTTTTGTAATTATGCTTTGCACAAAATTTATCATTTTCAACAATTAATCTCGACTAGTCTTTCTCTTTTGTAATTATGCTTTGCACAAAATTTATCATTTTCAACATTTTTTGATATCTAAATATTATTCATGATTTATGATTTATTTCATCGTCCTTTTTCGCCCTCGCACAAGTATTTTGTTACTTAGATAGTACGTTAAAAGTTAAAAACGAGTTGAGATTCTTGAGAATAGGTAAAAGAAAGAAGCGTACGTACGAGCTTTCGTGCGAGTTCCCTTTATAGGCCATTATAGAAAAGTTATCCTTATTTTATAGTCGTTTAGAAGGAAAAAGTAGAGACCGGAATGAAATATTTACCAAACTTGTTCGTTATTTTTGAGTAATCTATTTGCCAACCGGACGGAAAACGAAAAAAGATGTGACGTGAAATGAAAACAAAACATATTGACTCATAAAGTCCATAGGAATCATAATACACAAGAAACTGCACTCGATAAAGCATGGTGATAACTGAAAAGTCGTCACACGAGGAACACAAAAAGTCTAAGTCGTTGAACAGTTCTCCGAGAGATGACGTAGAAGCCTTTTACGTTTACAGTCACTCGTTGCGGGGAGGGCCTTATCTTCATCTACTCTTTCTTCCTTCTTTCGCCCTCTCATGCATGCCTCTATATAATGACATTCAAAATTGCGTATCGTACTAATTCAAAGTAGAGAGCAAAAGAAGAACACGAAACTCTCTCTCTCTCTTCTATTAAATAGAAAGAAGGTTAGGTTTCTCGAAGAGGAAAAAAAAACTCTGATGGAGATACTAGCAAAACAACGGACATTAGAGGAGACCTCTACTTGGGCAGTAGCTGTGGTTTGCTCCGTCTTACTATTTATTTCGATTGTCATTGAACATTCGATTCACAAGATTGGAACCGTAAGCTCTCCTTCTTCATTTGTCTATATATTTGAAGTTTCTTCTGCTTCCTGCTCTGTTTACTCTTTAGTTGCCAATATGTTTTTTCTAAGCTTCCTTTTTCCTAATTTCATTTTCTTGTTCTGCTTTATGCTATGTTTCTTTCTCTTGTTTAGTTCTTATTCTCTTGCGACTAAATCTGATCTTCTTTTTTTTTAACTGACAGTGGCTTAAGAAGAAGCACAAGAAGGTTCTCTATGAAGCTCTTGAAAAGGTCAAAGCAGGTAAAAATAAAACTGAAAGTTCTAAACATTATTTTGTTTTAGACATCTTTTGCTACCTAACCTCATCCATTAACAAGCTTCTTTTATTTAAACACAAAATGATAATTTAATTTTGTTCAGAGCTTATGCTGTTGGGATTCATATCACTACTCCTAACAGTCGGACAAAAACCAATCTCAAATATCTGCATTTCCAAGAGTGTTGCTTCAACGATGCACCCTTGCAGCCCCAAGGTTGAAGAAACTAGTAAGTACGCCAAGAAGAATGAAAACGATGGAGAAAAATCCGGTAGAAGACTTCTTCTTGAGTTAGCTGAATCTTATATCCCTAGACGAAGTTTAGCCACCAAATGCGATGACTATTGCGATAAGAAAGTAACTAATAATCTCCCATACAAACAATTTTCCATTTGCAAACCCGACCAATTATTAATTTTGTTATTTGTGATTGATGCATTTTCTTAAGGGGAAAGTGGCTTTTGTATCTGCTTATGGAATCCACCAGCTGCATATATTCATCTTTGTGCTCGCCGTGGTTCATGTTATTTACTGCATTGTCACTTATGCTCTCGGGCAGACCAAGGTAACTAACGTTTCTTGTGAATCACGCAATGGCTAGGGCAAGAATCAAGAAAGTTTGTATGCAAATGATTTGGTTGTTTTTCCTTCTTGAGTATTGCAGTTGAAGAGGTGGAAGCAGTGGGAGAAGGAGACTCAGACGTTAGAATATCAGTATGCCGTCGGTATGTAATATTAAATCCGAGTATTAAAGTCCAAAACGGGAAATTTCACGATGCATGCAATCTTGTTATGCAGATCCCGATAGGTTCAGGCTTGCAAGGGACACAACTTTCGGGAGAAGACATCTCAGTTCCTGGAGCAAGACGAGTGTTACTCTATGGTTTGTGTGTTTCTTCAGACAGTTCTTTGGATCTATCACCAAAGTTGATTACTTCGCGTTGCGCCATGGTTTCATCACGGTATATATGGAACTTACAGTGATCTTTTTGTTTTGTTTTCTCTAATAGCGGTCTAACTAACTCTTTATTCAGGCGCATGTTGCTCCCGAGGGCCGAGCAAAATACGATTTCCGCAAGTATATTCAGAGATCATTAGAGCAAGACTTCAAAGCCGTTGTGGAAATCAAGTTTGTATCTAATAGTTAATAACTTTTTTTGTATAATCTGATGATTTGTCCTAAAAAATCTTTGCAACTGTATGCAGTCCGGTTATCTGGTTTGTAGCCGTGCTATTCCTCTTGACCAATACTCATGGTAACGCTCATTGCTTAACCGCGCAAAAACATATCTATGCAACAAAATTAAATGACATTTGTTATCATTTGAAACAGGACTACGTTCTTACCTCTGGTTACCGTTCATTCCGCTAGTTGTAAGTACAACAAACTCTTAAAACATTTCTTGGATTTTTTGTTCTTTTGCCGCCTTTTTTTTTAGTGAATGTAAATCTTTTCAGGTGGCTCTGATAGTTGGAACAAAGCTTCAAGTGATTATAACCAAAATGGGTCTAAGAATCCAAGAGAGAGGCGACGTGGTGATAGGCACTCCGGTGGTTAAGCCCGGTGATGATCTATTCTGGTTTGGCAAGCCAAGATTAGTCCTATTTCTTATCCATTTGGTTCTTTTCACGGTAGATTTCAATCTTCTCCTCCGCTCTCTTTATCCTCTTCCTGTTTTTCTATCCTAAACTCACGAGTGCACAAAAAACAATTCACTTTGCAGAATGCATTTCAACTTGCCTTCTTTGCTTGGAGTACGGTAAGAGAGATCCATTCCACAAACATTGCAGTTTTTCTTCTTTTTTTGAGGCAATGCTAATTGTTATCTCATGATTGTTTTTGGTATCTTCAGTATGAATTCAAGCTCAGGAATTGTTTCCATAAAAGAACTGAAGATTTGGTCATTAGAATTGTAGTTGGGTAAGCTAACATTAACTTGGCTCTTGATTCTGAGAATATCACAGTAAAAAGGAATTGGGTACAGATTACAACCTTTGTTTCCTTTTACTATCAATCTTGCAGAGTTGTTGTACAGATACTTTGCAGCTATGTGACTCTTCCACTCCATGCTCTTGTCACTCAGGTACTACACAAGAGTGACATCAATCCCGGCTTTTCTATAATGTTCTTGTTTTTTTTTTTTTTTCCTGACATAGTGTTTGATGGAATGTGCGTAGATGGGTACTAACATGAAGTCAACGGTATTCAACGAAAATGTAGCCACGGCGATAGAGAAGTGGCATCACACAGCAAAGAAGGAGACGAAACATGGAAGACACTCTGAATCAAACACACCTTACTCTAGCCGTCCAACCACACCAACTCATGGCTCATCTCCGACCCATCTCCTTCACAATCACAAGAACCGACACTCTGATCGTCATGACGACCACCAGTTTTGGGATCCTGAGTCTCAACACCAAGAAGCCGGATCTTCCACACATTCTCAAAGCTCGGAAAAGAAGCCTGTTCTTGCATCCGTGGAACTTCCTCCTATCAAGAACTGATGATTCTTGGTATACATAGCTTGATCTCGTACAGTGGGAATTAATGATTTGAAAACAAAAAAGAACTTGTACATGTATGAGACCTACACCATCTATATGATAAATGAAATAATCACGCTTAGAAGAGTTTCTCGATTACATTTTTAATTCTTGTTCTAACGTCCTGAGACATCGGTGATGGTGACACCATTGATAGATGCTTTAAGCTCACTGTTCTCATTGGACTCTGCTTCTGAGACACCGTTCCTTGATATAAAAGCATGCTGTTTCGGTTGTGGAATGTCTGCAATCTCGCTGCTGAGCATCGAACACACTGTAGCAACACTTGGCCTATTATAAGCAGCTTCTTGCACACACAAAAGCCCAATGTGAACACATTTCTGTATTTCTCTCTCAAAGAGTGGGTCAAAGATCTCAGGATCCACTAGAGCATTAATCTCTCCTTCGTTCCAGATCGACCATGCCTATAAAACAGAGAAGCTCTTAGAGCTTGAGAACTATCTGGAGAGATTAAGTAAATGTGAGTAGAGTTCGGAGAGACTCACATCAGGTAAAAGAGTCGAGTTCGAGTTTCTTCTTCCACTGACAAACTCTAAGAGTATAACACCTAAGCTGAAAACATCAGATTTCTCTGAAAACCGTCCTCTCATTGCATATTCCGGTGACATATAGCCGCTGAATGACAAAATGTTTTCTCGGTTTTATATTGCAAAAGGTGTAACAAATGGTTAAACTGAAGTCACTTACTATGTTCCTACGACCCTTCGGGTGTTTGCTTCATCTTCACTCCCTGTGAAAATCTTGGCCAACCCGAAATCAGATATTTTCGGAATCATATTCTCATCTAACAAGATGTTGCTAGCTTTTAGGTCTCTGTGAATGATTCTAAGCCTAGAATCTCTGTGAAGATACAAGAGACCTCTGCATATTCCATTGATTATGCTAAACCTTGTCTTCCAGTCAAGAAGTTTTGCCTTTGTAGGGTCTGAACAACACATTAATTAGCTTATGTTAATTGACCTGGTTGTTAACATTGGAACAGAGTTTTCAAAACAAAATATATCAAAAAAGTTACCAAATAGATAATAGTCTAAGCTTTTATTAGGCATGAACTCATAGACTAACATCCTTTCTTCTCCTGCAATGCAACAACCAAGTAACTTCACAAGATTCCGGTGTTGCAGCTTAGAAATCACAACCACTTCATTAACAAGTTCTTCAAGCCCTTGTCCAGATGCTCGTGACAGTCTCTTCACGGCAATCTCTTGCCCGTCTTGCAACTTCCCCTGCAACAAAAGAAATTCAAGAGTTATTGGAGTCAATATAAATTCTAGTTGCCATAAATCTTTAAGTAAGAGTCATACTTACTTTCTAAACAGGACCAAAGCCGCCTTGTCCGAGCTTATTTATGACAGAGAAATTATCAGTCGCTGCAGCTAACACTTGAAACTCAAACAATGGTAACTCTTTCAACTTTCCTTTATTACCACCAGCTAAAGCTTCTACTCTCTCAAAAATTTGCTCTGCGTCTGTTCCTTTGTTTTTCACTGAGAACGAATCTAAAATACTGTTTAAACCAAAATGACCATTGCTTATAAGAACACAAAAGTTTAGTTAAACTCTGACCTTTTCTCTTCTTGATAATCAGTCTTGCCAAAAGAGCACAAGCTGCCACAATAAAAATACCGCCAGCCAATGATGTACCGATGATAACCGGTCGTGTGTCCGGCGTTTCTAGTAGAGAGGTTTCAGGAAATACCAAAATTAGTAAAGCTGCAATCAGTTAAAGTAATTATAGGAGAGAAGTTGAGGATTAATGCTTAACAGAATTCTGAATGTGCAAGACGGACATGAAGATCCATTTCACTAGCAGACAACTCCTGTGAGTCAACTAAGCTTCCATTCCAAATCATGCAACCATAACCTAAGCCATGAGCACAAGCTATACAAGAACATGTCTGCAAACAAGTCCTTAAGCACTCTGGTTCACTAGCTTCCGACCTTCTTGCAAAGTCAGGCAGTTTCATTCGCCTTAGCCTCAGAAACCCATCCGCACTTCCATTACTGTTCTGTCTTTCACACTGCAAAGGGACCTTTCTAATGCACCCACCACTCCAGTTTCCATTGTTCCACTCCATGAGGTTCCTTGGCATAAACCCTCTAATGCAAGAACAAGGCCTGGTTTTCCGGTGATCACAGGAAGCGAATTCACCACATCTTCTGTAAATATCACATTCGGTTGCAGGGACTTGGTCACCGACCATCCACTTTCTCTCAACCTCACTCCAATCTCTCCTGATCACATATCCTCTGTAATCCAAGTAGAAGTATCTTAAAGTCGAATCATTAGCATATGACATTGTGACTGATCCATCGGTATCATGATTAACCATGAACTTGTAGAGAAAGACCCCCGCATACTTATCTGGTAGACCGTTAAACATCTGGCCATTCCACGGGCCACTGCGCCACACCGTAGCATTATTCTTCTTGTTGTTGAAAATGTAGAGCTCTGGATATGCAGAAAGAATAAGTGCAGCAGTGTAGCTACCTGGAGAAGGATCTGAAGGAGTTTTCCAAGAAGTTATTGTGATGCTCCTTCCTCCGGTTCTTGTGTTTGTCTCAACCAACATATTAGGCAGCCAAGAATCAGTAGGATGCTTGAAACTCTCCCAAAGATATGCATTCGTATTTACATCTTTTAGCACGAGGTTCCCCGAATCCAAAAGCTCAACTACAGTAGAATTGCCGCGAACTTGAGTAGTGAAGTTAGTTGACCATAGAACACGCCTCTGACCATCAGTAACTACGAGGTTTCCATCTTCAGACACCGAAATAACTGCAGAGGAGTCGTTGATCGGCTTATCTTTGTTAGCAACCCATATCACAGTTTGTTCAGGAATGCCGTTGTACCATATACCCGCATACCGACTAGAGGAGTTAACAGGGCTGAAGAAACCGAACCTGAACGTACGGAAGCCGGAGACTATCGTCTGAGAATCACTGAGGTCGCCGGAAAAGAAAGCTCTTTCCTGAGCCAGAGAGACACTTGACAAGAAGCAAGACAGTGAAAGAACAAGAATAAGAGGACTCATGCTCTTATGAAGTCGCACATAGATTCAGTCAAGACCAGCAACTTCCCATTTGGAGACAGCTTTGGACCTTTGGTTTCTTTTTTCCTGAAAAAAACCAGACACAACAGGTCTAAAATAGAGTAATTCTCACTTCTCAGTATTAGTTGCAGCATTTAAAGGATCGTAGGGTCTTGAGTTAAGTGACGGTGTGAGGGTGTGGTGAGCAAATTCAATTCTCAAGAGAAAAGTCCAAGTATTGTTACTGTCAAGTGTAAAGTCAAAGTGACACTTTTCAAAGACAAAATCATTTCTTCTATTGATTGACCAAATTGGCCCCACCTTTTACTACGTACTTGGTCTTATTCACCTATGAATCTTTTTTTTGTCATCTGAATGATATATTGATTTTCCAAGGTAAATACAAAGATTTAAGCCAGACTTTAGCCAGATTGAAAGCCACAAGAAACCAAAACGGTGCAAACCCACTACTACACCAGAAACCTACTCTAATCCAGACCCCCAAAAAAACCAGGGCAAGATTAGCCAAAAAATGAGGACATCAAGAAGAGGAAGAGACTCTCTCACTTTCAAACACACCATTTAACCAAAGAGGATGATGGGAAGCCACATAAGAATGAAACCTACCATCATTGGTGACACTTTGAGCAATGAGATTAGCTCCTCTATTTGATTCCATTCCTCCTTTCACTACTTTCCAATCCACAAAATCTGATAGTAATAGCAGAATTTCAGAAGCTTCAAACCCAAAAGATGGCCATGCTTGGGGACGGTTTACCACTCCAACAAGAATCACATCCTCAACTTCAAAGATAACTCTCTGAAATCTATGACTCGCCATACTCTCCATAGCCCAGCACAAGGCCAAAAAACTTCCTTCCTCTGCAGATTTTAGATTCACGAGAGTTGTTCTACTGTGAAGTAAGACTAACCCTTTATCATCTCGAGTCACCCAACTTGCTCCCGCCAATTTGTTCCTTTTAGACCAGGACACACCTACATTACACTTGACCCAAAACTTCGGTGGGGCTTTCCACAACACACTTGAGATCACTTCCCCTGCCACATTCTGATCCACAAGATCCCTGGCCAAGACTTTTGTTTCCTCTTCAATCACAGTTTGCGCCAAAAACCATTCTTCCACATCACTCTTGATCTTTTCCACCAGAATACCTGGATCGAAGGGCTTTCCATCAAAAAGTAACAGGTTCCTGTTAGTCCATAACCTCCAAATAACCCAAGGGAAACTTCTTCTAAGTTCCATCGGCCACATTGAGTTCTTACCATTACCCAGCAAATGGTAAATGTTAGTACAACGATCCATTTTCCAGACCAAACGAAGATAGCGGGAAATTACAGAGAGCCCAAACCTGTCTAGCAAAGGAACAGGAGAAAATGACATGATCTATTGATTCTCTGTTCATTCCACAAATCTGACAAGTTTCATCCAACTTCATGCCTCTCGTCACTAGTCTTTCTGCAACCGGAATCGCTCCACACAGCATTTTCCATAAAAATGCTTGGATCTTTGGGTCTGTCTTTAAATCCCAGATTTGCTCTCTCAGTGCCCGCTTCAGCCATCAACACTCCTTTATTCACCTATGAATCACTTCATCTTATGTCAAAAAAAGAATTACTTCATCTTCTACAAATCAAACTCACGTCACTTTCAATCAATGAAATCCAGACATTGACGACAACGTCTGCTATAGAAAAGGGCAAAGTTAGGATCGAGAGAAGATTTTGGGACCTGTAAGAGAAGAATTTGTCAACTGCAGATTTGATCTTGCAGAACAAAAATATGAGCTCACAATTGGTGCAGGTCTCCGCTGTTCCTCAAGTGGATACACATTCCGGCTAACGTCTACGAGCACCGCCGTCACATTCTGCCTCTCGTCTTCAAGAATGGTCCTTTTACGGAGCATCTTTTATAGACAAAATTTGTTTTGGCGTCTTCGAGGCTACTCGTGTTTTCGACCCCATTGATGATTAGCTCATGTTCTTATTCACACTATGCTCAAGCTCAAAGGAAGATTTCGGATTTGGAAAAGCTGTGAAATTCGGATTCTCTGTATTTCAGGGATGATGATGATGATAATATGTTGTTGGGCCTTACTTGGGCCTGCGGGTCTGATCATGATGAATGAAGCCCAATTCTAGAGTTGATGTGATTATTATAACTATGCTTCTCATTCGTTCTTGTATTTAGTCGTGTGATGAGATAAATGATGCCTAAATCTAGTGGACGTTGTTGGGATCTCACTCAATGTAAATGGAGATGTAAAATCGAGAAAGGGTTTTTACCAAAAAAAAAAAAAAAAAAAAAAAAATCGAGAAAGAGATGGTCACTGGTGAGGGGAGTAATATGAAGAAAGAAGATGTAGATTTTTGAGATTTTTATTCTCCATTCTTCTTCACTCCACCCAAGCAAAGGTCTCTTTTTATATATTCGAGTTTTTGTTTTGGCTAAAATAAGAAAGATTAGATACATAGTATTGTTTTGTATTGCTCTAAGTTAAAACAATCATTTTAATATCTCAAATCAAAAATATATGAAACACAAACCCATATACATCCCCAAGTAGCAAATGTGAATTTTTCTAATCCTAAATAAAATCAAGGGAACGACAAAAAGGATATATTCAGAAACAGAAAAGAAAAAAGAAAATCACAAAACGGAATCCGCTTGTGCTGCTGCAATAGCATCACGAAGGATCTGTGACCTTGTCTGCAAGATGAAAGAAATCGTTATGTACACGTCACAAGTCAGCAAAACAGAAATGATTTCATCTTATATAATAATACCTTACGCTTGTTGGTAAAATCCTCCGCTCCATGAGACTCATCATCTGTACGGTTTCTTTTGCTTGGGAAGAACGTCATCTTATTTTCATCTGAAAGGAATACACTGAATCCTATAAGTAGATTCCGGTGGTCTCCATCTCTCGTGAGCTTCTCCACCTTTGCAAGGGCAATAGAATCACCCATGCTAGTTTAAAAAACAGCAGAATCAGTTCACATATGTCTACTTTGTCGTACAGTTTGAGAGTTAAAAACCAAAATATTATAATGGGAGAAAAACAATTCAATTCATACCTCTGAGCTGAAACCATTATCTTCAAAAACTGGTCATATTTTACGGGTTCGTCAGAAAATGCTTCTTCAGCAGAATAGAGGTATGTAAGCGCATCATACATAGTTACCCCAGGTGACGGTGACGGTGACGGTGGTGGTGCAACTCTTTTGCCAACCATGGTTTGAGTGGTTTGAAATTTGCATAACCCTTCGTCATCTTCATCATCAGGGATGGGGATGGGTCTGTAAGACCCTTTAACGAAAACACTAAAAGCAAGAAGCAGCTTGGGGTAATCTTTGCAGAATTCTTCCAACTTTTTAAAGATATTCTGTGCACCATTGGCTCTAGAAATAAAAAATACAAGTAACGTGAGGATCAGTTCACATATTTGTGTTTCTTGTTTTAGAAGAGGAGTGGAAATTTTCTCATACCTATCACGATTCATATCTCGCATGATCTTAAAAAACTTATTAATTTGTGAAGGTTTATCATGAAATGCGTCTATCAAAGATAGTTGGTATAGACGCATATTATCATTGAATCTCTCTAGTTGCTGTGGTGTTCTTCTCCCATCCATGGTTTGAAATTCGCCTAAATGTTCATTAAAAAGTTAAAACAGATCATATCATCATTATTGAATCAATCTCTAGTTTCTCTCTAAAAATATGTCTTTTAGAATCTTTCAAGAAACAGAACATCAAGTATGGAATCCACAAAGATTAGGTTTAGATCATACAATTGCATTCTTTTCTTAACTAATCGACACCTAAATCAAATCCAAAATTGGAATCATTGTGACTCTCGACGTTGGAGAAATCAAGAATCGATTTAGTAAGCAACCAACCAAAAGAAGAACTTACCGAATTCGGCAGACCTAAGCAGCAACGAGCAAGAAGTCTCAAGGGAAAAAAAGAACTAACAGAGTCTCTGCCCTAACTTTTGAGACAAGACAGAAAAATAAAAGCTACATACTATATATATATTTCCTTTTTCTTTTTCTGGATCATAAAACCGGTCCATTAGCACATTAACCTTATTGTATTTTCAACTTGTAGTTAATTTGTGATAGAGCAGCTAACCGGTTTCGTTATTTTCTTCTCCTCATATCGGTTTGGTGTAATGTCTTTAGTAGAGCATTTGATTCCAGTAATTTTGTTTCCTTTTTTAATTCTTTGATTAAGAGATGATGATTTTGATTTTCATAAAAGGAAAAGATTTACATATATTGATTTCGCAAAGTAGAAATTTGTTATATTAAAAGAAGCATTGGTACGTGTACGATAAGAGTTTAGAGGTTTATTGGATGGTTCTGCTAGTTTTAACTTTTAACGCCCTGATACATCGGAGATGGTGATATCGTTGATAGATGCTTTAAGGTCACTGTTCTCAGAGGACTCTGCTTCTGAGACACCACCGTTCCTTGTTACAAAAGCAGGCTGTTTCGGTTCTGGAATGTCTGCAATCTCGCTGCTGAGCATCGAACACACTGTAGCAACACTTGGCCTATCGTTAGCAGCTTCTTGCACACACAAAAGACCAATGTGGACGCATTTCCGTAATTCTTTCTCAAAGACTGGATCAAAGATCTCAGGATCTACCAAACCATTAATCTCCCCTTCGTTCCAGACTGACCAGACCTATAAAACAGAGAAACTCATGAGAGCTTGATAACAATCTCAAGAGAATTAAGTTAAGTCACTTAGTAGAGTTAGGAGAGACTTACATAAGCTAAAAGTGTCGAGTTTGAGTTTCTTCTTCCACTGACAATCTCTAAGAGTATCACTCCTAAACTGAAAACATCAGACTTTTCTGAAAACAGTCCTCCCATTGCATATTCCGGTGACATATAGCCGCTGCACAATACATTTTTATCTTCTAAGTTTTCGACTATCTTTTAGGAAAAAAGGTGTAACAAATGGTTAAAATGAAGTCACTTACTATGTTCCAACGACCCTTCTGGTGTTTGCTTCATCTTCATTCCCTGGGAAAATCCTAGCCAGCCCAAAATCAGATATTTTCGGAATCAGATTCTCATCTAACAAGATGTTGCTAGCTTTTAGGTCTCTATGAATGATTCTCAGCCTAGAATCTCTGTGAAGGTACAGAAGACCTCTGCATATTCCATTGACTATGTTAAAACGTGTCTTCCAATCAAGAAGTTTTGCCCTCATTGGGTCTGAACAACACACATTAGCTTATGTTAGTTCACCAAGTGTTAACATCAAAACAGAGTTTTGAAAACAAATGTTGGTGATTAAGTTACCAAACAGATAATAGTCTAAGCTTTTCTTGGGCATGAACTCATAGACTAACATCCTTTCGTCTCCTGCAATGCAACAGCCAAGTAACTTCACCAGATTTCGATGTTGCAGCTTAGAAATCACAACCACTTCATTAACAAGTTCCTCAAGCCCTTGTCCTGATGCTCTTGACAGCCTCTTCACAGCAATCTCTTTCCCTTCTTGCAACTTCCCCTGCAAACAGATACAAAACTCAACAGAAATTCTTGTTGCCATTACCCTTTTAAGTAAGAGTCATACTTACTTTGTAAACAGGACCAAACCCGCCTTGTCCAAGCTTATTCCTCAGAGAGAAATTGTTAGTCGCTGCAGCCAACACTTGAAACTCAAACAACGGTAGCTCTTTCAACTTTCCTTTATCACCACCAGCTAAAGCTTCTACTCTCTCAAAAATCTTCTCTGCATCTGTTCCTTTCTTTCGCTCTGAGAACCAATGCAATACATTATTGAAACTCAAAAACCAAAACACTAATAAACAGCAGACATAAGTTTAGTTTAACTCTGACCTCTCTTCTTCATGACAATCCGACGAGCCAAAAGACCACAAGCTGTCAAAACAAAAATACCACCTGCCAATGATGTTCCGATGATAACAGGTCGCCTGTCCGGTGTTTCTAATAAAGTGGTTGCAGGAAAACACAAAATTAGAAAAGCTACAATCAGTTTAAGTAATGATAGGAGAGAAGTTAAGGAATAATACTTAACTGATTTCTGAATGTGCAAGGCGGATATAAAGATCCATTCCACTAGCAGACAACTCCTGTGAGTCAACTAAGCTTCCATTCCAAATCATGCAGCCATAACCTAATCCATGAGCACAAGCAATACAAGAACACGTCTGCAAACAAGTCCTTAAGCATTCTGGTTCACTAGCTTCGGATCTCCTTGCAAAGTCAGGCAGTTTCATCCGCCTAAGCCTCAGAAACCCATCAGCACTCCCATTGTTGTTCTGTCTTTCACACTGCAATGGGACCTTTCTTATGCATCCACCACTCCAGTTTCCATTGTTCCACTCTATGAGATTCCTTGGCGTAAACCCTCTGATGCAAGAACAAGGTGGGTTTTCCCGGGGATTGCAGGTACCAAACTGGCCACATCTTCTGTAGATATCACACTCTGTTGCTGGAACTTGTAACCCCACCGTCCAGTTTCTCCTAGCCTCACTCCAATCTCTCCTGATCACAGATCCTCTATAATCCATGTAGAAGTATCTTAGAGTTGAATCATTAGCATATGACATGGTGACTGATCCATTGGTATCATCATTAACTATGAATCTGTAAAGAAAGACTCCGGCATACACATCTGGCAAACCGTTAAACATCTGGCCGTTCCATGGACCACTGCGCCACACCGTAGCATTATTATTATCGTTGTTCAAGATGAAGAGCTCTGGATATGCAGCAAGAACAAGTGCAGCAGTGTAGCTTCCCGGCGAAGGATCTGAAGGGCTTTTCCAAGAAGTTACTGTGATGTTCCCTCCTCCGGTTCTTGCGTTTGTTCCTACCAACATATTTGGTAGCCAAGAATCAGTAGGATACTTGAAACTCTCCCAAAGATACTCATCGCTGTTAGCATCTTTCAGCACGAGGTTCCCTGAATCCAAAAGCTCAACTACAGTAGAATTGCCGCGGCCTCGAGTAGTGACAGTGACGTTAGTTGACCATAGAACACGCCTCTGACCATCAGTAACTACGAGGTTTCCATCTTCAGACACCGAGATAACTCCAGAGGAGTCGTTGAGCGGCTTATCTTTGTTAGCGACCCATATCACAGTTTGTTCAGAGACGCTGTTATACCATATACCCGCATACCGACTTGTGGAGTTAACAGGGCTGAAGAAACCGAACCTGAACGTGCGGAAGCTGGAGACTATCGCCTGAGAATCACTGAGGTTGCCGGAAAAGGAAGCTCTCTCCTGAGCCAGACAGACACTTGAGAAGAAGCAAGACAGTGAAAGAACAAGAACAAAACGACTCATGCTCTCATGAAGTCCCATATAGCTTCAGCTCAAGAACAGAAAGTACTTCCCAATTTGGGTATAGTTTGTTTTCTTATTATCTTTCTTAAAAAGAACAAACACAACAGAATCTGTATACGGCAAAATCTTAGTATTGAATTCAGCTTTTAACAAAGGTAGGGACTTGAGTTAAATGACGCTGTGATGGTGTAGTTAGCATTAATATTTCAGGAGAAAAGTCCAAATATTGTTATAGTGAAGCGTCAAGTCAAGTGGAATTGTTCTTTGATGATGCAACAAGATTCACCATTATTCTATTAATGCCGGTCTTTATACGATTGATTCACCAAATATGCAGCCAAAAGTCAAATTTCTCGTCTTTCACGACTTGGTCTTACTCAGTATTCAGAATCACCTGTGAGTTACTTCATCTTCTACTCCATGATCAGCTCTCGTCACTGTCAATCAATGAAATCCAGACATTGAAGATAATGTCTGTTATTATCGTTGTTATAACAGAGTTTTCGTGTATCGGCAATAGAAAAGGATAAAACTTTAGAATCGAGAGAAAGATTGATTTTGGACCTGTAATCGTCAATCGTAGATTGATTTTGCAGAGCAAAACCATGAGCTCACAATTGGCGCAGCTCTCCACCGCCGCTACTCAAATCCCCAATTCGCCATTTTCGTCTAACCATCGCCATTTTCTATCCCAGAGAACTTACATTCCGGCTAATGTCTACGAGCACCCGGCGGCTCTCCTCCTCGAGAGATGCTCTTCTCTGAAGCACCTCCGTCACATTCTGCCTCTCGTCGTCAAGAATGGTCTTTACCACGAGCATCTTTTCCAGACGAAGCTTGTCAGCTTGTTTTGCCGCTACGGCAGTGTCGTCGAGGCTGCTCGTGTTTTCGACCCGATTGATGATAAGCTCGATGTTCTCTACCACACTATGCTCAAAGGATACGCTAAAGTTTCCGATTTGGAGAAAGCTGTGAATTTTTTTGTTCGAATGAGGTATGACGATGTTGAGCCACTTGTATACAACTTCAGTTATCTACTGAAACTTTGCGGAGACGAGTCGGATCTTAGGATGGGGAAGGAGATTCATGGGTTGTTGGTGAAAAGTGGGTTCTCCTCGGATTTGTTTGTCATGACTGGCCTTGAGAATATGTATGCAAAGTGTAGGCAGGTACACGAGGCACGCAAGGTGTTCGATAGAATGCCTGAGAGAGACTTGGTTTCCTGGAATACAATGGTTTCTGGGTTTTCGCAGAATGGTTTGCCGAGAATGGCTTTAGAGATGGTTACTCGAATGTGCGAGGAGAATCTGAAGCCTAGTTTCATCACTATTGTCTCTGTTTTGCCTGCTGTCTCTGCTTTGGGTTTGGTGAGTATTGGCAAGGAGATTCATGGGTATGCCATGCGTGCTGGATTTGATTCTCTTGTCAATGTATCCACTGCGTTGGTTGATATGTACGCGAAATGTGTATATCTGAAAACTGCTCGTGAGCTCTTTGATGGGATGGTAGAAAGAAATGTTGTCTCATGGAACTCAATGATTGACGCCTATGTGCAGAATGAGAATCCTAAAGAGGCGATGGTGATGTTTCAGAAGATGTTGGACGAAGGAGTGAAACCTAGTGATGTATCCGTCATGTGTGCTTTGCATGCTTGTGCTGACTTAGGGGACCTTGAGAGAGGAAGATTCGTTCATAAGCTATCGGTTGAGTTGGGTCTTGATAGAAATGTTTCAGTGGTGAACTCTTTGATCTCCATGTATTGCAAGTGCAAGGACGTTGATACTGCAGCTTCTATGTTTGGGAAATTGCAGAGCAGAACTCTTGTATCTTGGAACGCGATGGTATTAGGATTTGCACAGAACGGTCGTCCTATCGAAGCGTTGGATTACTTCAGCCAGATGCGTGCTTGGGGAGTGAGGCCAGATACGTTTACTTACGTGAGTGTGATAACTGCGCTTGCGGAGTTGTCAGTCACACATCATGCCAAGTGGATACATGGGGTTGTCATGCGTAATTGTCTGGACAAAAACGTGTTCGTCACGACGGCTTTAGTCGACATGTATGCGAAATGTGGAGCTATTAGGACTGCAAGAAAGATTTTCGACGTGATGAGTGAGCGTCACGTGACGACATGGAACGCGATGATAGATGGATACGGGACACATGGGAATGGGAAATCTGCTGTGGAGTTGTTTGGAGAAATGCGAGAAGGCAGCATCAAACCAAATGGTGTCACGTTTCTTTCTGTTATCTCTGCTTGCAGCCACTCTGGTTTGGTGGAGGAAGGACTCAAGTGTTTCCATATGATGAAGGAAAGTTACAGTATAGAACCGTCAATGGACCACTATGGAGCCATGGTTGATCTTCTAGGTCGAGCTGGACAGTTGGATGAAGCATGGGACTTTATTATGCAGATGCCTGTTAAGCCAGCTGTCAATGTGTATGGTGCAATGTTAGGTGCTTGCCAGATTCATAAAAATGTGGATTTCGCTGAGAAAGCAGCAGAGAGATTGTTTGAGTTGAATCCGGATGATGGTGGGTATCATGTTCTGCTTGCAAACATATATCGCGCAGCTTCGATGTGGGAGAAAGTGGGACAAGTGAGAGTTTCAATGTTGAGACAGGGTCTGCGCAAAACTCCTGGTTGCAGTATGGTAGAGGTAAAGAACGAGGTGCATAGCTTCTTCTCCGGAAGCACAGCTCATCCTAATTCCAGGAAGATTTATGCTTTTCTTGAGAAGCTGATGGGGAAAATCAAGGAAGCTGGTTATGTTCCTGACACGAATTTAATCCTCGGTGTGGAAGATGATGTAAAGGAGCAGTTGTTGAGTAGCCACAGCGAGAAGCTGGCTATCTCTTTTGGACTCTTGAATACAACAGCTGGTACAACTATTCATGTTAGAAAGAACCTGCGGGTTTGTGCTGATTGTCACAACGCTACAAAGTACATTTCTCTTGTGACTGGACGGGAGATAATTGTTCGGGACATGCAACGGTTTCACCATTTCAAAAACGGTTCCTGCTCATGCGGAGATTACTGGTGAGATGACCCCTTACGAATAATGATAGCCTCGCTGTAGATTGAAGCAAACTCTCATGTTTAGGAGCGTCCAGGTAATTTATTCATTTTTACAGCTCTGTTTTTCTTTTCACGTCTTTACCAGTAGCTGAAAAGTGTTTGTCTTGGAATTGGTTGAGAATATCTTTCTATTAGATTATATACTATAGAGAGTTTCAGGAATAGGAAAACTCAAATCATTAAAAGATGTGATGTACTATCAGACAAAATGCAGCTGTTGAACATGGACAGGGCTGATGCAAGATGAAGTTAATAATGAGAATAAATTATTACAATTTATCTAGATAACACATCAAAGGACAAGATTGCATCTCCTCTCTCTTTCGGAGAGAGACGCAAATAATGCATATTCAGATTAACTAGGCGTCAAAATATGAACAATGCAATATAAAATGAGTATAACATTTGTACGATATAACTAGAGGAGTCAATGTTCTTCAGTGTTTTAAGTTAATCAAACATAGATTTTTTCATATATTCAGATCTGAAGGAGAACTCTATTGGACACATGGGGATACACTTGAGAGAGATGGGTATTGTTCTCTTTTCTTACTTTCTCTGGTTAAGTATACTCCTAAACTGTGGCTATGCAGCTATAACTAGAGCAAGTCCCTTGTCATTAGGACAAACTCTAAGTTCCCCTGGTGGAACTTATGAGTTAGGATTCTTCACTCCTGAAAACTCTCAGAATCATTATGTTGGGATCTGGTTCAAAAAAATTACTCCACGGGTGGTTGTATGGGTGGCTAACAGAGAAAAGCCTATCACAAACTATGTGGCAAACCTCACTATCAGCGGAAATGGGAGCCTAATCTTGCTTGACAGCAGAGAAAATGTTGTTTGGTCAACCAGAAAGCTTTCCACATCTAACAAGTGTCATGCAAAGCTCTTAGATACCGGCAATCTTGTCATGATTGATGATGTTTCAGGAAGTCTTTTGTGGGAAAGTTTCGAGAATCTTGGTGATACTATGCTGCCTCTCTCATCGCTGATGTACAACCTTGCCACTGGGGAGAAGCGAGTATTGACTTCTTGGAAAAGCCACAGTGATCCATCCTCTGGTGATTTTGTACTTCAGATGACGCCACAAGTGCCAGCAGAGATCGTTACTATGAAAGGCACAAAGCTTTACAAGAGAAGCGGTCCATGGGCTAAGACGAGGTTCACTGGTGTACCACAAATGGATGATACATACGCAAGTCCATTTAGCCTTTCCCAAGATGTAGGAAATGGAACAGGGTACTTCTCTTATTTACAGAGAAATTCTGAACTTATACGAGTTATCATAACATCAGAGGGATATCTAAAGACTTTTCGGTACAATGGGACAGGCTGGGTTCTGGACTTTGTGACTCCCAAGAACTCATGTGACTTGTATGGTGCATGTGGACCTTTTGGGTTGTGTGTGGCGTCCAATCCCACAAAGTGTAAATGTATAAAAGGGTTTGTTCCAAAACACAAGGAGGATTGGAAGCGAGGAAACATGACTTCTGGATGTGTGAGACGTACAGAGTTATCTTGTCAGACACAAGGAAAAAGCGCAGACGTCTTCTATCGTCTGGCAAATGTAAAGCCTCCGGATCTCTACAAATATGCAAGCTTTTTGGATGCTGATCAATGCCACCAAGGTTGTCTCAGCAATTGCTCTTGCACTGCTTTTGCCTATATTACTGGAATTGGATGCTTGCTTTGGAATCAAGAGCTGATAGACACAGTTAGATATTCCACTGGTGGAGAGTTTCTTTCAATTCGTCTTGCAAGTTCAGAACTGGGTAAGGCTAAAAGACAATTTTCCATCATTTTTCTGTTGCATTTTCACTCTTTAGCTTCGTTCATAGTGTTCATTTCCATTGCAGTGTGGTCTTTTACTTCTTACAAGTTTTGTTTTGTGGTAAATCGCAGTTGGAAGCAGGAGAACTAAGATTATTGCTGGTACTATCAGCCTTTCCGTTTTTGTGATTTTGGCTTTTGCCTCATATAAGTATTGGAGGTACAGAGCAAAACAAAATGGTGAGACACCTGAAAACATAGTAGCTGTCTTTCTTTTCTTGTGCTTTCTTTTCCTCTCGTGATCAAATCGACACCACACCTTAAGCATGTATCTGCTCATACAGATTATGGTTGCTCTTTGCTCTTAGCTTATAGAAGTTTCTGTATTGCATTTGTATATATACATTTACTTGAAGTTTTTCTATTCAGTTTTAGCTTGCTACACTTCATCAGATTATAATACTAACTCACAGACATATGTGATTTGTTGGGCCAACTCGGTGGTGTTCTTCAACATATCACAAGATTCATGGAAAAATGATTTGGATGCCCAAGAATTCTCAGGTTTAACATTCTTTGAGATGAATATCATACAAGCTGCTACCAATAACTTCAATTTCTCAAACAAACTTGGTCAAGGTGGATTTGGTCCAGTTTATAAGGTAAGAGAGAATTGTTCTCTTTGCTCTTCTCCTCATGCATGTGTCATATATTGTTCTGTGGATGACTGTCTTCAACTTTGCTTCTAGGGAAAACTGTCAGACAGTAAGGAAATAGCCGTTAAACGGCTTTCTAGCAGCTCTGGACAGGGTACAGAAGAGTTCATGAACGAAATAAAACTCATCTCAAAACTACAACACAGAAACTTGGTTAGACTTTTGGGATGCTGCATCGATGGAGAAGAAAAGCTACTAGTTTATGAGTTTCTGGTGAACAAAAGCCTCGACACTTTTCTCTTTGGTCTGCTCCTTGTGCTGCATTTGCCTCTACGTCTTTCCTTTTCTTATCATCATATGAGAATTGGCTTTTTTGTTTTGCTCAGTCAATGTGCTTTATCTTATTGGCTAGATTCGACGCTAAAGCTTCAGATTGATTGGCCTAAGAGGTTCAACATCATTCAAGGTGTGGCACGTGGGCTTCTTTATCTCCATCGCGACTCATGCCTTAGGGTCATACACCGAGATCTGAAGGTCAGCAACATTCTCTTGGACGAGAACATGAACCCGAAAATATCAGATTTCGGATTGGCTCGGATGTTTCAAGGAAACCAACATCAAGACAACACTCACAAGGTTGTTGGAACTCTGTAAGTATCTCTCCCAGTGACATGCTCAAATCTCAATCATAGACCAAGTATTAATAATAACGTCAACTTAGCACAGACTGTTTGGGATTGATTTGAACAGAGGATACATGTCCCCTGAGTATGCATGGACAGGGATGTTCTCAGAGAAGTCCGACGTATATGCTTTTGGAGTTCTGCAGTTGGAAATCATAAGCGGGAAGAAGATTTCAAGCTTTAACTGTGGAATGGAAGGCAAAACCCTTCTTGAATATGTAAGAAATTTGTTGTATCCTCTTACTGTTGTATCCAAATCACAATTTGTTAAAATGTTGTTAGTTTTAAATCAGGCATGGGAATCTTGGCTCGAGAACGATGGTGTTGATCTATTGGATCAAGATATTACCAGCTCGTGTTCTCCAGTTGAAGTCGCTCGATGTGTTCAGATTGGTCTACTCTGCATCCAACAGCAAGCTATTGACAGACCTAACATTGCACAAGTAGTGTCCATGATCACAACTGCAAGTGATCTTCCGAGGCCAAAGAAACCAGTTTTTGCATTGCGGATTCAAGATGAAGAGCGTGTCGTCTCAGTCTCAGAGTCTGTGAATCACATAACACAAACTGCGATATATGGACGCTAAAGTTTCCCATATGTATCGACTTGCTGCAAACTGAAATGTCAAAACCACAATGGAGTGTGATTACTTAAACTTGAACTATACATGAATACAAAATTATATGGTACATAGAGTACTGTTCAAACTTATATGTGAAAAAAAAAAGAAAAAAAAAAGTCACGTCATGCTCTCTTGTGAATTGTCATGTCACTCACACTATTCAGTCACTGTCACAAATTGGTGAAAACAAAATGAAAAAAGAAGTCACACGTCTCTTGCTTGCTTCTCTCTCTCACATCACTGGAAGATGGAGTTCCTCAAAGCGTTCTTCAAAGCATGGTTTCCTCCGGTTATCTATAGAGAAAGAGAAAGTAATATGCTTTAGTTATAACTTATAAAAATCGAAAAAAATGAACAACAAAAGTGAATACAAACCTGAACAAGAAAATTGTCTTTGTCAAAGAGAGAGAGACAGATTACTGTTGTTGTCTGATTCAAGCAAAGTGCAATGAGTTCTTCGGAGATGCAGCTTCTCTTACTTTCTTCCACAAGTAGACAAATCTGGTAATTGCTACAATTTATCTTTTCAATGCAGTGCGGAAGAAACTTGATGGCTGCTTCAATTGAAGGAGAGCTGCTGTCTTTAGTCTCCTCAGAAGATAGTGTGACCACATGATAATTGTGTGTAACGTTTATGCTCACACAAGCTCTAGTTTTAGTTATAGGCTTATAACTGAAATAAACGAAAAACAAAGGCAGTAATCTGAACAACAAAGTGAACAAAAAGTGTACCTCAGATTATAATGATGTTGTCTATTGCATGCAATCTGCTATCATTTCTTCAAAAATGCACTTCATGTGTCTTCCTTCAACAAGAAAACAAATAATCAGTTTTGTATTAAGGCAAATCATTATTGAACTAATCATTTGAGAGGATTCAAATACAAAGAATTTAAGGAACTTTTAAGGGATTTTTAAGATTTGAGTTGATTTGCAAATTCTGTTTAGAAATTTGCAAAGTGATTAGGTGAGATTTCATGATATTCAAAAAACAAAACAAAAAATTCAATTTTAATTATTGTCCAGTATATTTCGTCAATCTTATAAGAGAAAAGGGAAAATAATCTAATCATTAATTTATTCAAATCCCACCTTATAAGGTGGTATTTGGATATATTTGTTTTTCACTAAAAATCTCTCACAAATCACTCATAACAGTTTTTGATAGATTTTGTTGATGAAATCCTGATTTTCCAATAAGGTGGGATTTTAAAGAATTTGTATAAATCATTAGTCCAATAACCTTGAATTTTGAATGATTTTTATAAATACTAGATACAATAAGAGAGGATTTGGGAAAATATTGAAATCCTCCCAAATCATTAGTTCAATAAGCCCCACTGCTTTAACTTTTTGTTTTTTTAAGGCAAATCATTAATACTCTATTGTTTTATATTTTCTTTTACTTATTATTTTTTGCATTGAGTTTTGAAACAGTTTATATTGTGAAACAAAAATTAATAGCCAAAACTACTTATAATTGGAACATAAGAAGTACTATTTACCTTTTCATGCTACAAACCAAACAATTGCAAAAGTAGTGTTCTCCAACTGACCTTCCAAGAGTAAAACAACCAGAGAATTTGAATTCCAAGAACCCATAAATTGGTTTCTAAGTATGAATTATTTAACACAAACTGCCATACATATGAATCAACTTCTGCAAACTCACATATTTAAAGTCAATTAAACTCACACACAATAGAGTGTGATCATCATTTGATTATACTAAATATTATAAACCCAGACAGAGCATTTCTCTTAGTTTTAGTCAACATTCTCTGCAATGTTTTATTTAATTGATCGACGTGTAGTTTACTGGATACGATTCCAGAAATTCAACGGTTCCATAGGATTGAAGAAAAAATACATAATTTTTGGGGAATTGTTTTTCTTGCCCTCGTTCAAGAATTGTGAATATTTTAGGGAATACTTTACTTTAGTATAACACTAAAATCTTTATGATGCATTCATGCATTCAATACCAACACATATAAAATTTGTAAAAGTCAAGTGATGTGATATGTTTGGTGTAAATATTAGAAGCGTGTGGCTTCTTTAGTCAATTTAGGATGTTTGAATGTAAAAAGATGACAATAAGATTGCTTGGTCAAGTTAAGTGGTTTGAATATATGGACATCTTTAGGTTTCATTCATCTGTAAAAAACTCTTCTTTTTATTCATATTCATATTCATACATTGAAGTCTCTGAAGGAAGAGGTCTCTTGCACAACACACATAGAGAGCAAAGATGGCTATTTTCTACTTTCCTTATTTGCTTTTGTTAACCATGTTTTCAAGTTATGGATTTGCAGATATAACCACATCGAGTCCTTTGTCGATAAGACAAACTCTGAGCTCTCCAGATGGAACCTTTGAGCTAGGATTCTTCAATCCCAGCAGCACTCAAAACCATCAGTACGTTGGAATCTGGTTCAAGAAAGTCACTCCTCGGGTATATGTTTGGGTAGCTAACAGAGAAAATCCAGTCACGAGCTCCACGGCGAGTCTTACAATCAGCAGCAATGGAAGCCTCATCTTGCTTGACGAGAAACAAAAACTTCTCTGGTCATCTGGAGAAGAATCTCTAACATCTAACCAAGTCCGTGCAGAGCTTTCAGACTACGGAAATCTTGTTCTCGTAGATAACGTAACCGGCACGCATCTATGGCAAAGTTTTGAGCATCCTACTGATACTATGCTTCCTCTGTCATCGCTCATGTATGCTATTCCTAACAACACGAGACGTGTGTTGACTTCTTGGAAGAGTAACACGGATCCATCTCCTGGGGAATTTGTAGCAGAGCTTACTCCAGAAGTTCCACCTCAAGGGCTTGTAAGGAAAGGCTCATTACCTTACTGGAGAAGCGGGCCTTGGGCGGAAACAAGGTTCACAGGGATATTAGAAATGGATGAAACTTATGTAAATCCATTAACAATGGTCCAAGATGTGGTGAATGGTACAGGAGTTATGACTTTTTGTGCGCTGAGAAACTTTGATGTGTCATACATCAAGCTAGCATCGGATGGATCATTGAACGTTCGCCGAAGTAATGGCGGCAACACCGGGTGGATTAAGCATTTTGAAGGTCCTCTAAGCTCATGTGATCTCTACGGTACGTGTGGAGCTAATGGTATGTGCATAAGGTCCATTAGTAGTCCAATATGCAAATGCTTGAAAGGGTTTGTGCCAAAGTCAGATGATGAGTGGAATAGCGGAAACTGGACGCGTGGGTGTGTGAGACGAACAGAGTTATCATCATCATGTCAGGGAAACTATTCTTCAACAACACAAAGCAAAGACACAACAGACGGGTTTTACCGTGTCGCCAATATCAAGCCTCCGGATTCTTACGAACTGGCGAGCTCTGGTGACGCAGAACAATGCCGTCAAGGATGTCTTGGCAATTGTTCTTGCTCGGCGTTTGCCTATATTAAAGGAATCGGATGCTTGGTGTGGAAACATGAGTTGTTGGACATGGTTCAGTTTACTCAAGGAGGAGAGATTCTTTTCATCCGTCTTGCACGTTCTGAGTTAGGTATCACAAATCATATTTTTGTTTCCGGTTTACGTTATCTCTTAGCTTTCTTTACTATGCTTTCTTTCTTGACACAAGTTTAAAGTTGAGTTTCTTGGTGATTCTCTCAGCTGGAAGCAAAAGAATCAAGATCATCTCTGTTAGCGCTATCAGCCTCTGCGTGATTATAATCTTGGGGCTAGCAGCATTTGGGTGTTGGAGATACAGAGTGAAACAAAATGGTGAGGATCCAGAAAAAAAAACTTAAGAGTTCACTATTTATGTCTCTGTTTGTTTTCTATTCATTTGTTTTCTTTATCATATTTCTCTTCACTTGTCTGATGTTACACTATATTGAGCTTTGGATTAATCCTCAAAGGCTTTAAGTGCTAATATATGGATGGATACATGTAACTCTTAGGTCAAGCTCGTGTAGCCATGGAGGTTTCAGAAGATTCTTGGAAGAATCATTTGAAATCACAAGATGTCTCAGGTTTAAATTTCTTTGAGATGCATACCATACAAAATGCAACCGATAATTTCAGCATCTCAAATAAACTCGGTCAAGGTGGATTTGGAACAGTTTATAAGGTACAAGATATGAAATGATGCTCTCTCTGTTTTGCTCTGTTCTCTTATTCTCGTTATTGATCTGTAGATGACTCTCTCTCTCTCTCTCTCTCTGCAACTCATTATGCTTATAGGGAAAGCTAAAAGATGGGAAAGAGATAGCTATAAAACGGCTCTCTAGGAGCTCTGGAGAGGGAACAGAGGAATTCATGAATGAATTAAAACTCATCTCAAAACTACAACACAGAAACTTGGTTCGGCTTTTAGGATATTGCATTGAAGGAGAAGAGAAGCTATTGGTTTATGAGTTTATGGTGAACAAGAGTCTTGATAGTTTCCTATTCGGTTAGTCCCTTCTTTTTTTTATATACATCTTCATTTGTCATTTTCTTTCTGTGGCTTTAGATGCTAATCGGTTTTGGTTGAATGTCTGTGATATTTTTATAGATTTGAAGAAGAAGCTGGAGATTGGTTGGTCTAAGAGATTCAATATCATTCAAGGTATTGCTCGTGGACTTGTCTACCTCCATCGAGACTCGTTACTTAGAGTTGTGCATCGCGATCTAAAGGCCAGCAACATTCTCTTGGACGAGAAGATGAATCCAAAAATATCGGATTTTGGCTTGGCTCGGATGTTTCAAGGGACTCAAAATCAAGACAACACTGGCAGAGTCTTTGGAACTTTGTAAGAATCATTCCTCTTCTTTTTCTAAAATTTAAAATGTTGGAATCAAAGTACACTAAAAGTCATTCGATATTGGAACAGGGGATACATGTCTCCTGAGTATGCGTGGACAGGGACATTCTCTGAGAAATCTGACATTTATAGCTTTGGAGTCTTGGTGCTGGAAATCATCACCGGAAAAGAGATATCGAGCTTTACCTATGGAAAAGAAGACAAGAACCTTCTTGCTTACGTAAGAAACACGCTTCATATCTGATTCCTATATTAAAGTTGAGACAAATCAAGGTTTCTTGATTCTTATAGTTTTTGTGGGTTTTGGATCGTTGTGACCAGGCATGGGAATCATGGAGTGAAACCGGTGGAGTGAATCTACTGGATCAAGACATTGCTGATTCTGAGTCAGATTTAGTTGAAGCAGCAGAAGTGAAGAGATGTGTTCAGATAGGTTTGCTCTGTGTTCAATACCAAGCAATGGACAGACCAAACATCAAACAAGTTGTGACAATGCTGACGTCGACAATGGATCTTCCAAAGCCGAAACAACCAGTGTTTGCTTTGGATACGAGTGATGAGGATTCTCTGTCTCCTAAGTCTAATGATCACAAGGATTTGTTCTCTGATGATGAAAACAAACCGGCTCAGGAGAAACCGGGATCCGATTAAGTATTAAACCAATTCCATATATGGTTCAGTGTGGAGCCAAACGTAATTGAAATTGTTATGGATGGAAATAAGAATGTAAATTGGCTTAAAAAGAATTCTGAAGAAACAATACTTGTTTGGTTTACTGACGAATAATGGGAATGATGTATACTAATCATCTTTAACGAATACCATTTGAATCTTCACTCGAATTGAACATGTAAAATATTCACTGATGCGTCACATCTTGGGCATCTTGCAAGTTACTCACGTTGTTCCAATACGGATTCAAGTGTGAACGCAAACGTTCATTTTTTCCATTTCAAGACACTGTGTCGTTTTTTACTTTCCAAGACAGCATGTATTTCTAGAGATGTCAATATGGTCTGCGGCCCGCGGGTTAGGCCCGTTTAGGCTTGCTACGGTGCGGGTTCGGGTCGGCATTTTCAAACCCGAAAATTAGCGGGCCTTGCGGTCCAGCCCGATTTCGGCTTGCGGTTTAGGCGGATATACCCGCGGCGGTCGGGCGGGTTTTCGGGTCACCGCAAAAAAAAAAAAGAAAAAAAAAAAAATCTCTTCCAGTTCCACATGCAGAATTGCAGAGCTTAGCCAATGGATGGCCGATGGTTGGACGATTTTCACTCCATTGAAGCCATTTTTATTAGTAAAGGACTGAATGGATGGAGCTCAGTTTTCTGCTGCAGTACATTCATCGTTTTGTTTCTACTTGGCGTCTTTGTTTCTAGTTCGTGATGAATTCCGAAATCAAGGCTTCATTCAGTCCGCTAAGGAACTCCATCCAACTTCCCGATCGACAAAATCCCAATTGCAGACGGAGCTAGAAACCCTCGCTACCTGCGGAAATTGTCAGACATAACTATCATAAAGCAAATTTCGATTTTTCGTAGGTACTTATGCTCTCTCTAATTCTCTTCGCTGAAATTCTGCAATCGATTGGTATATATGGAAATTTCATACCTTTCTTCTTATTTGTTTGATTGCTCTCTAGTTCATGTAGTTGATGATGATTGTTTTCTGGGTTTTTCTTACTCTCCTGTTTTTGTAAAACTGATGATGATTTCAGCGACAAAACTAGTTGCTACTCTTTCCTTTCGAGGAATTTGTGAGTCTTTGACCTGTTTTAGATGTTATCATTTTGTGGGATGTTGCAAGTTTTAAGCTTTGAATTTGAGTCTGTTGCAGAGATGATTTCTGTTGATGTTTTGTCGTCACAAGGAGAAAAATTTTCCGAAGTAAATCATTCTAAGTTTCTGTTCATCGAGTTGACCAACTGAGAGTTTCATAGAATATTCAATCTCTCTGTTTAGCTTTGTCTATATGTCTGAACGAGGAAACATTCAGTAGCTTGTTTTATCATAGGAAGTAGCTTTTGTGTGCTTTATGATGCAAAAAACAGAAATTTGTATTAAAGTTGGTGTCTTGTTTTGTTTGCAGTTGCAGACGCCACAAAGATGGAGCTTGAACCCAAGGAATCATCATTATCTGCTGGTATGAAAAAGATAAAAAAAAAAAAAAATTATGTTCTGCTGCAAATTACCATCTTTTGTTTTTTTTATACAAAATTTTGGCTATGTCAAATCTAGACATGCCATCGTTGCTGAGTAGATCATGTGGAATTTTTTATAGAGGCAGTGGTTATCGGAATTTTTTATAGAGGCAGTGGTTATCGTGATCTGAGCATGTTCTCAAGCTCCTTACCTACACTTTTCCATGAAAAGCGTATGTTTTAGCTTCTTTTGGTGATCAATTTTGACTTACTTGAAGGAAATGCTAATATCTTTGTCTTGTTTTTGACAAACTTGTAGTGAATATGACTGATTCAGATAGCTGGCTCTTCCTTCAAGGACGTTGGCCCGCCGGTTGACCCGCCTAACCGCCTATATAACGCGGTATGGGTTAGGGCCGAGCTTTTGGAAACCGCGGCCCGCAACGGTTCGACCCGCCTGATCTGCCGGCAAAGTGAAACCGCGGCAGGCTGGCCCGTTTGGGTGCGGGTTGGCCCGTTTGACATCTCTAGGTACCATATTTCCAAACAAAACGTACAAAATGTGCAGTTACGGCGTGGAATTGGAGACAAAAAGAGACAAAAGCGAACATTGGGTGACTGGACTGGGTGTGGACTGGAGACAAGAAGAGACAAGAAACGACTTTTGACTTTCCGGTCATAAATACTCTGTTACAAAAGTACACAGCTTAGATTACACAACTTTCACGGAAATACCTTTTTCTTATTGGCGTATTGAAATGCTTTAATTCTCCGTAACCAAAGTAATCTTGGTCGATGTTTTAATTGGTTTATTGATTTTTTAAGGTATATTTTACAATTTTGTTTTGAAAATTTTAAACTAAAATAGTATTAGTATAGATTATTTCAATCCATCCTTACACAGTATAACAAAATAAAAATTGCAAATAACTTAAAAAATCCTAAGCTTCAAATATTGATTGATGGATCTGAACATGTTTAGCAAATTTTGGACCAACAAAAAGCCATTACAATATTTTTTGTATTACAAATCAAACAAAGCAATTACAGTTGATGATTTTTTTTGTTATCTTTGAATTCGCAGTTCGAAACCGAAAGAAGAATAAAAAAACTAGTAAATCTTCCTATCAAATTGCATTAATATTTACAGATATTTTTATATGTTTAGGTTAAAATATATATTTATCGATTTCCTTAACTTTTTTTCTTTTTAATTTAACCACCGAAAAGGGCTGTGTTAAGACAAATGAAAATCAAAGCCCAAAAAAGAAAATGAAGAAAACATAAGGGTTGTTTTGCAACTTGAAAGTAACTAACTTGGTCTGAGTCTCATCTATCTCTCTCTCCTCCGCCTGTGTGAACGCCGCCGCATCAACATCGATTCCTGAAGAATACAGATTGTTCTGAAGTGAGGGAGAGAGAGAGAGAGAGAAATCGATTCCTGAGGAGGTAGGATTTGATGCGACCATTGCCTGAGGTACCAATTGTGATTATAATATTTTCCTTTTTTTGTAACCCGTGAACTATTGATTTCATGAATTCTGTAATAACTTGAGTTTTCCGATTTACTTATTCATAGATTAAGAAATAGAGATAAAAGTATTGGCATTTCCTTTTCTTACATGGAAAGAAACTGACTTGGTGTTTTCCTTTTTTTTTCGATTCCTAGCTCTAGCTGGATTCTCGTATGTGTGATATATATATATATATATTGACGAAGTATCGACCGTCTCTCTTGGTCAATTACAGACAATACGATGTTGAAAAGACCTCGCTCGAGTATGGTATTGAGAAGACATCGCTCGAGGGTGGTGGAATTGTTACCTCACGATGTGGTTGAGCTGATACTCGAGAGACTTCCGGTGAAGTCTCTGCTGAGATTCAGGTCTGTATCCGAGAATTGGAAATCGACAATTGATTCCCGGCATTTCAAAGAAAGACAATTCTGTCATAGGGAATCACGAGGTCCAGATGTCCTTTGCGTGAAGCTCACTGATTATGGTGATGAATCCGATGATGGTCCGGACACAGATGCTCCAAGTGTTGAGTTGGGGTCATCAATAGTTTCTACGGTCAGGTTCCCTACTACGGCCAGCAACTATTGCCATGGTAGTTGTGACGGTCTAGTCTGCCTCTACTCACTCTACGAAGAGAGTGGCAATGTCGTGTCGAATCCCGCCACTAGGTTTCATCGAAGTTTTCCTCTTTCAAGCTTTCAACACCTCCTCATCGACAAGTTGAAGAAGGGAGAGCTTGGCTACGGAATTGCCCAGCTTGGATTCGTCAAAGACAAAGTCAGGGGCACGTTCAAGCCGGTTTGGTTGTATAATTCATCCCCATTTGGCCTAGACAACGCTACTACTTGTGAAGTCTTTGATTTTAGCACCAATGCTTGGAGGTATGTTGTCCCTGCTTCTCCTTATCGTATTCTTGCTCATGAGAGGCCTGTGTATTTAGATGGTTCACTTTATTGGTTCACCGAGTGTGAAGAAACCAAGTTATTATCTTTCGATCTTCACACCGAAACTTTTCAAGTCGTTTGTAAAGCTCCTTTTGCCCATGTACGTTGCCCTTACAGCGTCACCATGTGCATACTCGATAACCGTTTGTGCGTGTCCCGGAAAAATGGGCTCACGCAAGTGATATGGTCGTTGGATTCTTCAGGCGGTAGCAAGACATGGAAGAAGATGTGTTCCATTGCTCTCACCAAAACTTTTTCTTGGTTCGAGGGAGACACACTCCTACCAATAGCAATTTTGGACAAGACCAAGTTATTACTTCATTGTCATGGATACTCGCAACCACTGGTGATACATGATCTTCATGTTAAATCTTATGATTTACTCTTCAAACCTACCAAACTCGTAGGTCCTGTTTGTTATTTCGAAAGTTTATTCTCTGTTTTATCAAACTAATTTTGTATTCTTTTCTTTGTCATTGTAATTCAACATTTCTGCATTCTATTTAAACAATGGTTATCTTCTCCTCAGGTTTTCTTTGGCATCTTGTTTTGTATTCTGTTTTGTTGGTGTAGTAAATTTAGATGTGTTGTTTTCAATAGTGTCGATATTAGTGTAATGCAAATTATTGCAGTAAACGTGTCCTCATTGTAGCTGAAGGATATGACGTTTCGGTTCCTGAGGGTTGTGCGCTGAGTACACGTGTGCTTCGTGTATGATCCTTTTTTAATTTAACATTTTCTGCGTTTCAGAATTCGATTTAACCATTATGTTCTTCTCCAAAGATAGTCGCATATTTATCATATTGTCCGTCCTTTCTGCTGACAAAAACTCCACTCTTAAAAGGTCGATCACTCTAATACATGCATTTGTTAACCATGTTCTCGAGTTATGGGATATAACCACATCGAGTCCTTTGTCGCTCTGAGCTCTCCAGATGGAACTTTTGAACTAGGATTCTTCAATCCTAACAGCTCTCAAGAACATCAATATGTTGGAATCTGGTTCAAGAAAGTCACACCTCGGGTATATAGCAGAGAAAATCCAGTCACGAGCTCCACGGTGGGTCTTTCAATAAGCAGCAATGGAAGTCTCATCTTGCTTGACGAGAAACAAACAGTTCTCTGGTCATCTGGAGAAGGATCTCAGGCATCTAACGAATGTCGTGCAGAGCTTTCAGACTAGGGAAATCTTGTTCTCGTAGATAATGTTACTCGTACGTATCTATGGCAAATTTTTGAGCACCTTACTGATACTATGCTTCCTCTGTCATCGCTTATGTATGCTATTTCCTAACAACACGAGGCGTGTGTTGACTTTGAGATGCATACTATACAAACTGCAACCGATAATTTCAACATCTCATATAAACTCGGTCAAGGTGGATTTGGAACAGTATATAAGGTAAAAACATAATAGATGATGCTCTCTCTGTTTTGCTCTTTTATGTTATTCTCATACTTGTTCTCTAGATACTCTTTCTGCAAGTTTTGCTGTTTACAGGGAAAGCTATAGCTATAAAACGCCTTTCTAGTAGCTCTGGAAAGGGCACAGAGGAATCAAACTAAAATCTAGAAAACGTATTGTGAAGACATGCTTGGACAAGAAGAATCTAACAAGAAGGGGAGAAAAGAAAGAGAGAAATCTAAGAGAAAGAGAGGTCTTCAGTCTCCTTCATTCTTCTTCGTCAACACGCTGCAATAACATTAGTATTAGGTTTTAGGTAAAATTAACAAAAAAAAAAATTAAAAAAGGAAATAAATTGAGAGTACCTCGATTGGGGAGTAATTGTGACGAGAACATTGTCATCATCGGTTGTTAGGTCCAGGGAAACTCCTTTCCCAAGCCTTAGGCTCTGAATAAACTTTCTGTCCACTTTGGATTTGAGGGTTTTCGTCTCTTTGGTTGCCATAGCCAACGTTTGAGTCAACTTAAGATTGTCTTCTCCTGACTCCTCACTTTCCTCTGCACTTTCCTCTGCAGTCAAACCAGAGATTCTAGCTTTTTCATGCAAGCCCATGTCTTTTGTTGCCAAAGCGAAAGCAGACCCATCCCTTGGAGTAAGACCACCATCAGCAGGAGTCATTGAAGGGGTATCAGACATTTTAGTAGCAGCACTAAGTTCTGTTTGCTCCTCATTCTCTGCAAGAAGAAAATCACTGGCGTAGCCCATGTTTTCCATATCCAGCTCGTTGTCTGCAGTCATCTTCTGAGGTGGTGGTAAACTCATATTTGACCTCTTCCTAACAGCTTCTGGATCATTCAGATTGGTCGCTTGCAATGCAGCTGCTGCAGCATCTGGTTTGCGTAACAGTGCTTCTACTTCAGCCCTTGCTTTACAGTCAATTCCCTTTGTCTTTCTTGTCCGGTGCCTTACATCAAGGACTTTCAGATACCTCTCAAGGCACTGAAATCTTGTACGGCCCATAGTAGACGCAATACTTCTCCACTGGGTAGGTATAAGTTTTGCAAAGTGTAGAAGCTTCTCATCTTCTTCGTTGCTCCATGTAGCCTGTGATGTCCAAATCAAATTATTTCAACAGTTTCCTAAAAAAACTTCCGATTAACAACCTAAAGACAGAAACTTTTGCTAAAGTTCCGATTAACAACCTAAAGAAAGAAACTTTCGCTAAATTTCCGATCTTCCGATTAACAAGCTAACATCTTCCTGATCTATTGACTCAAGTTTACTATGCTCGCAACTAAGAAATCCATTATAGAGACTGCATATCATATACCAGAAAGCCAAATCTCTCCTTTGGGAAAATCAATAAAGATTCAAGCTTTTACAATAAGGATTGATTAACGAGAAGGAAAATGATCGCAACTTACATTTTTGACTGCAGGATCGATCCAATCGTACCAGCGAGATTGACACTGTTTGGGCGACTTACGATCGAGAAGAGACGAGATCCGAACCCACTGGTTCTTACCATACTTCATCACCGCGGCCTTGAGAATCTCATCTTCCTTGATCTTCCACACACCTCCCTTTCTCATAATCCTCATCTTCGCTCGATTTTTTTTCTTCCAGACGGACTCGATTATGTTTCTTGAGACCTAATTTCTCTGAAATTCGTTCGCAGAGAAAAGAGACGAAAGGGAATTTCAGAGAAAAGAGACGAAAGAGAGATGAGAGACAAAGGAAGAGAAGCGGGAGAGCTCTCTTCAAAAGTGACTGACGAATGGGCCAAAAAATCAAAAAGCCCAATAGAGATGGGCTCAATCATTTGCGAACGAACACATGCCCTTTATATATATCTTTTGATTTTGCGTATATAATACGCATCAGCAACAATGCCGCAAGATATATAATAATTAAAGGGCCTTCGTTCACTGAACGTATCGTGCGTCAGAGTGGTGTTGGTGTTTGAGTGGAAGCGTGGGAACCGAAGTTCGACTCTGATTCCCATATAGTTTTCTGCTTATAAGAATAAAGAAGTAGATTATATCGTATTTATTTTTAAAATATATTAAATTTACTTTTTATCTTTTAAATTATATTTATATTTTTTTTAGTTTTATAATTCGCCTTGGGTGGTCCCCATAAACCTGAGCATTGTTGACAAAAACTATACTCTTTAAAGGTCGACAACATTCAACATATTTAACGTATGCAATAAATTATAATTGATTTGAAAAATCGATTACTCCAATATACGAACAATATGCTGATAAATGGTGGAGTGAAAATCGGTTCACTAAACATATTTTCCACTTGATCAACAACACTCAGCGCGGGCAGCACTCACAATTTCAGAACTCTTTGGATCTGTTACTAGTTCTAAGAACAAATATAACAAGACTCAAGCTTTTTTTTTTGAACAACAACAAGACTCAAGCTATCACGAAAAAGGTAGGGTTATAGTAGACATGATGAAACAGAGCTCAGAAACAAACAAAAAAAAATGTATGGTACAACGAGTCAGTCGACGACTATAAATTAATTCCTAGCAAACGTTGAGAAACACAATGGACAAATGATTTTTATCATTAACAACGAAGATATAAAGTTCACAATGTGCCTTATACACAAGACCAATTATTTGTATCTTCGTTGTTAATGATAAACTTCAGAAATGTCCACCAAGACCAATTATAAACTTCAGAAATGTCTTTCTATATATGTCTACGTTAACAACGATACCTATAGAACCTTTTATACCAAATATAACTATTTGACCGTTGAAAAAAAAAAAAAAAACTATTTGACCGAAGTTTCGTTGCTCTTACTAATTCCACATTTACATGATAGCTCCTACTTTTCCCACATCTAGATAATAGTGTTGAAGTAATCTTCTCAAATATCTATAACATTAGACAGATATATAAACGCTTTTTTATTAAAACTATGCTTAAATATGAAATTTTACAGTGGATAAACCAGGAAAATAAAAAATAAAAACCAAAAACTATTTCACCACTAAAAAGGAGACGTGGGAACCAAACCCAACCATAAATGTGGCCCATTCATTTTGTTGCAGCACTTTAATCTAACCACTATAACGTAACATTTTCTACATTTTTTTTTTTGATAAAGAATAATGATCAATTGCTACCCCACGATGAGTTGTGGTCATCAATAGTTTCTACTTTCTACGGTCAGCTTCCCTACTTGGGGCTGCAGCGAGTACTGTTATGGTAGTTGTGACGGTCTTGTATGCCTCTACTCACTCGTCACCCATCCAAGTGGTGTCAATGTCGTGGCGAATCCCGCCACTAGATTTCATAGAAGTTTTCCTCTTTCAAGCTATCAACAGCTCCTCGTCAATAAGTTTAGCTGCCCAACTCCTGAGCTTGGATTCGGTAAAGACATACTCAAAGGCACGTACAAGCCGGTTTGGTTGTATAATTCATCCCCATTTGGCCTAGACAACGCTACTACTTGTGAAGTCTTTGATTTCAGCACCAATGCTTGGAGGTTCGTTGTCCCTGCTTCTCCTTATCGGATTCGTGCTCACTCGAGGCCTGTGTATTTAGATGGATCACTTTATTGGTTAACCGAGTGTGAAGAAACCAAGTTATTATCTTTCGATCTTCAAACCGAAACTTTTCAAGTCGTTTGTAAAGCTCCCTTTGCCCATGAGTGTTGCTCTTACAGCGTCATCATGTGCATCCTCGAAAACCGTTTGTGCGTGTCCCGGAAAGATTGGCTAACCCAAGTGATATGGTCGTTGGATTCTTCAGGCGGCAGCAAGACATGGAAGAAAATGTGTTCCATAGATCTCACCAAAACTTTTTCTTGGTTCGGAGAACGCACACTCTTACCAATAGCAATTGTGGAGAAGAATAAGTTATTACTTCATCTTCATGGAAACTTGAAACTACTGGTGATACATGATCTCCATGCTAAATCTTATGATATAGTCTTCAAACCTACCAAACTCGTAGGTCCTGTTTGTTATTTTGAAAGTTTATTCTCTGTTTCATCAAACTAATTTTGTATTCTTTTCTTCGTCATTGCAATTCAACATTTTCTGCATTTTATTAAAACAATGGTTATCTTCTCCTCAGGTTTTCTTTGGCATCTTGTTTTGTATTGTGTTTTGTTGGAGTTTAATGTTGTATTGTGCCCTTTAATTTAACAGACATGAAACAGAGCAGAAACAAAAAAAAAACTGTATGGTACAACGAGTCAGTGAACGACAATAACTCCTAATACATTAGAAAAACACGATTGACAAATGATTTCTCCATTAAGTGCACTTTGGAATCGAAGTTAGTTATACTGAACAATTTTTTTCTGATATTATACGATGTTCGAACTGGGGGTACATGTCACATGTGTCCTGACTCCTGAGTTTGCGTGGAAGTTTTGATACTGGAAATCATCAACGGAAAAGAGATATCGAGCTTTTAGCTATGGAAAAGAAGAGAAAAAGCTTCTTGCTTATGTAAGAAACACACTTAAAATCTGATGATTACATTCAAGTTGAGACAAATCCTGGTTTCTTCTATTTTTTTGCGGGTTTTGGATCGTTATGACAGGCATATTAATCATGGAGTGAAACCGGAGGAGTAGATTTACTGAATCAAGACATTGCTGATTCTGAGTCAGAGTCAGTTGAAGCAGTGATGAGAGTTGGTCAGACAGTTTTGCTCTGTGTTCAACACGAAGCAATAGACTATGGACAGACCGAACATCAAACAAGTTGTGACAATTCTGACGTCGACAATGGATATTCCAAAGCCAAAACAACCAATGTTTGCTTTGGATACGAGTGATGAGGATTCTCTTTCTCCAAAGTCTAATGATCATAAAAAAAATTGTTCTCTGATGATGAATACAAACCGGCTCAGGAGAAACCGGGCTCCGATTAAGTATTAAACCAAGTCCATATATGGTTCAGCTGGAGCCAAATGTAATTGAAATTGTTATCGATGGAAATAAGAATGTAAATTGGCTTAAAAGAATTCTGAAGAAACAACACTTGTTTTGTTTATTGACGAATAATGGGAATGATGTATACTAATCATCTTTAACGAATAACATTTGAATCTTCACTCGAACTGAACATGTAAAATATTCACTGATGTGTCACATGTTGGGCATCTTACCAGTTACATCAACAGTGATGCCACGTTGTTCCAATCGGATGTTTATTATGGATTGAATAATAAGTAGATAATACAAATTAATTGGAAAAGAAAAGGTCAAAAGCTGAAGTACGAATTCAAGTGTGAAAGCAAACGTTTATTTTTCCATTTCAGAAAGAGAGAAAAAAGTGAATACTGACATACTGTGTCGTTTTTTTACTTTCCAAGACAGCATGTATTTCCAAACAAAACGTACAAAATGTGCAGTTACGGCGTGGAACTGGAGACAAAAAGAGACAAAAGCGAACATTGGGTGACTGGACTGGGTGTGGACTGGAGACAAAAAGAGACAAGAAACGACTTTTGACTTTCCGGTCATAGATACTCTGTTACAAGTTTGACAAAAAAAAAAAATACTCTGTTACAAAAGTACACAGCTTAAGTAGATTACACAACTTTCACGGAAATACTTTCTTTTTGTAGGCTTATTGAAATGCTTTAATTCTCCCTAACCAAAGTAATCTTGGTCGATGTTTTAGTGATTGGTTTTAGTGATTTTTTAATTGATATTTTATAATTTTGTTTCAGTGAAATTTTTAAACTAAAATAGTAAATATAAAAATTAGTATAACTTATTTCAATCCATCCTTACAAGGTATAACAAAATAAAAATTGCAAATAAGTTAAAAAATCCTAAGCTTCAAATATTAATTGTTGGATCTGAACATGTTTAGCAAGTTTTGGACCAACAAAAAGCTAATACAATATTTTTTTGTATTACAAATCAAACAAAGCAATTACAGTTGATGATTTTTTTTGTTATCTTTGAATTCGCAGTTCGAAACCGAAAGAAGAATAAAAAAACTAGTAAATCTTCCTATCAAATTGCATTAATATTTACAGATATTTTTATATTTTTAGATTAAAATATATATATTTATAAATTTCTTTTACTTTTTTTGTAATTTAACCCCCGAAAAGGGCTGTGTTATGACAAATGGAAATCAAAGCCCAAAATAGAAAATGAAGAAAATATAAGGGTTATTTTGCAACTTGAAAGTAACTAACTTGGTCTGAATTTCATCTATCTCTCTCTCCTCCGCCTGTGTGAACGCCGCCGCATCAACATCGATTCCTGAAGAATACAGATTGTTCTGAAGTGAGGGAGAGAGAAATCGATTCCTGTGGAGGTAGGATTTGATGCGACCATTGCCTGAGGTACTAATTGTGATTATGATCTTTGCCTTCTTTTGTTACCGTGAACTATTGATTTCATGAATTCTGTAATAACTTGAGTTTTCCGATTTACTTATTCATAGATTAAGAAATAGTGATAAAAGTATTGGCATTTCCTTTTCTTACATGGAAAGAAACTGACTTGGTGTTTTCCTTTTTTTTTGTCCGATTCCTAGCTCTAGCTGGATTCTCGTATGTACAAAGCATCGATCGTCTCTCTTGGTCAATTAGAGACAATACGATGTTGAAAAGACCTCGCTCGAGTATGGTATTGAGAAGACATCGCTCGAGGGTGGTGGAATTGTTACCTCACGATGTGGTTGAGCTGATACTCGAGAGACTTCCGGTGAAGTCTCTGCTGAGATTCAGGTCTGTATCCAAGAATTGGAAATCGACAATTGATTCCCCACGTTTCAAAGAAAGACAATTGCTCTGTCGTAGGGAATCACGAGGTCCAGATGTCCTTTGCGTGGAGCTCAGTTATTATGGTGATGATGATCTGGACACAGATGCTCCAAGTGTTGAGTTGGGGTCATCAATAGTTTCTACGATCAGGTTCCCTACTCGGGCAGAGACTATTGCCATGGTAGTTGTGACGGTCTGGTCTGCCTCTACTCACTCTACGAACAGAGTGTCAGTGTCGTGGTGAATCCTGTCACTAGATGGCATCAAAGTTTTCCTCTTTCAAGCTTTCAACACCTCCTCATCGACAAGTTGAAGAAGGGAGAGCTTGGCTACGGAATTGCCCAGCTTGGATTCGTCAAAGACAAAGTCAGGGGCACGTACAAGCCGGTTTGGTTGTATAATTCATCCCCATTTGGCCTAGACAACGCTACTACTTGTGAAGTCTTTGATTTTAGCACCAATGCTTGGAGGTATGTTGTCCCTGCTTCTCCTTATCGGATTCGTGCTCATCAGAGGCCTGTGTATTTAGATGGGTCACTTTATTGGTTCACCGAGTTTGAAGAAACCAAGTTATTATCTTTCGATCTTCACACCGAAACTTTTCAAGTCCTTTGTAAAGCTCCCTTTGCCCATGTACATTGCCCTTACAGCGTCACCATGTGCATACTCGATAACCGTTTGTGCGTGTCCCGGAAAAATGGGCCCACGCAAGTGATATGGTCGTTCGATTCTTCAGGCGGCAGCAAGACATGGAAGAAGATGTGTTCCGTAGATCTCACCAAAACTTTTTCTTGGTTCGAGAGATACACACTCTTTCCAATAGCAATTTTGGAGAAGACTAAGTTATTACTTCATTGTCATGGATACTCGCAACCACTGGTGATACATGATCTCCATGCTAAATCTTATGATATAGTCTTCAAACCTACCAAACCTGTAGGTGCTGTTCATTATTTTGAAAGTTTATTCTCTGTTTTATCAAACTAATTTGTCTTATTTTCTTTGTCACTGTAATTCAACAATGGTTATGTCTCCTCAGGTTTTCTTTGGCATCTTGTTTTGTATTCTGCTTTGTTGGAGTTTAATGTTGTATTCAGCACTTTGGAGAAGTGATACTACACAGACCAATTGTTTTTCACTTTTGCTAGACTACTTTACATTATTACATCCCGACAAGAGAACTTCCTTATAAACTCTGTCGCGGTTGGAATCTCCTTGTAAACCCTGTCGTTTCAAATCCCGTTCGCTTTGTAGAGCCTTCCAAATCCAGTTGCGGTTACAGTTTCTTAAACATAGTAGTTATCATAACAAGTAGTATGTCTCCATGTGACTATACAGAAGACAAACCAGAGCCAAGTTGATATATAACACCTCTCATTACTTGTGATGTTGAGAGCGATGATGACTTTACACCTCTCACTAACCTACAAAATTTGTAGACTTTTCATCTGTCCAAGTCAATGCCCTTCTTCTATGGACTCGTTTGATGCGACAGTGTCCTATGTAGATCACCATGGCAAATAGGTAATTTATGTTGCCCCTTATTTCCCGCTCAGACGTTTGTGTCAATTAGACATTTCTGTGAATATGAGATTTTTGTCGCTCATCTTATAAGAATTTGTGAATTTCATTGGTAACTTCAGAAAACCGTCCAAACAAGAAAATGAATAAGTGATTCTTGAAGTTCTTAAGGGAGGGCCAAAGCAAGTTACAAACTTATGAAACTTAGTATCATCACTAACTACTATAGATTTCTCTTCTGTTCATGAGAGATTGGTCTTGTTCTGTACCACACAATCAGTTACAAATATATGAGTTGTACAAGATATATTTGATTCTTAAAGCTTTCCAACAGTTTTTGTCAACTTTTCATGTTGCATTTAATTTTACCTGGAATCTTATCTAGTGTTCTACATAAATAATTCAAGAATGACCTTTATCTGTATGAAGTCTCTTAGTTTTCTTACAATACTAGTTGCGTTAGTGCAATTTCAGTCACACTTTCTTACGATAACTTAAGACTCCTGATTTAGTGGTTTCTCAAACACGTGTTGTTTACTATAATCAACGAGCGTGAGCAAAAATGTCAAAAAGTAATGGAAAAAATAATATTTGCTTTGTATATCTGTAATCTGCGAGTTACAAATCTACTCAAAAGGTAAATAAACAAAGGGCCCCATTAAAATCGCACTAACGCAACTAGTCCTCTCACTTTCTTCTTCCCATTCCAAATTTTCTCTGCATCTCAAGAAAAGTCAACATTGGTGGTTTTGTTCCACTCTCATTACTAATTGTCTAATTGGGAATTGCCAATTCCATGAATAAAACCACCAAACATTATTACCCCCAAGTCTCACCAGTCACCACAGAATAAAATCTCTCGTTGAACAAAACATTTTTCTAAGTCTTCACACAGAGACAAGAGGAAGACTACTTTTATTACTATTTTACCTCTCTTGGAGGAAAAACTCTTCCAATAGAGTAACAGCAAAAAAGGGTCAAAGGCTGAAATTCAAGTGTTAAAAGAAACGTGCAGTTTTCCATCTCAGTAAAAAAAAATAGCCAAACGCTATGTCGTTTTTGACCTGCCAAGACAGCACGTACTTCCAAATAAATGAAACAAAACGTATATAAGGTACAGTTACGGTTAGAAAAACTTTATTACATGGAAACTCCGGTTAATTTTAGTATTTAGTATTTACAAAGACATTTTGGGTGTGGCGACAAAAAGTGACAAGAAACCAATTCCAGTCATAGATACTCTGTTACAAAAATACATAGTTACACAACTTTAAATGAAATACTTTTTTTGTCGGCTTATTGAAATGTTTTAATTCTCCCTAACCGAAGTAATCTTGGTCAATGTTTTGATTCGTTTAGTGATTTTTTGAATGCATATTTTATAATTCTCCAAAATCGATTATTACATTTCTAATGTTCGTAAATTTTCAACTCTCTTTTACAAAATTATGTGATACCTAAATTTTCAACTCTCTTTCACATACCATTTCTTCAAGAATGAAATCTAGCATACCAAATATAACTAATTGAGGAAACTTTTGTTTAATAGGAATAACTCTTACTATTTCCATATCCTACCATATATTAAAGACCATACAGAAAACTGATGCGGCGAACTCACTTTTTTTTTTACTCTTTTTTGAATTATTTAATTAAATCAATATTTCTAAAGTCCGACCCAATTTTGTATGGATCTAACGCGGACCTTTGGTATACTTAAAATAAACCGGGAAATTTTATGAAATTGAGTTAGTAGTACTACAAGACCATGTTCGAGTTAAAGAATTAGCTAATTCGGCCCAACAATTGAAATGTCATGTTTTAAGCATGTATTGGTTAAAACTTTGGGCCTACATAATTATTAGTTTTGGCCTTTTGTGTGCCGCCAAAGATATTTTCTGCTAAACCTAAATCTCAACGAGTACCTATCTACTCACTATATATAAAGAGTATCATCAACCACATCTCACATCTCACATATTTCATTCTTTTTTTTGTCTATGCTACAAAATAGCTTTGTATTTTATTTTTCTAATTCTGAATATGCTACGTGCTGAGTTTGTAGTAATCCATTGAAGCAAGAAACTTCTATTTGGTATATTTATGTTATCTGTGTATTATATTTATTATTTTACAAATCGATGTTTATCACATTAGTTTTATATTCATCTCTTCTTCTTTTTTAATATTCAGTTGAATTTTAGCAATTTAGATAACGAAAGACTTATGGGGAAATGCTATAATCTGTACGGATTTCAACCAAAGTTATCTTTCGGAAATTCAAATCATTGGTGGATGATCTTTTATTTTTCTTATTTCTGTGTTTCGTTCCTTATGAATTCAGATTTTTGTTAAAATCTGCTGATTTTGTTTATTGAAAAGCAAAAGATATAGTACAAAAGCGATTACGCTCATAAAATGAGCTTTCTCTAACGAAAATTTCGATATTTCGAAATAATTTGATTTGAATAATGTCCATGGGAATGGGTCTGAGGACAAAGGAAAAGGGTCTATGGAAAACCAATTTTTGTAAAGGACGGAGATTTGACGGAAATGTCCATGGGAATGGGTCTGAGGACAAAGGAAAGGTTGCGCTGGATCAAAATTATAGATTTTGTTGGATGTGAGGACAATTTGTTTCTTATGGAACAATTTAAATATATGATGGAAATTATGGGGTGGTTTTTTATGTATTTCTTGGATGTGCAGGTGATCAATTAATCATAGGTGCAATTTTGGATCCGTTTATCGACGGCGAAGGTGATCAATTTAAATAATTTTGAATCCATAGATTCGAAAAACTGTTATGGTTACTAAAATATTCGAGAGATATTTTGCACGTATTACCTTATTTAGAGTATGGAAAATGGAGATATTTTGCACCTTTTTATATGCACGTATTACCTTATTTGTTGTGTCAAATATTCGATTTTAAAGCTCAATTTCTTTACCTAATTCAATAGTTTGAAGATATACAATAATTAGATTTAACCTACTTTCAAGGTCTTGGAATCGAACCACACCGCTATATAAACTTCTTGAGAGCCTTGCAAAATCACACATCCAAAAATCTCATTAGATTTCTTCTTCATTGTCCAGAGTTTTTCTTTTAGGTTAGCATGCTTACAGTTATTGTTTAAATTTCGTTTTGTTTTCTTTTTTTTTGCAATACTTTTGTTTTTTGTTTCTCCTTTTCGTTTTATTTCAGTTTCATTTGGGGTGGTTGTTTTCTCCTTTTCGTTACTCCTAGAATATTACCATTGATTATTATTGTATCTTATGAATAATTTTCATTTTGTGCTTTGCAGACCATATGTGACGTCCGGGTAATTGTGAAACCACTAAAAACAGTGAGAAAGCTTGCAAGAATGCAGCATCATTCTCAATTGGCAGTACAACTAAGAAGAGAAGACGAGGTTAGATGACGGGTTTCATGATGATATCTAACTCACTTCATAGGTTGCGGGTAAGTTATTTGAAATTGATATTAGTTTCTCTTAACTCTAATACTATTGAGTGAAAAAGGCTACTACTTCTTTTTTCTCTTACCTATGAAATGTATATATCTATATTTTCAGTTTTACATCTTAACTGCTTTGCATCCAACGCCAGCTGTTTATGGATGTCCAGTAGAGGAAGCACTTTTGGTGATTAAGCAATTTGGTATAATATGATTTAATTCTTCCTGCCATAGTTTCTAGCACTTACGTCGTTTCAGGAAAAAAAAAAAAAGAGTTTCTGTGCCGAATAAGCTTTTCTCATAATAGATGCGAATTATATTTTTGTTTGGATTTGATTAGTATGCATATATACTGAGGTTTGATACATATTCTTGTTTTTTCTTTCATAATCATTTGATAGAGGTAAGTATGCTGGACCTATTGGATTCTTTGGTGGTGGAGACAGTGAATTTTCTGTTGGCTTAAGATAAGATCTGCTTTAGTCGAGAAGGTTAGCTTTTTTACTTAACATCAACTTTTCTCAGCGTATCAAACTGCCCATTTACTGTTAAGTGTTACATCTATCTGACTGTCTTTATGTTTCCTATGGTCTTGGAGCATTGATCTATGCAGGAACAACCATCCTCGGAGTGGGACGAGCTTGAGCTTAATATCTCTCATGTGGAAACTTTGTAACAATGTTTGTTAACAGAGTCAATGCATTGCATGTAGTTTATGTATCATTACATGTGTATAACAATTTATACGGTAAAAATGTTTACTATAAACCATACTGATATTATTGTATATACAACAAAAAGGTTGTTAAAAGTGGGCTATATTCATATTTTTGCGTGTTTAATGAATTTAGAATATAAAGACTCTGTAAAGTGGCTATTATCTCTATATATGAGCACATTTGGACCTTGATATAAATGTTGTAGTATTTCGCTAAAGTAGGAAATGAATTATCATGTTTCTGCAATTATTTAAAGCAGATATATTATTAAAAAAATACGTAGAAAAATGGTGTAATTTATCGTTTATATTGCAACTAAAGTAAAGAGATTCAAGAGGAAGGGTTAAGCGAAAGGGAGTTGTGAAGAATGATTTTGAGATTGAATTCCAATCCCTGGTGAAAGAAAAAAATTCGTAGTAAGAAACTGATCTTTGAAGGATACAATAAAGAATTTAATTTGAAGTTTGAAGCAGCTTTTAATTGTATTCGTGAAATAAGAGACTAAAAGAATAGTTTAAAGATAATTATTTCAAATAGGCACAGTTTAAAGATAATTATTTTAAATAGACATGTGTATTTAACAACCTATAGACAGATGTATTCACAAATTAAGAAGGTGATCGCAAATAGACATGTTTCCTATTTCGACTATCATTTATACATTCTACATGTAATATCTTAAGTTTGACAATTATTGAAACTCTTTAGTTGGACCATTGTAGGAAAAAACTGCATATTAACATCATACATTCATACTTAGGTACCTGGAATAGGTTTTCTCAGTATAGGGGAAATTTATTTTCCAATTAAACAACTTTTCATCTTTAAATATGTCCATGGGGATATTTACAAACTTATGTTTTGGTGAAAAAATAGCAGAACTATGTTTTGCATTAAAATCCTACAATGTTTTTTTGGACAAGTATTTTGAATGCAATATGTAGTGGATATTGCTATTTGGTTTTTCAATATGAAGTTTAAGAAAGGTTTGCCTAACTAAATTTTATTGGCAATTTTTCTAAAGGTCTTTTAGATTTAATTAAATCATAATCTTTTATACAAATCATACAACAAATGTATTTTGAAAATGTGAAACAATTAAGATATAATAATACACGTAAATAAATAACTAAATATCCATCCATTATTATAAGAAACAAAAATTAAAATATTCTTAATCAACAACGGAACCAATATTTTTATTATTTGTTACATATGAAATGATAAAGAAACAAAACATGTATTAGTAGTCTACATACAATATAGAAAATGACATATCCATCAAATAATATTTATTTAAGATGTGAATAAATTAAAGTTAATTCAATTTCGTGCATTTGAAAATAGGAAACAACTTAAAAACACATAAATTAATAACTAAATATCTATCCATTTTTTCAAAACAATTCCACACATTATTCTAAAATGACATTCCATTTAATACTAATTTATTTTAAATATGAAAATTTTAAAGTTTATTCAATCCCACGCATTAGACGTGGGTAATCCTCTAGTCTAAATGATAGATTATACTTTTCGAACATCTAAATAATAGTGTTGAGTTTATTTTCTTCTCAAATATTTATAGTGAACGTTAGAAAGATATATACACACTTTTTAATGAAAATTTAGCCTAAACTTGAGATTTTAAATTGGATAATGCAAGAAAATATAAAGTCAACTATTTCACCACTAACTTATTTTAGTCCTCTTATAAATGAGTCCATAGACAACCAAACCAATGCTGAACCAAAGAAAAATAAGAGATGCTGGAACCAAACCACCATAAACGTGGTTCCCATTCATTTTGTTGCAGCACTTTAATCTAACCTTCTTTTTTTTGTCAACAATCTAACCTTTATAACTTTAACATTTTCTGCATTTCAATTTAGCGATGAATTTCTTCTCCTTAGGTTATAAATGTTAGGTTTTGTCACTTTAATCTAACCGTTATAACTTAACATTCTCTGCATGTTTATTGTCTTTTCGATTAACAAAAACGCCACTATTTTAAGGTCGACACTACTCTTATAAATATATAATGACATTTAACGTATGATAATCATAAATACAGTAGGTAAAGTTATTAGATTCAGCTTCCCATCCGGGTGTTTATCATGGATCGTATAATAAAAATAAACCTCCTAGTTTCGGTTCAAGCATATGTTCATATAAATTGCAAGAAACGTGACTAGTTAAAAAAGCAATTCAACGGAACCGTTGTTTTTCTCTGATTGTGTATGATTTTCTGTTTATGTAATTCATGAAATATTTACACGCAAAAATGTTATCATTTATCTTTAACAACAAAAAATTAAAGGAAAAATAAGAAATGGTCACACCGTTCTACGTACCTCTCATATAGTTTTAGAAACGAAGGATCTCATATGCATAATTTTACGAGCATGTGATACTGACTTATATAAACATATCTAGACTGATATACTTTTTTTTCTTTACGGAAATTAAAATTACAAACCTTTTTTTCTTTCTTAAAGCTTCCTCATTTTAAAATAAAAATAAAAAATCAAACATGTTTAGTTCCTTGGTTGTTGCTCTTGCCCATCTCCAGCCCATTCCCATACTCACCATCCTCCACAAACCTTAACCAATACCAATGTGACCTGACCCATCTCCTCTATCAGAATCCCTTTCGTCTCTGGCAAGAATATGTATACGAAAATAGACATCACCACCACGAAATGCAAACACGAGGAATAACCCAAACTTCAAATGGCAAAGGATCGTCAAGAAGATCTGCGCGTGAATGTGAAGATCATGTTCACCGACACCGTATGGGACGATTTTTTCTATATTAAAACCTATGATACTGTTGATAATTCTCAATTTTTGAGTCTTGTGGGTGTTTGTCAATTAAGAGAAACATAAGAGGAAATTATGTTAATATTTTTTTTATTGGAATGACAATCATAATTTAATTTCTAACGTGACTGGGGTTTTCATGGCTAAAAGACACTTTTGAGGTGAAAATGCAAAATTTGAAAAACTAGTGAGCTACTTACCGGAGATACCGATATCCCAACCGAAGATGAGACCACCCATGGCAGCGACGACGCAAATTTTCCCATCTCCAACGACGAATCCACCGGCAGGCATTTATTTAAAAATTCTAAAAGACCTAAAGTATTTTATTTTCTTTTATGACCCTTTTTAGTTGGGATGTGTGTTTTTGCAAACAAAGGAGAGTGGAAGCAAAATTCAGAAGAATAGAGATGCAGGGGATACTTTGTAAGAATCACTCTTTTTCTTTTCCTAAAGTTGAAAATGTTGGAATCAAACTAAACTAAAATCACTCGAACAGGGCATACATGTCTCCTGAGTATGCGTGGACAGAGACATTCTCTAAGAAATCTGACATTTATAGTTTTGGAGTCTTGATGCTGGAAATCATCACCGGAAAAGAGATATCGAGCTTTAGCTATGGAAAAGAAGACATAAAACCTTCTTGCTTACGTAAGAAACACACTTCCACTCTGATTCTACGTCTACGTTGAGACAAATCATGGTTTCTTGATTCTTATAGTTTTTGTGGGTTTTGGATCGTTGTGACCAGGCATCGGAATCATGGAGTGAAACCGGAGGAGTGAATTTACTGGATCAAGATATTGCTGATTCTGAGTCAGATTTTAGTTAAAGCAGCAGTGGTGAGATGTGTTCAGATAGGTTTGCTTTGTGTTCAACACCAAGCAATGGACAGACCAAACATCAAACAAGTTGTGACCATGCACGTCGACAATGGATCTTCCAAAGCTGACACACAGCCAATGTTAATTGAAATTGTTTTTTAAAGAAAGTTAAAATTGTTCGATGGAATAAGAATGTAAATTTCCTTAAATCGAAATCTAAATAAACAATTTTTATTTCGGTTAATTGACGAATAATAGGAATTAAGACGGGAAAACAAAAAAAATACTATACTGGAAAATAATATTCATTTATTTGTTCACAAAGGCATTTTGGGTGGCGAGACAAGAAACCATACACTAGAAAATCTTGGGGAGTATTAAATTGTAGTAATATTCTTCTAAAATAACAAAAACAAAAGGAGAGGGAGGAAAGAAGTCAATAAGTCAACAGTGCTTTTCGTGTTCTCCAATTATCTGGGAAAAAAAACGACAATGTTAGTAAAACAATGACTAGAGAAATAGGAGAAAATGACTATGCTACTCATAACTTACGTATTGCTAACAAAGTGTTTCGTGAAGTCGTGAAGTCATAAATGCTTTTCGTGTTCTCCAATTATCTGGAAAAAAAAATGACAATGTTAGTAAAACAAATTAAGATTAGAGAAATAGGAGAAAATGACTATGAGAGTGATAACTTACGTATTGCTAACAAAGTGGTGCCTGAGCTTGCACATAATACTAAGGAAAGCAGTCCTGACTTCTTCATTTTTCCCCATTATCTGGAAAATATAAAATCAGATCATAAGTTGATTGACAAACATAAGACTTGATTTATTGAAAAACATAAGATTATAACCACCAGTAAACTAACCAGAATAATAGCGTCTTGGTTTGCCTTGAGGTCTTGGATTACTGATAATGACCGCCTCTGTACCTCACTGATAAAAACATCGTCTAAGCAGCTTTTTGCAGAATCTTCAACCAGCACTTGAATATATTCGCCACCATATCCAGCATGTGTACTGCATAGAGGAAGAAGATTTCGTGCAGCAGCTATTGTAGGCGATGCCTCAGCCTCAATAGTCTGTGACAAGAAACAGTAAACATATAAGAAACAGTAAATAAAAAAATTAATAGAAGCTACAAAAGTTATACCTCGAAAGCAGATTTAGTGACATCAACGAATCCTTGTGCTGCTACTGTTGCATTCAACCTAATATCTGCTGAAGTGTCTGTTCTTATGGAGTTAAGAGTGGCTTCCTTTCGGCCAACAACATGCCGAATTCTCTCGGTAGGGCACAGAATGTGCAGCTTTACAAGCTTGGACATGTTGCCTACAAAAAATACAACAACAAAAAAAAATTAACATTTTAGCAAATGACGATAAAGTTGAATTCAAAATCTCTATAACCCAAATTACCGAAATTCAAGAACGGCAAAACCCAAAAACAAATTTATGTTCTAAACCGAGAAAGCAAAGAAAGAGTAGAGAAATAGGAGAAATTAATCAAAACCCATTAACCTCAAATTCAAGACTTGTGAAAAACGAGAAAAGTCAAGCGTATGCATACATTTCCCATTGACCTAATTATCCAAAAGCTAAAATCCGATCCACAATAGACAGTTCGTACAGAAAACCCTAACAAAAGTTCAGTACCTAACCGATAAACAGTAAAGAACAGAAAGATGAGAAGAAGAAAGAGAAAAGAATCGACTTTTATTACCTTGTAGCGATTCGATCGAGGAAAGAAGACGAGACGTGACTTGTGTTGACTCGTGAAAGCTGTAAAATAAAGAAAGAAACGAATCGATCTAAACCCATTGACCTCAAACTCGTTACAGTTAAAAACGCGAAAGTCAAGCGTATGCATCCATTTCCGATTGACCTAATTATCCAAAAGCTAAATCCGATTTCACAATGGACTGTTCGTACAGAAAACCCTAACAAAATTTCAGTATCTAACCGATAAACAGTAACGAACAGAAAGATGAGAAGAAGAGAGAGAGAAAAAGAATCGACTTTTACCTTGCAGCGATTCGATCGAGGAAAGAAGACGAGACGTGACTTGTGTTGACTCGTGAAAGCTGCAAAATAAAGAAAGAACCGAATCAAAATCAATTGACCTCAATTTCGTTACAGTTAAAAACGAGAAAAGTGTAATTCCCGATTGTCCTACTTACCCAAAAGCTAAAATCAGATTCCGTAATGGAATGTTCGTACAGAAAACCCTAGATCCTAAGTTGTAGTTCAAAGCCCTAACAAAACCTCAAATACCCAACTAATTACAATGAGGAACAGAAAGATGAGAGGACGAAAGAGAAGAAAATTGACTTTTACCTTGACGCGACTCGAGGAAAGAGAGAACCCTAACAGAGATTCGTGAACGAAGATCAGACGAGTGTTGTGATTCGTGAAAGGGTCTTGTTTAAAGAGAAAGAAATGACGTTTCTTGTTTATAACGGTATTTATCTGAAGAACAGTACACGCGCCAAAACTTCACGTGCTGAGAGCATGTGCAACACGCTGGATTCTTAAGACGCTGCTTAGCCTTTTATGCAATTAACTTAAATGAAAAATCTTATATATAATGAAAAATCTCTCCAGCTGACTGCCACGTAGCGCGTGAGAGATGGCTACGTGGCACACTCACAAACATTTCGGTTAGATTGATTTCTCGCCGCTTCTGCTCCTTATCAATTTCCACAACAAACCGGATTGGAAGTTTCCGTGATAACATTAGGGCTTTCCTGTGTGATTTCGCGGAGGTTGAAGACTACAGCATCCGCGGTATGCCTGTTTGGTGCACGCTTCTCAGCCACGAGACGAAGAACACCGTGATTCCACTTTACACAGTCGAAGAAGATATCATTCGCTAGCCGGAGCCTTACTGTGACCATTGCAGATGCACAGGTTCGTTTTCCGTAATTCTGGGTTCTCAGTTTCTTATTGGGTTTGATTCGATTTCAATTTTCTGATACCGGATTTGGAATCGGATGTTGTAAATTGATACTGAGGTTTAGTTAGTCGTAATGTGACATAAATCGATTCGGTATTTGTTTTTTTGAGTAGATTTGGGTTACGAATTGCTGTGAAAATCGAGATTCTGGGTAATTGGTTGATGAGTATGTCGAAAAAATAGGAATTTCGCATTTGTCATTGTAAATGGTGGTGATTAGCGATTGGGTTACGGTTTGATGTTATTGAGCTTCTGGGTATTTTCTTTTTTGATGAGTATACATTGATCTAGAGATGTAAGTTTTGCAATTATCTCTCTGTATATGATTAATGATTGCATTAGAGATCTTTAACTGCGAATTGGTGTTTATGTTAGGATGGAGTAACCACTTTGTATCCAAGAGAAAGTACCATTTGATCATACCGAATGATACTGAGTGGAATATGCCTCTAGAAGACGATGTGTTTGATCTGCAAACGCATCTCTTACACGGAATGATTCACACCAATGGATATGGTCATTTGATATGCGTCAATGGCATGGAAGGTGGATCAAAACACTTATGCGGAAGAGAAATTGTGGATCTTTGGGATCGAATATGTACAAACCTTGGAGCAAGGTAAAAAGAAATGGAAACATTGTATACAATATTCATTTTTTTTTTTCAATGGTTGGAGATTGAATTGTATGAGTGTGTGTGTGTGTGTGTGTGTGTGTGTGTTCTTGCAGGATGATTACAGTTGAAGATATCTCTAAGAAGAGGTCTCTAGATCTTCGGTTGTTATATGGAGTAGCGTACGGCCATTCTTAGTTTGGAAGGTGGGGATACAAGTTTTGCGGTGGAAGCTACGGTGTGACCAAGAGCGATTACGAGAATGCTATAGAGCTTCTAGGTTCTCTTGAACTTGATCAGGTTGAATCTGCTTTCAATGAGCATAAACAGTTCAAAGAGGTCAAGCAGATCTTCAGATACTACAGAGACATGAGTGAAGGTCATTTGAAAACGTTGAGAGATCTTTTGAGGTTTATGCTCATTATAAAGTCACATGCTCAGCAAAGTAGTAAGCTTCGTGCAGCGGTTTTGCCTCCTACAATGGAGAGTCCTCATTCAAAAAGATCCAACAGACTGTTCTTGAAGAAGAGTGATGCTGTGGAGAATGAGAAGTCTTCTAAGAGGTTTAGGATTTATAGCGATGTTGCAGCTAATTTGGGAAGTAGATGGCCAGTGAGGAGACTTGAATACGCAGCTGAAGTGATTGTAGAGTCACTGAAAGAGATGAAAACGTTGAATCAGAACGGTATGACTCGTCAAGATGTGAGGGATGCAGCAAGATTACATATTGGAGACACTGGTCTGCTTGATTACGTGTTGAAGTTGATGAACAATGTTGTTGTTGGGAATGTTTTGGTCAGACGTTATGTTGATCCGCTTACAAGGATACTACATTACACAATCCAGGAGCTTGGTGATGATCATCATGATGCGACGAAACTGATTGGCCGAAGAGAGAAGAAGCTGCGTTAGAGGTGGTTCCTCTGAGGATTGTTGCCACTGAATCAAACCCAGAACACAAATGTGCTTTTGGATTACCCTGAATCTGAAACCGTGAGGTCTGCAAGCCAAGTGATCTTAGACAGTAAACAGTTCGTAAAGGAGTGGCCTGTATGGGATAAGAATGAACAAATCTTGCGTTTTGTTTAAAGTATCGATCCAAGTTTGATTGATCTGAGATCAGAACAGATCAATGAGCTTCCACCAGGAGAGTTAGTCACAGTCTTGCTGCAAGCCACAGTCTTTGATCTGAAACAAGCTATTGAAGACACTTTCAGAGATACTTATTGCATTCTAACAAACTTCACGGTGAATGAGATCGATGAGCTTGAGGAAGATGATAGGAATTTGCTGTTTGGAAGAGTGGAGAATTGCTCTGCTTTGACAGTGAGAGGGTTTGGGATTGAGGAAATCGAAGCTCAAGTTTCAAGGTGGGTGTCATACGTGGATGGTGAAATGTGTTTGCAAAGCTAGAGATGATGATGGAGAGAGGATGATTTCTTGTGACGTTTGTGAGATTTGGCAGCATACGAGATCCTGTGGGATTGATGATTCTGATACTTTGCCCCCACTTTATGTTTGTTCTAATTGCTGTGAAGAGTTTGCAGTAAATTTTTCCAGTAAATTAAATTGAGAAGGTAAAATTACTATGAAGAATAGAAGATTGCAAGGAACATTAATATTTTTATTATTAGGAAATGTAAAACTATTAAATACTGATTAGAATGACAATTATTGGTTTCGTTAAGAAAACTTCTCTACAAGAACACTGCAGAAAAATGATTGGAACATATAAAAATGGAAACAATTGAAAAATAATGCATAAGACGGTTAAAACGAAAAAAACAGTTAAAATTGGTTTAACCTTCAATTAAATAAGGGAAATGACCAAAAAATAAGAATAAACGATAACAAAAGGCTTGAAAAAACTAAAAAACGGAATCATCATTTGCAATTAGAAGAACGCGTAGATAAATGTAAAACTTATTTTAGGGAAATCTTCATATACTAATAATTAATGATACACCTTATTAGAACATAAGATTGGAGTAACCAGTTTTAACAATTATGGTCGTCAAACCTTCAAGCCAATCATCCTTTTTACACCATAACTAGGAAGGCACCCGCGCGGGATTTTCTTTTAAAATTTAGTATTTTATGGAAGATTTGTAAATTTGTATCCTACATTTTAATCTTCTCTTCCAATAATGGTACCATTTAATTATTGCTTCAATATTTGCTCGTTGTTTTTGTTTTCTTCTAATGTCTTGGTTAAATTGCTCGCTGGTTTATTTTAACTAATCAATATTTATATGCTAAAACGGTTGTTCACGAAATTGAAATATACATTGTTAGGCACTAAATCAATCTTCAGAACCACAAGGACTTAATATTTACAACGACTTACTCTAACCTCCAAATGGTCCTCGAATCAGTTATCCTCGCACTACAAAAAACATGCCATTTAACGTCAGTTTATATATGAGTTAACGTCATTTTTAAAGTGACTCTAATAACATGGCGTTGGTTTGGTAAGTGTCGTAACATGACGTTAAGTTTGTCTGCGTCATTTAGAAAACCGACGTTATAATTAACGTCAAAAGAGTAACGTCACTTTTTTTTTCAAGTTGCTTTTGAAACCGACGCAATGTACAAATGCCACTTAAGCTCTTGTTTTGTTTTTTAGTTAAACTAAAGAACTGTGATAAAGATAAATTCAAAACGACAATGAACTTAAAAATAAAATGAAAGATAAAATAGTATATGATAAGAAACATAACATTTGAAAATACATTATCTTGTGTTTGGTGATTACAAAAGAGAGTAGAAATATTAACAATTTATCTGATTAGTTTGACATTTACAGAAGCAGGTAGAATTTGTATTGTTCTCACTTAGATTTCATAACACCACATCTTCCTGAGCAGACTCCAAACAGAGCGTATCTGACCTGAAATAACAACATAATAGCCGAGAAGATCAGAAACCCAAAAGCAATAAGACAACAAGTTCCCCAATTATCAAAACACAGAAAAGATAGTAAGACTGAGAATTTGAGCACGTATAAAAGCATTCTAAAGTTATAATAAAGTTTCTTGGTGGAAATAGACGTTGACGTAACTCTAAAGGAACATGGGACAGCAAACGCCGTTCAGAGTATAAAGTTTCTTCTACTACTACCACCAATGAAGCGAGTTCTGAAAGTAAAGCTGGTTCTAACAGTCCAGGAGATGGGAAGAAGAGAAAACAGGGAGATGATGAAACACTAACCGATCCGTTAAGGAACTCTAAACACGTTGCCGTTTCAGTGAGTGTAGAGGTGGGAGCACGAATCCATCCATTTGTTAAAGTCCTATGACATATTACTGTACAAACGGTAAATATGATCCCATCAGTAAGGATCCGGCAGAGAGTTTTGTTGTTTTCATTAAGGATCAACCAGAGAGCCTTCCAATAAATGAAATAACCACTCCTCAAGCTCCTAGTCAAGAAACTGAGGAACTTGAAGACACTTTTGATTTTGGAAATCAAGTGATTGAGCAGATATCAGATAAAAATGCAACCTCGGCGGCTACTCCAACTATAACTCCGTTCGAAGCTACTACTACTTCAAATGGCTCACCTTTCTCCAATGGAACAGCATTATAAAGTTATAAAACTAAACATAATTTTGTTCATTCTTTTATCTACCTGTGAACATTCCTAGAGTAAAAGACATTGTCGACTTACAGAAGCTACGGATGCATGACTAACCAAGTAAAACATGGGAAGAACATACCAGTTTTCAGTGAAATCCAGCTAACCAGATGTAAGATCATCTCATAAGCTGAAACATGTCAAAAATTAACAACAGAGATCAATGGCAACATAGATCTCGAAGATAAGAGGATGAAAACTCCAGAATCGAACGATCTTACCGTAGTTGGATCTGAAATCCAGTGAAGAGACATGGTCAGTTTCGACGAAATCGAAGGCACAAATGAATGGGAGACGCAATCGACTTGGATCTGAAGTCTTTCACAGATCATCGTATCTTCTTCTCGAGAGAGAAAGGTCGCAAAACATACTCTCTCTTTATTTCCCGTGACCATCAAACATAATTCTTTAACTAATTAATAAATATTACAGGAAGATCCGGAAAGAATTGAGAATGATCCGGGTGAAAAGAAGTCGGGAGCAGAGAGAAGGCGGATTGGTGAACGGACGGACGGGGAAAAGAGGGGAGACGGGTTAGGTTTTTTTTTTTAATTAATTTTTTTTTTAAGAAAAGCAATCTAAACGACGTCGTTTTGGTGTAAGACGAAAATTGAAAAAAAAAGTTACAACGCAAAACGACGTCGTTTTGGCGTTGGGAGGAAAAAAAAAAGGGTGCCACGTGTCAAAGACTGAAAAGTGTCCAAACCTTATTAGTTATGTAGATTGGTCGTCAAACCTTTAAGCCGACATCCTTTTTACACCACCGTAATTAGAAAAAAAAATATATATATATATATATATATATATATTTTGGTACCATGAACTATTAATTTGATGAAATCTGTAATAACTTGTGGGGGTTTTCCGATTTACTTAATCATAGGTTAAGAAATAGAGAGAAAAATGTTGGAATTTCCTTTTCCCAAGTGGAAAAGAAAGTAGTGACTTGAAGTTTTCCTTTTCTCCTATTCCTAGCCGTAGTCGGATGCTCGTTTGTAATATAAACCCTCTGATGGTATCTGTTGATCAATAAGAGACGAAGATACACAATGTTGTTGAGAAGAAATCGCTGGAGTGTGGAATTGCTACCCCACGATGTGGTAGAGTTGATCCTCGAGAGACTTCCTGTGTGGTCTCTGCTGAGATTCAAGTCTGTATCCAAGAACTGGAAATCGACAATTGATTCCCGACGTTTCCAACAAAGACAGTTGATCCAGCGTAGGCAATTACGAGGTCCAGATTTCCTCCTCTACGTGATCTCTGATTATAAAGAAGATGAATCGATAATGGTGTTGGGAGATTCCATTGTTTTTAAGCTCAGGATCCCTGACCCGATCACCATGGTTTGCCATGGTAGTTGTGACGGTCTTGTATGCATCTTCAATATCGACGGACCGAGTATGGTGGTGAATCCGGCCACTAGATGGCATCGAATTTTTCCTCTATCTAACGCTCAACAGCTCCTCCTCAACATGTTTAAGAGGAGAGTGCATAGGTGCCCACGTCCTAAGCTTGGGTTCGGTAAAGACAAGTTCAAGGGCACATACAAGCCGGTTTGGCTATGTAATTCATCTGAGTTTGGCCTAGACAACGCTACTACTTGTGAAGTCTTTGATTTTAGCACCAATGCTTGGAGGTACGTTCTCCCTGCGTCTCCTTACAGGATCGTTGACGACCAGAAGCCAGTGTATTTAGATGGGTCACTTTATTGGCTCACTGAATGTGAAGAAACCAAGGTGTTATCTTTTGATCTTCAAACGGAAACTTTTCAAGTCATCTCTAAAGCTCCCTTTCCCCATTCACCTGACTCTAACGACGTCATCATGTGCATCCTCGATAACCGCTTGTGCGTATCCCACAAAATCTGGCCCACCCAAAGTATATGGACGTCGTTCGATTCTTTAAGCGGCAATGGCAACAAGACATGGAAGAAGATGTGGTCCATAGATCTCACCAAAACGTTTTCTTTGTATGGGGACACAGGTTTGGGGCCCTTGGTACGGCCCTGCTTACCATTAGCAATACTGAATGAGGATAAGTTATTGCTTCAAGGTGGTGATATCTCGCAACCAGTGGTGATACATGATCTCCATACCAAATCTTATGATCGAGTCTTCTCAACTGCCACCCCTGGATATTGTGTTTCTTATTTTGAAAGTTTACTCTCTGTTTTATCAACTTAATAACTAGCTTGTCTTTTCTTTTCTCTTTTCTCTGTATCGATCGATCAAACCATTGTTATTTAGGATGTTTGAATGTAAAAAGATGACAATAAGATTGCTTGGTCAAGATAAGTGGTTTGAATATATGGACATTTTTAGGTTTCATTCATCTGTAAAAAAACTTTTCTTTTTATTCATATTCATACATTGAAGTCTCTGAAGGAAGAGATCTCTTGCACAACACACATAGAGAGCAAAGATGGCTATTTTCTACTTTCCTTGTTTGCTTTTGTTAACCATGTTCTCGAGTTATGGATTCGCAGATAAGGCAAACTCTGAGCTCTCCAGATGGAACTTTTGAACTAGGATTCTTCAATCCTAACAGCTCTCAAGAACATCAATATGTTGGAATCTGGTTCAAGAAAGTCACACCTCGGGTATATAGCAGAGAAAATCCAGTCACGAGCTCCACGGTGGGTCTTTCAATAAGCAGCAATGGAATTCTCATCTTGCTTGACGAGAAACAAACAGTTCTCTGGAGAAGGAGCTCAGGCATCTAACGAATGTCGTGCCGAGCTTTCAGAACACGGAAATCTTGTTCTCGTATATAACGTAACTGGCACGTATCTATGGCAAAGTTTTGAGCACCCTACTGATACTATGCTTCCTCTGTCATCGCTTATGTATGCTATTTCCTAACAACACGAGGCGTGTGTTGACTTTGAGATGCATATTATACAAACTGCAACCGATAATTTCAACATCTCATATAAACTCGGTCAAGGTGGATTTGGAACAGTATATAAGGTAAAAGACAATAGATTATGCTCTCTCTGTTTTGCTCTTTTATGTTATTCTCATTCTTGTTCTTGTTCTCTACATGACTCTTTCTCCAACTTTTTCTGTTTACAGGGAAAGCTAAAAGATGGCGAAGAAATAGCTATGAAACGCCTTTCTAGCAGCTCTAGAAAGGGCACAGAGGAATCAAACTACACTAAAGAAAACGTATTGTGAAGACATGCTTGGACAATAAGAAATCTAACAAAGAGACAAAAAAGAAAAAGAGAAATCTAAGAGAAAGAGAGGTCTTCAGTCTCCGTCATTCTTCTCACGTTGCAAAAACATTAGTATTAGGTTTTAAGGTAAAATTAACAAAAAAAAAAATTAAAAAAAGGAAATAAATCTGAGAGTACCTCGATTGGAGTAATTGTGACCAGAACATTGTCATCATCGGGTGTTAAGTCCACGGAAACACCTTTCCCAAGCCTTATGCTCTGAATAAATTTTCTGTCCAGTTTGAGTGTTTTCTCTCACATGTCTTATCCTATTGGTAGGGCACAATAACTTTACAAGCCTCGGCATGTTGCCTGCAAAATACAACAATTAAATAAAAGCCCAAAATTTACTGAGAAATTTGAGATTGTAGACATATGTACATCACATGTGCATATTTGAGTAAAAAATGGCATATTTATTTACTCTTAAACATGAGAATGTATGTGAAAGAAGATGAGACGAGACTTGTGACTGATTCCTAGAAAGCTGATTTCTTGTTTATATGGTGTATAAGTGACTAACAAGAACACTTCACGCTCATCAAAATTATATATTCTCAGACCAATAAAAAAATAGGATAGAAAAGTAATTAACTAAAATTCAATCTGACCAGAAAATAAAATTGCTAACTTACGGATTCTAATTACGAATATTTTTAAATATGATTCAAATATTAGTTTTGAAATATATCAATAATACACAGCTGAAAAAATATTAAATAATGTTTAAAATTTGTTGAATGTTTCGACACTAAAATCCAAAATATGTACACCCTCACTGTGTAAAGTATGAGACAAATGTCTGTAAATGGACTCATACGTAAAACAAAGAATGGCTAAAGTGAAGATTAGCCAATGAACTTGTGGAATTGTGCCGTCTAATCTGATGAATTTGTTTGCTTTCAACTCCTTAATTGCCTTAATAAACGCTTTCCTCACAGCATTATAATTTCCCTTAAACTGTGCCAAACAAAATCAAAACAATATATCAATACTAAAAACAGTCAAATCAAAAGGGAATCAATAAATTTAATGCCAATTAAAATCAAAACAATAGATGAATAATAAAACAGTATTTAATGAATATTAACCTCAATAGTTGACTTCTTCGATTCCTGGATAACAGATGCATATAAGCCCGAAGGGTTGGTTCTCCTAATATCAGCGAAATATCCGCGATCTTTAAAACCAGCGTAGTTCCAGAAACAGAGCTTAAGTTCTTTTCAACTTCTATCTTAAGAGGAGTTGTCTGTGAGTTATTTGCCAAAATCAATTATAAACTTCAGAAATGTCATTTCATTCTTCTTCAGAGCAAGTATTAACAATCTGCCGGGCTTCTGAAATCTGACATTACCTCGATTGCAGATATTGTGATGAAGAACATTGTCATCATCAGAGGAGACATATGTACATCACATGTGCATATTTGAGAAATATGGCATGTTTATTTAAACTTAAACATGAGAATGTATGTGTTATCCGCTTGTTCGATATAGTTATTCTAAAGTTTTGTTTTACATTACACATGTTTTTCTTTAATTTCTATTGAATTTTCTAGGAAGTATTGTTGTTTATGATTCTTGTTTCAAATGAGTTGAAATGGCAAAGCAAGTCCCAAAATGAACAACTCCAAAATTGATTATTACATTTCTAATGTTCGTAAATTTTCAACTTTGTTTTTACAAATTTATGTGATACCTAAAGGACAAAGAGGAATGTGTTGGTTCTATCCCACCTTTTATACCAAATATTTCTTTGCTCTTACTATTTCCACATCTACATAATAACTCCTCGTTTTCCCACATCTAGATAATAGTGTTGAATTAATCTTCTTCTCAAATATCTATAGTGAACTTTAGACAGATACAGTGACATCAATGTATCCTTGTGTTGCTGCTATTGCATTCAAGCTGATACTTGCTGAAGTGACTCTTCTTATGGCGTTTAAGAGTAGCGTTCTTTTTGCCAACAACATGTCTTATCCTATCTGTAGAGCACAATATGTGCAACTTTACAAGCCTCAGCATGTTGCCTGCAAAATACAACAATTAAATAAAAACCCAAAATTTATAACATACATAACATATTAGCAAATGATGAAAAATATGTTATAAATTTTGGTTTTTATAACATATATTAGTTGAAAACACTTGTGATACATGATCTCCCTGCTAAATCTTATGGTTACTCTTCAAACCTACCAAACTCGTAGGTGCTGTTTATTATTTTGAAAGTTTACTCTCTGTTTTATCAAACTAATTTTGTAATCTTTTCTTCGTCATTGTAGTTCAACAATTTCTGCATTTTATTAAAACAATGGTTATCTTCTCCTCAGGTTTTCTTTGGCATCTTGTTTTGTATTCTGTTTTGTTGGATTTTAATGTCGTTGGAGTTTATCTCTCAACTCCTTAACTGCCTTGATAGAAGCTTGTTTAACATTCTTCAAATTTCGGATAAACTGTGCCAATCAAAAAAATTACAACCAATCAAAACAACAAAATGAAAATCAATAAATTTAATGAATTAGACTAACTTGAATCACGAACTTCTTCTTGTTCTGTTTGACATATGCATAAAACCCTGTGTCGGGGTTGGTTATGCTTGTGCTGCAATTAACGCAATATCATGTGTCCCAGAAACAAATATAGTATGGCAGAAAGAAGCGCTTCAACTGATCAGCAATCAGCTTTATCCTATAAGTCCCAATGAAAAGTCTTTTGAGCTTGGGCCTTTCCGAATCATAACAAATGCTAAGAAATTTCATCCCGTACTTCTGAGATTCTACCTCGGATGCAGAAATTGAGATGAAATTATCATCTTCAAAGAGGCTCATGTCTATGGAGACGTGGTTCTTCATGCAGATGCGATCTATCGTTTCTTCAAATTTAAACATGAGAATGTATTTGAAAGAAGATGATGAAAGGTTCTGCAAAATGAAGAAAGCTGATTTCTTGTTTACTGACCAGAAAATAACTATCAAGTATTTATTAGTTTTTTTAACAAATTTTTTTTTACTAAATTAGGGATTCTAATTACGAATATTTTTAAATACGATTCGACTATTAGTTTTGAAATATATCAATAATACACAGCTGAAAAAAATATTAAATAACGTTTAAAATTTGTTGAATGTTTATATTATTTTAATTTCTATGTAAGCCATGATAGGACCTGATCGGGGTGTTTATTTTCTGGTTACATCACAAACGCCCAAACAAAATAAACACCAACAATGGATTTGAAACTGAATTATATAAACATAAACATATCTAGACTGATACACTTTTTTCTTTACGGAAATTAGAAATTACAAATCCTTTTTCTTTCTTAAAGCTTCCTCATTTAGAAAAACCAAAAAGGAAAAAAAAAAAATCAAACATGTTTAGTTCCTTGGTTGCTGCTCTTGCCCATCTCAAGCCCATTCCCATACTCACCATCCTCCACAAACCTTGACCAATACCAATGTGACCTCCACACTTGACCCATCTCCTCTATCGGAATCCCTTTCGTCTCCGGCAAGAATATGTATATGAATATAGACATGACCACCACGAAGAAGGCAAAAACGAGGAATAACCCAAACTTCAAATGGCAAAGCATCGTCAAGAAGATCTGCGCAATGATGAATGTGAAGATCATGTTCACCGACACCGTGATACTCTGCGCCGCCGACCTTATCTCCAACGGGAAGATCTCACTAGGTACTAACCACCCTAGAGGGCCCCACGACCATGCGAAACCCGCCACATAGATGCATATAAACGTTACAACAACAATAGCATACCACTTTGGTAGCTCACCAGGGGTCCCATCTACCCCAAACTTGGCCCCAATACAAGCTGCAACCACAGCCTACAATCACACAAGAAAAATAAAAATTAAATAAACATATACTGATTAGTATAATTGATATACAAACATTAGTAAACGCATCTACATCAATCTAACCTAAAAGGCAAATGTGTTTAGATCCAACAAGATATAAAGAAAAGTAGTTATTTACCTGGCATATTAGCATTTGTGTACCGCCTTCAAGAAAAAGAAACCGACGGCCCCACCTGTCAACACCGTAGATCGAAACTAGCGTGGCGGCTACGTTAACCGAGCCAGTGACCACCGCGGACATGAGAGCAGCGTCAGTAGTGAAACCAATGGTGTTGAACAGAACCGGAGCGTAAAACATTATCACATTGATTCCGGTTAGCTGCTGAAAGAACGGAATCATAATGGCCATCGTGAGATGTGGTCGGTATTTACGGCGGAGGAGGTTCGTCCACGGATGCTCTATCGACTGCGACTCTTTACTAGCGGCGACTAAATCGTCGTACTCTTGGCTGACGTCATCGACGCCACGGATTCGTCTCAGCTTGGTTTTGGCCTCCTCGTGTTTGCCTCGCTCGATCATCGAGTTGGGAGTATCAGGGAGGACCAAGGAGCCGAGAGTTATGATCAGGGCAGGGACCACCGCACCGCCGAGACTGAGCCTCCATCCCCACCCGCCTTTGATTTTGGCAAAGAAATAGTTGAGTACTTCGGCTACGAGGATTCCGATTGTGATTGAGAGCTGGAAGCCTATGTTTAGCGATCCTCTGTATTTGTATGGAGCCATTTCCGATAGGTAAAGTGGCACAGCCTGTAAATAAAAAGATCATACAGGGTTAGTTACGTCATTAACAAGATACGATCCGAATTTGTCTTTTTTTAAAGCGAGAAGACTCCGAATTGTTTGGAATCAAGCAGGGTATGGATTGTAAATACAGAGTTTAAACAGGGTCAATTTCGTTATTCTGTTTAAACTCAAGAAGATACGGTCCGAATATTGCCTTTTCCTGACTAAAGATCCGTATGAGTGATCAAAAAGTTGCAATGAACATGTTATACGATATGACGTCAAAAACAATATATCAATTAATTAAATCACTGAACAGAGAGAAAGAGACATCAGGGGTTGGAGAACAGACCATGTGGGATTGTGGATATTCAGCCGATCACAAATCAATGACAAATTCAATAATTCTCGTTATCATATGAATATAACGTGGAAAATAATGATCGTCGTTGTAAAGTGTAAACTGATAGTAAAGGCAAGAGAAAAAAAAAAGTCAACTTGACCTAACTATTTGATGATTATGTTCAATGAAAGTGGTGGTTGGTCCATCACTTTTTTTTCAGAACCAAGGTACATTTATGAGGAAGTAAATATAAGTTTCAGTGCATTAATTGGAGTAGATGAGTTTAATTTGATTTTTCCTTACTCCCATGAGCATGGATTTAAAGGTGAAAAGGAGAAAATGCAAAAATGCAAAAAAAAAAATCGAAAATATTAAAAAGTACTAAATCGATTTTGATAGAAATACTTTTATGGTTACTGCTAGTATTTTAGTGGTTAGTTGTTAACTATGCTAAATCGTCATAGTTTTAAATTGTGGTTATTAGTGACGGACCTGATTAGCGAATCCGATACCGAAACCGAGCAAGATACGACCGACGATGAGCATCCAAACGTGTTTAGCGAAACCATTGATGAGAGCTCCGGCACAGAAGAGTATGCCACCGAAGAGCATCGAGAGCCGCCGTCCGAACTTCCTCGTCACGGTGGAAGCCACCAAGGACGAGATTAGCGCCGCTAGATAGAGCGAGGAAGTGAAAAGCGTAAGCGTTGGGCTATCGTACTGACAATACTGGTTTGTTGTCGCGTCTTCTTGCTGTTTCCGGTACACCGACGGGAAAAACCGCCGGAGGAAAGACGGCATCGACGTCACACCACCTGTGATTTTTTAAAATAATTTTCAGAAATTCCCAAAAAAAAAAATGATCAGACATGGAAGAGGTGCTCATGACTCTAAAGAAAATAAGGGGCGATTTCTAAAATTTTAAAACCTAAGGATACTGTTGATAATTCTCATTTTTGAGTCTTGTGGGGTGTTTGCGAATTAAGAAAACATAAGAAGAAATTATGTTATTTTTATGGAATGACAATCATAACTTAATTTCTGACGTGAGTGGGTGTTTTCATGACTAAGAGAAACTTTTGAGGTGAAAATACAAAATTTGGAAAATAGTGAGCTACTTACCGGAGATACCGATATCGTAACCGAAGATGAGACCACCCATGGCAGCGACGACGCAAGTGAAGAGAACAAAGGGAGTGAGTTTGCCGGGATAAGCCTTTTGGCCATCTCCGACGACGAATCCACCGGCAGGCATTTCTTTAAGAAATTCTAAAAGAGACCCCTACAGTATTTATTTTATGACCCTTTTTAGTTGAGATGTGATATTTTGCAAACAAAGGAGAGTGGAAGCGAAATTGAGAAGAATATAGATGGAGAGATCAGAGATTACTTATTAGAGTTATATAGACAGTGGGGAAGAGAAGGAGGAAAAGTGTTGAGCTGTCTTTTCTTAGCTGTGAATCCTGTAAACTTTTAATTTTCTCATAAATAATGATTTACTAATTATCCACATCATAAGATAATTGAATAATGTGCCGCTGTTTCATGATTTTGAGCAACTTGCTGACCGTTATGTGAACATGTTATAACTGCATCACGTACATATTGACTTTAGGAACATGTGAATTATTTTCCAATGTTCTGTGTTTGATGGTATAGATTTTTTAACATGAATGTTGAATATAACGGAATCACTGCTAAAATATACATATCATTCATACGTCACATTAGTTTTATTATATTTCATTAGCTGGAAAAAATGAAAGCTTCTGAATATATCAAGTCCAACTTAAAAACTGAATAAGTGTGAATAAAATTGTCGCCGATGTACGCAATGTAAATCAAATACAGTTCGCTGACTTTGAAGACCCACTTGATGGTTCAACGGCTATATCCAATTCCAAACACACATCGACAATTTGTTCGTCTTTAAAAAAAACAAAAAAAATAATCGCGATAATGCAACTCATCAATGTTTTTTGACATTTTATCAAAAATCAGAAAAAAAAAATGTTTTTGACATCCCAAAAATATCTAATTAATGAACTTTTTGTTCTTTCGGAAAAAAAAAAAAAAAAAAAAACAAATTGGGTATTACATGACGTGTACAATTATTTAGATTAAAAGTAAAAGATAACCGAAGTGGCTTTACCAAACCATTTAAAGGATTATAAATTAGTAGAAGCATAATTATAGTAACCTAGTACGATACAAGCATAACATTCTTTATATCGACATTTAAAAAAAAAAAACAACACAGCACTCTAATATATTGTCCACTGTACGTGAGTACGTCGGTACTTCGTACCCATAATTTGACTAATATCAGTTCATACATAAGCTATCGTGGAAATATTCGCTACCAATTTTCTTTTTTATCTGCAAAAATACTTTAAAAGCCAGATAACGGTAACGTTAAAAAATTGTGTCACAAGTTATCATAGTTAAACTTTACACAAAAAGAGTTGAGGTCGGTGGATTGGTGGGAAATTAATTGTACACGTCAGATACTAATCAGCAAGGATCACATTTCATTCGACGGTCCAACTAATTATCTTTATCTATCTGGATAACATTTAATTCGTTTTGGATCATGTTTCTAGAATTAATTTGTTTCATGGGATGCAGCATGGTTTTTCATATAGCGTGGCTTCAAAATTTTCTTTACAGATATAAAGTTTGCGATTTCGACCACTCAAGATTTTGTTTTCTGGATGCACCACTAGTTACGTGGAATGCTTATCCATATGATTTTTTTCTAAAGTTTCAAAGTTTTTATAACGTTCACATATTCCGTGATATTAGGATATATTCGAATTTATACGATATTACTTTACATAATCTATTTTGTATACTGTATAATCTACTGGCCAATATTTTCATCTTATTGGTAAGAAAAATAATAAAAGACAGTAAAGCGATAGATTATGGAGAGCGAATTTGGATTTTCTTTTGTAAAAGGTCAAAGGGCATAAATAAATTATTTTAAAATAAAGGGTTTTTTTTTTAAATTCTGGGCTCGTTCCTTTCCCAGATTCCCGGCACTAGTTTTCACTTCCGAGTTCTGGAGTAAGATTTCGCTATGATTATGAACACAACCAACGGGCCTTCTTATTTATATTCCAAAATACAAACTCATGGTGAAATTTTCAAATTACAGTGGTCATATCTACTGAAAATTTTGTGTAAATACTTAATATAGGAAATGAAATATAATTATCTATATATGAAAGAGACAAACTATGACTTGTTTGATGGATTATCTTAAATATTAACGTAGTGAAGAAGCGTGGTAAAGAGAGGATATTTATTTGCATGTAAAGAAAATGTATGATACTTTTGTACGAATAAAACAAACATAGAAACTAAATTTGACCAAAGAAAAATAAATTAAATTTGTAAAACAAAAGGGGAAAAAGATGGTTCCGTTGGTTTTCTCAAGGGAAAATAAAAGATGGTATTTTAAAACGAAGTCTATGAAAATTGAACTAAATTATGTTTGTGAGCATTTTATTCAAACTTTCTCGACTATTCTAATGTAAAGACAATTTAAAGGAACATATACAAATTGTTGGCGGTTTCACATTTTTTAGTGGTAATTAGAAGAGAGGAAAAATACACAAATATCTCATGCACTATTATTATATTATCTGTTCAAAATCTAAAGCCAAAAGAAAGAAAAAAAAGAGAGAGCTAGGGGCAAAAACAGAAGTCAAGGGTCAAGTATGATAGGCATTAGTCACTACTCACTAGCAAATGGCGCCCATTGTGTCTTGTTAGTTTGACAAAAGCCGTTCCCTAAGTTGTTGACTTGTTGTATTCCAATTCCAAGTCTCCAAGACTCGAGTCCGGCCCCATCCCTGCTTGACTCACGCGCTAAATTTTGGTTGACAGTTCAACACTGGGTTTCCGTAAAATTTGGTTAGATCGATTTTGGAGTACTATATGGTTTGGTTTTGCTTTGTTCGGGTTGGATTGATTAGTATCTTGTGTATATATTGACAATAAACTTAGCCAAAAATAAATTGTAAAAGCCACCAGGAGAAGTACTTTTAGATAGAACAATTTTATCTTAACGAATATTGTTAATCGAAAAAAAGTGTAAGTATTGTGTTTCAATTTGATTAAAGTCTTTTAGATAGAACAATTTTATATTATCTAGAGATAAGATCGTTTCAAATGGATTAATCATGCTATATGAAATCAGAGCTAAATTCACTAACCAAGCGAAGTTTTGTTTAACTTCATTTGGTTTCGGATATGGTTTTCAACCCCAGTTTTACTTGTCTTTTTTGTGTGGTTTACCTTACCTATAAATGATAGCAATGAGTATCCAATATTTGTGCTATCGACCTGTCTCCTTACAAAGCCAAGTTAAAAACAAATATTTTGGAAATCCTAAGAAGCCAAAATATTATGTATCAATAGGAAATCCTATTAATTTGAATTTAAAATAGATATTCATACGAATTTATCGACGTTTAACTATGAAGACTTGAAGAGTCGAAGCATGACTTTCCTCATTTAGATTTATTTTGCCGTGAAGCTCCCGACCACACTTGAACTAAAATCAAGTGTCAATCTCTATACAATGACCGAAGAAGATACATCTGATGGATAAATTATGGACTTAGAATATAGAGTTCTATGTATCGAGAATCGTATATAGACTTGCGTTTTAAGAGATAAAACCAAAACATTCAAGACCATGTTCCGCACTTGATAACCTTTCTAACAAGAGTTCCTAAATCCTGAAACTTTGTAACTTCTTTCCCTTATTTTGACACTTCAAGTCTTCAGCACCCCCTTGAAATTTACTTGGCTTTGTAATTGCTTGTCTAAATAATTAAAGAATTAAAAAGAAGGGCGTTGACGGACGAATCATGTTCATGCGTGCCGAGCGGCTGAAACTAATGGTGCCATCAAAGCAAGTTCACAGCAAGACCTTGCTGGTCTCTCCTTTAGCTGACTTTTGACTTTTATAGAAATTCACTTATTCATACGTAGGAGAAGAAAAATGTTAAAATAATAAAGGGAAACAAATAATGCGTGCATTGTTATAAATACATACAGAATGCAAGACTTATTTGATTAGAAAATTTGTTACTACTTGATTAGTTTTAGACTTTAGTTGCTGTCAGAGCAAACTAATATCCTCTGAGCTTCGTACACAAATGAATAATTAATTCATCAGACTAATCAAGTGCTAGTCAAGATTAGACTATAAATCAATAATGAACCGCTAGGGACAAAAGAATTACGTGGTAAGAAATCTACTAATTACATTATTAAACTACATCTCCAAAAGAATCGTTTCTGAAGTTATGGAGCGGCCTTGGCAGCAAATGTTTTTTCATATGCCCACCCAATCGCACATGGTCCCCTTTCTTTACTTCAACACCACCAACTTGGAGGTTTTGATGACAGCAAAAATGTAAGTATAATTATACTGAAATCCGTATTTGGAATTTGAACATATCCCTCACATTGATGGCAAAATATAAATTTGTATGTGTCGTTTCTCTTTACTATTTGAACCCTGTCTTAAAAATTGGAAATCCTAACAATAAACTTGCATATACACGATCTTTATCTTTTGTTTCATCCATCACACTCTCACGTAATTCTTTTGTCTATATGAAAGAGACCATTTATCTTTTAATGCTTTTTAATCAAGAGTTTGTGTTTCGTTACATGCCAAACCCATGTGCTTCCATTTGTATTTGCTTCCAAACACATCCCTTTTACTTTTGATAATGCTAATCCCAAAATCTAGTTCCATATGATTCATGCAGAGTCGTAGGCTTTTCATTTTCTTAAATCGAAAAATATCAAAGCATATCAAAATGGGCCACTTGTGTATGGGCCTTAGTTTAGACGAGCCTTTTGTGACATGATTCTTATGTTGAACAAATGTATGCTAAATTTTATATGAACACAAAAAAAATTCAACAATAATACCATTATTCGTTACTAGTAATTTTGAGAACGGTAACTGTATTTGGCAGCGGTTTCTTTTGTCTCCAGTTGAAAACAAACTGAAGATAAGTAGTACTAGTACTGCTATTGACATAAACGGTAAAAACACAGCTTAGTAACTTTTAGTGTAAAAATGAACTCAGCAAGTCAGCCGGCAAGTTGCAAGCTTTAGTTAATTCAAATAGTTTTCACCCTTTTCAGCTGAATTACCATACAAACGCATATAACTGCATATTTGCTTCACATCTACAACAACACTAACGTTTTATTGCTTAGCATATATATACATAAAGTGCCAAGCTTAGCATTTCAAAAGACCTATCAATCATCCCTCTTTCTATCTAACAGCAATTTACAGAGACCTAACAAACCAAAAACCCAAGAAGAATAATAAAGAAGTCTCTAACTTAAAACCATTTCTTCAACCAAAGCTCTTGAAGAAAAACCCGGATCATGCGATTGTGTGTGGTGTCGAATCTTTTGACTACGTTTCCAGAAACAATAGAGGGGGCAACACTTGATCCTCGAAACCAAGTTGTCAAGATTCATTTGAAAAGAGCCACTGAGATTTTAGAAACTTTCTTTTCGCCGGTTATTCTCGAACGGCGGTACTTTTTCAGCAATGGAACTTCCATCTCATCTCCAGTATCGATCATCGAATCAAACCCACCACGGAAAAACAGAGTTTTCCTTGGTGTGCTATATTCAAAATGCCATTTCTTCGCTATCAATGTCTGTGAGAGGAAACAAATGATTGGAATCACTTTCTTCTGTTCTATCACAATATTTCAAACAATCTCTTCAAAAAATAATGATGCTATCTGCTTACAGCTTCTCTTATAGTCTTCGACACATTAAACAATTGCTTTAAGTCTCCATGCTCCACTCCACATATTATCCTTATCTGCAAATAAACCAATAGAAATTTTCAGTAAATTTGAAAAAATATCTGGCAGATATAACTACAAACCTTAAATTAAATGATTTTTTCCACAAATTGAAACATTTTCCACAGAGAAGAAGTGAAAACTTTCCATTTTCAATATTGAGTTAATGAGTTCGTTTTCAGAGAACAGAACGGATTCAACTTTCAGCTCTATTTGCCTAATCATCAGCACAAGAACACTAAAAAATCAACAAATATCACTAGAAACCGATTAAAACGAGTTTGTGACTTGAGATTGATTTTAAAGGAGACGATACCAGAATATCTTGAGGAAGAGCTTCAAGCTCTCGAGTTTTGCTCACTGATTTTTTGCAGATATTCCGAGAATCCTGAATCTTCCCACCGGAATTCAAAACCCTCTTCCTCCCAAATCTTTTCTTGTGCTTAACAAATTCTAACCCTAACCCTAATCCACCATCACCAACTACGTTTCGATTCGAGTTGGATGATGATTTCGCAGCACCTAATCTCTTCTTTCCCAGTGCCATTTCGCTCAAATTAATTACGAAAAACAAACTACGATTCCTGCATCAGAAAAAATGTAACAAAAATATGATATTTGGAATTGAAAAATCCGAGTCAATGGACCCAGAAACAGTGGGAGCATAAAGAGAAAACAGTGGAGGTTGGGAAGAAATAAAACATGAAAAACGAATATAGGAACAAGAAAACATACCTTCTAAATAAACACAAGTGAGGGATATATTTTAGAGAAAAGATCCGAAGTTTCTGTTGATTTTGTAGCTATCTATCTTCCTCAAATATCTACAAGGTTGTTGCGCTCAACAAAATATATGAGAGAAAAATGAGTGATTTTTTCGATATCTCTTTCTTATATTTGAAAAAAAAAATGTACATCTCCTTTTTTTATGGTAAGTACAGCCATTGCGGTTAAAAAAAGAACATGGCACAAAGAACTAGCCGTTGAATATGCCATGTGGCAGGCAATCATTCGCAAAGAAACCAACGTGGGAGGTGCATGTGATGACGTGGCGACATGGTTCTTCACTTCTTCGTTTATTCGGTTTAATGCATATACGGCGGATTTTGTTGGTTACTTCCTCGGATTCCATGAACGTAGTACAAGAGCAGAACAGTTCTGATTCTCTGACCACTGTTTTCTGTTCTTTCCCCGAACCACGTGTGGTGTCTTTATTAAATTCTTTTTTTTGGTTTTATTATTAAATTCTTTATCAACGAGTAGTCGAGTACCACAACCTTTGATTAATTTTCTTAAATCGTACTAGTTCAAATGTATTTTTCCCAACTCTTGTAAATTCTTATTTATACATCAAAAAGAGGCTTTCGAATAAATATATTGGAGTTCGGTGACACAGCACGTGCTACGTCATTAAATTTAAGATGACCATGCAACACTGAATTTAACTTTGTAACAGAGTAAATAACATATCTGAGTAACTGTAGTCTGTAACACTAAATTTAATGATTTTTTTGTTCGAGGTTGAGGAATTTTGTTCTTTTAGGTTTGGTGGTAGAAGAGAAACCAAGCCCCAAACATTTAAACTTGGATTATTTCTGAACTTTGTAAAACGCATTGTAAGTTTTGTAACTGAGTTATCAATTCCATTTAAAAGGAATGTGGCTTACTGATAGAACTGATAGACCAGTCCTTTACGTTTTGACAAAATAAGTGCATTGGGCCACAAAGCATAATATTCGAAAGCATAGACTAAAGAATATTTGTATGACAACCAAAACTCCCGCCAAAAAAAAGCATTGCGCAGTTGCCGAGATAAACCATCCATTGCAAGGACACAAAAGTATAATATTACATTATTACCCTCTTAATAATGATTCATACGAAAAAAAAAACAAAAAAGAATAATTAATGAGGATTTATTTGACTTTACTTTTAGAAAGAACCCAATGCAGAGTAAACTTGAAAGAATGTCTACGAAGATGTAAAATCTGAGGTCCCATTCTATGGAGTAGAAAGTTGTTGATAATTCAATCTTAAAATACTTACACACATCATCTAACAATTACATTGCATATGCTTCTCGATCTATAAGACTATATACATATATACACAACATTGTCACGCCAAGCACTAGAGATGGAAATAATAGACCCAAAAGTCAGGATGCCATAATATATTTACATTAATAAATGAACCGGTGTGTTTCAAAACTTTTTCTACAAATTCCTTTCCATGGTTTTCACCGTAATCTAACTATCCCTTCCCACAAAGCCAAAAACACGAAGAAGGAATAAGCAAAGAGATGATTTTGAGAATCAAGATCAAACTCTCTAGCAATTTTACTTCAACATGAGCAGAATATGGGGAAGAGCGGGAATAAGAAGGAGGGCAAAGATGATGAGGAAGAGAATGATGGCGTAACAAGTCCATTTCCTCGAGCTCTTTTGGTACTCCCTTGCGTCTTGGAGCTGATCCGTCCCTCTTCTCACAAACGAGCTTGCTTTCGCCACATGGCTCTCTATGTTGTTCAATTGTTGCCCTTGCGCTTCCACTAGGGCTGCCATGTCCAAGAAAACTTGGTGCAACTCGAGTAGATTCTTCTCAATCTCCTTCACCGCGTCGTGTCTTTCTTGGATCTCAGATATCGTGTCCATGATCTGACCTCTTCCTTGCTCTTGAATCGCCTTCTGGAGAAAATTCTCGCTCTCACCGCTCGCAATCAAGTTGTCGATTGTTTGCTCATCCGCTTTTTCTCCTGTTATTGTGAAATACCTACACCGATTCCAACAAAGATAAATACAACTTGCAATCCAAGAAGACATACATAACATTAGCCTTGCAATGCAAGAAACCTAAAATAAACAAAGACCTGCGCTCCACGGTTTCCTTATACTCATTGTTCATACGAGCACGTAAACCTTGGAAACTGTCCATCAAGTCCTTGAGTTTCTTCCCGAGACCACTAACCACAGACGACCGTGTCCTATCCGTAGACGAGCCGGGTCCACAACCCGGGACATTACGGCTATTAGCATTCGCTTTCTCTAAAGCTTCGAGCTTCTGCTTGATCATTTTGACTCTCTTAAGGACTTGACCTACGTCTCCATCCATCTTAGCTCGTAGCTCCTTCACCTTCTTGGCATTGTGGACCGTGTGGCATTCTTCGTTTGAGTCTTGAAGCTTCTTGTAAAGACTCTCGACTCCTTTCATGTCGTCCTTTACGTTCTCGACATCTTCGAAGAATTTGTCGAGATTCATCGTTTCTTGACCTGCCTCGACATCTCCCAACTGAGCCTGGTTCTTCTTAAAAGAACTTGAGAATAAGTCGTTCATTTTTCACTCTTTTTTTATAAATAATATACAAAGTTTTTTTTGTGTGTTTTTGTTCTTTCTAGTTTTTGATGATGATTGTCACAATCTTCATCCTCTGCCCGAGTACGAGGAAGATCGAGGAGGGTTTTTATTTATTTTTGTGTTTTGTTTTTGAGTGAAAAGGAAGAAGTTTAGTTTTGTTGGAAGGTTTATTTTGTTATGTCAGAATGAGAGTCACAAGCAGTTTTGGTAATTGTCTAAAATTAGTTAATGGCATAACTTTATCTTAACCAAATTAGCTCGCTTTGTTAAAAGACGCTAATACCCCTATAATGGGCCGAGCCTAGAGCCCAATTAAAAGTCCCACTCATTTTTGCTCTCTGCTTCTTCTTCGTCTTTCTGCTAAGACTTGGGTTTGATTAAACCTCCAAACCCTAATTTTGTGACCTGAATCGTTTCGTTTCCGGTCGGAGGAAGTCTCCGCCGATGGATAACGAAGAGGCGGGTTCGCTGGCTCCGCCGACAAGAGCTGCACACATTGGAAAGAGAGCTCGCAAGAACAAAAGCGTCACCGTCTCTTTTGATGAGAAGGATCTCAGGTATCGGGAAAAGTTCTAAACTTGCTGCTGTTTCAATCGCGATAATTGGATTCAAAGTCACATATTCAATCTAACTATATTTAATCGCTGTTTGTTCGCGAAATTAGCTGACTTTCCAGCTTCGTGTTGCTTGTTTTGTTTGCTAGTGATTTTGTGAATGGTTTTCACAAGAGGAAGAAGAAGAGGAGAAAGGAAGCACATAAGCAGCAGGAGGAATCTATGCGTAAAAAGCGTATCGAGGCCCGTAGAAAGGTGAGGATTGCTTCTCCAATTGAAGCTTCATTCTGATTTTTGACATTTCATCATCCATGCCTTGTAGATTAGTCTACTTTATCAGCCAAGAACTGTTTCTGTGATTCATTTCTATGGAAACCTGAGCGTTTCTTTTGTTTTTGACTTGCAAATACGGATCCTAATTTACTTCTTTAGATACTGTCTATGATGCATTAGTGATTGATACTGGATGATATGTCAGAGAGACTGTTAAATGCTCAATTATGTAGATTTTGATTCTTGGCCTCGAGCTTGTCTTGTTTCATGTTGTTCTGAATCTTGTATCAGAGGAAATTGGAAGAGCTCATGGTCGCAGGTCATGTTGAGGAAGCTGAAGATGAAGATGAGGAAGCTGAAGAGGATGCAGAGAACGAAGAAGCAGAGCCTGATGCTTCAACTACTGGTAAATTTTCATAATCATATTAGTCTTCACTATGTACAAATTTCACTTTCTGCATCCTCTTTATCAATGCAATGGTTGATTGGAAATTTGGAATCGAGAAGTTGCAATATAAGCATTATTGAATGTCTTTTTTTTCTCCATTGATTGCTTTTGCTTCAGTATGATTTTGTCTTTTGATCGGTCTTGTACTGAGTTTTGTTGTGTTTCTTTGTGGATCAAAAGGCACGACAATGTATGATACAGGGGAGCTGACAGTAACGGTGACGACAAGCGAGATATCTCGTGAAGAGGATGATAAGCCTGTTCGCAAGGAGAAGACCCAATCAACAGAAGCAGGTTCCACGGCCAAAGCCCCAACAAAACAGCCTGTGCCTGTGAGGAAAACCAAACCAATGAAGCAGAACAGGAGACACAAGTCAACCACCAAAACTATGAAGAAAAGAGATAAGAAGAAACAAGCGAGAGGAATCAAGACTTCTCGGTAGCTATAGAGAGATTTTGTGTTGTGTGTGTCCTTGCTCCTTTGAAATTGATGCTTTTGTAGCTTCTGAGTTCTTATGACTCGAATTCTCAAACGTTTAAACTGTTTAATGTGGTTGAAATTGGCGGGTAAGAATCACATTTATCATTCAAATTTTGTAATGTTTAAGAGACTAGAGATTTCTTATCATTCAACACCCAAAGAACAAAAAAACTCGAAAATTTTGGAACTAATGGTCACGCAGATATGCAACATGTGGTCCATCATGGTTTAGTCGGAGGACTAACGGTGCCTCGTAACGAAACTTCTGGCGCGAGATTGCAACTGTGACACGTCGGTAAGCGGACACGTGTCTAAGCTCTTAAGATTTTCGTGGCATAGTCAACCGAATAGCTTTGACTTTTTTTTTTTTTTTTCAAAGCTTTGACTCTAAACGTTAAATCTAACGACCGAAACAACAGTGATGTCGTACAAACGTGTGAAATACATATAAATCGATGGCCAAAGTAAAAATGTTGACGTTTGGTGGTTGCTCTGTACTTTGAAGAAAGCTTCTTTTACCTATTCATATCATTCAAACTCGACATGGCCATTCTTAAGTAATGAACGTTTTGGAATGATTATATCTTAGATTCGTAAGTGGGAGTTAGTTTACACTTGTTATCAGACATTCAGCAATATGGCCTATAAAGAAATCACAAAAGAGTAATTTCCATTATGCATATTTTTTTTGTTACGTTGAATTAGACCTGTTTATATTTAAATAAGAAATTATTTTACTCACTGAATCGACGACATTCATTCACTTACATAAGTTTGCTTTCATGCATGTTCTTTACTATTAAAGTTAGAATATTTAACGTTGATAATACTTGTTGATTTAGCACAAGAAACCAAATTAAATTACTATGTAAACCAGTTGTTTTATATCTTGGATTCATTATAGTTATTTTGTTTTGTTGAAAAATGTTATTAGGGAACAGTACATGATACGAAACTGATATGTTGTATAAAGATTTGGCTATCAGCGAAATAAGTTAAATTACGGGGCCAACATGTGGTTTGTAAACGTAACAAGGACGTCTAATGTAGATAGATGCCTTAATTTGTACCGTACAATCATCTTGATTTACATTCACTACATGGCAACAAATATCGTCTATTACTATCAAGCTGGTTGAAGAAATTGAATTGTTGTAACAAAAAATTACATATCACACACCCACCATACCTTTTAAATGATGGGACACGAAAAGACATAAAGGTCTCACACTCTCAGTGAATATCCGTTAAAAAGAAAAGAAAAAACACGCACACACACACACAAAATATCTATCACATATTCTTGCGACTGCGAGGACAAGTCACATAACGATGAGTCGATGAGACGTATGAAGCTGGACTAGATATTCGGTTGTATTGGTTACTTTTGGATGAAATGTGATCGAATTATCGACTTTGTTGGTCTAAGAGGAAGCCAATTAAAAGAAGATCGTATCGGTAATATGTTATTCTACGGTCAAGTTCAATCGCTCTTCCATCGGATGATCAAAAACTCGTGAATAAACACATTTGAAGTAAAATATGTTATCAAATCATTCTTTTAGTTTTATATTTCTATAGGATCTATTCGACATCGTGCAAACCAAATTTTATGTCGGGATAAACAAACAAAACTACTTGATTCTCTTTCTTTTTTCAGTATCTCTCGAATATGAACTAATCGTTCGAGTTTTCTTTGCGACTGAAAGTGAAATATTGGTCGAGAGTGAGATACGGTTAAAATGTTGTGGTCACACAACTTGTGAAACAATTAAATAGGCATTACTTTTACAATGTTTCATTTATTTTCCTCTTATTATTTGTTGGGAGATTGCAAATCGACACGTGGATTTTGCCATTGCCCTAATCAATCCCAACCGTCCATCTTATTATTCTTAGATCCAACGGTATATATCAAAATTAAATCATAGCGCAGCCTAGCTTCTCCAATCAGTTCCACTTATATAAATCAAATAGTCGATAGATCTACAGAAGACCAAATCGATAAAAATGGTGTCGACGGCCATCAAGGCGGTGCTAATCTCCGTCGGAATCACCGCCACGGCTCTGTTTCTAAAGGCTTCTGTTCCTATGGCTGTAGATTTCTCCTTATCGCGATCTCCGATCCTCTGGAGCTCCTTTCTCTCGTGGCTGAAACCGCCGTACCTATTCGTTGTCATCAACGTCATAATCACCATTATTGTAGCTTCTTCCAGTTATCACGATGGCGAAGACGACGAGATTACACACGGTGGAGACTATGAGATTCTCACTGAGCAGATCGTCCACCAAGCTCCACCGAGACGTCTGGAGGTTAAGGAAGTGGATCTGGGTGCGGATTCCAATGTCGTGGTCACATTTCCGCCGCCGATTCGTGTCGCGGATTTGGAGAAATCGGAGGTTGTGTTTGAAGAGAGGGAGGAGGAGGAGGAGGAGACTTCAGGACTGGTCAACAGTGGAGATGAGTCTGTGGTGCGGACATCGAAGTTGAATCAAGTGCCGCCGATGATGGAAGAATCGGAGAATCTCACTCCGACTGAGAAACCGGCTAGATCCAGCCACCGGAAACCGGTCAAAGCGATACCAAAAGGTACTGGCGACAGTGACTCATCACTCTTCAAATTTTATTTTTTAAAATATTTAATTTTGAGGAAAGTGTGACGTCATTGAAAATAACGGCTAGTTAGATATTTTTTTCAAACAATATCTGGTAAAAAAAGCTAAAAAATAGAGGTAAATAGATGGGGGTAAATAGGTAATTTAAAAGCGGATTAAATTATCTTGCAGTGGGTATCAAAAAGAAGAAGGCGTTGAGAGTGGCGAAACCAAAACGGAACGAGACGACGATGGAGAATACGTGGAAGATGGTAACGGAGGAAGGAAAGTCAACGACGTTGACTAGTCATTACCGGAGATCCAGCACGTTCGGGCTTGACGGCGGCGAGGTGCAAGTACAAGTACAACCCGCCTTGAGGAAAGCGGAGACTTTCAGGGACATGACTAATTATCAAAAGTCTTCGACGGTGACGCCGCCGGTGAAGATGAATAAGGAGATGTCGCCGAGTCGGGAGGAGCTGAATCGGAGAGTAGAAGCGTTCATAAGGAAGTGTAAGGAAGAGAGGCTGGTGGAGTCGATGAGATTGGACAAAGTGGTGGCTTAGACACGAGATTTGTCTTAAATTATTATTAGTCGTTTTTACTATTTTGACTGTCTTTTTTGTTGTTGTTGTATTCTTTTGACAACAAAAATGAATCAAAAGCGATTAAGATAACTATTTTTTTCACATTATGAAGTTTAGGGGATCCAAACAGCTTGTGATTGTGAGGAAAACCAAAATCCTTCAACTATGAAGAAATATATAAGAAGTAAAAAGTAAGAGGGATAAGATTTTGGAGGTAGCAATAGAGATTCGAATGTGATTATTTGTAGCTTCTGATGATTCAAATTTTGTGGGTAACGCTAACAATCAGAGAATATGACGATGTATCTTCTTTGTTGATTGTTTCAAATACAACTTTATGTAAAGGAAAAACAGGAAAATCATCACATTTGTTAAATACAAAACATCTTTGTTTATCATGAAACATTTTGCCAAAAGTGTAAACTCAAACTTTCCGTTGCCATTTGACGTTTGAGTTTACAGTTTACCTGAAATTCTTTTTGCTCAAAATGTTGCGAATTATTTTGAGAAAAGTATACATCAAGTACAAACAATCAAGGCTAAGTCTTGTTAAGAATAATCGCTTCATCATCATGATATAGGGTATTAAATTCAGCTGCAAGCTGCGAGGTAGAAGATGCAAATCGAACTATTGAACTAAATGCACATGGGAACAAATGTTTCTCATTGTTTATCAAAAAAACAAAAAAAACAAAATGTTTGGCAGTGAAAAAAGTAGTGATTAGCTTTTACGAGCTAGTTGTCAATTAAGAACAAGCTGTTACGCGCTATAAAGTATAAACCCTTTCCTCAAGAAAGAAGAATCGCTTTAGTGTTTAACAATTGACACTCTGACAATATGATTTGTTGAAACTTAACACTTAAAATACCATATCAACAATTAGAGATAATTGTAGAAATTGTTAGAGATCAGATTACAACCATGTCAAAAGAGAAATGCTGCACAAGTGATAAGCGCCTAAAGTTTTAATGTGTATCAAAACATTCCGATTTTGTTTTTGTTTCTATTTAGTTATTGTCTTTTCTTGTAAAAGAAAAACACAAAACACCCAAAGTTAACTTAAGCACGTATGAAACATACCTATCTATCCATTCGTTGTCAGACACGTGGTATTGGACGTTTAAGTCTATAAATGGGTCCAAGCAACGTATCTACATTATATTCTCCTCTGAAAGAGCCGACATCACGCCGTTAAATCTAACGGCCGGCTGACAGATAACGTCATACAAACTCGGGGGACTCATTCTCTCCATTACAGTTACGTCACAGGGCAGTAGGAAATCGGTGTCGTTATCTGCTGGCTCTGTGTTTCAACGAAGTTTCGTTTGCATTTCCTTTGTTTATGTCGGTAATAAGCAAATTATGTATCTTCTAATTGTTTCTTATTGGGTGAGATGTGAATCAAATGAAATTATGGGCACATGTTATCGTGATTAAAGTCAAAATAAGCTTTTGAAAGTTCTTATCGTCACTAAACACCACAAATAATAAATAATTACTTCTTCTAACAGATCTTTGTATAACCAAAATATCATTGTCTGCACAATTTTTTTTTTAAACGAAAATCGTTTTTTTTTTTTTTTTTTTAACGAAAATCGTATTACAAATGAATAAAACCAAAGATAGTAATGTAAATCCATATCTAATCAAAATATCATTTTAATAAATATTTTTTTAAGTGACAATGGCGATAGTATTTAACCAGAAGTGTAAGATATTTCCAAATTCAGTAGATATTTTCAAATTTTAATTAATCAATCCAAGTAGAATACGTAAAAACAACCAAATCAAACTATTTTCACTCAACCACTAATTTATATTTCATACTAAGAGCTGGAAAATAAGCTTCAATATAGTGTAACATGTTTGACCAAGTCTTAATTTGATAGTTTAGAAGTTAATACATTTTTTGTTTGTTAAAGTTTAGAATTTAGTATTGTTCGTTGTGACATAATCTAAATTCAAGCTTCGGTGAAAACGTTATTAGATTATAAATTAAAGATATATATACGTCCACGTTTATTTTTTTATTCATCAATATAGAAAATATAAAATAAAACTTAAAAATGTAGAATTTAAAAGATGTAAGGAGTAAGATATGTGGTTTGTGGGAGTAGTAGATTTATTTACGTAATTGATTTCTGCTAAATATAGTGGTGGACAAAGAAAATAGTAAAAAGAGTGGAGAGCAACTTGAGACGAGTCAAATATACGACAGTTAGAAAGTTGACATCTACCTTGGCTCCTTCTTACTGCTTAGCTCTTAAGGAAATAATGTCCGAGGGTGTTGTTAGTGAGTCTCTTTCTACCAAAGAAGAAGACGAGATAGTGGGTTTCCGGAATAATCTCATAATGACAGAATGTTGGATGTAGAATTTCGTTATGAAATCCTTCATTTTAATCCACTGACATTGGTTAAGTGAGATCATTTTAAAAGGTAATGCACTACATGCGTTTAGTGTTGCTATAAATTAATTTGTTTAGTGGCATGACTTAATTATTAACGACGAACAATAGTTTTGGACGATTGCATTACGGAATTAATGGCCCTACATTCTTAACAGCTTATAATGGCAAAAATGGTAAGATATTTTGTTTTTGTCGACCAATACACGTTCAAATACAGATTCAGTGAATAGTACGCGATATTATTCTTTGTTTTTGTTTTCCAGTTAATACATAAGGCGATGTAAGGTTAAAAAGACGTGGCCATAGCGTGGGAAACCATAGGAACACAGGGAATTATAAACGATGGTCATACTCATACACTCATAGTCATACTAGGTTGACCAATGAGAAAATAAGAGAATTTTATTTAACGTAAAAAAAAAAAAAGAGAATTATATTAAGCTTTTTTAATGATGAAATTTGGAGATAGAGACGACGAGTGTGGACACGTGAAGTTTTGTTTACGTATCGATAAGACAGAAACAATATAAAAAAAGTTTATTCTTTAATATTGTTTTATTGTACAAGGGGATGCAATAATCCTGACCGTTCATCTACCTAATCGCACTTATCCCATTAATCCCACACTCTATATAAACCGAACAGAATATCAATATCTAAGCTAAGACCGTAGCAACAACTACAACACTCAATAAAATCTGAAGAGAAAGAAAAAAAATGGCGTCGTGGATAAAACCGGTGCTTATCTCGACTGGCTTCATAGCCATGGCTATGCATCTAAAAGTCATTGTTCCTGTTGTGGCCGTAGATTTCTCCAGAGGTCCGATCCTTCTGAGTTCATTTCTCTCGTGGCTGAAACCTCCGTATCTCTACGTCATCACCAACGTCATCATCCTCGTCATCGGAGTTTCTTCCAAGTATTACCATATCATCTCCAGCAACAACGACGGAAAGGACAACCAGAATTCATACAGCGGCGACTATAAGAGTCATCAAACTGAGCAGCATAACGTCCACCAAGATCCTCCGCGGCGGCCGGAGACGAAGGATACGGATTTCAGTTTCGTCTCCGAAATTCCGCCGGCGAAGATCATCGTTGAGAAGAAGGAGAAAGTAGAGGTGGTTACCAAGAAGCTAGCGGCGACCGTAGAAAAGGAAAATAAGAGTTTAGTGGTGGTGGCGGAATCGAAAAATCTGACTCCGGTGGAGAAGCCTCTGGTTACGGCGAGGATCGGCCAACGGAAACCTGCCGTCAAGACCACCACAGCAGGTAAATAATTTGATTTAATTTTATTTTATTAAAGAAAAATATGAAAGTGACGTGACGTCATACCCACCAGTTTAGATATTTTATTTGAATTCCAAAACACTGTTTGCTAAAAGGTAAATTCTTAATTTGCAGAGCGAAACTCATTGAAAGCGCTGAGAGTAGCAAAGCCAAAGAGGCACGAGACGCTAGAGAACACGTGGAAGATGATAACCGAAGGGAAGCCGTTGACTAGTTATTACCGGAGACCGGACACGTTCGGTATTGGCGTTGGTGATTCGAACAAGACAAAACAAACCGGTCTGAAGAAAGTGGAGACGTTCGGTGACAGAACTAACTATTACCTGTCACCGGCGGTGTCTCGGAGTAGAGATGAGCTGAATCGAAGAGCAGACGTGTTCATCAAAAAGTGCAACGACGAGAGGTTCGCGTCGATGAGACAGGACAAAGAAGTGGCGCGACGTGGTCTTTCGTATTGATATGTTTTTGTTTGTTTTGTCTTTCTAATTTGGATTTAGATTTTTAATAACAAAATGGACAAAAGGAATGTGTATAAAGTCACGGATAAGAAAATCCCCGATTTCATTTTACTGAATTGGGCAAGGGTGGTTGCATCTAGTGGTTGTATCGAATATTTCATTTACGTTGACAATGTAAACTCATTGAATATATATTTTTGGCTAAAGATGAGACTTAATCTATTTAAATGTGGCTAATTTGGCCGACCGAAAAGTTTTTGTTGAGCTATGGGAGTGTTCATCTCGAAATAGCAGCTTGGGTAATGCTTAAAATGGAAAAATAGATGTACGTTTTACGACATGTACTATTGTCTACTAATATTCAAAGCATGATCGTCTCAAACTATTTGTAAAATCTTGTTCTATTACATGCATATTTATATTTTAATCAATAAAAAAATATTCGATTTTTAAAGTTATAGGTCGCACTTTCTACGCATATTTAAAAGCTTAAAAGTTTCTTGTTTTTAAATAGGAGATTTTTTCGAATGCTCTACTTGCGTATTATAAAAACAAAGTCCTCCTTCAAGTGCATAATCCCTAGTGAAAAGTTTTAAGTTTAGGTAAAGTAGTTGTGTTATGTTTTTAAATATTTTGACTATTCTGTGTGTAACTAGTTAAGAGACACTATGTTAGACATAAATAATATTAAAATAAATTAGTTGCATATCGATATGACATATGATAAAGTAGAGATATTTGCACATCGATATGACATTTGAGCTGAAATAGATATTTTCCACCCTAACAGAGTTGATCTTTGGAAGCAGATATTTTCCTCTTATCGTTACAGCTTTTGTATTGTTGTGTTTTGTCTTTCTCTGCAATTTAGTATTACCACTGTATTAGTAGGGACTAGTAATCATCACTCCATTAAGAAAAATCAACAACAACAACTAATTTTTTGAATTATAATACTCTTTGTTATACAATCCGAGATATTCGTACAGAGCATCAGTAACATTCACATTAACAACAACCACAAGGTGTCTCATTCTCAAAATCAATCCCTATTCTCAAAATCAATCCCCATTGTTCATTCTCATCTTCTTTTCGGTTTCTCCACTATAAGGAGCAACGTGAAAAGCGTATTGTTGCATAACGGAGAAGACGATCATCTCAAGACACACAAGCACGTTTTGCAGAACTTCTCCAAGCTGCTCCACCTTCAACCAGAAATGATGCGGCTTTATTACTCCCAATCCTACCAATACCTCCAGCACCACGCCCTGCACAACACACAAAACTCCAAAACATTAAGAGAAGAACAATGTGCAGCAAAAGACAAAGAATGCTTTAAAACTCTCAGAAAATGTTCAATCCACTTAACCAAAAATTCAGTAACCATCATAATTAATCTATTGAGAAGAGAGACTTGTTTGTCTCAAGGACCAATCAACGAGTCTCAAACTGTTATTGGTTCGCTATACCAGGAGAAAGCTACTTTGTATTTACCTGCCAGAAGCAGAAGAAGATGATCCCTTGGATGCACATGAACTTTGTAAGTGGCTTATGAGGCTCCAACTCTTTGGCAAAGACATGGTAGAATTTCACCAGAGAATACAACGCCAGTGACACCGAAACGTTAAGAACGGCGGTGAAAATCCAGCTCAACCACGGTGGATAAACCCCGAGGATCTGTAGCGTTATCATCAAGATAGAACACACTGGACGGATGATGCAAAACTGCCATGTCCACTCCTTGAGCTGATTCAGTGTGCGTTGATCAAGATGTGTGGTCCGTGGAACGAAGAGAGTCATCGGAAACGAATGGTGGATCTCTCTCCCTTTGATCTCGTCAGGGATAATCCTCTCGCTCATCGATATGTTCACGTAGCTATACAACAAAACCAAGAACTTAGCAATCACCTGAAAAACAAAACAGAGCAATACACAACAAATCAAGAAACATACAACAAAGCCAAGAACTTAGCAACAGCCTGAAATAAACAGAGCAAATGCAACAAATCAAGAAACAATAGAGAGAGAGAAGCAATTGGATCAAGAAACGTACAAGTGCCTCGTAGCAGTCCTTAACGGCGTCAAGAAACAAGTAGAAAGGTTTGCTTCCTCTAGCATCTAACAAGCCGATGAAGGAGTTGATGGCGTAGACAGGAGCCATGAGGATGATGATTAGAATGGCTTTCTGTTCTTTTGGGTTTTTCCAGTAAAAGAGATGCTGTGATATGAGCTGCATCGTGAAGTGCATAGAGAGCAAGACGCAGAACACTGATCCCACCACTGTGATCTCCGCTGGAGATAGAGTAGATAGGTCTATCATTCTGCAGCAAATGAAACAAGTTTAAGCACACACTTACTCAATCATCATGATTTCAGCACAAATCGAGCAAAGTTTCTTTTGGGATACAGATCTTAAACTGTAGAGACCTATAATCAAATCGTTCAAGAACAAGCCAAGGGGATTTCTAAATTAAACCGAGACACAACTAAATCGGGATTCAAAGGAGCAGAGAGAGAGAGCTTAACCTGATTGAAACAAGTTGTCTGGTTATCGAAGAAGACGATTCAATTAGAGAACTTGCTTCACCGTATTGTGATGGTAGGATTCTTCACCGTATTTGGAACACAAAGAGGGACTGAAAATTGTTTGACTGGTAAAAATTGAACGAAGTCGACTTGACCAAGAAGGAAAAAGTCGTCGTTTTGACATAGCCGGAGAAAAGAAATTGGGTCGAGAAAAAAAGGTTTTTTTTTTTTGGCTAAGTCCGGTTTGATTGATTTGGTTTGGTTTAGTTCAATTAAAAATAAATTCCGATTTCAGTCCGGTCAGTAAAACAAATGCACTTAAATCTAATCTCATAGGTGCTAGAAAATGATTTAGATGATATGTTGAATTGTGGAGCTTAATCTCGCATACCCATTTGTTTTACCATCTGGACAACTCATATGTTCTTGTATAACTTATGTCTTAATTTTATTTTGAATCTTTAGATTTTAGATTTTACTTTGTTGATTTTTGTGGTTTTATCTTTTTTTTTTAATTCATTGTCTTAACTGGAAAATGTAAACCAACCAAAATTTAAATTGCTTAAATATCCAATGACTCAACCACTCATATAACGTATACTTATGTATGTTAAAACTTTAAATGTTTTAAAAAATCCCAATTTACCAAAAGCGTTAAAACATTTTTCAAAACTCTTAACATAGTTAGATGATTGGTTGATTACTACGATTATTAACACTTAACATATCAAAGACTGATAATTATCAAATGAGAATAGTTGATTAATATGAAGTAGTTAGTATTGTGGTGTTGTGAATGGCTACCCTTATAACCCCATCATTGTCTTTGAAGGCTATAATTTTACACTGAAAAAACACAGTTTTATTACATGACTTAAGTTGATCTCTGATTTATGCATGTTATCACTATTGAATGTAAATGGGAAACAACAATTCACAAATTAGAGATCAATTTAAGTCATGTAATAACATAAAAACAATTATCAGAGTGCCGTAAAACATCAAGTGGATTTGTGACACAACCAGCTGATTAGGTTGTGCTGCATGATCTCACTGTGAGAGCACTCAACTCAAGCTCATCCACCGTCACGATTTTCGAGCTAATGAAGAGCTTTAGAGCCTATAAGGCTTTTGAAGTCAATATCACCAAACAAGAGGTTATTGTCCTTTCAGTTTATGTCTATAGTTTTCATTTGATGTCTTAGTTGTTCTGTTAAGATGTGTTCAATATTCCGTCTCTTTCAATGCAGGCTTTATCTCTCCTTAAGACTTCATTAACTTCTCCATCCCTCTCTTTTTAACTTTCAAATATGGATGTGAAAAACTCGTTGATATTTTGGGTTCTTGTGTGTTTTGTTTTGCTGTGAAAAACCCTTTAATATTCTGGATTGTTGTGTGCTTTGTTTTAATGTGAAAAACACTTTGATATTTTAGATTGTTGTGTGTTTGTCAATTAAAAATTAAAAATTTGTAGTGACTCATTAGTTATATTATGCTCTCAAGTCATGAGTGATGATAGGTATTTTATAGTCTTTTATGGCATGTACCATTTGTTCACTTATTTCATCCATCAATCTGCTTAACTTGTTAAATAAGGAACACTATGATAAACAAAATTGGTTAAACTTACGTTGTGTGGATATTGGAAACACAAATTCTTTTGTTCTTCTCGATCTGGTCAAAGTGTACAATTACTATGATTTTGTTAAACAACGACATACGGGTACAAAATACAAACCAGTATACAGTATTAATTGTATTTCTTGGCCATTTAAAAATAGAGATTTGAGTATTTGTTTACTAGTCCACCTATATAAATGATGCGTGAGATGGGTGTGAGATCTATAAGACCATGCCTTTAGTTAACCATTCAACAAGTGAAAAGATTGTGATCAGATATTTCGAACTTAATTACACACGTTTTGAGCAAAAATTGCAAGGGGACTGAAACGTGCCAACGGCTACAAACATTTGTTAGTCTTATATGGACATTTTGAACACATTTTTAGGCGCTGCAAAACATTCCAACTGTGAGTCGATAACAAGAGAGTTTCTTCAAGCTGCTCCACCTCCAACCAGAAATGATGTGACTCTATAAATCCCAATCCCACCAATATCTCCAGCACGATGCCCTGCACAACACAAAAACCAAAAAATCCAGAAGATTAAGATAGGAACAATGTGTTCAAGACATGAATGCTTTACACTTTGAGAAAAATGTCAAATTTACTTGACCAAAAATGCAGTCATCATCATTAATCTACTGAGAGGAGGCTTGTTTGTCTCAAGGACCAATCAACGAGTTTCAAATGGTTATTGGTTCGATTAAGGCGACAATTTCTGCTTATAGTTATAGGTAAATTTGTTTCATTGTAGCATCTACATTGGTTGTTGGATATTTTCATTTTAACTTGAACAGAGTTTTCTGAGTTTTGTTTAGAAGTCTGGTTAGCTGGAATCAAGTCGTGGGATGATTTCGTTGACTAACTCTCTCCTCCTAATGTCAAATCAACTATCATTCTGCAGCAAATGAAACAAGCTGAGCACACACTTACTCAATCATCATGATTCCAACACAAATCGAACAATGTTTTTTTTTGGGAAAACTCTCTCTGTCAATTCAAATTAGGACACGGATCTTAAACTGTAGAGACCTAGAATCAAATCGTTCAAGAACAAGCCAGGGGATTTCTAAATTAAACCGAGACAGCTGAATCGGGAGTAACAATTTCGCAGAAATAGACGAAGCATAAGAGAGAGAGAGAGGGCTTAACCTGATTGAAACAAGTGGGTTGATTATCGAAGAAGACGATTCAAGTAGAGAAAACTTCACCGAATTGTCAGAGGATTCAAGTAGATGTCCTTCGTCGCTTTGACATAACCGGAGAAAATAAATTGGGTCGAGAGAAAAGGTTTTTTTTCGGCTAAGTCCGATTTGATTTGGTTTGGTTTAGTTCAAATGTTACAAACAAATTCCGATTTACAATTCGACCAGTAAAACAAATGGCATATACTGGCAAACTAGGTAGGCATCGATTAAGATGATAAGCCAAACTCAAATACATGTAAACACATTCAATCATATATACGTGCTAGAAAATGATTTAGATGATATGTTGAATTGTGGAGATTAATCTCGCAACCCATTGTTTGACCAGACCTCCGGACAATACGTACGCCCATTATACAACATGCATTGTATAGCTTACCGACTTAATTTTATTTTGAATATCTCTAGATTTTACTTTGACTTTTGTGTTTTTTTTTTGAATTCGTTGTCTCAATTAGAAAATGTAAACCGATAAACATTTTAATTGCTTAAATATTCAATCACTCACAAAGTAATAATCAAACAACTCATATAACTAATGCTTTAGGTATGTTACTTAAAACTTAAAAGGTTTTAGCAAATCCCAAATTAGCAAAAGCGGTAAAATACCTAAACAGCTAAACTGTTAGTTAGATGAGTGGTTTGATACCTACAATTGATAAACTCTCAACATATCAAAGACTAATACTTAATAAACGAGAGAGTATATAAAAATTAAATTAATTAGGAAAATATGTAGAAGAACAAAGTAAGTATAAAAAAAGGAAAAACTGTGCAATTTTTTTAGATTGATACTTTAGACAGTTAATACAACTGAATTCAGCATAAAACATAGGTCTTAAACATAACTGATTTGAACATAGGTCTTTAACTGGATTTAAACATAAAACATAGTAGGTCTTAAACATAAAATATAGCAGGTCTTAAACATAACTGATTCTTACTCCCTTCACCCACTTTAGAATTCTTGAGGACAGAAGTAATTTTTCTTCTCCTCCTCCGTGGTTGTAGGTAGAAGGTGGTAATGTATGGTCTTCAGGTTCATTTTTCCACAAGAGTTTTGAGCCAATGTTGTTCCTGCCCTCTGTAGTGCTTGTTGATAAGTTTATTGTAAAACTTCTCCTAGAAGCTCTTGTGGTATGATTCGAGCTCACGGACACTCATGGATGAATGAGAAGCGGGAAACTAAAAACTAAAACTAAACCAAAAAAAGTAATAATATTAGGCATGTTAAAACTTAAAAGGTTTAAGGAAATCCCAAATTAGCAAAAGTGGTAAAACATTTCTACAAAACTTTTAACATACATACAAATGATTAGTTAGATTAGTGGTTGATACCTACAATTTATAAACTTTCAACATATCAAAGACTAATGTTTATCAAACGGGGAGAGTATATAAAGTTTAAATTAATTAGGAAAATATATAGAAGAACAAAGTAAGCATAAAAAAGGGAAAAAATGTGCAAAGTTTTTAACTGATACTTAGACGGTTAACACAACCGAATTCATCATAGAAGCCATGCAAAACGTTAAATATTTAGGGCAATAAACATTAAATTTATGGGCTTTTATGGTGTTTTGGAAACATAAATACCTTTATTCTTCTCGATCAGGTCAAAGTATTATTTGCATGATCTTAAGATAATGAGGGTAAATAAACAAAACAGCAATACTACGATTTTATCACAAAATACAAACCATTATACAGTAGTATTGTATTTCTTGTCCATTTAAAAATAGAGCTTTGAGTTAATATTTGTGTATTAGTCCATCTATAAATGACGACCGGGTAAATTCAACGAAGTCCTCGTGAGTCGTGACCAAAAAGAAAAAGTCAACGAAGTCCTTCGTCGTTTTTTTTGTTGCTTATTTTATGTTCCAACTGGTTTAAGTCCGGTTTGGTTTGATTCCGATTTCAATTCGGTCAGTAACACAAATGATTAATATTGGCAAATTAGGCGTTAGTTAAATGATTTTATATAAATAAAGATACATGTCACGCATGAAATTGAAGATGCTGCTGCTACATAACGACTCTTATCTTATAACTTATATCTCGTGTTCCTACTGTCAACTTTACGAAGAATCGTATGAGACTCGCAACGTCTTGCTTGTACACAAACTCAACATCATGTATGTTACTTGTAAGTCCATTCTTGTCTCTCTTTTTATAATATGTATGTATCTCCAGTTTGCAAATTCTATCAAGTTATTGTAACAGAAGAGAAAATAGAGAAGACGTTCTTAGTTCTACAAGAAGAGATCATTCTACAACAAGATTTGAAGTTCGAAGATATGGCATCAACTTTTAGATCATCGACGAAATTGATTTTTCTATTAGGTGTATTGTTTTTGTGTTCGGTATCTTCAGTCCGAAGTTGGAGCAAAGAAGGTCATATGCTTACATGCCGAATTGCTCAGGTAAAGTAAATGATCTTAGTAGTGTTTGAATCAAGTAATTGGTTAATGTTTGTCTTGTGTCAGTCAATCAGTCAATTTGGACCGGATAATAGGACAGAAGCTTATACTTATTAAACAAAGTTGACTGGATAATTGGCTTATGTCCCGAGTCCGGTTACCCAAGAGCTTTAGAAAATTTTAATTTTAATCAACATCATTTTTTATTTTTCCAACTTTCTACTTCTTTTAAAGTATGAATGACTTCGAATTGTTGTGAAAACAAATACTCAATTTCACTAATCACACCAGTATCTAATATAGATGATTATGCATACAAGTAAGACTATTGAGATATCAAGCCATATGAAATCTAAAGTTCTTAAAAGAGATTTGAAATTCTAAAAGAGGTTCTTGTGTGTGTGTGTGTTTATGTTGTGTGAACAGAATCTTTTAGAAGCAGGACCGGCACATGTAGTTGAGAACCTATTGCCGGATTACGTGAATGGAGATTTATCGGCATTGTGTGTGTGGCCTGACCAGATCCGACATTGGTACAAGTACCGTTGGACCAGCCCTCTCCATTTCATCGACACTCCCGACCAAGCCTGCTCTTACGAATTCTCCAGTTAAGTCATAACCCAAACATTTTTGTTTAACTTTGATATAATCCCGACTTTATCTCTCTCGAGCCAAGTTCTACCAAAACCCAAAACCGGATATTTTCAAAATATTACTGACTATAATTCTATCTTAGACGCTATATTATCCGAAAAAGCTGAAATAATTTAGTTTTGAATATAAATAAAATAAAACAGGGGATTGTCATGATCAACATGGGTTAAAGGATATGTGTGTGGATGGAGCAATCCAAAATTTCACGTCACAGCTACAGCATTACGGTGAAGGAACATCTGATCGTCGATGTACGTGACAACTTTTTATTTATTCACTATAGTAAATTAGTAATGACATTCAAATTTTAACCATGAATTTTATTTAAATTATCTTATATTAATTGTGTATTTTTCTTGGTCGATCTTAGATAACATGACCGAAGCCCTTTTGTTCTTGTCTCATTTCATGGGAGATATTCACCAGGTTTAGTCCTCACCGTTCCACATATACATAGTTCTATCTTCCTAGCTATTAGATATTTATTCTGATTAGTTCATATATCATGGTTATATATTTTCTTCTAAAAAAGCCGATGCATGTCGGATTCACAACTGATGAAGGAGGAAACTCGATAGATTTACGTTGGTACAGGCATAAATCAAATTTACATCATGTAAGTTTTTTTTGTACTCTTACAAATTTTGAAAAATCACCTTACGAAAAAAGGATTACTTAATGATTAAAAAAAATGTGAAGGTATGGGACAGAGAGATCATTCTCACGGCTCTAAAAGAATACTACGACAAGGATTTGGATCTTCTCCAAAAGGATCTTGAGAAGAACATCACCAATGTAATAGAACACAAACTTATTTACATTTTACTATTATTTTCATAGTCGTTTTTTTTACCCGTAAATAAACTTATCACTTTACGTATATTAGGGGTTATGGGACGACGATCTAGCTTCGTGGACAGAATGCAACGATCTCATCTCTTGTCCACACAAGTAAGTTTTATATAATTAAGATGGTTACATCGCAAGTTCATAACTATAGATAAAAGGGCAATTCTCATATATAAAAAAAACTTTATATAAGATGAATAAATTTGAATTGTACTTGAAGGTATGCGTCGGAGAGTATAAAGTTGGCATGTAAATATGGATACGAAGGCGTGAAGTCCGGTGAAACTTTATCAGGTACATTATTTGCTTCTTCTTTTTCTTGTACACAAAGAACAAACAAACAAACAAAACCGAACCAAATTATGAAGTTCAATTATCGAATTAAGTCTAGTTTCAATTTTGTGTCTTTTGCAGAGGAGTATTTCAATACAAGGATGCCAATAGTGATGAAGAGAATTGTTCAGGGAGGAGTTAGATTAGCCATGATCCTAAACCTGGTTTTTAGTGATACTCATGCTGATGTTGCTGCTACTTGAACCGAACCGTACCAGACCGGATCATCATAGCATCTGATTAGGAGATTATTTATTAGATCGTTTTCACACATTTAAATAAGGCTGGTCGGACATTCTTTTCGTAGTAGCTATATATCCATATGACAGCTAATGCCTGCGGACTGGAATAGATCATATGCTCTATAGTACCATTTCCTCATTTGATTGTTTCATATGGTTCTTGAAAATTTAGATTATTTAGTTGAACTATTAAAATTTTTACTCGTATTGTATTTCAAGGCCAACATCTTTTCATTCGAGTTTCTTGGGTTGGGATGAATTTGCCTGGTCTTTAAAGATCAAACTGATAAAATAAAATAAGAACTCGAAGGAAAGGTAGAAAATATAGCTATTCATCATGTGAAGCTACATAGGATTTGTACAAAAAAGAAAAGAGAAAATGAAAATGAACTCAACAACCTAGACACTCAACAAGATCATCAATCTTTAACATATGAAAATCTCACTCTACTAAACCACAGAATAATTCTGAAAAACAAATGATAATATTTCTGTGGGAAATGAGAAGCAGAAGATTAAATTTAGGGACCATGGAAGTTTCTCGTAGAACCAAAGATGGAAGCAAAAGAATTTGCAAAACCAAGTAAGATTCCAACTTTGACTTGTCCTCTCTTCGGGATCGGACGGCTACTGTGTTCTCTGCCACCTCTCCTAGTTCCATCTCCACCGTTGGTCATGCTAACTTTTACTATCCTTTCCATTTTCTGCTTATCGGAGTCAATAAAAAGTGAATTCAGAAGTCTTCTGGAAAGTAGAGAAGAAGAAGTAAGTAAACTGAAAAACAAGAAAGTTCTGATTTGCTTCGAGTGACAATCACAAGAGGACTCGTATGTCTTATATATAAATTTCAATGTAACCTTGCTTTTGGTCTTCAAAATAAATAACCCATTTATTATTCACCATCTGCTTAGACGCTTTTTGTCCCTTGCCGCCTCTTGGACTAGATTAGATTATTCATATGACACTGGTTGATGATGGAAATTAATGATATTTTTGATTACTTTGTGAGTGGGTAAATCATGATTATAATCTAAAAAGCATACTAATAGATAGACTATATATTCAGGTGCACTGCATTTGAATCAATGTCTGCAAGCTTGTAGTTGATAATTAGTTATTGAAAAAAATAAGTAGCTTTTACTTTAAAGTGGACACCAACTTGTAAATCCCACTAGAATTAAAATAAATTGTCATTACCCATTCGTAAGGGCTGATTGGTCAATTAATAAAGGGAGAAATATGATTCTGCCAGTCTTAAAGTGTTTCGTGATTAATAGATAAATGTCATTTTGCACTAAATTCACGTGCCTAAAATCAAAGAAAGCTTCAAGATATTCGATGCAGTTAACCGAAAGTTGAATAAATAAATAGTTTCCAGACTAATAACAAAATTCACGTGAAAAAAATAAGTAGGGGTATGGTGTTGGTAAATGGGATATGACACAGCTCAGAACATTATTGCATCTGGATAACGCGATTCATAGCAAGACTAGCGATATATATTTGAGACGAGTAAAAGTGTGCAAGAAATCTGTAGTCAAATTGAACAAGAACACAAATATACATGAGTTTTACTAATTACTAGTTCACTACTACTCTATAAGAGCACCTGATGAAAACAAGAAAAGCTCAAGACAAAAAAAAAAAAAAAAAAAAAATCGATCAGCGAAGCTTAAACAAACTGAAGAAACGCATCACAATCAAATGCTTGAGGAGATTTTACATGTTTGCATCATACGGCAGCTCTCATGGCTCCTCTTGCAGCATCTCGTCTCATCTCAGTCGCTTTCCCGCTTCCTCGGAAGTACATGTATACTTGCTGAACCATATACCAACAAAATGTTAAACGAGTTTTGCCTCAGAAACTACATTAATCCAGAGATTATATTTCTTTTTTTTTTTCAATTTTAGAGATTGGGAAAGAGACCTGAATAACCCAAATGCTGACCACTGATTCAAGGCAGAAAAACGCAAACCCGATGAAGTAGAAGATCTGTGATAGAGAAACAAAGAAATCAGTGATCTATAGTAATGACAATATGATCAGGAGAGTCTAAGAGAGATCATAAGTGGTAAAAAAGAGCTTACTCCGACCAATGCTTGAGCGCTCAACATATCTATTGCAGGTAATATGCCCCTGTAAATTTGAAGATCATCACACAAATTGAATAGCAGGATGCGTATATGCAGTTACAAACAGTGTCTTGAAGGGGCTTTAGAGGAAACTTACGCAAGTGATTTTCCTTTGAAGACAACAGGAGGAGCAACTGCAGCAAAGACGCAGAAAAGTATGTGGAGCTGTGGCCATAAAAGGAAACGTGTCAGATGAATTTCCAGGTTAAGTCTGCTAAGAACTATACAAAGAAAACAAGGGACTCACCATGTAGAACAAGAAAAACGATCCAAAGTGCAATGCGCTATCATTTCTGCAGTAGTAATCCAACACCAAAGAAAACATCGAGTAAGAGAAAGTGGAAGCCTACGTTTTTGTTAGTGAATAGGGATGAGAAACAAGAACCTCAAGGCACGGTAGAGAGGTCGATACCATAACACATAGCCTCCTGGGACACCAGCGATGAAGTAAATAACCGCGAGAAGCCAAATCGTTACTCCTGAAAGATATAACCAAACACTCAAGGCTGTAAAATATGAAGGAAAGGCCCATTACAGAAGACATGTGTAAGAGAACTAAGAGGAGAGACCTTCTCCTTTGATCCAAGCTGTAGTAACGGCGATGATATTCCAGAAAAGTGCAAGAACCAACCCTGTTGGACATGGACACACAAGAGTAAATTTTTTTTTACCATCTTACAGTTTGCTTACTGAACCTATGTAGGTGAAGTGAAAAGAAGAGTGCGTGTGTTTACGTACCTAGATACGTTGCAAATGCAACATACTGTAGCCTTTGGAGACTAATGGGAATTTCATTTGCAATGTCATGGTGGATTAGTGGGAACAAGGGTGGCCAGTTTTTCTCCTCGATAACAACTCCGGCTACAAAGGAAAGGTGACATAAGTAGCAAAATCAGAAGACTGTATATAGGTAAGTAAACTAATGCTTTAGATTCAACTTAATATTACAGTTTAACACCAAATTCAACTTCGCTAAGGTACAGTATTGCAATTTGCAACAGGTGCTTTCGCATAAAAAGACAATGTACCTTGTGCAGCATCCTCTTTCCGTTTAAGATCCTACACGGAAACAAAAGATGTACTTTCTCTAAGCAAAAAATTTGGAAGATGCCACATGTTCATACCTGCTCTCGTCGGTTTAGCTCGGCTTCTTTGGCTTGGAGCTCCTTCTCTTTCTTCTTCAAATCCTGTATCCCAAACATTGGAAGAAATAAAACAAGGAAGAATCATTAGAACTTCTCTAAATATCCAACTAATCCCAAAATGTATATGATATTTACTCGATCAGTAACCGAACCTGAGTACCGGACCCCGGTCTGTCAAGAGGAATGTCAACGGTGCGACCATAGCCAAAACCAGCAGGTTCCGGAGGCAAAGGCGATAGTCTGGAGTTGGAAGCAGCGGGAACACTCCCAGGATTCTAAGAATGTAAGCAAATTAACAGTCATTAGACATTGATTTAGCCTTCAGAATCTAAGAAGAACACATATCACTGGACAGAGATGACAAATAAACGCAGCAAAGAGCTGAAATCAAGAACAGCCCTAAAGTGAACGACTTGCCAGAATCGAATCAATGAAGTGTTCAATTACGTCAATTCTAAAGTTTCAGCAACAGAAAGTTACGAAATTTCAACAAATTTGGATTACATTCTCGCCACTAACATTCATTTATCGATTCCTCAGAAATATCCGAACTTTAAAGCTCTAAAAACAGTAGCAGCAAACGTAATAGAAGAATCCAAAGAGGCAGAACCAAACGCATACAAAGAGAAACCCCAAATAAACCCTAAGTAAGATTGATAACATGCGAATACACCAAATTCGAAAAGCCAGAAGCTATGTTGAAGAGAAGTTACGACGGAGTTTCACTGGGGAAATCTAACAAAGAGAAGAAGAGTGAAAGCTTACAGCAAAAGGATTGATTTCTTCTCCTTCGGCGAATGGGTTTCGATCGTAGCGACCAGCCATTGTTACTCAAAGCTTGTCTCGAATCAGACAAAGACTTGGAATCGATCTGAGAAATCTTACAGAGTGCCTCCTAGAGGAGGATTACAATTTTGAAAAGTAGACAAAGAACAAAACCGAAAAAAGACAACAAGTTACAAACATCCAATATGTACATACATATACACACGAACTCTTCCATATTTACCACGTCATCTCGGATTTATTTACTTATTATTATTATTTTTTTTTGGTCAACAAGCTTGGAATATATTTAAACTTATTTAATGCAATATCATCAAATTTTGGAAAAATATATTGGAGTTTTAAACAGGGATTGCTTTTGTAAAAGTTTCCAAAATGTATAAATGTGGCTTCACAAAAAATAGAACAATTAGTGGAGAAGAAAAAAATAGAGATGTAGAGAAATTCAAATTGAAGTAGTCGTAGGTTTGAAAAAGTGACCTTTGAGTCTTCATCGCATCTTCATCACTAATAACTCTAGTTGGAAAATAACTAACCGAAGTGAAGAACAGTATATTTGAGAAGAACAGTATATTTGTCACAATCCAATAAGAATAATTTAGGATATTGAAATCAAATACAGATGGTTTTAATATGACTAATATTTAGTTGATTTTAAAATAGTTAGTCGATATTGGTGAAATACTGAAATCATATAATGGACTTGAGCTTTTACTAATTTTAACGTCAACCCCTTATATTATTCAAAGAAAAGCTACACTGACTAAGAGTATAAAAAATAAACTAATGATATTATTAACCAATTACGTAAAAGAAAATGTGTATAAGAGACTAGAGTCCTTTAATTTTGCTATTTTTCTATTTGCATCATTGTATGTGTTATGGTGTTGCTGTCTCTTCACTTCTTTCGATGACTACTACTACCACGCCTTAACCGTCTGTTATTACCGTTACTCTTCCTCCTCGTCTTCGAGCTAGAAGACGACGGATCGATCCAGTTCTTGTCTTCTTCAACCGCTTTGTTCCATCGTTCTTTAAAAGTTTGTAGCTCCCATGTCGACTGTCTCCTTATCTACTTGTTCATCAAAACCATACACAAACACTACGATGCTAAGTTTTCTTTCTAATCGACAACACACAAAAGAAGAGTTTGATAAGAGAATTCATCGACTAACTCACCGAGGTTCTCGAATCAAAGCTTGCATGGCCACGTCTCTACATGAAAAAGAATCATAATGGTGTGAGCTTTTTTTTTTTTTTTAATAGTTAAAGGCCAAAAGAATTGAAAATGATGATACCTTTTTGTTAGAATGTTCACTTTCACCTAAAGTTTGAATGCCTTGATGAAAGATATATTCGCTATCCACAATCCCTACCTTCTTTGTCCGGTCTCCCTACAAACATTCAAACCGGCTCATGAATCAAAAGACAATCGGATAGACAAATGCGAAAATGAAGCATGCATAATTTGGCTAAAACCGAGATTCTACAGCTACAAACAAGGATTAGAGATTGATCTTTGCAGCAAGATCATTAGTACCACAAAATATTGAACGAGATTGAGTTTTTGTAAAGAAGAAAAGGTCACCTGAGCGCAATACCCGAGTTTCATATCCATTCCCCATCCATGAACCAAATCATTCTACAAGAATTGTCCCCAAGTCAAAAAGTGTCCCCAAAAATAACTTCTATAGATAAATAACCACCAGGTGAAAATTACCTGAATAAGATTCCAAGAGCAAAACCAAGCAGCTCTTGAAAACACCGGAGCCATTCCTTCAACAAATCTACAAAACAGAGGAAACAACAAAACGAAAGTGTATCAATATTATAAACATTCCCAAGAATTCCCATAAATTATTCCATCGCCTATTACCCTGTGCAAGGAGGATCTTCGCTCGCATTTGAACACTTTTTAGTGCCTCTATTGATATAAACCCTCCTGTGTTTTAAGCATCATGTTGTATAGAAGTACCAAATACGTTGAAAACAAACAAAAATTAAAGCTCTAGCCTAATGAAGAATTTGAACCTATGGAATATCTTTTTTTTAGAACGGAGAGTGATTTTATGGTGGATTTCACTCGAGTTTGAGTCCAAAGCCGGTTGAGATATCTCCAGTCCCACTGACTTTACTATTTTCAAATATCTGCAGAAAAAGGAGTCACGCTCAGTTTCATGACACTCATGATTGCTTGTAGTAAATAAAATTAACAAAAAACTATATTTTACCTCTCTGGTGAGAAATTCTCTACTCCAAGATCCTCATCCCAAAGAAAAATATAATCATAAGTGGATACAACATCCGGATGGAGAAATCTTTTCGCAAACCACCTAAAAATCAAGAGAGTGAAATCTATAAACCGATTGTACTTGGTATCCAAAGTTGAAGTAGAACAAGTGGGAATAGAGAACGAGAAAGATAGAGAGCTACCATTTAGTCTGGTTCTGTGCAACAATATGTATGGCCTTAGAAGTCCACTCAAGATCCCACCATTTATCCATATTTCCATCGTAATGGAAAAGAACAACCGTGAAATTCGCTGGAAGAAACTAAGACACAAGATTTTAAAAATTAAGAGGAAACCTCTGTTCTTCAATGCCTAGGATTAATTAGGATCAACTCATGCAAAAAAAATTGGAATACCTTCTTTACAAGAGCGTCCACGTTACCCTTTTGCTTAAGTCCCACGGGTATCGCCAACAAGTTACGGTTAGTCATCTCCACACCCTGTGTTTAATTATCACAACATTATCACAACACACACTCATCAGAAACTACAGAGAGATGTTATATTGTGATATGCCATGATGATTCTTGATGCAAAAGCTCTAACCTTTGATCTCACACTACTACTAGACCAGAGAGGTTTTAACTCAAGGTCTGATCTCGGCTGTATGATACCATGAGGCAAGCCTTTTAGTTTCTCATTGACTGGTTCAGATTCCTGGTTACAATTCAGGATTGGACTTTACATTAAACCGGTGATGCGTGACAAATGAAGAAAATAAGACTATATAGAGTATCAAAGTGTTACCTGTGCCATGTCAAAAGGATAATCTGAATCTTCCATCTGAAGAGTAGAAGTGAAAAAAAATAAGGAGTTAACTTATCAAATAATCTCAAATCACCACACATCGAAAGACATAAACATTGATTTCACAAATTACCTCTGTTAATTGAATATTTGTGGTCTTATACCAAAAGATCAAAAGTGCTGTACACATAAGAGCCAAAAAAGGCTTCATCCACCCGGATTTACTCTGCAAGACTCAACCATTTATAATAGATTTAAAGCTAGTGGTCGTTGAAACAGAGCATAGAATGCCGAACATAAGTAAAGCTTACCCCATCTTGAGAATTGTTTCGTTTCTTAACAAGCGACTTCAATGATTTCAACGACTTCATAGACGGCAAACCATGTTCCATAATCTATCTGCTAGGCCATTAAACAAACCACAATTTTAAAACTAAGACTAATTATGCAAGAAAATTTCAAATCTTTATAACAAACAGAGCACTCACAAGGCTCCACACTGCCTTTTGTGTTCTCCCAAGAACAGAGAACAAGAAGACACTTTTAACCAGACCTCACTCACTGGCTGATTTCAAGACCATGCATGTCGCTTATATCAGTCTGATTTATTCACAGGAAAAAACTATCAATTGTTTAGAGCCAACATTACAAAAAGACAAATACTCACCAAAGCAACAAAATTTAAATCCGAGTCTCCAGATAATCCAAAAACCCCATTTTAAAAAAAAAAAAAATTGAAACTTTTGGAATGCATATATATAAAGCCAAGAAACTTCACTTTTTTTCCCGGAAAACAGCAATGAAAATTTGAAGCGGCGAGTTTTTGTAACAGCAACAATAAACAGATGGCTTCTCTCAGGTTTTTTCACTAGATTTACCTAGAAAACGGATCATCTGGGCCCCGAGAAAGCGAAACGGCCTTTAAACGGAACGACTTTTTTCACTGAATAGATCTAAGAAGAGTAATTACTGTTACATTACGAAGAATTAATAAGCTCTCATTGATTGCATATTTATTGACAGGTAAAAACATCAAAATTCGAACCTCGAAAAAACAGAGAAGAGAGAGAGAATGATATCGACAAAGGCCAGTGATCAAATTATTGGCGGTGATCTTTAGCTACAGAGAAAGTAATTACGAATCAGACGAGACCTTGGAGAATCTGAAGCATGCAGAGTCACTGTGATGAGTAGACAAAAGCCAGCTCGAGGGGGAGAGAGAGAGAGAGAGAGAGAGAGAGAGAGAGAGAGAGAGAAAAAAAACAGAACAGAGGAAGAGTTTGGTAGCTTTGCATGAAAGGAAGCCAAACACTGGGGAATTTTTTATAGCCACGATAAATTTCTACAATCGATCGAGATTTACAACGAAAATGAAATTAAACCTAATAACAGATATTTTTAGTGGAATCTGGATAATACAGAAAAAGAATAATAAAAATCAAAGAGATATATATTAATCCAGAGAAAAATATCAAAGATAAAAACAAAAATCTTTAGAAAAGTCGCGCGACTCGTGTCCTACTCCCATCTTTAAAATCCTCCTTTATAAAGTTGACAAAATAAATAAACCATTTTGTATTGTTACCGAATACGATCGAGAGAATTGATATTTTGATATAGAAAAAGAAAACTAATTTTTTAGAAAAACTAAATTCCATGTTTTGCGTTCTTCCATTATTTTAGAATTACTTCATTGAGACAAGAGTGTTTGTAGTTCACTCCTTAAGCTACTCCGAAACCCAATAAGTTACATTGAAAAAGCCACTTTAACCGAACAAAAGCTTGTCGCATATTTTAAGATTGAGATGATAAACCAAACTCAAATAAATGTTGCTTGCTTAAATTAAATTGAAAATGATTTCTATCATATGACCCGACGTCCGGACAAAACGTTCTTGTTAACATGCATTATAAAACTTATATACCGTCTTAATTTGGTTATGGACATCTTTAGTTTTTACGTTGATTTTTGTTTGTTTTATTGTTTGAATTCGTTGTCATAATTTAAAAATGCTAAACCGAACCGAACACATTGTTGCTTGCTTATATATTCAACCACTCACAGAAAGTAATAAGCAACCACTCATCTAACTAATACTTTAAGAAATCCCAAAAATGGCAAAAAGCGGTAAAATATATCTTTAAAACTTAACATACATCTAAACTACTAGTTAGATGAGTGGTTGATACCTACAATTTATAAACTCTCAACACATCAAATACTGAAATACTAATATTTATCAAACGGGTTAATAAATTTTAGATAGATAGGAAAGTATATAGAAGAAGAAAGTATGCATGTTTTTCCACTGATATCTAGATGGTTAACACAAGTAAATTCATCATAGAAGTCATGCATGACGTTAGATATTTTTGCCTCGTTGAAATTAGTTTTGTAAAATCTAAAGAAAAAGTCGGTGAAAAGGCGAAGTCTACATTTTTCGGATAACCAAAGTGAAATGTCCTCTTTTAACTGGCCAAGTGAATTGTCCTCTTGTTTCTGGACCCATATTTTATAAGCTAAGACGTTTGAGTTTCTCATTACTCGTTTGAAAATGTGCCAATGTGGACTCGTTTTCACAACTTAGCCAATAATTGATATCAAAAATATTGTATGTAAAAACTCTGTTTCTTCCCTCAATTAATCATAAATTGGAGTTGAGTTTACCATTTGATTTGAAAAATTTGATCAACATTAAGCAGGCTCAAAAGCAAAAATTTGGGCTACTGTTGAAATATAATATGATCTCCATATAAAGGTAAAAAACCGCGAGAGAACCAAAAATGTAACGTTGTCATTTGAAAATAAACCTGGTCAACAAAAATGTAACGTTGTCTTATGGCTTTTTTATCTTCAGATTAAGGCCCGTAAAGCTGTGGTCAGTGGAGTGGATGTAATCAATGAAGCTCTAAGTAAGCTGATAGCCTGCATTAGAGTCAGACGGATTCACTATTATTAATCTGATATCAGAACAGAAAACATACACATCAAGGAAGAAGATAGGTAAAGTTTGTGAAATATTAAGGATAGTGTGTAGTTAGTGACATACCTGTGTTTTGCTAATGTTGATTGTATATGACTCCATGTCATCAAAGTCCACGTTCAACTCCATCACAAAGGAGATTGTCGAAAACGAGTGTGCAGCTGTGATGGTAAGATCATCTGAGATCATATATCTTGCACATCTCTTCACAAAGCCACTGAGATCATCACATTCCCATGTCTCTTCAGCTTCATAACTTTCTGTTACTATATATTTGTAATAAGGTGACTCACTGAAATTATTCATTTTGTAAGGGACACCAAGCAACGATTTCCGGAAACTATATTCCAGAGGAGGAAGCATACATGTGGAAACTACATTTCCGCTAGAGAACAAGCTCTTCATGCTTGTACAAAAGTTGTCAACGCATCCCAGTTTGGTATTGCTCCTAGTTATATCCCACACAGACTCCAAAGGGATAGCCAGGAAAAGGAAAAGTAGATCCACAAACTCAGGTCCGCTTTCAGCATAAATAACTTTCTTGTCCTGCTTCCTAACAAGTACAGTGAGTGACACAACTTGTTTTGGTTCTGCCATACCTCTACCTTGCACGGGAGTGAGGGTTGGCATGTCAGGCAATCTTGGTATACCACAAGAGCTAAGTTTTTTCAAGAAGACATCAGTCAAAGGAGTTTCTGAGTAGAGCAAGCAATGGAGCAGAGATAGAGCCTGGATTTAAAAAAAAAAAAATCATAAATCAAAGAGCAAACAAAGAAGAACCAAAGTCATGGCATAATAAAAAATGTAGTTACCTCCTTGTGATCAACATCTACAGACCTCTTCTCCAGCATGTCATGATTTTTATAACCAAGTCCATTAAGTATATTCACGATGAGAAGAGTAGAAGCAACTTGAACTTGCATATTTTCGGTGACGATGACAGATATTTTATCACACTCGGTGTTAAGATTGAATATGTCATCAGTACACTCGGTATCATCATCTAGGTTAAGATGAAGCTGTCTGCATTGCTTCTCCGGGTACAAAAGCATACCCTTACAAGCTTCCCTCATGAAATCATCAACGGGCAAATCAGAGACACTTTCGTAGAGATTGTTGAAACAGCCTATTCGAGGCTTTAGATCCGGCTCATATTTCTCCAGCAATCTCACAATGGTAGCCATTGGCAGCGCCAGAAAACTACGGAATACATCAACAAAATCCATACCAGCTTCGGCCAAGACAACCTTGTTCTTCTCCTTGTCGACAAGAAGTTTCAGCTTAAAAGTTGGTATCCCTGAAACATCAGTTCCGGCCATTGAAAGTCACACCGAAATAGTAGGAAGAGATCTGAGAAAGACTTTCCGATATGTAGACACAAAAGAGTCGACGGTCATTCTTCATTGACGGCATAAACCTATAACACAAATGACCTAGCTCGCCTTCCTTTTTTGGTTGTGGTCATTTTCATAAAAACCTAAGTTTGTATGGGCAAAAATGAAAAGGTGACTATACAGCTTGGATTTTTTTAGGATCATCGTATTCTTCTCTTGTAAGAGAGACATGGGGGATTTTAAAATTCGCAGCTATATAGCGAAAGAACAGAGTAAGAAATAAGAGTAACTTGTGTCCCACGTATTGGAGAGGTGTAGAGAGCAGTCGGAGACGTTGGTAAAGCATTTTCAAACTTCTACGTAGTTCCCTTGATGGTAGAATCTTCAGCATCAAATGGTTTACAACAACTCTGTTCTGAAAGGGACGCGTTTTTAGTGTTGCTCCTCTTCAGCATCCAATCCGTTTTTTCTTCCCACTGACTGCTTCGGTTCATCAAAATTTGTTACCTGTCTTTCTTTCATGTGCTTGTCTCAGCAACGTACCAGGTTTAGTTTTTGAGAAAGTGATAAAGAGTTTGAAGAAATCCCAAAACGGCAAAACGTTAAAGTATAATTACCAAATGGTGCAGTTTACAAGTTTTAGTTAAGGAATTAACATCTAAAGAAACCGATTTCCAATAAGCCCCATCAGGATTCCCACTTAAAATGGACCAAAAACATTCGGATGGCATTTCTCAGACCATCCAGACAAGAACGATGGGTGTTCCTATAAAAATCTCCAAAAGAAATTTGTAGTAGTACATGATCTTAATATGTATCTCAGAATGGTATTGTTCATACTTACGCAAACTGATGATAATTAGCTCAACAAAAGGATTTGAGAGAAGAATCCTCGTAACTCATTTCAAGGGTTAAACCAACTCAACTAAAAATACTCAACTCAACTTTGGCTTATAGTTTGATGAGCTTAACTAAATCAACACAAGGATGGAGGAAAATCTCTCTTTTATTAATAAAATACTTGAAGAAAATTAAAATAACAAAGACTCTAGTAATATAAGCCAAAGTAGAAATCCTAAAGTAACACCCAAAACCAACCTCAAGTCTCCAAATACATAATTTTCTCAATATCATCCTCCCAAATAAACGTATCCAGCCCCCATCCCTTTTTTCCACCCAGAACATGACCCAAAGGAAAAAACTTAAAGCTTTTTGTTGTTTTCATCTTTTCCAAATCGTATGTAACACAGAAAGCCGGGCCATACATCTCCAAATAATTTGAGAGCATAAGCTCACCACGTTGATCGGTGCCCGCTATGACCTTCGACAACTCAAAGTCCGAGAAATAGTCAAGGGGAAGGGAGAAGAGCAGAGTCTTGTTCGACCATATCTTCTTCCTAGCATCCTCCATGATCCACAGGTTCAAAGTCACATCAGCAACAGCTTGAGAATACTCGAAAACTGACAACTTCCCTTGGTAGTTCATAATGTTACTGCGAATAATCCCCCAGGAGATGCCAGCATTAGGAGGGATTTCAATCACAACGAAGTCCTCATTAGCAAAGTCAAAGCTCATCACCACAGATTTTCCCTTATCATCCCAAGCTCCATAGTACACCATGTTGTCGATGGAGATAGCTCGCGAGTAAGGACGATGAGGAGGAGGAGGAACGTTGCTCTCAATGTGTCGCCATGAAGCTTCGGGACCGAGCACCAACACCTGATGCTCCGATCTCACTACGCTGTCGTTTTCCTTGCTCAGTTCCGAAACAAAGCTCAACACTTTGTACTCATCATAAACAGGGTCGTACCCAAAGTAGCTCCATATCTTGTCGTCGTCTTCAGACTCGAGAAGAGTTGATGTTAGGTCGGGCAAGAAGACGAGTTGCCTCGTGGTGAGGTTACAGATCCGCAAACTTGCTCCAAGCCTGAGACAGATCAATCCCCGAAGAGCATTCACCACGACGCCTTCCATTCCCGGCATCTCCAGAACATCTTCAAACACGTACTCAGAGGAATCCGAGTGGTTGTTGTCTTCAGGCGACGTCAGGAATGCGTAGTTGCGCGGGTCTTCCTTGTCCACACGAGACGCCATGATACGCGGCGGCCGTTTCAAGGATGACGGGGACTCCATGAATCTTTTTGTGAATTCATGGGTGGCGATTAGGGAATACCAGAGATGTGAGACGCACATAGCCATCCCCACAGGCTTCGCCGGTAAACCCAGAAGGATCTTTATCAGTAAATCTTCAGGGATATCGTCGAAGCCGCAGAAGTTTGAATCGGGCTCCACGGCGGTGCATCTTCCTCTCTTGCTGCTGCTCTCTTCGAATTCATCGCTTAAATTCTCTTTCTTCTCGCTCACTCCGGTGGATTCCATAGCTATCGGAGATTCGGACAGATCTGTCTTCCTTAGCCGCCGCCTGTTTTTTCTTTTTTCTCTCTTTTTATTTTTTGGGGGCTTGTGTTTAAATCCAAAACTCCGACCATTAGACCGACCACACATGTAACATACGTATAAATAAAGTAAAATGGAAATCTAACTTTTAATTCTCTTTCTTGTCTTGTTACTTGTCTTTTTGTGTGGTGTAAAATTGTCGTCCAGACCACATTTAACCATCTCTTACAAAGTTAATTAATGCTGCTTCTTTGCAAAATTATCTCTTGGTTTGGCCTTGTTTTGTACCAGAATGTTTGTTATCTCACATTATTTAACTTTCGATTGTTTAGTATTGTATTTAATTCTTTTTGTTCATCGTAATACTTAATTAAGAAACGAAATTTTAAACATCATGCTAATAAAGTCCAATATATTTAATATTGAACATGGTTCCCACTGTACAATATATTAATACATTGACCAGTATATAGGCTGAGAAACCCCATAAAGTTTGAGATTCTACCATTCCTGCTGTTATTGCTGTTAATTGTGAGTTTTGACTTACTTATACGGTTTTATTTGTTTCGTTTTAGTCTCATTGGAAATGCCATTATAGTTGGTGGGGATGTTTGTAAAAACTCTGTTTCTTTCCTCAGTCATAAATTGGAGTTGAGTTTATCATTTCATTTGAAAATGTTAAACAACACTAAGCATGCTACTAAAAAAGAAAAAAAAAAAAAAAAAAAATTGAGCTAAGGTGGAAATGTGAAAAGATCTTCATATAAAGGTAGAACCGAGAGAGAAACAAAAATGTAACATTGTCATTTGAAAATCAACCTGGTCAACAAAAATATTTTATTATAGAGTTTCTTCTCATTCTTCTGGCTTTTTTTGGATTAAGGGCCCTAAAGCTGCGGTTAATGGAGTGGATGTCATCAATGAAGCTCTAAGTAAGCTGATGGCCTGCATTAGCGTCAGACAGACAGATTAACTATTATTAATCTGAGTCAAGATAAAAACATAACATACATACATCAAATAATTGAAAAAAAAAAAAAACATACTCCATATCAGGCAAGATAGGTACTGTTGGTGAAATGTTAAGAATAGTATTAATGACATACCTGTGTTTTGCTAATGTTGATTTCATGTGGCTTAATCTCTTTAAACCCCACGTCCAACTCCATCAGAAAGGCAGTTGGTGAATACGAGTTAGCAGCTTTGATGGTAAGATCATCTAAGATCATGTAATCTGCCAATCTCTTCACAAAGCCACTGAAATCATGAGGTTTCTCTTCAGAATCCGAACTTCCATCATCATAACTTCCGTAGTCCAAATCACTGAAATTATTCATTTCGTAAGAGTCACCGAGCAACGATTTCTGGAAGCTATACTCCAGAGGAAGCATACACGTGGAAACTACATCTCCCGTAGAGAACAAGCTCTTCATGCTTGTACAAAAGTTGCCAAGGCATCCCAGTTGGACACTGCTTGGAGTTAATAATTCCCACACAGACTCCAAAGGGACAGCCAGGAAAATGCAAAGTAGATCCACGAACTCATGTCCACTTTCAGCACACATAACCTTCATGTCCCGCTTCCTAACAAATACAGTGAGTGAAACAACTTCATTTGGTTCTGCTTCACCTCTACCTTGCATGGAAGTGAGAGTAGGCATGTCAGGCAATCTTGTCATCATACCACAAGAGCTATGTTTGTTCAAGAAGACATCAGTCAAAGGAGTTTCCGACGAGAACAAGCAAAGGAGCAGAGATAGAACCTGGATTCAAAATTTCATAAATCAGAGAGCAAACAACAAGAACCAAAAGTAATGGCATGTAATAACGAATCCACACAAAAAAAATAAAAAAATAAACGTAGTTACCTCTTTGTGACCAACATCTACACATATATTCTCAAGCTTGTCAAGATTTTCATAACCAAGTCCATGAAGTGTGTCCAGGACGACAGCGATAGAAGCGAATTCCACTTTCATATTTTCGGTAATGATGACAGATCTTTTATCACCATCAATGTTAAGATCAAATATCTCATCACACTCGGTATCATCATCTATGTTAAGATGAAGCTGTCTGCATTGCTTCTCCGGGTACAAAAGCATACCCTTACAAGCTTCCCTCATGAAATCATCAACGGGCAAATCAGAGACACTTTTGTAGAGATTGTTGTAACAGCCTATTTGAGACTTTTGATTCGGCTCATATTTCTCCAGCAATCTCACAATAGTACCCATTGGCAGCGCCATAAAACTACGGACTACATGAACAAAATCCTTACCAGCCTCGGCCCAGACAACCTTGTTCTTCTCCTTGTCGACAACAAGTATCAGCTTGCAATTCGGTCTCTCTGAAACATCAGTCCCGGCCATTGAAAGTCACACCGAAATAGTAGGAAGAGATCTGAGAAAGACTTTCCGATATGTAGACAAAAAAGAGTCTACGGTCATTCTTCATTGACGGCATAAACCGTAATAACACAATTGACCTAGCTCGCCTTCCTTTTTTGGTTGTGGCAATTTTCATAAAAACCTAAGTTTGTATGGGCAAAAATGAAAAGGTAACTACAGCTTGGATTTTTTTAGGATCATCGTATTCTTCTCTTGTAAGAGAGACATGGGGAGTTTTCACGGTCTACAACTCCAGCTCTGATGATCGGTGATGCTTGTCCAGAAAGCAAACCTAATTTCACCCTAAAAACATAGTAAGTTCAAGGGAGGTTATAATATCCCAAGCAAGATTTCGATTATGACAAAAGGTATATATACCGTACGACCGTATCAATCCAATTTGTTTTTATAAAATTTAGGGCTTTGTACGGTCATCAGAAATAAGGAAGAGATGACGTGTAGGAGAAGTTAACGTGGAGTTAAGAGTTCAACAAACTGAAGAAGATGAAGGAATTAATTATTCAAATCTAACATATATGTATGGTACAAATCAGAACCGTACCTGAGATATGAGTGGGGCGCAAGCTACGAAAATAGAAGGGCTTATTAGTTTGTTAAAAAAAGATATTTTGTGGTCTGAGAGACTCGAACACAAGGCTTCAAAGGTAAAAGAGGCTACAACGCAACCACTACACTACAAGACATCTTTGGGAAAATGGGCCAAAAACATATATATAAATACAAGGACTGCACGCACTCTGGGAACAATGTCTATCCAATTGCTTTATTTGTCTACTACTCCTAATTTCCTTAAAACACACGTTCGATAAGAAATAAAGTTTGAGATCTAGGTTTACTTAAAGCCCAATAACACACAAACATAAAAGATTTAGAAACATAAAATATAACATCTGTTTTGCACGAAAAAATCATTTGTTTTGCTCAAAACAAAATATAACATTTGTGAAACATAAGAACGAATGTTGACATCATGGTTGCAAACACATGCTTTGCGCCCCATCAAATGGTTTCAAACTTGACATCTCTTTATATATTATTACTTAAAACTTTGCTCCTCATTTCTCTTTATATGTGGTCGTAGGGAGAAGATGGTAATGGATAGTTTTGAGATCCATGTTTGCAACTAGAACATACATCATACATTTTGACAAATAAGCAAAACACTTAAAAAATATAGCTTTCGAATGTAAAACAACAACAACGATATGAGTTTAAGGTTTGCTGACCATTGCAATTAACATGACCAAGTAAATGGTGTTAGGTGATCAAAATCTGATAGTCAGTCCTTCTTGTTCTTGTAAAAAATCAAAACGATAAATACTAACTCTAGACGTGAGCACTTTATCAAAAAAAAAAACTCTAGACGTGAGCAACATACTAATACTGATTTAGTTTCTGTTCAAGTGATAAAGCTGCTACTGTTCAAATCTATTGTACTGAAAGCAACTTTCACATGGCTCAGTTCATAATTTAATATTTCAGGTTTGAGTGCAACTAACCGTAAGAGATTCAAGAAGATGTGTATAGGTGTGCTACAAATCTTTGGTGTTTCAATGATTACTTAGCTTGTTCACGATTTTTGTATTCGAAACCACTATGATTTTTATGCAATGAAGCAAAAGGATGAGTACTTAGATTTCTGTTGTAATGAAAAAAAACTCATAAGTAAATATAATTAATTAACTAAAATCGCTGCTTCTGCTCCTCAGCATTTTAGGTGTATGTTATGATATCTTTAACTTTTTTTTTGTCAACAGTGAATGTTAAGTAGGAAACCAAACGCAAACCACGAGAGTGCCTAAACGCATTGGCACATCGACTGGGAATGAAAGTCAGACTTACATCAATGTGAGTTAAGATTTCACGGAACAATAGCAACAACATATCAAGAACTGAAGCTACTCAGGCCAAAAAATGATTTACAACAATCATACACCAAATTAGTTTCCAAGTATTTTTTTATGGAGATTAAATAGCTTCTCAATGATCTATGAATCCACATAAGTATATAAAACCTTCCGTTAGATGGGACACAAGACGCTTCTTTGCAGTGCACAGTTACAAAAACTCGCAGAGCAGCAGTTAAAATGATCATCGTTGGTTTTGCCTGTAGCTATGGTTCTTGAAGAACTAGGTTTAGTTCTTGAGCCTTTCTTGTTATTAGACCGCCTCTTCTGTATTCAGAATGAAAAAAAAAAGAGAATGCCAAAACAAGAGAAATTAAGCAAAGAAACCGATTTCCAATAACATTCAACGGTTACATTCATCAGGAGGTTGATGAAAGCAGAGTGCTTATGATGTTTACCTTGCGAGAACTGGAAGAATCCTTTGAATCTTGTGCAGTCCCGCAGAACAAATTTGGCAGATTTGTATCCTGCATTGTGGTTCATTTACTTTCATAGTAAATGAGAATCAACGTATTCAACAACTAATGTGAGGCTCAACTCAAGTACCTTTCATCCGCATGAAGATCAACGCCGACAATCCGTGGAGCTGAGACAGTTGACCTTATAACTGTACCAAACACTGCTACAAGCTTCAAGAGCATTTCCAATGAGACATTTACCGGCCTGCACAATCATGTAACAATCTCATGTTTAACAAAGACAACAGATAAAAACACATGATTCTTTGAAAGAAACTGTTTCTTTCCTCAATCATAAATTGGAGTTAAGTTTATCATTTCAACTGAAAATGTTTATCAGCAAATCGGTGTACCAATAATCTTGCAAAAGCAAAAATATTTGGTCTAAGGAGGAAATATAATATGATATGTCTACCTCTCTGTCCTGCTACCCAATAAGCTAGTGAGGACTGGGATTAATTGAGAAAACATATCCAATGTGAGAATCTCTATCTTGTCGGTTAGAATACTGATCACATCTACTTGAACCTGTACCAGTCTCTATGAGTTAGCTTCTCTAGACATTCAAATATCAAACAAAAAAGGTGATCTACTAAGAATCTGAGACACTCACAGACTGATCTGTCAGCTTTCTCAAGGTCCCGATCGCGCCTTTAACATCACTACGCTCCCAAAGATGTCTAACAAACTGCATATTTGGGAGAAATCAGTCACTTGCCTATTATCTAACACTATAACAAGTAATTGTCAGAGGAAAGAGAAGACACAAGAATGCTTACTTGCAGTTTTGTCAGCCTAGATTGAAGTGTGCTTAAGAACACATCATGAGTTTGCATTAGACTTTCAGTGATGTCAATATCATTCTCTCTCCCAGATACTTGAGGCTCTTCCTTCTGCACAAATACGTTTGTCATGGATTCAGAACTTTCTATAAAATTCAGATATGGATACCAAAGTTTTATATCTATTAGTTACCAAAGCTAATCATTGCAAGGTACCTGAGTTAAGATATCGCAAGCTGGTTGAGTTTGTGCTACATGTGTCTCATCTAATGTCATATCGACCACCTGATCAATCACTGTTGGTGTACCCAGCGTTAGAGTTGGACTAGCTCGGTGCCTGGATGCGATATGAGATGTATCACATGTCATGTTATCAGACTGATTGAGTTTCATGGCCATTACACGTGCTGGAGAAGTCCTATCTGGGCGTGTTGATGTTACAGGACACTCATGAGATGTCATGTCCTTTGCTTGACTGAGTGGCACAGGCCTTACTCGGCCTGAAGAAGTCCTGCGTGGTCTTCTTGACTTAACAGAAGCCTCATCATAAGCAGTATGTGTTGCCTGATTGAGTGTCACAGCAGGCGATATCCGGGCAGGAGAAGTTCTAGATTGTTGTGTTAATGTAACAGAAGGCTCATCATATGTGACACTAGTAGCCTGATTGAGTATCAAAGGCATCACCGGACCTGAAGAAGTCCTAGCTGGTGGTTGTGTTAAAGGAGGCTCATCCGATATCTTCACGTTACTCTCCCGATGGAGTACGATAGGCATCACTCGGGCAGGAGTGCTCCTAGCTCGTCGTGTTGATGTTACAGGAGCTTCACCTGTCTGTCTCGATGTTGTACGCGGATGTTCTTGCACTGCGTCATTGGTCTGAGTGATTGTTGTACTGGCTGCTTCGTTCTGAGTAACTTTTTCTCCTCTCTCAAACTTCTCAACCAACGAGCGTGTCCTCCCTGAGACAACTTTTACTGCAAACAGAACAATTTTAAGCTCAAAAGTCAAAACCAAGCAAGTGAACCACATGCAGACTATAGATAATGAACACTGTGAAGCAAGGTTTCAAAGTAGCTAAGGATTTTGAAATCAAGAACTTACTTTTCTGTACATCACCGGGTTTTTCTGGTGAAAGAACTCTTTCAGTTTTGGTGGAAATGTTCTTGTTACTGATCTCCTCTTTGCATAAGTTTCCACCTGTAGGCAAGTCTATGTCTCCTGAGTAATCCAACACACCTTCTTTGTCATCAACAGTTCCAGAATCAACAGACGTTTCCCGTCTTGACTCATCGTACTTGCTATCTAATGACCTATACACACGAGGCGGTTTAAGGAACCTATGATTGGCTTCATCAGTTGGCGGTTCCGATGATGAGGCTTTTTCAAACTTGTTCCTAATAACCTTGATGGTAGAATCTTTTGCATCAGACGAGTTTTGAGTTTGTGGCTCCTCTTCAACGTCCAATCTTTTCTTCCGAGTTCCAGACTGAACAACCACTGACTGCTTTGATTCTTCAAACTTTGCTAGCGTCTTTCTCACGTGAGCTGGTCTTAGCAACATTCCCGGTTTCGTTTTTGAGAAAGTGATTGAATCCCTTCCTGAATTAGAAGGCACTTCCACCTGAGAAGATTCCACAGGCACCGTCACGTTCAGAGATCCTGGATTTTGTGCAGCAGTCAAATTTCCACCTGTGGCTTTCAAAGAAGAGAGGTTCATATCAGATTAAACATAAGAAAATAAGCACTCAGATTATTCATTAACATTCACTCACAGTCGACGTAAATGTTCTTTATTTCTTTTGTCTCGTAATCTGGCGATGAACTGCCTCTTGAGCCACTTGCCATTCTCTCAGTCTCAGATGACTGATCATCCAAGACATTAAATCTCTTCACCATGCATTCATTCTTATCCTCAGATCCAGCTCCATATGGTTCAAGTTGCTGCTTAAAACCAAAGGAAAATGAAACTTTTTTACAACCTTCGAGTTTGCAGAGGTATGGACAATCACAAGTAAGTGACATACCGATATATCTGAGACCCAAATCCCAACAGAGTTTCGATAATATGAACAACCGATGAACTTTCCTTCGTTGATGCAGATGTCCCCAAGTGTTGACCATCCCATATCAACACCATCTCGGCAAATCACTGGTTCCCATGAATAAACCTGCATTAGGAGCATGAACTTATGATATATCAATATTTAAACTCCGGACATCATCTAAGAAGTATAGTTGGTTGTTCACTAAGACAATAGAAAAAGACCTTCAAGCCATCTTCCAGTCCACAGAAAAGGGTGCGTCCATCTGGATGAAAAGTAATTGCACGAACTCCAGTAGCCTATGAAACAAGAGATACACCACATGCCAGTAAGAAGGTTGAGATAGACTCTCTTGGAAAAAGCAGTACCAAAGCAAAACAGGACAGATTAAAAAAGAAAACATAAGCTCAGGTACCTCTGGTCTAGTGGATCCAATCAGTTCAAACGTTTCCAAATCCCAATATTTAACAGTCCTGTCAGCAGAACCTGAATAGTGAACAGCGTAGTATAAAAAATCAGAAGACCTTACAACAAGATTGATAAACTAACTGAAAAAAAAAATACAATAACTCACCTGTGGCTAAGAGAAACTCAAGCGGGTGAAAATCTAGGGAACGAATAGCACCTTCATGAAACTTAAAATCATGCAAGAGCTTTCCAGCAGTCAAATCCCATACCTATAAAGTAAAGTAAAGAGTACATTGTTATAAGAACAGTTACTAGGAAACAAGAACAATGCAGTTATTAAAACTGCTGCTCTTACCTTTACAACGTTGTCAAGTCCTCCAGTAACCACCCAGCGACCATCAGGACTAAACTTGACAGTGCTAATGCCACGAGTGTGACCTTTGTATGTTTGGACACATCCCTTCTTTCTCATATCCCAAATCTTCAGATTCGTGTCATTTGATCCGGATGCAAGATATTCACCAAAAGGATGGAACTCAACAGCAGAACAATCGGATCTGTGTCCAATAAAAGCTCGAACCACTACACTTCAAGAGCAAGAGTTCAATATATATATTAGACCTCATTATCCTCTAAAACACACTCCCATTTGTAACAATAAGCTAAAACATATATGGAAGAAAAATCAATTAGCTTATTACTCTTTGCTTCTTCTAGGTCCCACAGCTTTATCACACCCGAAGAAGCTCCAGCGAGCACCAAAACTTCTCCCGGGTTAAAAGCTACTGAGTCAACCGGGCTTGTATGCCCACAAAGACTCTGTCAAGAGAAACAAGAGCACATAATATTACATTATTTCTCGCATAACGACTTTTGATACAGAGGTTACAAACAAATCACAAAAAAGAGAGAGAGAGATGTGAAACGAACCATTAGCGAAGTGGATTTGCCGATGGACCAAAGGTTGACCTTATAATCATCTCCACCGGTTAGAAGGAGCCGTGATGTCTTCTTTCCGATACTCAGACAATTCACATTTGCGGAATGTGCCAAAAACTCCTCTTTTTAGTAAATTCAAATCAAGTCAAGGTATAAACAATAACAAATCAAATATCAAGACAAACAGAGGAACAATGTCTCTTCTATCATCTGGTCTCAAGACGAATTTCATGGAAAATCCCAAAAACTTAATGAACATAAAACCCTCACTAATGCAGATAAACCCTAATGCCGCACAAATTTGTAAGGATAAGAGGTGAAAATAATCAAATGTATAGCTAAAGTTTTGTTCTTTAAAACCAAATAAAAGTTTTGTTCTTTGTATACAGGTCAAGTTTCCAATGACAACACCAGAGAATAATATAAGGATACGCAGCTTATATCCACGCTTCGCCATTTTTGCTACTTGATTTCAGCCAATTCATGCGAATGCGAAACTGAAACCGAATCTCCAGCTTCCGTTACCAAACCAAGAATTAGAAATTGGAGCTCTGTGACGGAAGAAAATTTCAAATGTGACTACACGACGGAGTTTGAATTTTCTCGAGATTTTGAAATAGAAACTTTAAATGTCACAAGACGACAGAATTAGCTACTCGAATAGAGTTACAAGAAGTTGGAAAGAAAGGAGAAAAGTTGAGATTGAAATAGTGGCATGAACGAGCTGAAGAAAAAACAGAGACGAGAGATAAAAAAGCGAAGAACTTTTCTTTCCACCTTTTCAGAGTCTGTCATTTTCAATATTTTTTTTGAAAAAGACCCGGTTGGTGTTGTCTTAATCATTTTATGTTATGTCTCAGTGATACACAAAATCGTTGAAAACTTCAGAAAATTGGGCCGTGAAGCCTTTCTTCGTCGTCGTAATAGTCATACTTACGAAAATACCCTTACTTTGTCGTACTATCGTATACGTATATGAAGTTGATCGCAAAATTAAAAAGCACAATCAATCAATCAACTAATCCAATCCGAATATATTAACGGTATGACCAACTCAACGGAAATAATTCAGATCGAATGTCATACCATCTCAAACATTGATTTTATCTTATAACCAATACAAGGATACAATCTACAATTGGATCATAATAAATGACTAAATATCTACAACTATGGTTTGTATATACGTTTTAGCTAATTCTTCCCAAACAGTGCACTTAACAATTAACTCACTTTGATTGTGGGTGGATGAATGATCACAAACTTGGATTAGATTGAATTTTTAACTATTTGGTAATATGTGTTGATTAATCATCACATATTAACAAAAAATGTATTGATTGATCATTCATTTGAAGATTGACTATATAATAAAGTTGGGGTTGACAAAAAAAATTATCCCAAAATTGAGGTAACATAATCGAGGTTTGAAAGTTTTGTTTAGTGAAGTAATTGTTGCTTATAATGATATTAAATGAAAATGTTTGCTTATTATGTGTTGGTGAATTTTTGCTCAAGAGGTTATTGGTATGATTTGTAATCGTTGCTATATTTTATTTAAACTGGTTTTTTAGATAGAAATTAATTAAGAAGGCTGTTATACATGTTGTTATAGTATGTTTCTTTTTGAGTCATGAGCACAACATGATCAATAAGTGGTTGCCATGTCTCGTGCTACTTTCGTGCACAAAAACAGTCATCCTAATCAAACAAGATCAATTATTTCAATAAGAAATGTTGGATAGTTCCACAGATTAACGTAAAACCGAAACCAACTCATACCAAACTTTTGTTGTCTCGGTGCTATTTGGATATAATCGATCGAACCAAACGATCTTGCTTGCATAGAAATAAATAGATCTAATTAATTCGAAAGGCTGAAAATGTTAATTTCTATCAGTTACCAAATGGTAAAGTTTAAAAAAAATTGAAGTCTAATTAAAAAGGAACACCGAAAGAAGAAATTAAATGATAAAATAAATAAAATATTTCCCGCCAATTGTTTTTGGCTGATCATTTATAGAGTTTGTTTGTTTGTATGTTATCATCTTGAGATCAATATAACTAAACCGAATCTCGTAATTTTCCTGACTTCAAAGTATCGAGATTTCTTACAAAACCGGCAATGGAAATTCTGGTCATTGGATCTCAACTATTTCCAAGAATCCATACAATGATCAATATTCTTTGGATCTCAACTGTTACCTCAAGGATATAAATCGAAACCAGATGATGATTACAAAGAGTTTGTTTCCTTAAAATCCATAGAATGATCAATATTCCTATTTAGCCAATAAAACCCTAATTAGGTCTACGAGATTACCGATTGCGTCATTGGGAAGGTACTGATATTTTTCCAAGTAATATCAAGAGGTACAGAGTCATGGGGAAAGCTCAAAGGGTAATAAACTCCTGGGGCTTTGTGTTTGAATCGTTATATACACCCTGCCGTTTAGACTCGAAAACCTTGCACCCTTTAAATTTTTGGTTTCTAGCATCAGAACATGGTACTTTAAATAATCTTTAAGTTGTCTTACTTTTTCCTAGATTGGTCTTCAATGGCTGGACTGAGTAATCAATATCGAGTCTTAATCCACCCAAATTACTTCTCTGTGATTACGAGGGCTTCAAGCATGCTCGTCAAGCAGCCATTGGAACGTCAAACGTCTTGATATTTTAAATCACTTGAACTCTTTATTCAATGCTAAAGTTCAATAACTTTGTGCAATAACTTTTAGAAATCCCTCAACGAATTTAATGTAGTTTTCTTGTTCCTGGTAATATCAAGAGTCTTGGGGGAATCTCAAACGGTTATATCAGTGTTTGAATAATCACTCGCCTATTTATAGAATTGATCTCTGACATCAGAAATTTATAAACTTTTCTCTACAAAATCTATTAGCCTTTTCACTTTTTGCATGTTCCAATTTTTGTCAATGGCTGGAGCTCAAAGTTCAGCTAAACCAAAACCAATGTTTAGTTTGAGACTTGTTGTGGACAAGAAGAAGAACAAGTTTGTCTTGGCTCAGGCTGGTAGGAATTTTGTGGATGTACTCTTCAGCATTCTGACACTCCCAATGGGGACCATTGTAAGATTGCTGGAGAAATATCAACAGAATCAAAAGTCAAAAGCCGCCACAATAGGCTGTTTCAACAATCTCTACAAAAGTGTTCATGATTTAAGCACCGCCAGTTTCATGAAAGAAGTTTGCAAGGATATGCTTTTGCATCCAAGGAGTGTTATGGAGAATCAACGCAGAGGGCTTAAGCTTAATGTAGATGACATTGAGGACCTCAAGTATTATATGTGCACGACAAAAGATTTTTATGCGACATGCAGGCCGGCGTATAGTAACTTTTCTTCCTCGCGATGTTATTGTGGACAACTGATGGCGGAACAGATTGAATACCAGGAAGGTTTAGGATGTAAAGCATTCGTCAGTGAGAAGACCTTGTTCACCATTTCTGACAATATGAAAGTTGGATTTACTACGACGGGTTTCACTCTGAAGACACTTGAAAGTCTCGGTTATACCGATTTTAATCAGCTCCATGAGATGCTTGAAGTTGTTGATCACGGAAAGGTACCTATTTTTTTCTATCATTTCTTTACTTTACATGGCATTACCTGAATCTTGTCTTTTTTTTTTCTTCTGTGAAATCTAGATAGTAGAATCTGATGCAGTGCATACTCTCTTCCGAAACACCCTTGACCGATGTGTTCTTGAAACGGAGCTCATGTGCAATGACAAAGATGCCAAATCTAGCGCCAAATCTAGCCGTACAAGCAGTACCTGGAGGTCAAGCAAAATCAAACGAAGCAATAACTGTCAGTGTGTTTACTAGCAAACTGGACAATAATGTTCTCTATGTTAAAAGTGGGAAAGACTTTGTTGATCTTCTCTTTACTTTCCTGGTTCTCCCTCTGAATTCTGCTTGGAAACTATCTGGAAGCGATGTTGTGTTAGGATGCATTGGTAACTTGTTTGAAAGCGTCAAGGGTTTGAGCTCTAGCAACAGTAGTAACACATTGACTGGTAAATGTGTGCTTCCTTGGTATTATAGTTGCCAGCAAACTCTGCTTGATGTTAGCTATGAGGATTTGCCACCGGTAATGAACTACAATGGCGGGGCTCTTAAACCGATGGATCCAAGAGTTGACAAAATCGCCGAAGGTGAAGTGATCAGTGGGTTTGTGAAGGGAGGGATGACGTTTATGATCTCTGATGATCTTATCATCACTCCTTTTTCATCAACCATTTGCTCACTGAAGAAGTGGAAGCTTGACTTGGATGATATAGAGGAGCATGTCATCAAAATCAGCAAAACAGAGGTACGTATTGGTTTTTGTTCTTTATTATGATATGTTCTTCTTTTAACTCTGTTGAATATGACACTGATGCAGGCTATCACACTATTGAGAGCCTCACTGATGACATCCACTGCCTTGACCACAGCTTTTGGAAGTTTACTACCCAAGAAACCAAAAGAGGAGATGATCTAAACCATCAATCCATGTCACTAAATGAGCAGATTGTTTTTCAATTAGTATGCCTTTTACATTTCTATATCCCGCAGTAATCTGAAGAAGTATTGGTTTAGCAACTTTATGTAACGCTTAGTTTGGTTATTTTGAATGGCAAAATTATTGTTCAACTTCATGTCTTTGAACCGGAGTTCAGCCTTCTTAAGTTTTTGCTTGATTTCAACTGTTATCATTACAGAATCATAACATGGCAGATCATTTGAACAATTCTGAGTCAGTGATGGGATTGGCCAATAAATATGTTACATTCATACTGTTGGTGCCCAAAGAACAAGAATCTGACGATAAAATATCGCTTCTGCGTGGTCGTCAAAGGTTGTATCTATCTTAGATCATATGTTGAAGATCTTGGACAATTTCTGAAATGGGCGGTCTGAATCCTGGTTCCATCTATAAACAAAAAGATCATCAGGCAACAAGTCAAAAGGGTTGGTTAGTCGATTTATCTTAAGTAAAACTACTACCTGACATTGCTTTCTAGTCTAGTCAAAAAGGCTGATGTATAAAGTGAATCTTACCTGAAGAGAACGTGATATGATATCTGCAAAACGTGATAATGATTTCATTGGATATGCTCCGTGTAACGATGGATCAACCATTCTTGTCAATGCATCGATGTCATGAAGCCGAGGAATCGCCCACTGAGCTAGTGTCTGATGTCCCCTTGGCCTTGTCCTGTGCAAACACAGAGTTTTTGTCTAAGGAACATAATTGAAACATATTTTCTGTTTTGTATTCTGTTGTCTCTTCAGAGTGATGCTAACCTGTCAAATGGTCTGCGTCCAGTGAGCAGTTCCAACATGACAACACCAAGGCTGTATATATCGCTCTGACATGTGTAGCTTCCGTACTCAACCTCAGGAGCCGCATAACCCGCCATCTAAAATTTTATAACCAAAAAATCATTTCCATTATAGCACTCACACTTATCTCAGGATTTGGGATCTTCAAAACAGACAACATAGAGAATTTCTTTTACCTGACTCGTTGGGCGTGGTGGTAACATATAAGCCAAACCGCTGTCTGCAACACGCACTGAGAGCTTTTCATCAAGGAGAACCTTTGAAGACTTGAAATTCTGGTGTACAACTGGTGGTTGGCATACCTCATGAAGAAACCTGAAACCAAACTCTTAAGTAAGTTCTTGTAAATGTTCCCAAGAATATAAATTGGCATAACATTTCTGAGGTTCCTTTTACTTACTGCAGCGCCCTGGAAGCTCCTAACGCAACATTCATACGAACATTCCAAGTGAGCTTCTTGTGCAAATAGCGATCCAAATGTAGTGCATCTTGAAGTGATCTATTAGGACAGTACTCATACACAAGCATCCTTTGACCATACTCGTTACAGTAACCAAGAAGCTCCAATATATTCCCTCGCTTGAGTTTCAACACATTTGATACTAAATTGAGGAAGTCCCCATCACTCTGCGTTCTGTTGATAGTATTGCTCAGCTTCTTCACCGCAAGAAACTACACACCACAGAGAGAGTTTCAAACAGTACAAGATGTTAGTAAGAATGCACAACAATGACCAAACAGTAGAGATAAGAGGAAAGTGTCACACACCTTCCCATGAGGAAACACAGCTCTGTAGACATTACCAAGCGACCCTTCCCCTATTATATGCTCTTCTGAGAAACTATTCGTATACTGCTGAAGTGAAGCAACGGTGAAAACAGTAGCTGAAGATGAAGAATTCAATCCCGGAGGAAAATGAGCCGCTCTCTTTGCAGCACCACCATCATTAGACTGCAAATGCCTCGGTGGTTGTTGTAGCGGTTTTCGCGGCGTGTTAACATCCTTATTGTAATATGAAGTAGGAGGCAGCATCGCTCTCCGGCTTTCTTCACCCCGTTGCGGCATAGGATAACCGTATTTCCTGTCTCCAGCTCCATATCCATCAAAAGGCTTAACCATAGGCTCCCTTGAAACTGTACAACAAAAGAAAACACACTCAGCATTTTGCACTTTGCTAATGAGCCTAAACCACAAGCTTTTTTTTTCTTTTTCTCAGTGTACCTTTTTCCATAATAGGGGTTGGTTGAGAAGGAGGTTTGTTGAAGTATGGTCGTTGTATATCTTTACGAGTTTCAGAGCCAAATGCATATCGGTTAGATGTCTTGTTTCTAAAACATCTCCAAAGTGTAACACACAAACCGGCTACAAGAACAATTATGGCCACTGAAGAAATGACTAGAATGATTCTTTGCGTGGACCAGAATTTTCCTGACCCTGAGCCTGAAGGTGGTGATATTTGCAAGGTTGGTTGGCCCGTAATAGAGTTCCATGGATCTACTCCTCCATTAACAGAAGGTGGTGACCAAACCAGAGGTGGTGACGGTGGTGGTTGTCGTGGCAGTGGAGCAAAAGGAGCAGAAGGAGCTGGGGGTACACCGGAAACAGGAGGGAGATGAGGAACAGAAGGTGCAGGAGGAGCACGGTGAGTGGCGGGAGGAGGATCAACCGGAGCTGGTGGTGGTGGTGTTATAATCGATGTATTGAACGGAGTTCCGTCTTTTCTGCGGTTATAAAGACACTGTCAAACTTGAATGTGGCTAAAGAAAAGAAAAGAAAAAACAGCTTTTCTTGAAATAAACTTACTTGAAATCCGGAATTTTCAATAGATTTGGCGGTATAGGCCCTGAGAATAGGTTGTTTTCTACATTCCTGAACCAAAGATATCATAAACCTTAGTGAGTTTGGCTTTATGGTTGGAGAGTCAAGAACAAAAGAGTATGCAAGGAGAAAGAAATTATTACAATTCGGTTAAGAAAAGGTCCTCTAAAACATCAAGTTTTCCGATGAGCCTGTTGTCCTGCAAACGCCTGCAGTCAGTCCAACCACATGTTAGATAAAAAACCAAAACGGTAACAATCTGATTTTACAGCTTCTTCATATTTCCAAAAATATGTGCACTTACAGTATCTTAAGAGACGCTAAGTCTCCCATGGAAGGAGGTAAACGCCCGGTCAGTATGTTAGACGATAAGTCTCTACAATTAGAAACTAAACGCGTAAGTGAAAAGACCAAGAGAGGACGAAAGAAGAATTGAGATTGAGAGAGGAGGAAACATACAGTTTTGTCAGTTTTGATAACTGCTGAAAGTAATCAGGTATATCTCCTGTTAGAACATTGTTTCCCAACGACCTGAAAGAGAGAAGAAAGAGTTTGTTTCTTAACCGAGAAAATACAAAACTAGCAGATGCAAGAAAGAGAGTAGCTTCTTCTTTAGCAAAGACTTACAGTTCTGACAAGTCGGATAAAAAGGACAATGTAAAGGGAATATTCCCCGTGAAGCGATTGCCAGAGAGAGATCTGTAACAAGAAAATGAAAGTGTCATTTAACTATTTAATCATAAGTATTGCCATTGTAAAACAGAGTCAATTCTCAAACGCACAGGTTTCTGATGGTAGAAGGCAAAGCCTGCGGAATTGTTCCTGAAATATGATTGTTACTGAAGTCCCTGTCCATTCAAACAAGGAAGAGAGAAATAGTATCATAACGCTATCAAAGATTATAAGTTTCTAACTATTAGCTAAAGGCAACATCTTGTATGTTTTGATCTTTATTTAGCAAGAAGCCTTAAAAAGAAACATGAAGATTTGCTTACATCACTTGGATTGATGAAAAATCAGCCAAAGTATCACTTAAGCCTCCACCCACCTTCATGCCACGTATCCTTCTGCAGTCAACAACAATAAACACCTGGTCAGGACTTGACTGAAGCTTCTTTTGGTGACTCTTAAGCAAACCTAGTAAGAGTTGAAAGAGAGAGAGTATACATTTCTGTAATGTTTGAGGAGTCACAGACGACACCTTGCCACTTTTCTCCACAAGGGTCTCCTCCAAAAGAAAGCCACCGAGATAGAGATGGTGCGCCCAAAGTTATGTATAAGTTATTAATCGCCGAAACTGCAGAGGTTTAGCAAAAGAACAACTCACACCCATCACAAATAATCAATTTTTCTACAGACTAAAGCATCTTTTTGAAAATAACCATTCAATAGAGAGAAAGAACAAAATTTGGGTTCTTGAACTAAAAACCTAATAAGAGCTTATGTGTCAAAAACCAAAACTTTAGGGTTTTTGTGTCTTGTCTCATAGCACTAGAATCTGGCAATCTGGAGCCTCGAAGACAAGGCTAAGCCTTTACCTAAGTCTACCCTTAAACTAATCAAAGTCACTTTCACTGGACAGAGCTCAAAATCTAGCGTCTTAATCCAAACTAAGCAGACAAAGCAAAATCAAATTTGTGAATTTGCAGACAGAAGAAGATAGCTTATTAGTTATTACCATCTCGTAGATTGGTGACTCCAGCTGAGAACGGCATTGTCAAGGCTAATACAGAGAGCACAAAGAACACTTCTCGTCTTGTAAAGCTCATGGCTTTAGTCAGTCTCCACTGAAGATGAGGAAAGAAACTTGAACTTGGATTAGACTGATTGATTGTTCCCAAGAAAACTTGAGATAAACAGAGATTTTTGAGGTAATGTGGAAGAAAGGGAGAAGGAAAAACAGAGATTTTCCTGATTAAAAGGGAAAGCGAAACATTATTTCGTCGGACTTTGAAGGGAGAGAGAAAGTGGAAAATAGTTGAAGAGTGAGAGTGTGAGAGAGTTTGAGATAGAGAGAGAGAGAGTATGAGTAATGTGTGTTTTGTCTCGAAGAACGAGCGGCTTACAAAAGCTCCGGCCTTGTTTAGTTCAAGGTTTCGTGTGTGAAAGAGAAAAAAAGATTCAAAGACTTCTCTCTCTTCTTGTCAAATTTTTATGTTTTCTTTTTGTCGCCATGTTCATCTAACTATAGTTTCTTCGTCTACTTTATTCTTATGACATTGGGTTTTTTCTAATGCCATCAGGTAAAACCGTAAAAGTGTATTATCATTTTGAAGCACATCGAAAGAAAAACATTAGAGACGAATATTTGAGTGTGTTTGTTATTACTAATTTTGTTGCTGATTAATTTACGGACTTGCCTATTCAGTGAGATGGGCCAAGAAAGCAGTGAAGTGGAAATGCTCTGCAAAGTGCAAAGTGTTGTTTTATGGATGGAGAGAGAGTGAGACCCACGCGGTCAAAATATCATCATTTAATCCCCATTTTGGTATTTTGTAATTTAATGTTTCTTGGTGGTAAAAAATTAAAAATGTCTAACTGTGAGGTTGTTTTATACAAATTCTAATACCACGGCACCAAAAGATTGGCCCATGATGTTGTTGTTACATTACTTAGATAATTGAAACACTTGCAATGTTATGTTTTGTTATAGATTCTATTTTTCTACAGTTTTGTTGTGAGAACATAACACTTTATTGTTTATCTATTAACAATTAAGAATTCTGGTTTTGAGTTTACAGTTACAACCTACAATCACTATTTATCAATTTCTTTGGAATGTATTTGTTTAATTTGTATTATATTGTTTTCTTGATGGGATGGAGGAATTGTGAACAATTTTATCGTAATAATTTAATGGCATGCCATCTTTTCATAGTTTGAGATAAGATTAAGTTATGTGATTCATACGTGATTAGTTCTGATACTTGCATGAACCTGAACAGCAAAAATCTATAGACAAAACAAAATAAGCAAAATAGGGCGTATGATCAATACAGACTAAACATGGTTGGTGAGTTCAGTTTCCAATAACTTTTTTTTTCAAAAAAAATACAACTCTTATCAATCAATTTGTTTCCGTTTCGTCTGAAATTATCTAATCAATTAAGCTTTGCAGAGTGCAGAGACAGTAATAAGTTTCTAACTTCCTAAAACTCAAATTTTTCCGGATACAATTAGTTTGGCGCGTAAACACACCTTGACTAATCTTGGTAGCCAAAAAATGAAAAAACACACCACCATTCTAGTGGGCTAGACAAATATAATATGGGCCCAAATTGGTTGACAATGTGATGATAAAGCCTATTTGAAGGAAGTTGCCTGATAAAGCAAAGGATTACAACGGCTATTTTCAAAAATTCAATATTTGAAGAAAACTATCGTACATGAAACCAACTTTCTTGACTAAAAGTCTAAAACCAAGATGCCAATCAGGATAAAATCTTTGAAGAAACTGTTTTCTTTTCACTTATTTACAACTATAATAACATCTCCTTGTTATATAACCAAATGATTCCATACAGATTTTAAGTAATCTTCATGATTTGTAATTAAAAAAAAATGTTATTTAAAATGATCAACCACGGTTAATATTGCAGTGGAAAAAAACTTGACACTGATTCTTAATTGCACATAAGTAATCTTCAAAAAATAAAAATCAGTAATCGTGTTATATAAACGACTGAGTAAATTGTTAACTCTAACATTATGTTAAGGCGAACAATCATTGTCGTACTAATATATTATATATACAGACAAAAATTAGTTATGAGATCGGAAGATGTACTAGTGTAAATTCAAACTATTCTTTAAAAAGTGTTTAGGCAAAATGTATATAGATCTTGTAAAGTTAGGCTTTTATATTTGTACTGAATTTTTAACATGGTCTCTCATTGCCCCAACAAGCGAAATAAAATTAAAGAATGCAAAGAGTACTTTTTGGTCACCTGTTAGACCAGAGGATCCAAGGCACATAACGAATGTTCCATTTATTTAAATTAATTTGCAGTTTCCTATGCTTTTTACTTCAAATTTTGGTTATACAACGTCCCTCCCAGCATTTTCTGCCCTACCATATTTTGATCCGTTGTAAATCATTTGGTCTTCAAAAGTTTTTAAAAGTTATGTTACCATCGAGGGACGATATGAATAATTCATTATGCCTATCATAGTGGTGGTTTCTCAGTGAGTCCAACATCTAAGATTAGATATGCATCAAACTTGATCCGTCCGAACTTAAATTTTCATATTTTTATGCATATCAACTCGTTAGTTTCTTAGAAAAATTAAATTGATCAGAACTGATGATCTCATCTTGTTTTCATTTTCAGTATGCATAAGCATGACCGTAAACTCTTTAGAGAATTAACGGTAAAAGAACTTTTTTTCTCACCGAAAATTATTCATCATCATTCATCCAAAAATTTAGTTTGCCTGATGTAGGGTACAAAAGGACAAGCAAGAAAGCGTTAGAAAAGCAAAATCTTTACAATGCTCTCTCCAAAAGATGAGCCTAAATAATAAAGAAATTTGCTATGGAAAAAAAACGTTTGAATCATTTACCAGACAAAAGAACGATTGTTTGTAATCTAGAAAGACCTGAATCACTATGAATAGTGCTATCAATATACAAAAATCAGAATGTATAAAACTTTGAAAACAATATTCGAAAAACAATTTCTGTTATTTGAACACTATCACTAAAATTTTCATTTTAGACAAATGGCTATTTAAACAACTCTTTAGTTAAGTATATAATTTACACGACAAATACAAATCATAGATTAATTGTAAATGATAAGAATCAGACAGTAGTAAAACTACAATTGGTCTAGTCGTCTAGATGATGAAGACCCATGTGTGCTTATGCATTATTGGTTTTGTTGGGTTTCTTATATTCCCAGTAAAAGAAACTAAATTAAATTTAGTGTATTTTACCTTTTTTTTTAGGGTCAAAGTTATGAAGCTCTTTGCTTGCGTATGGTTTTTAGTTTTTACTGTCAGAAAATATAATAATTGATGTCACAGAAGCAAATCTTTTGCCGTCCAATTCACACATCATCACATAATTTAATGGATTTCTTTTTATTTCTCATAACGTCGTCTTCATTTTCTTATAATCACCCAAAAAAACTCTGAAAACATATGTAACAACTACAAGACACAGCCAAACAAATCTTGCAACGGAGAAACCATATGAATTCTGAAACACAACTTATTTAAGTCAAATACAAAGGCAGCAAACTATTTAATCAAATTCCGGCGATAATTCGAGACTATTATCCCCGGAATATTACTTTTCATAACAATCTTACAGAAAGATGAAACACTCTAACGAAACAAGAGGGTTCTCAAACAGGTCGTTAGGGGTATAATTGTCATTCACAGCAGCCGCACCGCCATGTCCGCAACTAGTCAGATGACGACAATCTTGATATGACCCGGTTTTGTTCGAATCAGGTCTGACCCGACCCGGAGACTGGCCTTTTTTCCTCATTGCTCCACCATTGTCGGTATTATATTGCGTCGGACCCATCATGACGGACCTGTTCATCGCCGGCGACCTGGACCTTCTCTGGGATCTCTCAGTCGGGTCTCTCTTACTCGGCATCACAGAGCCGGCTCCTTCTCCTCTTCCTTCAATGTTTCTCTTCCGGGGAGACATTTCTGTTCTCCGGGTCGGGTGATTAAGCATGACCCGGTTCCGACACTTCGCCGGAGATCTCTGTCTTACTCCCTCTGGTTTTCTCTGTTTCACTTCTTCTTCGTCGCACCCATTCACGATCGAAAGCAGACTCTCGCTCAAACTACAAATTTCCGAGACCTCCGATCCCATTTCCGGTTCAACGGAACCGGTACCGTTGAAAAACGGGTCCGGAGATACCTCGACAGCTCCAAGTTTCTTCTCTTCATCTTCCGGAATCTTGTTCGTCCCCGTCGTCGTCTCCACAGTCGAATTGTCGTTAGAGGGAGTGAACAATGTGGTTTCGGACAAGACTTCTTTGACTACTGTCTCTTCCTCGACGACGGATGGAGACGTTGCTGTGTTCTTGCCGGAGACAGGCTCATCTTTCTGGTCGGAGCTGACGCAACAACCCATAATAGAGAACGTCGTCGGTTTAGTGGGAGATAAATGATGGTTCTTGTTTGTGTTGTTTGATGGCAGCAGAGTGAAGAGGACTTTTGGGTATTTATTGGCAATATTTTTGGATTAATCTCTTTGAGTGAGAAATTATTGACTTTTCTATTGTAGACTGTAGAGGAGAGTAAATTTGTTTTTTGTGCGATGTAATTGTTAATGAGTAACAACTGGTCCTACATGTTAAAAGTACAGAAGACCACACAACTATATGTTTATGTGAAGTAAATTAAGAAAATGAACAGTATGTTTTTAAATGCAAATAATCTTCTCTTCGATTCGATTGCATGTACATACGACCATGCAAACACACAAAAGATTTGACTCAATTGATTATGAGACTGACTAAAACAGTACATATGTGAATGACATTTGGACCAAAAGTACAGTCGGTCTGATTGCAAACCAGTTACGCTTCAGTTAGCTCTTTCGTTGCGGACTTGGTCAATCCAAAGCCGTGAAAAACTAATCTTAAGATACTGAAATATTTGTCCATGGAATAGTGATATATATCTTGACGCAAATATACGTACAGTCTCTCAAATTTACACCAGTGATACTAATAAGTCAACTTTTTCGGAAGATAATTGTACAAAATATGACAAAAGGTACCATTTACATAACCAGACGAATATTAAAATATGTACATCACAGTCGAATCCACACTGACTACAAAACAAAGTGTTGTGTCTGCATCCCAAAATCCAACACAATTTCAGATTCTTCACTCACTAACATAAAGATTTCCAGTCGGCACAGAAAAAAAGAAGAAGATAACAACAACCTAAGTAGAAATCATATCTCGATCCAAAATAATTTTGACTCTAACCACGATTCAGAAAGTTATTTACATTCAGTCTACAATACACCAATACCTGCAATTTCGAACATTCAAAGAAAATGACTATAATCCATCCAAACCACAATACACACGTTTCCCTTTTTATAAAAAAAAACGTTCCTCTCTTTTCACTTGTCTTTCAATAACCCATTAACTGTCTGATTATGAACACTCGATTGTCTTAAATTCTTGATCCCGTTTAAGTTCAGTTTTCTCTACACACAAGTTCAAAGGCCATTTCCTACAACTTGCAACTTAATGTTGATATCTGATATCAGTTTATAGTACAGTCACTAATTGTTTTTTTTTTGTCCTTCAAAAGATTGAAAGCAAATCGAAAGAAATGAATATAGGGATGAAAAACACTCTTCACATTGGGCAACTAATTATTATAACTAGCAAATAACAGAGAAACTAGAAAATCTTGAATATTTATGCTTAAGCTAAAGGCATAAACCAGTTGTTGATCCTAATACCTATATACACAAAATACTCATAAATAATCTCCCTGAACCCAATCAATGTAGCGAAATCACAGGGAGACAAAAAGTAAAGATAAAAAAAGAGAACACAAAAACATCCGATTGCAAACTCAACTCAACATCAATGTGGTTGGTCGCTCGAATGTTAAACAAGCCAATGGTGGTGATACCAGATAAAAATAAACAATCTTCAACATTCTTGAATGGAGTTGGAGCTGGAGGAATCTCTTGATGGGCTATGTTGATGCTGAGACTGTGAGATTTGCTGAGGAGGAGGACGAGGCACAGGCGCTGGATGAGCTATGAAAGTAGGGATATCGTCTCCTGGCATCAACACCGATACACCGTTTGCGTAAACTGTCATCTGCATAATCGATACATCGGAAAATCAGTCATTCATAAACTTAAAGAAAGATCAACTTTAGATAAGTGTATATCCAACAGAGAGAAGAGGCAAAGATTCTGAAAGAGAATATAACGTTTCATGAGCCAACAAAACATAAGCAAACTGAAATAATTTTGAGTGGAAGAAGACAATGACAGATCTAAAACATGTGTCATTGTTCCCTAGCAGCAGCTCAAATTAAGAGAAAGAAAAGGGCAAACACACGTTGTCTTAAGTTTACATTCTATGGGTCCTCCCATGTTTTAACATGGTTCTATCTAGTCTTTAATCACATGGTTTGTTTCATGACCACGTAAAAACAGTCTATAAATGCCAATCAGTCTTTATCAAACAAGATATATCTAACAAGAAAACAAAGGTATAAACAGAGGAAGTAAACTCTCTAGCAAACTATTACACCAAGAATATGACAATGAAGAGCAAACTTATTAGTGTTACACACACTTCTCTCAAATTCCATTCAAGTTAACATATGGATTGAGACAAAATCAGGCTTAGTGGGTCTGTTCGTTTCAAGAAAACTATGTAATCTCCATGAAATTATTTAACCACCAAGAACATGATAAGACTCTAGCAAAGGAGCAATGTTAGGTTTCAAGAGAGCTTGTGGGGCCATTTGTGTTCCTAGGAAATGTCAGCCACACATGGTTTTTAGACTTAGACGTTAGACCTCATTTTTCCATCTACAACACGCATAGTTCCGTATGTACGCGTCAATATTCAACAAACAAAACTTTATTACACTTTTTTTCTTGTCTCCTCCGCCATTATGAAGAAGGATAAAAAAAACAGGAGATTCGAAGTGTGACGAAAGAGATCAATGAATGCATCAGCATATATACATCTCTATATATAACCAACAGTGTATGCATGTGTGAGCGAGGGAGCTTATGGGACATGCTTTAATGTTGATGATGTGAAAGCATGTGCAATGTTGGGTCTCTTTCAATACTCAAATAGTACACAGAATCAAAGCCCTATGATGTTCTTTTCTTCTGCTTTTGGGATCAACGTGTTCACATCAAATGAAAAATCACCCATGAAATTAAAAATGTAATATTTTTTGGGGATAATTAACCAAAAGAGTAAAACTTTACATCATTAAACACTTAAATCCGAATATTTATGGAAGAAAACATATAATTTGACATCTAAAAACAGAAGCTTTCTTTAGTTCCTGATTTACCCAATGTTTGTCTTCTCAAGTGTCAAAATCAAATTTAGCAAGAAAATTAAATAGAATTGAAAATCTCTAGATTAGTCAAAATGTGTCAACATTTAACATTAAGTAGACAAGAATGCGAAAATTAAGGAATTTAAAATTACGAATTATTTTTGAGGGGAAGAAAAGTAAGAGACTTGCCTTGGGAGATTGATAACCGAGCTTAGCTGCAGCGCCATGCAACCCGACCCGAGAATCCATACCCGGAAGGACCCGACCGGAAGAGGAATCTGGGTTAGTAGTTGAGGTGGTTGTTCGAATCAGTTTCTCGAAGATAGCCATGACGAGGAACATTGAGATGAGAATGGCTGTAGCTACGAACCCAAAGGAGACAGCGTTAACTGAGTCGTCGAATCGAGATTTCCACGGCTCTTCTCGCCGGAGATTCATCGGAGCTCCAATCGGCGGCCAGGGATGGTTCATGCTAGTCTTGAAGCGCTCAAGCTCTCTCATTGCTTTATCAGAAACGAAGAAAAGTTTTGTTTTTGGCTTCAGTGTTTTTCGTGTTTGAGGTTCACTACGGTGAAACAGAGAGAGAGAGATGGGAGAGGAAGAAGATGAAGAAGGAGAAAGAGAGGGAGCAAGTGGGGCTAATATGTGAGAATGTGAAAGTTTTGGGATTTAAAGAGAAATTAAAAAAATGAAAAAATATCGTAAACTTTTCGGGGACACACATGTTGTCCTTTATTGCTCAGCTTTTCTTGAAAACTCACAAAGAGAATAGTGATTTTTGTTCACTAAAATAATTCAAGAAAGCATAAATATAAATTCAGAATCTAACCTCTTTTTTTTTCTATTGAGCCACAACGAACATGTACTTTGTTACACACCATTACGGTCACGCGTGACTGGATTATAATATTTAGTAAACATAATTGGTTAATCCTAAAGTAGAAAGAAGATATAAACTATTACAAATCAAAAATATTAAAGTCTTTTTTAATTTTTGTTTTGAATCAAATCATTTGTCGAAAAGGAAGTAAACCAAGAGATAACATTAAACTTTGGCTATTGTTCGAATACGGAGAAATTTTCTATATGAAATTTGAGAAATCCGGGTGGGATACATTAATTTTCCATGAGTGTGTTAATTGATCATGTGTTTCTAGGACTTATGTATCCCACCGGATTTCATCATTGATATAAATACGTAACATGTTAATAAATCTCAGATTATGTGCATTGTTTGTGTGTGTTATAGAATCCATTGTTAGTGATGTCTTTCATGTGTGTTTTGTCTAATGAAAATTCAGTTGTTTTCGAAGCTTGATAAAAAGTCTCTAGTGCAAGCAATGTCATGCTGCACCATGTCATGATGTCTTTCATGTGTTATGTCTAATGAAAATCCATGTGTTTTCCAAGCTTGATAAAAAGTCTCTAGGGCAAGCCATGTCATGCTGCACCATGTTCCTAAAATGTGCCATGGAGTCTTTCTCTTACTCTTGACTATGTTTTACTCTTGTTTGCTATTATTATTTGTATAAACCAAAAAGCCAAAAAAAATCTACAACATTAACCTTTTTGGACAAACATATTTCATAGATAAACCAATCACACACTTAATAGTCTGATATTTTGTAGTGTTTACAGTTAGTTAATCCCTATGAATATCTCTTCCGTCATTGAATTCAAGTCGTAACTCCAATAATTACACTGAAACATAATCCATTTTATTCATCTTCGTATCCTTCACTAATGTCTTCACCTTATAGAACACCTATCTTCCAGTCTCATTTTACTCTGCAAATTTACTATTCTGTTCAATCCCAAAATTACTCCAAAGTTTTAACCGAACCGCAAACATATTTAAAGTTTTTTAAAAATTTAAAGTATTGATATTCTAGATACAGTAAAAATAGAAAATCTCAACAACAAACCAAAATTTCAGAATATCTGATTTTATTTGTCAAAAATATTGATATTCTTAGATTCATTCAGTTCAAAATGTTAATGAGTAAATCACTAAATCCTCTGATTTGTTAGCATTATACTATTATTACTCTAAATTTTTGGTTTATTTTTGTTTTTTTTTTTGTTTTAAAATGGCAAAAAAAGAAAGATAGAATGTTTAATTTGAACTTTGAAGGGGAGAAAAGAGAATATTGATTCGTTTAGATAGAAGCAGACAAAGACCAAACAGTTGAACAAAAAAAACAGAGTATCCGAAAATGATGTTTTAAGGGCACTCTGCCCAAAGTTTCTTCTTCTTCCTCTTCCTCTGTTATATCTCTTTCTCGTGAACCCCAATGTAAATTCCTCACACGTATTCAACTACCCATAAAAAAGCTGCTCACTTTTCCTCTCCAAAACCCCCAAAATATCGAAACTTTCATCCATTTTCAAAAGACCCTTTTAAGATAAAAAAAAATCTAGAGAGCTTTTATTTGTATTTGCAGTGTATAATGAGACTGGAGGATAGACTCAAGGCGGTGAATCAGTACCGGAAGAAGATATTCCGGAGGGTGAAGGCGGCTGTGGAGAAGACGAAGAAGAAGAAGAAGCAGACTATGTTTCAGTATGATCCGTGGAGTTACGCCTTGAACTTCGACGACGGAGGAGAGAAACCTCAGAGGCTCTCCGGCGACTGTAAACGCTGCAGAATCACCTTGATTTATGTTGTTTCTGTCAAACTTTGATAAATTCTATTCGTTTACAGTTTTGAAGCTTGTATCAGTTTTCTCTCTCTTTCCCTCTCTTATTTGTGTAATTTTCCATCAAACTTGTTATTTCTTTTTTAGTCAGTTAAATATATATTTTCTTCAAAACTTGAATCGTTTGTTTTTGTATCCATGTACTGCAAAAGGTCACAAGCAACTATCTCGACAAGTAATACTTGATTCTACTAAATTCTAATCAAGCTTCTAAAAATCCGTTTATTTTGGCAACATTTGAAATTTTGGTACTTACCCTTTTGTACATTCCAATGTAGAGACTGTAATTCCTTATTCAACACTTTGAGAAACAACGAGATGTGGTTAACACATTCATTTTTGGGTACTAATCTTTGTGTAAAGTTCCAACTTCCATTGTTTCAAAAATTTATAAGTAAAGATCGTAATTAACTATTTACTTGACCATTTTGAATTTTTGATAAACAACTAGATATGGGATTTATTGTAGTTTGAGAATCTTACAAGACATGGAAAAAACATCCTCAGCTGATTAAATGATACTACTATAATTAGTTAAGATCCGTATTTGAATCACCTAAAATTTTGAATTTATGTTTATTGACTAATCGAAATATTTATCATCCTTGAAGTAGAAACTAGAAACACCATTGACTCGCACCTAACACTTTTCTAAAAAGGGACAAATGAGTTTTGCAACTATCTTTTTAGGTGAAAGAGAGAGATAAGCAAAACAGAGCTCAAGGAAGTACACTGTAGAACAGTGAGATAAATAGACAAAGAAGCAACTTTTGTGGTTCGTTGGTCAAACACCCAACAAACTTCAAAATCAAATTCAATAGCCCCTTCACAAGTAGCTTTCTAGAAACCGTACTACCATGTTGGAGAATAAAGAGCCTTAAGTAAACAGTAACCAACATTGAAAACAAATTTTTTTACTGTGTTACCAAGTGGTCCAAATATTTCCATCAGTAAGCAAAAAACCACTTTATCATAAGTGCAAGGCGTTATACACTTCACCTCAATCGGAAACTACACAATGAAGCTATCGTCTCCTAATGTTTCTTGCAACAGACCAGTTAATGTTTCACTATATTTGTTCCCTTTGTCAGAGAGCCTTTAGTTTCTGAGAGAGAGATGAAAAAAGTCACTCCCATGGGTATAGGCTCTGGCAAGTGGACAAATCACTCAAGCGTGGGTACAGTGCTTTTTCATCCGCTTGATCCTGAGTCCAAAACAGCATCTTCAACAAGCGTTCAAGTTTGGAACCTGTTAATAATTCACAAACATCAAGAGGATATCTGAATGACACATGTGGGCACAACTAAGGACTGTGCAAAATACTTGTAACTGTGACAGTTTTTTGGCATCATAAACAACTGATTCTAGAGATAATAAGCTCACTATTTCACTTGCTGTCTTAAGCCACAAGGAGTAGAAAGTTAAGTAGTTACCTTTTTCACCAGTCTGGTTAGTAAGAATTGCTGCATTGACTTCGCTGGCACTCTTAAACCGCCGTGAGGTGTCAATAAGCTCTTTATATTGGCAGGGATAAGGATCATCAAAAACGCGTAGAGTTATAGTTCTTTCCAATTCTTCCAGAAGCGCCTTCTGCATAACATGCAGCAAGTATTATGACATGTGTTTCAGTATACTCTGGAAACAATGAGCTTTGTGGACTCACTGAGCAAGATTTAGATGCTTTACACATAAATAACGTAATCTTTAACAGTCAAAATCCAAAGTAAAATGATGACAGAGCATATATTATCAGAGGCATGAGACACTAACGAGACACAAAAATGTGATGAAGATTGTTAAAGACCTACGTTCCCTTGTACAAGTGGTGTAAGCTCTTTCTTGCAATACGCGGTGGCCTCTTCTCCTTTCCCCTCGCGGATTAGTTCTATCGTCTTTTGCTGTTTGAAGTAAAAATTCGTCTCCAGTATCTGCAAAACGGAAAAGCTCTCATGTGGGTGAGAAACTGTGACCACCACTCAGGAAATAGACTAGTAACATGACGTATGTCCAAGCCAATGACCACTGAAGAATCATTCGCTATAAAACAAGAGCCATATCTAGATTTAACCTAGAATCCAAGGAAACAAAGCATAAGATAGGAAAAAGCAATGTACCTCAGGGTTTAAGGCACTCAGTTTCTCAGTAGCAACATCCATATTTCCGCATTCGATAGCTCTGATAACAGCCGATCGGTCAGCGATGCTTGCAAGATCTATTTCTGCTGTCTTCTTGTTAAGGAAATAACTAAGAGCAGATAGTAAACAAACACTCAAAGCATCAGAAGAAAGTTCATTTTCACAAGTTTAACCAGAAATCCACCAGGAAGAGGATACGCTGAGTTCCAGTTTCCTCTTGGAATTTCTCCACAGCCACTGGATATCCTTCAGCTACAAGAAAATCCATCACGAGCCTGTTCAAGTCTTCTTTCCGAATTTTCACATCTTTCGCATAGAAATTCCACTCTTCACCCTTGACCAATCTCTTCGATGTATCCTGAAGATTCAAATTTACATCATCACCATCAAGCCAGGTCAAGAAACACGCCTAAGAGAATGGAAGTCATCATTGAAAACACAGAGAAAACAATCAGCGAAGATGAATAAATTACCAAATCTCGTTCGTTCTCTGAAAGCTGATTTGGGGAAAGAAAGAAAAAAAGCCAGAAGAGTGACATAAGAAACACCAATCTAGCTCTCGCAATGTTGAATCGTCATCCATTCAATACAAATAGTTACCTGTTCTTCAACGTAGTCTGCGGCGAAACTCTCTTCCGAAGTTGAGCGACTCTCAATACTCTGGATCAAGAAATTCGCTTCGTTACTACACAGAAATCCCGAGAATCTAATGCGTTTCCGTCAAAGTTTCACAATAGTACGCAATTTCTAACTAAGAAGAGCGCGACGAGATTTTATTTTCCTGGAGAATTTTCCGAGAAAGTGTACCTGAAGAAAATCAGCTGGAGAAGATGGCTCCGAAATGATCTGTGGAAACTCCATCGCAAATTGCCTGCGAAAAATCTCAATCGTCTTCTACTCTTATTTATAACAGAAACTATTGTACCCAAATTTGGCCGAACCGTCAATAACCGAGACGGTTGAAATGGTAATAGGATTTAGGTGTATAAGTCTGTGAAGAAGGAACTAGAGGAACGATAGCTACACAGAGAACCTGAGCTTGGTTTGTATATAAAGAGTGAAATTGACCATTATCAAGAAAAACAATGTGATTGATATGTAAATCAATATTCTAGTCACTTAACCAAATACATTGTTCGTTGATTAAAATATGACTATACACAACGTTACATCAATAAATAAAACAGATAATGTAGCCACTGAATTCAAATTCAAACCTGGGCTTGAACTTGATCATCTCCTCCACCACATCTATCATTCAACCAACTAACAATATCTTTACGAACTTTCTCAATGTTCTCATCAGGTTCACCGAACAACATCGAATGCATCATCCCTCCATAGATCTTCAACTCCTTATCTTCGCTCTTGGCGTTTACGTACAATTCTCTGCTCACCTCAGGATCAGTCACAGCATCTGCAGTTCCGTGCAGCACAATGAAGGGAATGCTCACATCTTTTAGCTTCTTCCCTAAGTAATCCGTAACCCTAAGCAGCTCCATCACTGTACCCAGCCTCGGTTTCTCACTGTACCTCATCGGATTCCTCCTCGCAATCGGTTTCTTCTCCTCCACTTTGATCGATTTCTCCAGCAGATCCTCCGTCGGAACAATCGCCCAAGTCGGGACGAATCTGGAGATCGTAATTAGAAACTGATCAATCGGCCATTCAGGTCTCACCTCGTCGGAGATTTTACACATTGGCGCAACCAGAACCGCTCCGTCGAACCCTGACGGATCGGCGAAATGGATCAGGAGACAGATCGCGCCGCCCATTGATTCTCCGAAGAGAAACCGAGGCAATCCTTGGTATTTGGGGTTTTGCTTGATCGAATCGAAGAATGAGACGAGGTCGTCGACGACGAGATCTACGGAGGGGACGTAGGCGCGGACGCCGTCGGATCTGCCGTGGCCTTCGATGTCGAGAGCGAAGCAAGCGAAACCCATCTGGGCGAGGAAGATGGGAGTGGATTGGAAAGTCCAGCTGACGTCATTGCCGTAGCCATGGACCATGAAGATGAGGCCACGCGGAGGAGAGGGAGAAGAAGGAAGCCATGAGCGAGTGAAGAGTTTGAGTCCTCGAGGGGAAGTGAAGAATGATTTGGAGCCGATGATGCCTTTGAGATTGTAGTAGTCTTCCTCTGAAGTATCTCCCCAGAAATTGATCTCTGTATCAGACATCGATCGACGTCAAAGAGTTTTTTTTCCTCAGATTTGTGTGGATGGTTTTGATTAGTGGTTTTGAGCAAAACGTTTCTCTGGCGTTTAATGTGTTATTTCGTTAATTTTGCGTCTGCGTTTGGAAAAGTCAAAAGTGTTGAATTCTTTTTGTTTGGGTTTAAGAATACCAAAAACTAAGCTGAATTTTATTGCACAATCCGGTACATATTTCAAATTTTTCGGTTATAAACGGACTAATAATTCGGTTTTCTAAACCAGAAAAAGAAAAGAAAAATTATCTGCTTTGTTGAGCATCTACCAAATTTTATTGATGGCAGCAGTATCTCTCTGAGTCTCGACAATAGTTTTCAGTAAAAGTACGGTCGAATAAATGACTTGTCCAAAATTTATGATTTATGTACGAATAGTTTGTGCGTGGAAGTGGAACCAAGCCATGTGGGTTTTAAAGCAACGTAAGGATGGATGTCACTAATGTTTTTTACTGTGATATTTCAGCCAAAATAGAACCTAATCTATAATACGAACACTTTGAGCCCATTTCATGATTTGATTATTGGATTCTGATTGATTGTCAAGTGATTTGATTAAACAAATGCAAAAGTATTTATTGATTTGTTTTTCTAATGAATCTCTCTACCTCTTGTCGACTACAAAACCCAATCGTGTTTAGCCACCTCAAAAATCTTTCAAGACTCGTTCATAAGAGGCTTGTGATATAAAAGTCATAGAAAAGACGATTAATCATGATTAGTTTTCAGTGAAATGATTTGAACCTTCAATATATGAGAAGGATTTGTCTCTTCGTATAGTGGACATTACACTTAGAGTGTGTGATTTTGGTTCAACCGAACTATATATACAAAAAAAAAAAAAAAAAAAAAAAACTGAATTTTGAATCAAGTTTCAATTCGAAACAAAATCAAATGAAAAAACAACTTTTTTTGTGTGTGTGGAAAAACCTCCAAAGAAAATACCAAGCTTTAGTTTCCATTCGGTACTTTAAATCATAAAACTTAAAATCCATTTTAGCTCAAATTAAAAACCGGATTAAGCATGATCTAAGTAGACTTATATATCTCAATTTTCATTTCATTTTAAGATCTTTACTTTTGTTCAACACAATTTTGATATTTCAAACGAAGAAAGTGATTAATAAAAGAACCTATAAAATCTCTTGTTTGTTAGTGATGAGTGGATATAGTCAAAAAGACTTCAAATGAACTTATGTTATGCGCACTTTCAAATCTTTGGATGGATAAGAATCACTGGTAAAAAAGTGAGATTTTAGCAATACTTTGACCACTCTAACGAAATTGGAATTCGACTAATCACCATGTCCCATCCAATGGTGTCGTTATTATCGTGAAAATTATCTCTCACTATATGGCATTTTTTGTTTGTTTTTTTGCTTAATATCTCAGTATATAATGATATCTCTGTTTGTCTGCATGGAAACCTACACATTAATATCTCATCCGAAAAGTTCAAATGTATTTTGGACAATGGACATAAATACACTCACTAGTCTTGATGGTTCACTTTTTTTAGCCCTCACTCATATAAACGTAACAGTATGTGATGAGTCGACTAGCTAATAGAATACGAATAGATATATCGACGAAGAATATATAAGATAAGTCGAGTTTATGTCATATAAATGGCTAAGGAATGTAGCATAAAACCCAATACATCATCTAGAGGGGTCCAATCGATAAGGAATTAAAACTCTCTCGTATAGGGCATGTCTCTAGTAGACTATAGCATACTGTGTTTAGATTCCTTCTGCTCATATAATCCTTCGAGTACTCATTGAAAAAGGTGGAACCTATACCTTCTATCTTTAATAGTGACGATCAAAACACTTCATCTTTTTTTCTTTCTTTCTCTCTTTTAGTGCGCGTTTGATTAACATTATATAATAATCTCACTTCTCTGCTGATTTCCCCCTAGTCAATGGATAAATATTGTTTTCTTCGATTATAGGTATTTTGTTTTTCAAAAGACGTATCAGAATCGCGAGTTCTGGAATGTAATTTTTGTTGAAACTTGGAAGTGAGATAGACCTCTTTGGTTAGTTAACAACGGGGAATACTAGTCTTGTAAGTCATCAGTAGGAGATTAAGACTTGATTCTGGAATCTCAAATTGGATGGTTATATATTAATTCCCTAATTAATTGTTTTCTTCACTTCATTTTATCAGATGATCCATCAATGGTATATCAACGCGTGTCTTAATATATTATGGGATGTCATTTGTCAATATAATTTAAGAATAATAGATTTGACCGATTCACAAATTGTCTAGAAACAATTCCTCAAAATCTAATGGCCAATAAGGTTATTACAATTGCACACATTGATAATTAATATTCATAGTTAAGTGGGTATCCATAGTTCTGAGAATCATATAAGTGGAAATCCATTGGCCAATTTGGACTTATGGAGTCTGGTCTAACTGTTAATTAATTTAGAGGTCCCCATATTGGACACAGAGTTTCGTTTTCTAATCTTGGATCTGTATTAAAAGATATGAAAACATATTAACTACGTAGAAAAATCATTGACATAGCAATACAAATACTTGAAGGTGATTAGATAAATCATTAGCCCCTAATAGTACAATATAGCCTATAACCTAGTGGCCATTCACCAATTCAAGGGATCCAAGTGGAATGATCATTTTAAAAATATTTTAATTTTTTTTTTTTCATATTTAGTTAGTTAAGACATTATAATGTAGAAATCTCTTTTATAAAATGACCTGCAAAATTGTAAGTTTCTGAAAATTTTCTATTCGCATATGCAAAACTGTATATACATACAAAGATTACCTTCCCAGCAAAAAGACAAAAAAGAACGATTAATTGAAAAACAAAATGTCTATCCAATATGAAACGTAACATACATATATTCCGGAGATGATTTCCCTCTCATTCCTCATCAAAGAAAGTTGGAGTCCATGTCACAGCCATTCAACGAAAACACTTATTTGTTGTTTATTATTATTATTTTCTCTAATTTATAAACGTGATGTATTTAAACTAATGACAACTGTGAATTTGAACTATGCAAGAGTAAAATGTATGCATATTTACGACTATAAAGTGAACTATATATAATGGTCAAGTGTATCATACACTTGTGTATGGATCATTCTAGTTTTGAGCAACATGATTGAACCACTGAGTTATACAATTATCTAAATTGTTCCATGTGTAGTTGCAAAGTGGTTGTGCTAAAGTGTCTGTTGTTCACTTCCTCTCGTGTGACTGTCTTAGTGGTGACAAAACAAACCAATATTTGATTTATTTTGTATATGAATTAGATCTTAACAATTTCACTGATTAGTTATCTTATACCTATAACTAAATCAAATTGAAATCAAGAATCCCCTACGCATAAGGTTCGCCACAAAACTACATTTTTCTACGTAGCCAATGATGAGGTTCTTATGGATTTATTTCAAATTTTCTAGTAAATGAAAATATATTTGAAAAAAAAAACTAAAACAAAAGGGCACCATCAGTTTGGAATATATACCCCTATGTGCCTTTCTCAACAGTCAATCCTTGCTCAAAGATGTTGCAACGTGACATGTCTCTTTAACCAAAATTTGAAATAAACCATCTTTTTCTTTAGGAATATCCGTATCATATATAACCTATGAGTATGACGTTAGCGATAGTTGTGAGAAGTTATTCGTCGTCAGATTCTTGAAGTTTGATAATGATATATTGATTCGTAAAACTTGATCTTCTAGTCTTATTCATGCATGAATAGTTCCTTCTAATTTGTTATCTTCTGCAAATTGATGCAACCTATTACTATAAAACATTATTGTTTTGTTCTGCATTTAGTAAAATCAGGGTTTTCATTCCAAACACAATGAAATCCTTTATCAAAAAAAATAATTCCAAACACAAATATATACGCTGTAATATTTTCTATACATTTTAGCTGCAGTCAATCTAACTCACTCACTCAATTAGAGAATGAAACTATTGCAACGTAACCAAACCAAAAGTCAGATACAACTTCTGATATAAACGTTAGTCTACACTGTACTACATATATATTGTTGGGAGATAAGTTATTCGTTAGAATGCTAATAAATGTGGCTTTCTTACAAACTTACACAGCTGCACTAAGTACATACTTATTTGACTTCTGTTTTAGTGGGCAATAATTATTAAAGACACCATGTGCATCTATAACAATTAGTACAAGTGAGCTTTCACTAACCCAATATCAGTGTATAGAACAAAAATCATCATCGAAACTTTTAAAATTATATTCCCCAATCTTCTGAATTGATAATTGGCTATTGATATTTATAATTGTGGATCCACAATTTATACCTAAAATATTTATCATAGTGAAATTATGTTGTGTAGCCATATATAACATACCAAACCTTTTTTAATATCGAAATTTTGATCATGTAAAAATACAACTTTGTCCCATTACGGGGTGCGTCATACAGTAATCAGCCAAGGTAAGAGAACATTATATTTCCAATTCTCTCATTTTTGTACTAATTAAGCTTATGCTATTGTGGGGGCCGATTAATCCGCTTGTTTTCTTAGGTTAAACAGGATACAATATATAAAAATTAACATTGTATTACTTTTGGCCATGACGTGGTTCAAACCCATCAAAGAGAAAGTGCTTCATCCACTCTACTCTATATAAGTCAAGTATCCGAATTCTCTCGAATTTGTCCCCATAAATCTTAGGTTTTTTAAGATGGAATTATTCGACCAACTGAACAAATAAAAGCCACCAATTGCCACATAGGACTATTCTTCCATATCCACTTAATTAAACTTTTCATATTAAAAACAAAAAATGAGAAAGAAATTTAAAAACTCATGATCTTAGCTTATAAATAGACATCTAAGTCTTAGATCTTTCTTACCATCTTATTACATTTCCTTGACATTCTTCACTACTTAATACCCCAAATGGATTATCACACAAACAACATATCCAATCTTTTGATTTCCTTATGTTTTACAACTCTTTTAGTATTATCCCCTGTGGTTATGTGTGCTAGACAACATCGATTTGATAGCCCGAAACCTAGGAGCCTGTTGGACAACGAGCGAGATCTCGTGACAGATTTGCCTGGACAGCCTGATGTGAATTTCAAACATTATGCTGGTTATGTCCCTGTCGACGAATCCAACGGAAGAGCAATGTTTTATTGGTTCTTTGAGGCCATGGACCTCCCCAAGGAGAAACCTCTAGTTCTCTGGCTTAATGGAGGTAATGCACTCTTTCGAATTATTCATCCATGCATAACTTTTATATTCCCGAATCTTCATGGTAACATTAATTGATAAACTGTGAAATATATAGTACGATAATAACACGATAGAGTCGACATAATTTTATTAATAGCATAATTCACAGGATCATGGCTAACGTTTGGCCGTTCTGCCATTTTTCCATTCCAAAGTCAAATATAAAATATTTGTTATTATTATCTCATTCAACTAATACGCATATATCACTTTTTACGAATGCCATAAGAGCTCAGAATTAGAACCTAGCTAGTGTTTACCTCATTATATTTTTGATGTTGTCTCTTAGGAGAACACATCTAGTATTTAATCATTTATATATTGTATATATATAGGCCCAGGTTGTTCTTCGGTGGGATATGGAGCAACACAAGAAATCGGTCCTTTTCTCGTGGACACCAACGAAAACGGACTTAAATTTAATCCATACGCATGGAATAAAGGTAACCCTTTTTGTTTTATAATATAGTTTGTCATCTACTCATCTTATAAGGAAATGAAATTGAATTATATTATGAAAAGGTTTGATTTGCTGATGCAGAGGCCAACATGCTGTTTTTAGAATCTCCCGTCGGTGTTGGCTTTTCGTATTCAAACACAACTAGCGATTATCAAAAACTCGACGACGACTTTACAGGCAGGTCCATTATTATTATAGTACATTTATACACATCATCTATCGTCTCTGTCCTTAGACGAAGAATATAATATATAGTATACATATATACATAGACATAACTATATGCTTCATTCTCTCTTCTTTTTCTACGATCAGCAAGAGACGCATACACTTTTCTTCGCAACTGGTTCGAGAAATTCCCAGAACACAAAGACAATACGTTCTACATCGCAGGCGAAAGTTACGCAGGTTAACTCACGAATCATCTTGATACTAGTGTTAATTAATATGTCTAGATAATTTTTTACATAAATATTTTTTGGTAAACGTATAAATATTTCCAGGAAAATACGTACCCGAGCTAGCAGAGGTCGTCTACGATAACAATAACAAGAACAACGGTTCATCGTTTCACATCAATCTTAAGGGTATTTTGGTACGTTTAATTTGCTTGTCTGAATCTCTTAATAATAGTAGTGTTTTATTTCTTTCTTTTTTTCTGATAAAGGGGTCTTTTCTTTTTGTCCAACAATAATAGTAGTTAATTTTATTATTTGTTTGCGGTATAGTTAGGAAATCCTGAGACATCAGATGCAGACGATTGGAGAGGTTGGGTGGATTACGCGTGGAGCCACGCAGTGATATCGGATGAGACGCATAGGGTCATAACCAGGACTTGTAATTTCAGCAGCGACAATACTTGGAGCGACGACGAATGTTCTGAGGCCGTAGCAGAAGTTCAAAAGCAGTACAACGAGATCGATATCTATAGCCTCTATACCTCGGTTTGTATAGGAGATTCTGCAAGATCTTCTTACTTGGATTCAACAAAATTCAAAACCAATTCTCATATTAGCTCCAAGAGGGTACGTACAAATATAAACATTTTTATACATATGATCCATGAATTTATTTATTTATTTATTATTATTATTTTATTTTTTTTTTGCATGGCTTAGGTGCCGCCAAGGCTGTTGGGTGGATATGACCCGTGCTTAGACGACTACGCGAGAATATTTTACAACAGAGCAGATGTTCAGAAGGCTCTTCATGCTAGCGATGGAGTTAATCTCAGGGACTGGAGGATTTGCAAGTACTTTAGCTAGCCCATTCTTGTTACATGTGTTACACAATGATTCTTTATTTGTGTATATGGAACTTTCCTGAATATTCTTTGGTACTCTGAGATTTGCAGCATGGAAATCTTTCATAATTGGACTTATACAAAGCCTTCGGTTTTGCCTATATACGAGAAACTAATCGCCGGTGGATTAAGAATATGGGTTTACAGGTAAATATATAGAGTGTAAACCTTGGTTGCTTCTTTCACAAGTTACATCTATACGAACGAAAGTTTTGTTATTCTTCAATTTTTGTAAACCGTCGGTTTGGTTTTCTTTTAGTGGTGACACAGACGGAAGAGTTCCGGTACTCGCGACTCGGTATAGCTTAAGCGCACTCGAATTACCCATCAAGACAGCTTGGAGGCCATGGTACCATGAGAAACAGGTAGCCATGGATCTAATTTAACCGGTTATTTAGATTCTTAGATTGAGTTTGATTAAACCGGTTAATTTCTTGATTATGCTACGTACAACAGGTAAGTGGGTGGCTTCAAGAATACGAAGGTCTAACGTTTGCTACGTTCAGAGGAGCTGGACATGCGGTGCCTTGCTTCAAACCAAGCAGCTCTCTCGCGTTTTTCTCGGCCTTTCTCAACGGAATTCCTCCACCGCATTCACGTTAAAAAAAAAAGATGATTTTGTAACCTAATGTTGAGTCTTTAAGTTTGCAGAAAGTTTGAAAGATTCTGGGCATACACACGGTATAGGAGGAAAAAATATTTTAACTTGTAAGAGAGAAGTTATGTGACTGTTACTTTATAGGTGATGATGATCATAATGATCAAAGGAAGACTATCACCACTCTAAGATTGTGTAATCACTATATAAAAACTGCCTGGAATACAACTAATTTAAGATTATAATGATCAAAGGAAAACCTTTAACACTTTAAGATTATGTTCAAATGAAAAAGAAATAGTAAAAACTGTTTTTTTTTTAGTGGCAATATGCCAGTATGGCAATATCATTATATTGAAAGGAAATCCAAATTGTTTATATATTCCATTGATGATTAATGTTTCCATCTTATATAAGAAAAAATCCTCTTCATAGACAGCTCACCATAATTTCCTTATAGTAATTCACTGGTTGCCATATCGTTTTCTTTTCTTTTTTAGATTAGAAGGTTTGGCTGTAACTTCTAAAGTCTTTACGTTTTCGGTAACAAAGTTGCTTTGACAAATAAGCCAACTCATCATCATTAGTAACTGATACATTTTTATATTTAAAAACTATAGTTTAAAACATTGCAACTTAATTCTTGTTGACTATTGTATATAGTTCAAATGGTAATAATAAATACTAAACTATAAAATTACTAGGAAGAATTTAGCATAATGCCTAAAATCAGTTTTACGCCGCATGAATGGACTGGAAGTTACATGCATGGTTGTCCAATTTTTGTGGGCTCTTCCGTAATATCACAACTTTTGATTTCAAATAAAGGTAAAAATAAAAAATTGGAGATTTAATTGCCTTTTGTAGATTTCCTCTTTTTAGCACATTCTACTAAACTAATTCTTCTATTTATAGGATAATTTCAAAATAAATACATTTTCCACTTCTGCTTGTAAACTTCTTATGACGAGAAACCTATCAGCAGATGCCACATGTTACAATTGGATAAGTGAGAAATTCAGGATTAGTGGAGCGTTAGCGTTAATAAACACCCCTGAGCCTCACATGTTATATCTCTACTACACTTCTTAAATCTATTTTACTTTGTAATTATCACTTCTCTCGTTTTCTCCGTTGATGAGTGTCAAAACCTGTAAAGTTGATGAGGTTAAACCCACTGTTTATCTTTTTTTCGCTTATTGTTTGTCATCTCAATCGTTTTCTTATCTTAATTCGTTGTTGTTTTGAAATTTGTTACAGCCTGTAAAATGGCAAGCATCACTTAGAAGTGGCAACAAGACCAAACAAGATGTCAAATCTCCTTTGGTTTCTCCATCATCATCGACCAAAGCGTCGAGATCTCCGCTTGTGAGCCAGAAAACAACAAGGCACGTTGCTTCGTCGGCTGAAGATATAAAAAATAGTCATAGAGAAGAAGCAAAGATCTGCGACTCGAGCAAATGGACAGGGAATTTCATTCTTACGATCGAGCTACGAAGGAAGATCATCACGTTTAGAAGCATCATTGATCTTCCTCCTCTTAGTTATCTTTCCATAACCAATGTAAGTTTACATTTTCTTTGTTATGGTTATTTTTTTGGGATTTTTAATTAATAAGAATATACAAGTTGATATTTACATAGTTGTCCCTAATAATAAACGTGTTTCACAGAATAATATTAACCTAAACTCATAGTCTCACAGAGTAATCACAAAATCTGCAACCGCCAATTGATACTAGAGCCTCAAGAACATGACGAAGTTGTCACTAGCTACAAATCGAATTAGCAATTACAAAAGAAAAAAGAGACAATAGAATTTCTCTTTAGTTAGGTGAATTTTGCAGTGGCCAAATAGGTGAAGCTAGTGAAAAATTGATGAAAAACGCCAATTGATTTTGTTTCATGCGTTACATGCGGTTGATTTTTGGCGTTTTTGTTTGTTTGATTTATTATTTTTTTCTGATGTTGATAGATGGTGATGCGTACGATGAAAGATCTCAATAAGCTTTGTCCTGAGATCGTGGAGAACTCGCAAACCCTAGATATCAGACGTGAAGATATCGACAAGGTTTATCCAAAATTCATCTCATATGCATGATAACCAATTTCTCTATGAGATTGACTGAGGTCTAATTGAGATTTGATAATTTGTTAAATCTGATAAATAAAAAACCTTTGCAAACAGTTGCTTGATCGATTCTACAAGGCATTGAAATCAATTGGAGATTCATGGATCGAAGACCACGAATGGATCATCAAATCCAAGTCGTATAACAGTAGCGGTAGGAAGAATCTGTCCGATCGACTTGGTAAACATTCCAATAAGTCTTTATAATATATAATCATATATTATACACTCTTTCTTGCATTAATGTTGTAACACAATCTCTATAATATGTTAATGGTTCTTGCAGTGGATAAGGTGTTAGCTGCATTAGATGGACTGATTAAGGGATTGAACGAGAGGCTTAATACGACAGAGATCAACAATGATGATCTAAAGAAGAGAAAAGTTACTAGTCCTCCGAAGAGTAAATTAACATCTAGCAACCGATCAGAATCATTCAAGAAGCAACCGATCACGCCAAGAACGGTGCTGAAACAGCCGAGTAAAGGTCGAGACATTGCCATCTCCGTTTCGAATATTCCAAGAAATACGAGGATGCAAACGCTTGTGAAGCTGAGTCCTATCGACGTCAAGCGAATCTCTATCCAAAGTACGTGCCATAAAGAACCTCAGAGCAAGAACGTTGATGAGAGTGTTAAACAGAAGATCAAGAGTGAAAAAGAGAGGATTGAGAAGATGGAGATAGCAAAAGAAGTGGAACAAGATAGTGTCAAGAAGATAGAGATTGATGATAAAAATTGCTCCAAAGTTCTAGAGAAATCTAAAGTTGTTCCGGAATCTTTGGCTCCGACTCCTCCACCTCCAGGTAATGCCGCACTTCCGCAGCCACAGCCACCTCCAATGGCTGCCGTAAAAGGACCGGCTGTGTCGCCTCCTCCACATCCAGGGAATGCATCACTACCACCTCCACAGCCACAGCCACAGCAAATGGCTGCCGGTAAAGGACCCGGTGGTCCACCACCGCCTCCAATGGCTGGAGGAAGAGGACCGGGTGGTCCACCACCACCTCCAATGGGTGGAGGAAGAGGACCGGGTGCTCCACCACCACCGCCACTTGGCTTGGGAGCCAAGAAATCAAATGGTAAACTAAAGAGATCAACACAATTAGGGAGCCTCTACAAATTCGTCAAGGCGATAATAGAAGGCAAGGATCCAGAAGCAAGACCCCGTGGCGGCGGAGGAGGAGGAATCAAAGCCGGGAAAGCCAGCGGAAAGCAAGGAATGGCTGATACTCTAGCTGAGATAGAAAAGAAGTAAATAAAACCATTACAAATTCTAATAAACAAAGAAAACATCACAACAAGGTAAAAAAACTGATACTTGCTTTTATGTTTTTTGATCATGTTTCAACGTACAGGTCTCCTTACTTTCAGAAGATAGAAGCGGATGTTCAAATGTATAAGAAAGCAATCAATGAGCTTAAGACAGAGATTACCAGGTTCGGTAGTAAGGACATGGCCGAGCTTCAGAGATTTCACCGGTATGTAGAGTCAGTTCTTGAGAAGCTAACAGATGAAACAAAGGTCAGTGTAACATCTCACAAAACTTTCTCCATCGTGTTATGATCTTCTTGATGATCACAAAAGTGTTTTGAAACTTGATTAGGTTTTAGCGAGGTGTGAAGGAGAGTTCCCGCATAAGAAACTAGAAGCGATAAGAATGGCTGTTGCATTGTATTCTAAGCTGCAGGGTATGATCAGTGAGCTTAAGAACTGGAAGATTGAGTCTCCAGCGAACCAACTTTTCGATAAAACTGAACGTTTCTTTGCAAAGGCAAGTCATAGAAACACTGACTTCTACTATAGTTTCTTCTCCCTTTTCTTGGCTATTTTCTTCTTTGATCTCAAGAGAATGTATAATAAAAAAACAGATCAGGAAAGAGATCGAAACTCTAGACCAGATCAAAGACGAAGAGGAAAAGAATTTCAAGAGGCATAACATCCCTTTCGACTTCAAGATCCTTGTTCAGATTAAGGAACTAGTGGTTGACATCTCATCAGGCTGTATGGAGCTGGCTTTGAAGGTAGGGACTCACCGCAAGATCAAACACACTTTGCAAACATCTGATCACTGTTTTGAGAACCCTTCTTAACCGGAAGTCGCTCTGTTTCATATTGTTACAGGAAAAGAGAGCAGAAAAGAGTGCATCGCAGACTGAAGGATCAAGAGAGGCAAAGCCGAGCGTGATCAAGAACAAGACTGTAAAATTGGCTAAGATGCTGTGGAGGGCATTTCAGTTTGCGTTCAAAGTTTATACATTTGCTGGTGGACACGACGACCGAGCTGATCGGCTTACAAGAGAGTTGGCTGATGAGATCAAACTGATTCTTAAAAACCACTCTTTGTAAGTCTGTTTCACCTGAACATGTTTCAGTCCTTTTAGAAGACGTTTCAAGAGAATGTTGTAATCTAATCCCCAAAAAAGGTGTTGTAATTCTTTACTGAATATATAGATAAAAAAGGCCTTGACAATTTCAACCGTAGACGCAGAAAAACCAGACTTGTGATGTATTAAGTTAGGTTCTTGTGTACATACTCATCAAAGGTTTGTTAATGACAGGATGCTCCTAGCTGAAATAACAAACCTTCGAAGTTTATGTTCACAAGAACGTACCACACCTTGATCACGGCAGATAAAAGAGAGATTGAAGCTGATGGAAATAAACAGAACATACCAAGCAAGAAAATTTTGAGTTTTTACTGGAAAAGGAGAGAGGGGATTAAATAGAGGATAACAATGAGGAAAAAAAAAAGACTCTATTATCATAACGTAATGACATTTATGAAAATATACTGATTCAAATTCTCAAAATCTTTATGCAATTATCATAACGTAATGGCAGTAGTATATATAACAGTCGGTATATTTTCAAATTTAAAAAAATCTTTATGACATTTATGAAAATATTGATACACCATATACGATATCATAAACAGTATTACAGTCGGAATATCTACTGTTAATAATCAGTGAGTGAGTATATATGACAGATTGAAAAACAAGAAGATGTGGTAAAGCAAAGCTTGTATATATCATGATCATAGGGTCTCAAGGAAACTACAAAAGAATTGGAGTGTATATGAGTAAAAGACAGCTAAAACAAACCTAAGCCGAGACAGACAACGTAAAACTCTAAAGAGAGAGAACTAGCATACTAATTGTGTAGCCTTATATCATACATGAGCATGATCACGATGATCACCAGAGTCGGTAGCTGTACAGTAAAAGAAGGAGAAGAAGAATTAACTTTGCTCTTTATCAATCCGTATTTTACGGCAATTTGCAGGATTCAATCACTTCCATCACTGCTTTATGCGTCTCCGGAGGGATCATGTTCAGAGTCGTGTGAAATGCCTGCACAAACAAAGAACACAGTCACATCTTGAGATTTCTCTAGCCTGAAACTGAGCAGCCATGAGGTGTTACAAAGGAACATACCACAAATCTATCCAAGACCGGTACAAGAATTGCGAGATTGCGTTTCGGGAGATAGTCTTTGATGGAGTTACGTATACTTCTACTGCTAGTGGATCCATGAACATGTTTAGTCTTTTGAGAAAGTTTGGATGGATTATGGCATATATAATCAAATTGAAAACGAAAAACAACCTTTCAGTTGAAAGAAAGGCGAGCAGTAGAGCAGAGTATGCCTCCACGATCATCTTTTCCGCTTCCTTTTCGCCTTCTAAAACAGCTTCTTCGTCATCCTGAATACCAAACAAACATCAGGTTTCATTAATGAATAAAAACAAACCCGTTCTCTGGGGATCTCGAAGTCCGAGTAAGCAATAGGTCAATGCTGCTACTCACTAAGGTGAAAGTAGTCGTCTCTTCTTTGGTGTCTCCTGATCCTTGATTGGTGAGAAAGATTGAACACAGTAAAGGAATCATCTCCTGTTCAGTCTCTTGCAACCCTTCTAGTTTTGTGATAGGAACACTCGCTGAAGCAAGCCGTGATCTACAAAAAAATTCAGTTACCTCATTAGAAAAGAGAGACCACGCTCATTGTTGTCTTAAGGTTAACGACAAAAAGAGTATGACTAGTTTAACTTGTATTGACTCAATCGAGATTTTTTTTGTACCTGTTCACTCCGTCTTTCTCAACCAAATTTACCAGCAAACCCAAGATGGCAACAAGAAAATCCAACTCCTGATCTGTAAGATGTTTATCTTTCTTCTGACTCATTTCCATCTCACTGAAAAGCGGAGATCTGGTGAAAGACGGAAAGTGTCTGGCAATTAATTCAGCCATGCTTTCTAGCCCTCTGCACCCACCAACTTGCCGACAACCAATGGCGTTATCATTTGTTAGGTTCATCAAAACCTGCAACAAACATGAAATAAATCGATGTTATTTGGACTGAGAGGATTTCGCTACAGACCAGCAAACAGATGTTGAAGGACTGTAAGAGAATTACCTTTATGGCTGTTAAAAGGCAATCAGATAAAAGACAGAGACATTCTTCATCAATGTCATCTGTAGAAGAAGTTGGTTGCAGCGATATACTGCAGTCTCTGTCACTTGATTCTTCCTGGGAATTCCACCTATGGTTTGATGATTCCTCTTGGCTCGAGAACAGCTGATACAGACGTTCGTCTTTCCTTTCTTTGTGGCATCCTTTCTTCTTTTGAGCTCTAGATTTCTTTTGCTTTACAGATACTACTGCCCACTTGGAAGGTTTAGAATCTTCCAAATCAAACGCAAAAGGGTCTTGGTTTTCCTCTAGGGATGCCAAATTTCCATTTCTTTTAGAACTTGGTTCTGCAGCTTCACTACTCCTTGAAGTACTTCTGGCAATGCCACTACCAAATGACGCCAATCTACCAGCAAATGAACTAGAAATGGTCGAACCAACTCTCGTTGTTGACTTAGTGGGCTCATTTCCTGACACACTTGATTGAGAGCTCGACATTGATGTTGGTGTTGAATCTAAATCGATTATGGAAGGACTTCTCCGGGAGGATACACTCCCATTCCTCGTAGAGATAGAGCCAAGGGTTGAGCACGTATCTGAACTGATTGTCACGACCTCATTGTTAACTGCAAAAGAGAGAAGTGGCTTAAGTAAAAATACAAAGACCAGAGGTTGGATAGAGAGACAGAGTGAGAGGAGATATAGATACAGAGTGTGAGGAGATAGAGAGTCATTTGTGGCTGTTAGGATGAAATACCTTTACAATCTGCTCCCAAGATAGAATCCCGATTGCCACCATTTGAACCGTGAGGATTGATATCGTTCCTGTGAGGACTTGGAAAACCTCCACGTAGGTGAAGACCTAGCCATCAGTCGAACCAGCTATCAGAATAGGAGATGATAAAACGGGAAGAAGTCATAATGTGCAACAAATTCTGAACAGGACATGGTATCAATTGCAAACCTGAAAGCATCTTAATGACACTTATCATGAGCTCTGTGAAAGACATTCGGGATTCATGAGAACTCAAACATTTCTTAAACGCGAGCAAATGATTCTGGGAAAACAAAAGTAGCGTCACAGTTAATATTATCTCAGTATATATACTGCAACTTGATAACAGCTGATTAAAGTCAGAATCTCCAGAATAGTGTCATGAATCTAGCAACCAATATACATAACATATACCTGGTTCTCTGTGCTGAGGAACGTAGCATTCTCCATGATTTTCAGACATTTTAGAAGCAACATTAAATTCTGCTTATGGAGGTTATCTTTCTTATCCTGGACGGAAAGTGTGTCGTATTCCACCCAACGCTGCATATAGAATCTGTATTAGATTCTCTCGCTGAATATAACATAGTGCAATTGCAAACATCCAGCCATTGTAGACCACAGTTTGTATCTTATTATAAAAGATATCAGTGCAGATGTAAAAAAACATACAGGCTCACACCTCCATAACAGTGTGACAGTCCATAACAACCTCAAGGACTGCATCAAGTCCTCCTAGTTCTCGCAGTTTCTCCTTGAAATTCCCTCCGCTCTTTTTCACAGAACCAGAAGTATCTGGATGTGGGAGGAAATGAAACAAATTATCAACAGTGAACAAACGATCACAATATGTCACAGTTTACTCTATGGTAGTTTGAGTCTAAGGATGTGAAATAAGTGACTGGAGAGAACAGGAAATTCTCGTTATCTATTATCTAAACCTTACTAATTCTAAGATAATATCTGAAATTGTTAGCTACTCACTAGTTCCAACAGAAGAGGTAAGAAGTTCCAATACCGTCAAAAGAAATTTTGGATAAGCACGCCCTCTCCATGGCCAACAAAGCTACCCATTTCGTACTAAGCTCAGGTCTCGTTGTTTCAGTTTTATAGCTATCAGTCGATCTCATTTCCTTGCAATTAACAAGAAGTTCCTCAACTCTTGAAAGTATATCACTGGAGCTTGGATCATTCATTTTCACTGCATCCCGTGCTCCAGCATCATCCTTAAGTAATGATAAGAGCTTAAATCCTATATTCCGTGGCTTCCCTTGAGTGCTAGTAACAATCACCGGTTTCAACAACTTTATCAGAAACTTGATGCACTTGGGTGACTCCATAAGGTGCTCATCTTGACTCTGTAATCATGGAACTTTTATTATGAATTGATAAAGTTATACAAAAAGGTGAAATGGTAAAATGTTTACAAGCAAAAACTGACAATGAATCAGAAAGATTAAACAACATCAAAAACATATTTAACAGTATCTATCCGTCACTTACATCAGCAGTTAGAACAAAGAAAAGAGTGGCAGCGGCAAGATTGCTTGGTGTGTCATCAAGGCTAAGACTCAAAATCGCATCAATTATGGATTGGGAGATCCTGAAACAATAAGCTCCCACAAAATTAGAGACATCTTTTTGTGAGATTTCATCATATGAGCATCAATTAAGGACTTCTCGTCTACTTAACCAACGAATCAATTCATGGGAAAAATACAAAATTCCCAAGCCTTGGAGAGAATTGAACCATATCCTAAATGATACTACTTAAAACTCACTACAAACCAGAAATGCTATAATTTCATGCCCTAATCCCCTTCAGAAAATCAACAAATCTGATTCAACCGAAACACAATCCGATTCACTGACCCAGAATTCAAACAAGTCTTTTTCACAAAACCCACATGCCAAATCGGAAAATTTCCGACGAATTGAACAAACTTAAACCCAAAAATGAATGAATAGATCGAAAATTCTAACGAAATAGGGGAAGCGTACCCCTGAGCTCTCAAGGAGCGGCGCTGGTGTTGAGATGCGCAAATCGACAGTAGAGATGATAGACTTGCTCTTCGGATCCTCAGCTGCTGTCCTTTCCTCAACCCATCAAGCGCGAAGTTAACCTCATCCTCGTGCTCCATCAGCTCGCCAAACTCCTGCGCCTCGAGCAACGTAGAAGTAAAAGCGACAGCCTCTCCGTTCCTCACTCTTTTCGGAATCCGTACGACTCCGTTCCGTGAGTAATCATCTTGGAAATATGACCTCGGAGAAGAATGCCATAGAGAGGAAGACTCTTGACTGGAGAAAGGAGGAAGAGAGTAATCAACGGGTTCGATGTCCGGCGACGAAGAGGAAGAGATATATTCCGCCTGCGAAACTGTGTCGTTTAGAGAGTCTGATATGGTCCTCGGCGGCATGCCCGGCTTGCGACGGCCGTAGGTTCGCTCCATCATCGCCGAGCTCGTCGTCACGAGTCGTTGAGTTTGCAAATTTGGGGAAGATTTTAGGTGAGAAATCAGAAAAGGGCATTTCGGGAATAAAATTAAACAAATAGTGCTCGTAAGATCTCTCTCTAGCTGGAGAAGAGACAGCAGCAGAAAGGCAATGGCCGTTGTTTTACGAATGAACCATTTTATTTAAAAATTTAATAAAATCTTGACATTTCACTTTTACAAAATTAACAAATTTTATCATAATACACATTTTCTGTGTGTTTCACAGTGTGATTTTTGAGAATTTGTAAGTTGTTGGTTTGGGGGATTTCAAGTTATACTTGGTTTGTTATGTTTAAACGGGTCTTAATCGTAAGAAAATAATAATGTTGATCTACTATAATCCTGAGTTCCTAAACTAGTTTAATCTTCAGAGTCTTTTCTTACATCTGTGACAGTGATATTAACAAACTGTGGGATGAATGTAACTATCTGTAATTGACAATCTGCTCATAATACACATATGAAGATGATACAATGGAAAACTCCACATCATACAATGTATACTGATAACTGGTTCAGTAAATTTTCTAAAATAGATATTTTCAAAAGTAAATATTTGACTGGCAGAAAATAAATTTAAAGCCCAACCATATACGTTACTTAGAGTCAAAATGACACAAATGGAAGAAATACTCGATAAATTGACAAGATTTTGTTTCCTCCCTATAAATGCATCCACCTCTGTATAAAATTCATCAAGATATACATAATTGAAAATATTCACTCTACAAAGATGGAGAAAAAAATGCTTACGTTGATACTCTTCGCCTCTCTTTTGATCACTACAACGCGTAAGTTCCCTTTGTCTAGTGTCATTTGCATTCTAAAAGTCTTTCTTTTGTTTTCTGTTTTTGGTTTGGTAGAATCATGAGAAATCAAATCTGTAATTATTTAGATTCACAATAAAAATAAGAGAATGTAGAATTTATAAGAAGTTTTCTTCTGAAAAATGTGCTCAGTTCTTTTATTTTTAAAAATCGGATGGTTATTTCAACATGGCTAATGCTAGAGGACCAATCATAAGCAGAAGGTGCTTTACTCCGTACTCTTGCACCTACCAAATATGGTGCAAGGACTGTGACAGATGCGAGTGCATTAATTCCCTTTGCACTTGCACCATACCTTCGATACCTCCCGCCGCCGGTCATCTCACCGGAAACCGCGCAGCTCAGCCACCTGCTCTAGCTTGATACTGTAAAACAGATATCTTACAATAACTACATGTTGTATTATTCAAAAGATGTGTTCTCTCTGCATTCAAAAATATTCACAACTATAAAAATCTAAAACTTCATACATATACTAAAACCTATCGGAGCATATCTCCGGAATGTATTTGCATCCCGCTAAGCGCAGGCGATATAGTGAAACCGTTTCCGTCAATCCGGTACGAAGGATGAGCTAACGGGACCGGCCGGTCAGGAATCGGAGGAACTTCGATGTCTCCTTCAAGCATTCTCAACGCATCTAAAATCGTTGGCCTCAAAGCAACCAAAACATGAGCGCACAAGATCCCAACTTTCAAGAACCTCTCCATGACCCCTTTCGGATTCGACATCCCGAAGCCTTTTCCGTCTCTCAGCAAAGAATCCGCAAGAGCTTCCTCTGCTTTCCCGGCTTTCACCAACGACCAAGCCCAATCCGTTATCAGAAACGTATTCGGCGAACCGGAACTAGACAGGTCCAGAGCTTTCCTTCCGCACATGATCTCCAACACAACAACACCGAAGCTATACACATCGCTTTTCTCAGTCAACTGACCGTATAACGCATACTCAGGAGCCAAGTAACCGTGCGTACCGGCCACTCTGGTAGTGAGATGCGACTCTCCTTCTCTACTCTGTTTCGCTAAACCGAAATCCGCAACTCTCGCTCTCATCTCCGCATCCAACAATATGTTCGTACCTTTAATGTCGCGGTGGTATATCGCCGGTTTAACTCCGTAATGCAGATAAGCCAAACCTTTAGCTACATCCAAAATGATGCTCTTCCTCTGCGGCCAGCTCAATGGAGTTTTCGGAGGAAACAAGTGATCGTCGAGATTCCCATTCGACATGTAATCGTAAACAAGATATCTCTGACTCTCGTTATCTTCATCGACCATGCTACAGCCTCTGAGAGGAACAAGATTCCTATGTTTCAAATTGCTAATGATCTCGACCTCGTTGCGAAACTCTGCATCTCCTTGAAACTCGGATTCGATAACTTTCTTAACCGCGATAACCGAACCATCCGGTAGAACTCCTTTGTAAACCAAACCGAACCCGCCTCGACCGATGAAATTCTTCTGCGAGAAATTGTTGGTAGCCTTCTCTAGCTCCTCGATTTTGAACCAGATTGAGCCGGTGTTTGGTCTCCATTTCGGTCTAGACTCTTGATCCTCCCAACCGATTTCTCTCCCTTTAACCGCTCTACCGAACCGCAAATACAAACCAATGACACCGGAAATAACCAGAGCCGCTACGATAGCTCCGGTGATGCCTAAAACAAGAGCCACCGTGTGTCGTTTCTTCTTCGAGCTCAGGGAAGATGTCAAGCTTAAGGAGAAGAGGCAAGACAAAGCGTCGTCGCTCTCGGGACCTTTCTTATTGACCATTCCAGCGGCGTAGAGAACAGCGAAATGGTAACAGTAGACACCGTGAGAGCTGTTACCGTCCAGATCGATGAGCTGCTTCTGAACCCTAAATCCAGCCGCCACGCAAGCGTCGCAGCGATTAAGATCCGTGAGGCCAGTGCTGCAGGCGGAGTCGAGCGCCGTCGTGGGGCCGAGTTGGGAGACCCAATCTTTAGTTGTTTGGATTCCGGCGCAGGTCTCGTTGGTGATGACGAATTGGTTGGGATCGAAGCAGACGGAGGTGAGATTGGAAGGGAGAGAGAGGGAATCGAGCTTCTTCTGGAGGTCGGTGAGGCAGGAGGCGGAAGTGGCGAGATCTGGGAGACGGAAATTTGATGTTTGCTTGAGACGGTGAGCCAAAGGGATACCGATTAGAGTCAGGAGCGATTGGCAGCAACTGTTCTTCCTCTCGATTGATCTATCGTAGCTTCGACAATCTGTTTTGTTCCATGGGATTCTCGGGACGTGGCTGAAATCCAAAGGACAAGTCGGTGCTGGCGGCGGAGATGGAGCTCCGCTTGAGAGATTCAAAAAGAAGAAGAGGAGAGTAAGAAGAAAGACAAGTAAGTTTGCGGTAAGTGATGGAATCGATTTCGTCATGTTTGTGTTTGATTTTGGTGAATACTGCGATATGGGTTTTTGGAGAATCTGAGGTTTCTGGGGGAAAGTGAAGATTGATTTAGCCATGAAAGTGGGGATGAGGACAAAAAGTTGGATTCGTGTGGGATGGTCAAAGAGGCTGCTGTGATCAGTTGACTTGGGAAGCAACATGGAAACTCAGAGCTTGTCCCCACCCACCTGCAACTGCCAACACTGACGAATGACGATGAAGATAATATTCTATTATATGATCACCTTTCGGTTTACATTTTTACTGCTGTCAAGATAATGTACTATGGAGAAAAAGTGTATGCTAAATTAATCAACAAAACGATATGATAACGAAAAACAAAGTCGCCGACAAAAAAAATGTCAACCGAAGATATTCAATAAAACGGCATTTTTAGTTATGGTGTGTCATTCCTTTGGATATATTTTAAAATTCTTATCTGAAATGAAAAAGAAAAGAAAAACAGAAAATTCCTAATAAAAGCCTCCAGACAACTCGGCTCTTCGTCTGTCTGGTAATCTATCTAATTCCTACGCACGACGAATTTCCTCATCTCTCTCTCTCTTCTCTTTCCTGCATTTTCCCGACCATATTCTTTCTCTCGATGCAATGGGGACTCCTCGATCGCCGGCGACAGATTTCTTCGGAATTTCCAAGACAGCATGCAAAGCTTACAAGTCCCTCGTCACCAAATTAAATCCTGTTTCTTCTCATCGCAAAACCGAATCCCACTCCGACGCAGATTCCGTACGTTTCTTTCAATCCTCTCTATGGAATTTTTTCACTCCATGAATAACATTTTTTACCGATCATCATTTCATTTACGTTTTCTCAGATAATCAATATTACTTGAATAGCTTAATTAAAAAAAAAAATGTTCGCTACATTGATCAATCAGCCAAACAATTTTCGAAGCCTTTTTTTTTGTTTTCTTTCTCTTAGAGGATTGTTCGTGGAAAAATCTTTTGATTAAGAGCTGCTTAGAATTTGAAATTCTGTTTCGTAAAACAAAATTGGATGTTAAATATTTTCAAAATATAATAATCCCAGATCGTGAGAATGTAATGAATTAATCGTTTGAAATACATTCAGGTACTCCACCGGAGATATCTGGAGGAGAAATTTGCGGAGGAGGATGATCTGATTGCTGCTCGGAGAGGTCTCCGATTACAGAGCATGGACGATAGCGCCGTCTTCAAACGCCGCTCCTCTCTCCTATCAAGCTCAAGTACCCGCCGCAGCCACACGCCGCAAGCTCGACCAACTTACCTCTCCTCCTCCGCCTCTTCCAACCGCCGATCTGTTTTTTCCAGAAGCACCAGCCGCAGAGACGAAGGCAGCAGCCACGGCGGCGTAGGGAGGACGCATGGTCTTAAATCACGCCCGGTCTCGAACAACGCGAGCCCGAAGACGTCGCCGAGAGGGAAAGATCAAACGCTAGGCGATCTATTCGGCTCCGTACAGGGCCTGACGTCTCCTCCAAGCTCTAGCCCTATAAGCGGCGTGAAAGTATCTTCTCCGTCTTCGATCTCGAAGAGCGGTAGCAAGAGAGATAAAGACGAGAGAAGCTCGGCGACGTCGATATCAAAGAGCGCTAGCAAGAGAGACAAAGAAGACAGAGGCTCGGCGACGTCGACGTCGACGTCTGTGCCGTTTTCGAAGAGCACGAGCACGAGACAATCGGGAGGGTCGATTGGGAAGAGCGTAAGCCGGAGGAGCAACACGCCGATCGTTTTCTCGCAGTCGACACCGCCGAAAAAGCCGCCGGCAGTGGAGAAGAAGCTTGAGTGTACGTTGGAAGAACTCTGCCACGGCGGAGTCAAGAACATTAAGATCAATAGAGACATCATCACCGATGAAGGGTTTGTCTCTTTGCTCTGCTTCATCTCTGTTTTCTTTTACGTGGGAAATTTGCATTTCGGTTTAAATTTGGTTTAGAGTGAATATATTTACTCAATGTTCGGTTTGTTAGTAAATCTTCTCTAGTCTTGTTTTCGGTTTAGGTTTGGCTTTGCTGAAAATAAAATAGCTCGGTTTGATTTGGTTCGGTTATGTTTCCCGCCCATTTCTGTTTTTAACTCAAAGAATTATTCGTCATGAACACAGATTGATTAAGAAGCAAGAAGAAATGTTAAGAGTGAACATTAAACCGGGATGGAAGAAAGGGACGAAGATCACATTCGAAGGAGTAGGGAACGAAAAACCGGGTTATCTACCGGAAGACATTACTTTCGTGGTTGAAGAGAAGAGACATCCTCTGTTCAAACGACGCGGAGATGACTTGGAGATTGCGGTGGAGATTCCTCTTCTAAAGGCTTTAACGGGATGTAAACTCTCGGTGCCGCTTTTGAGTGGTGAGTCAATGTCGATATCTGTGGGAGAAGTGATCTTTCATGGGTTTGAGAAGGCGATTAAAGGTCAAGGTTTGCCAAATGCTAAAGAAGAAGGGAAACGAGGAGATTTGAAGATAACGTTTTTAGTGAATTTCCCGAAAGAGTTGAGTGAAGAGCAACGATCAATGGCTTGTGAGGTTTTGAAAGATTGTTCTTGGGAATAAAGGCTTACAATAATATATGGGTTTTCATGTCATTCAGTTCATGTCCTTTTCTTTATATTCTTCTTTGTATATATATATTCATGAGCTGAGGGCTTGAGGCTTTAAAGTTGTGTTTCGGTGACGGTTTAGGCTTATTTTATATATATGTTTCTTAGAGTGGGCTGTTACAATATGATTCTTGCTGTGAACGATACAATCATCTTCTTTTGCATCTACTATCGTTTATCCTCATTGTTGTGAAGCCTCAGGCATAATTCATTGTTTGGCATTTCTTTGTAAATAACAAGTAAACAACTTAAGCAAAGTTTACTCGTACAAAAAGTTCATAATCTCCTCAGCTAACGAGTATTTTAAATTGTGTATTTTTTTTGGGTCAAATTATTTATAGATTATAAATATTAAAGTGCAATAGAATAAACAAAGGCCGCATAGCGCAGTGGATTAGCGCGTCTGACTTCGGATCAGAAGGTCGTGGGTTCGACTCCCACTGTGGTCATTTTTTTCGAATAGTTTTGATTTTGTAGTTCTCTAGGAAATTGTAGCTGCATGACTTGTCCTACCTAATCTTTCAATTATAAGATCCTCTCCATTGTTACCTCACTGTCAATAGAAACTGTATTTAAAAGTAACACTAATCCTTTATCTGGTAAGCTTACATTCATTAGAAAAAGGTTCATGAAAGAGTAACAGTAGTGAAACAATAGACTGTTTGTGGAATTTGGGTCTCAATATCTTTGGTATTCACTAACAAAAGCAGTAGCGTTGCTTATCCTCGTAAATATAACGAAGACAATAGACAAATGTCCACCGCTTGATAAAGAAAATAAAGACATTCTCTTTGAGCAAACATGCATATAAGCTTGCACCCGAGACTCCAAAGAACCTTTATTCGCACAATCAAAGACTTTATCACATAAGTTTCAGCATTTTCAGTCTTCCTTCGTGCTCTGCATCCAGCTTCGGAGGAGTGTAACATCCGTGAAGATCCTCCACAATGTACTCTTTAGTGAGCTCCCGCTTTGTGAGAATATGGTAATGCGTCTGCCATATCCTCTGGATGGCCATAGTCGCAGCAAGAAAACCATACGCCAAACCAAGAATGGCGAAGATGACGACAAAGACAACAACGAGAGCGAAACAAGCTTCCATTGATGCAGGGAAACAATCCAAGATCCCCCATCCGTAACAGCAGTTCTGGCACCCAGCCATCCTCGGGTCATTACCGTTGAGAGAAGAGCAGTGTAGGATGAGCCCAAGAAACCCAATCAGCACAAAGAAGGTTACAACCCCTAGGATTCATGATACATACACCAAGTGTTAGGTTTCTTAGATTTGCTGTATTCCAAAGGAGATGAAAGATTTTCAGGATTACCGATGCAATAGTAAAACGGGATGGGATGTTTTGACAATATACGATCCCAATCGTCGTTGAAAGAGTTGCGAAACTCTCCGTCTTTGTCCATCATGTATGCAAATCCGGCCATCACGGCAATAACCTATAATGTCAACAATCCCACACTCCGGTTAGAGGCTTCCACAATCACAGTGAGCAAAATGAACACTTAAGAAACTGTCATCAAGTTCCTCCATTGTCAAGTTGCAACATCATGTGAAATTCCGCAGTGGCCAGGCCAAGATTCGAATCTAGATTCCCAGATAACATTAATGACAACACAGACAAATAATCCTCAGGATATCTAATTAAATACTCTATCATCCTCAAGAAACTGAAGTTATAATAAGAAACCATGGAGCAAAGCTGAGAGAGAAAGAGAAGCACTCACAGTCTGCACAGCTAAGAACACCAAAAGCACATCCCTAGCGACAAAGAGTCTGAATTTGGCCTTTCGACGCCAAGAGTTGTTATCCTCAAAAGGTTCGACACGGAGGTGAAACTGAGCTTTGCAGGTGGTGCAGTGAGAGAAAGCGAAACCTTCCTTGACCGATCGCCAATGATCGAGGCATGACCGATGCACGAATTGCTGAGTGCCTTTGCACATACACGGTGCTATCAATTCGTCGCCCAACAATTCGCTATCGTTCTCCAGACAAATACGACAGCAAGGAGCTGAAGCAGAATCACTCTCCAAATCTTCAGCATTTATCTCATCGGAATTCCCAGCCACCACAGACGCAGACGCAGAGGGAGACGCCGGAGAAGAAGAAGAAGAAGATGGAGAATCTCCCAACAAGGGAGCTGAATCACTCAGCTTCTGTGAATCCGGTGGCTGCAATTGTACTTCACTCTGCATCATTGATCAAACCTTCGCCAACCCTAAATTAGAGAGAGGGAAAAAGAAATCTATGGAATTGGTGAGATCAAAGGAGGAAGGATATGAATCGATTCGAATCAAAACAAATTAAGGTCTCTGAGAAATTTTGGTCGGCCAACAAAAAATTCGTGCGAGGATGTGAGAATATTTACAGAAGTGGAGAGAGAGCCAAAACTGGAGAAGGTCAATGCGAGAGAGAAAACAAAAGCTTGTAGAGAAAAAACATTTGGGCTGAGAGAGGCTCGAACTCTCGACCTCAGGATCACTCAGTAGCTATGAGACCTACGCGCTAGCCAACTGCGCCACCAACCCATTGATGGTAGATGTTGTTAATCGATTTATTAATACTATGATTAATATTTACTTTTACCTCAGGGCTAAAAGCTTTCTTTGGATACACGTAACTTGAAATATTAACCGCCGTTTATTTATATTAATAGAAGCTCAATGGTTAAACAGTTAAACCGACCGGTCAAGTCCAGCATTTGTGCATTAATTTATGTCATTTAACGACTTTTAGACAGAGCACATGAGCTGCATTAATGGAAAGCAATGAATAAAGAAAGAGAAGAGAAGAGAGACCGTTGGAGAAGACGAGGAAGAAGCGGCCATGTGCGGCGGTTTCTACTTGGTTCAACATTCCATGAGCTTTCTCTCCTCCTTGACTTATCCTATTATTTTATTTCAAAAGTTAAATGAAGAAAAAGAAAAAATGAATAGCTAAAAGAAACTTTTTATTATTGCTCTTGCAATCACACAGATGCAGATCCTTTCTCATATCTTCTCGGAAGAAAAGTTGGTTCCGAGTTTCCCGGAAAAATCTCCCCTGCGGAGATGGAGCATCTGATGAAAGAAGGGAGGTCTCTTGCTGAGACGCCGACTTACTCTGTTGCTTCTGTTGTCACTGTTTTGGTGTTTGTTTGCTTTCTCGTTGAACGCGCCATCTACAGATTTGGCAAAGTGAGGTTTCGTTTCTCTTTTAAATGTCTACTATGTGTTTGCTGAAATGCTCAGCTCGGAAAATAAGTATTATGAACTTTTCCTTGCTCTGCTCATGTTCTCACTCTTAGGAGAAGTCATTATTACAAAATGATTAAAAAGACAAGAACGTGTTTCATGTTATATGAAGCTGAGATGCTAATTTGATGTTTTTTTTTTGTGTTTCAGTGGTTAAAGAAGACAAGAAGAAAGGCACTATTTGCATCGCTGGAGAAGATGAAAGAAGGTATGTTAAATAGACTCGTTGTGGTCCTTGAAAGTTTTGTGCTACAAATAATCAAACATTGTTTAAATTAATATTGACTTGCTAAACTTTTCTTGGTAGAGTTGATGTTGCTGGGACTTATATCACTGCTGCTGTCACAAAGTGCGAGGTGGATTTCAGAAATCTGTGTAAACTCTTCACTTTTCAACAGTAAATTCTACATCTGCTCTGAAGAGGACTATGGAATCCACAAGAAAGTTTTTCTGGAACACACCTCTTTTACAAATAAAACTTCTGGAGTACACGGAGCTTCTCATCGATGTGGTCATGTAAAATTTTCTAGTAATTTTACGACTTAAAGCCTCTTTCTTGTGTACCTATAACGATATATTCCTGAACTGGAATTTGGATATAATTACAGGGCCGTGAACCATTTGTGTCGTATGAAGGTCTTGAGCAACTCCTGAGATTCTTGTTTGTCCTGGGGATCACTCATGTTCTGTACAGTGGCATTGCCATTGGTTTAGCCATGAGCAAGGTACACATTCTAACTCCTGAGTGCTACTATTTTTATCTTTAGTATATGAAGATTGAGGAAAACTTGAACCTTCACAGCTTCAATATCTCTTTTGTGTACAAAGAGTGTTGTTGTGATGAGTGCAGACGAACAAAAAAACAGTACAATAAGAATCAGTGTTTTGTTTTTATCACAGATTTATAGTTGGAGAAAATGGGAAGCCCAAGCGATCGTAATGGCTGAAGCGGATATCCATGGTAAATGACATAAATGTTCTGCTTCTCCTTCACGTAAAATCTTCTATGTTTCTTTGATGGGTCTCATCTTGATGCTCGTGAGAAAAGATGTAACTCATTTGAGACGTGGAGATGCTTTTATGCACCTTTTGCAGTTCTCTTTTCTTCTTAACTAAGTGCAATCTAGTGAACTATTACAATTTACAACTGAGAAGACAAGAGAATTACATGATGTTTCTGGCTAATAATCTGTTTTTATCACAAACAGCTGATTCATTTGATAAAAATATGCATAGGATGCTCTAATTTTCACATTCTGATACATCTTCTCTTCTTGAATTATTTCATAGCAAAGAAGACGAAGGTGATGATGCGGCAGTCTACATTTGTCTTCCATCATGCTTCTCATCCTTGGAGTAACAATCGTTTTCTAATCTGGATGGTAACTCTTCACGCTTTTACCTTACTTTTCAATACTTTCATGTCTCCACAGTTACTTGTTTCTCAAGAAGCTTGAAAATATATGTTTGTTATTGCAGCTCTGTTTCCTGAGGCAGTTTAGAGGCTCCATACGGAAGTCTGACTACTTCGCGCTTCGGTTAGGTTTCCTCACTGTGAGTATCTTTTCTTCTTCTTCCTCATTCCTCACTCTTTCCACCAAACATTATTGTACTGAATCCGTTCTTTACTACTTTGAAACTTCAGAAACATAACTTGCCGTTTACATACAACTTCCATATGTATATGGTACGGAGCATGGAAGATGAGTTTCATGGCATTGTTGGAATTAGGTATGCATTTCCTTGAATTGAGAATTTATCTAAGACTCATTGTTTCAAACTATAATAGTGAACCTGATGATTTTTTTTCTTGATGAATTAACAGCTGGCCGCTTTGGGTTTACGCTATAGTTTGCATCTGCATAAATGTTCATGGTAACTTAACGGTTATATAAATACAAAGTGAACTCCATTTCTGTCTCAACATCTAAGCTTGGTCTTTACTTGATTCAGGTCTGAATATGTACTTTTGGATATCATTCATCCCTGCCATTGTAAGTAATAGTAAGCAAGTAGAAAGATTGACATTCATAAGGCACTAACACTGAAAGCAAGTGTTTGTTTCTGTTTTGTTTTTTAAGCTTGTCATGGTTGTTGGAACCAAACTTGAGCACGTTGTCTCAAAGCTAGCTCTAGAGGTTAAGGAGCAGCAGACGGGCACGTCCGGTGGAGCTCAAGTGAAGCCACGTGATGGACTTTTCTGGTTTGGGAAACCAGAAATTCTGTTACGGTTGATACAGTTTATCATTTTTCAGGTAAATTAAAGGATATTCTCTTTCTCAAACTACAAACCGTGATTCTTGTTTATTTATCCTTATATAATTTTTTGACAATGCAGAATGCATTTGAGATGGCAACATTTATCTGGTTCTTGGTAAGACCACATGCAACACTCATACTTGAATCAGCTATGTAAAGATTTTCAAGTTTCTAACAAGATCTTTCGTTTCATGTATCAGTGGGGAATTAAGGAAAGATCTTGCTTCATGAAGAACCATGTGATGATATCAAGCCGTCTAATTTCAGGGTGCGTTGCGAACACACAATAATTTCGTAACGTTCCACTGTTCTCTTAAGGGAATTTATTTTATGGTGAATGCAGAGTTCTTGTTCAGTTCTGGTGCAGTTATGGCACAGTGCCTCTCAATGTAATCGTCACTCAGGTTCGTCTAAACCCTTACACTCTCCATAATCCTAAGCCCATCAAGGTCTATGACTGACTAAACACTGTTCAACAAAATGCTCTGCACAGATGGGATCTCGGTGCAAGAAAGCTGTGATAGCAGAGAACGTAAGAGACTCACTACACAGTTGGTGCAAGAGAGTGAAAGAACGGTCTAAGCACACGAGATCGGTGTGTTCACTCGACACAGCAACGATAGACGAGAGAGACGAGATGACAGTGGGGACACTGTCGAGGAGCTCATCGATGACTTCACTGAATCAGATCACCATAAATTCGATAGACCAAGCAGAGTCCATATTCGGAGCAGCGGCTTCGTCGAGCAGTCCTCAAGATGAATATACAACCTCGAGGGTCGAAGAGTTTCTGTCTGAAACATTTAATAACATTGGTTCGATGCCGCCTGAGATTGAGGTTGAAGGTGAAGAAGACAATGGAAGGAGAGAGAGTGGGAGTGAAGAGAGTAATAATGGTGATGGTGGGGAAACACTTTTTGATTTGTTTAGGAGGACTTGATCTTGTTTCTTCTTCTTCTTCTTCTACTTCTTGCTGAAGCTTGGTTACGTTGTAATTACTTGACATCCATAAAAAACATAAACTACTTAACAATGTAAACTAAATTATTCTTTTGACTGTCCTTAACTAACAACAAGGGTGTAGTGGAGCTGTCAGTCATTCCGGTTTGATGCGGTTTTCGTTTGGTTCACTTCGGTTTAAGAACATTTACAGAGTGACCAGAGCAGAACATGGCCAGTGAATAAATTTGGGCTTACAGGGCCAGGCCCATTTGACAACAAATTAGCCATTTATGCATAGCTTGGAGAGGATATGTACGTACGGAAAATGAGCATGAAAATTTAAAAGAAAATAAATGATGTTTATATTTCTAAAAGAGGACTGCAATTTTTGCGTGACTGTTTGTGTGAAGCAGAGAGAGAGACAGAGTGAGAGTAAGCAAGTGAGAGTGAGAGGAAGCAAGAGAATGGGGAATCGTTCGCTAGGGTTTTGGGTGACTGCGTTTTTCCTACTCGGAAGCTTGATCGACGCGGCCGATGGCTCGATTCACGAGTACAAGGACGAAGGGTTCGTCAAAATCGCCAATGCTCGCTACTTCTATGGTGGTCACGAAGGTCTTTACGCTTCTGAGTTTCTGGGTGTTGATGCTTCTTCTGCTACAGCTCCTCCTCTCAAGGGAAACTCCTTCATCAGGTACATATTTCACTTTTCTCTTACTGATTATGTTTCCGTTGAGCTAGGGTTTTTATGTGACTGGGTCGATTCTGTGTGTACTTTAGCTGATGGATCGTCACAGGAGGATAAAATACTTGATTTCTGGTGTTTCGATTTATCGATTCGTTACCAGATTTTGTGCGTTTTCACTAACCAGGGACATTTCAAGCTTTACGCAAAAAGATTCATCTTTGAGCTTTTATATTTGGTTTACTGCTTCTTCGTTACTGGAATTGTGCTTTTGAGGTAGCGTTTTCTAAGGAAAATTATATGTATCAGCTTATAGATTTGTATTTGTAGATGAGAATTTTTGATATCTTATAGTTCTTCCTGTTTATTTTTTGAGTGTGTGTAGGTTTGATGATGTCTCTTTTGTAAGAAGCAAGGAATCCGCTAGCAAGCAGAATTCAACTCAGGCGAGTGCAGGCTTGGTGGAAGCGATACTGTTTGAGGCGAAGCAAAAAGACAGAGTTGGTGGATCTTTTTTCAAAACAGAGAGCTTCTGCTGTACACCAAAACTTGCGGATGCTGGTTCCTGCAACCTTGGGGAAGTTATGATTAGTGCAGATCCTAATGACCCTGAATGGCCTAAGCGGATTCACACTTTCTTCAAAAAGGGTGAGGAAGAAGTGAAGATGTCTCCGGAAGCTGTGATCATTAACAAAACTGGACGGTACATTGTGTACTTCACGACCTGCGATGAAGATTTGGATGGCACTGTTGTCAGGGGAAGAACAGTTTGGAAGAACCTAGATGGGTATTTACCAGGAGAGACAGCTCCTCTAATGAAGTTCTATGGATTCATGTTCGTAGCTTATATGTTGCTTGGCGTAGTTTGGTTTCCACGATTTGTTAGGTACTGGAAGGATGGAATCCAGCTGCATAGTCATGTTAGCTTGGTTATTGCATTTTCCATGTATGAGTTGGCCTTCATGTACTCTGGTTTTGCCTATCTCGACTCGGTTGGTACAAGTCCTGTGAAGGCAACGTTATGGGCTGTGAGTTTTTCTTCTGCGAGGAAGGCGTTGTCTCGGCTTCTACTGTTGGCTTTAACTTCAGGATATGGACTTGTGAAGCCTGAAATATCCGGCTTTACACCGAGGATGCTTCTTCTTGGCGGCATGTGCTATGTGATTAGTCTATCTCTGGGATCGGCGCAGCATTTTGGGAGTCTCACTGAAGATGGGATGACTTTGTTGATGCTGTCTTGGGCTATAATGGAAACATGCTTTCTCCAGTGGATTTTCAGGTCCTTGTGGAATACGCTTAAGAAGCTTAAGGTAATGAACCTACAGTACTGTAACATATTAACTATAACTCTATAAGTAGCTCTCCTGGTAACTGTTGAAAGTTGCAATTGAGCCATATATGAAGATGCAGTTCTTCTTAAGCTTTTCATCCCTGCTAATCCCATCTGTGCATTTGTAGGTGAATAAGAGGGACAATGCTAAGTTGCAGCTCTACAAGAACTTTGCAGTTGTACTAGTAACCATGGTGGTGCTTAACATTGCCTGGGTTTATGTGGAGGTAACAGCTCGCTAGTCTGATAATAACTCTGGGAAAATCACTTGATAATGGCAAGTCATAGGATGGGTGTGACTGATACATGTTTTTCTTGAAACAGGTATATATCAATGTCATAGGATCGGTGTGACTGATACATGTTTTTCTTGAAACAGGTATATATCATGACTCTCTGAGTGAGCTTTGGCAAGTGAAGTGGATGATCCCAGCATTTTGGTATGTGCTTGGCTATGCACTGTTGGTAGTCATCTGCTGCTTTTGGCCTCCAACCGAAAAGCCAACCAGGTAAATAATATTAATCTCTCTTGAAACAGGTATATATCAATGACTCCCTGAGTGAGCTTTGGCAAGTGAAGTGGATGATCCCAGCATTTTGGTATGTGCTTGCCTATGCACTATTGGTAGTCATCTGCTGCTTTTGGCCTCCAACCGAAAAGCCAACCAGGTAAATTATATTAATCTCTCCCACCCTTTATCATACCAATGGTCAATGGAGTGCTTCTGTGGCCTGTTTGATGTTCCACGTTAAGTTCTTGTGTGTTTAATAATCCTTACTGTTTAAGGTTTGAGGTTCTTAGTAATGAATATGCTGCCGTTTGCACATTTGTCTAATGTAATAAACTGGTTCGAAATAAGCAGGTACCTATACGTAGCTGAAATGGAGGATGAGTATGAGGAAGAAGAACAAGATGAAGATCTAGTATTGGCAGAAGCAGGGATGAAGAGTGAAGATGGGAGCAATGTGGAGAGGGAAGAGAGGAAGAGCCTTCTAGAAGCACTCATTCTCTTGTTTGGGAATATTCCAAGGGACTGAGGGAGAGTTGCAACAATCCAATCCTTAACCCAAGCTGCCTCCTAATTATCCTTTTTTCAGCTTCGGTTTTAAGTGTGTTCAAGTCTCTAAACTCTTTAGTACAACTAGAATCATTTTGCAATCAAACTTTTATTTAGGTTCCCTTATGTGTAATCGGTTTTTCTATTTCATGAACTTGTTGGTAGTGGAACAAACAAATGGAAATGAAGAATATTTTAGTTGGAACCATCATCATAATTGCAAGTTACCTCGCTCAATGTTACTTGTCAACTAAAATATGTAGATTATCAATGCAATTAGCACTCTCCATCTACAATCTGTCAACTTTCTACAATCTATAAAAATGTAGATAATCGTACATATAAAACACTAATAATTTTGCTTTGAAAAGTATAACACTATCACTACTGAAGAAGAGAAAAGGAATAATACAAGTATCTTTTTACTTTAATACTATTTTTTCTCCAAATTTTGTGTGTTTTCGATTTCTGCCTTTTATGGAAAAAAAATGGAAAAGAGAGAATAACGTGAAAATGTCGACATAATTAGCCAAGTATAGACAAAATCGAGAAACTTGAGTATTTGTATCGCAACAGTCTTCAAGTGCCACGGAGCGAGCGCGCCGTTCCGCTACTCCAACATCCTGACAATGTCGACACTCTTTCGCTCTTTCTCTCCTACTTTCTTCCTCCTCCTCGATTCCTCCTTTTTTATAATCAGCTTTTTGCTTCACTTTCTGCTCCTTGATCCCGAGACGAGGAAGATAAAGAAGAAATACACTCTTTGATCCCATGATCATCGCCGATGTTAGTCTTGGGATTCGGTTTCCGTCTCTCCACTTTTCTACAATTTTGAAATTTACTCTTGTTTAATCTGATTATTCGAAATTCTCTTTCTCTTGGTTTCGTAGCTTCTTTGGAAATCGTTTCCTCTATACTTATTCGGATCAGGAAGAGAATCTCTCTCAGGTATTTCATCGAACACTTTATCTGGATTATTTCGCTTCAGCCTCTGTTGATTGCTAGATTCTGAAAGTTGTAAATTGTTCTGAATTGCGTTCTCTGTTGCTGTATGGACCATGAAAACCAAAAAAAAAGAGTCCATTTTGCAGACAATGGCTTCTTCTCCGACGAAAATCCTCTGTGACGCCGGCGAATCAGACCTCTGCCGAGACGACGCAGCTGCATTCCTACTCAAATTCGTAGCCATTGCCTCAATCCTCCTAGCCGGAGCTGCAGGTGTAGCCATACCTCTCATCGGCAAGAACCGCCGGTTCCTCCAAACCGAAGGAAACCTCTTTGTAGCTGCTAAAGCCTTCGCGGCCGGTGTCATACTCGCCACTGGCTTCGTCCACATGCTTGCAGGCGGCACAGAAGCTCTCACCAATCCCTGCTTACCGGATTATCCGTGGTCCAAGTTTCCCTTTCCCGGGTTCTTTGCAATGGTGGCTGCTTTGATCACTCTGCTTGTTGATTTCATGGGGACACAGTACTATGAGAGTAAGCATCATAGTAACGAGTCTGGTGGTGGTGGTGGTGAAGCTTCTGTTGTTGAGCCTGGTTGTGAAGAGACGTCATCTGTTGTTCCTGTGGTTGTGGAGAGAGGGAATGATAATAATAGTAAAGTGTTTGGTGAAGAAGACGGTGGTGGGATGCACATTGTTGGCATTCGTGCTCACGCTGCTCACCATAGACATAGTCACTCTAATGGTCATGGTACTTGCGATGGACATGCTCATGGACATGGACATTCACACGGACATGCACATGTTCATGGAAGTCATGATGTTGAAAATGGAGCTAGACATGTTGTTGTTTCTCAGGTTTGAATCTTTTTATCACTGACTCAACCACAAAAGCCACAGCTTGTGTATGAATCGTTTTATTGACTTTTTTGCAGATATTGGAGCTTGGGATTGTGTCACACTCAATCATCATCGGTTTATCTCTCGGTGTATCGCAGTCTCCGTGCACGATCAGGCCTCTCATTGCAGCTCTATCGTTTCACCAGTTCTTTGAAGGGTTTGCGCTTGGAGGATGCATCTCTCAAGCACAGTTTAAGAACAAGTCAGCGATCATAATGGCTTGCTTCTTCGCGCTGACCACACCGATAGGGATTGGGATTGGAACCGCGGTGGCTTCGTCTTTCAACTCGCATAGCCCTGGAGCTTTGGTGACCGAAGGGATACTAGACTCGCTCTCTGCTGGGATACTGGTGTATATGGCTCTGGTGGACCTGATCGCAGCTGATTTTCTAAGCAAGAGGATGAGTTGTAATGTGAGGCTTCAAGTTGTTTCTTATGTTATGTTGTTCCTTGGCGCTGGACTTATGTCCGCACTCGCCATTTGGGCTTAGCTTTTGAAATTTTGTAATCCATAATCGATTGTTCTTATAAAGGGTGAGCCAAATTAGCGAAGTAACAAGACAGAGATGACTTATTGATGAAGCTTTAAAAGCTAATTTTAAAATTTAAACAATGGCTTCTTCTTTGTGGGTTTCGATGACGACATCAGAAGTTGGGTAAGCCACACAGGTGAGGACGTAACCTTCGTTCATTTGATCATCGTCTAAGAAGCTTTGGTCCGACTGGTCAATGGATCCAGAGACAACTTTACCGGCGCAGCTTGAGCAAGATCCGGCACGGCATGAGTAAGGCAAGTCGATTCCGGCTTCCTCCGCAGCGTCGAGGACGTAGACGTCGTCTTCGCACTCAACTTCTTGCTCTCCCTCTGGCGTGATGAACTTGACCTTGTAGCTAGCCATGGCGGTGACGCGGCCGCCGCGTGCGGTGGAGGATTTGAGGCCGAAGAGGGATTGTGTGTTCGCCAGCGGGAGAGATCTGAGGGTGATTGGTGTCTGTTGACGACGGAGGAACGATGTGCTTACGATAGCGCTGGAGAGAGCAGTGGAAGCCATTGTTGAAAGCGAGATTCTTATTCGGTTTCAGTCGAGTGTGTGTGGCTTTGTTGAAATGGCGCAGAAGAGGTGAGGAGGAGAGGAATATAAAGAGAAGTGTTTTTGAACGCTATCTGCCACGTGGCGTATGATGTGTGGTTAATTGTGTTATCGTCTTGTGATTGTCTCCGTGACTGTTGTTTTGCATTTGTGCGCTCTCTCGTTGGTGAGAGTGAATATGTGGTTGGACTTGGGACAAGTCACCATCAGAATATGGACTTGGAAGTCTCTAGACTAATCCAGTGTGCTCTTTTTTGGTCAGTTTTTCAGATTGACCAATGCATGTAAATTTCTTCGAGTGACTTGGAAAGAGGAGACAACCAGTAATGCAGTACCAAGTGTTAGTGTATTCAAATCACGGGCGTTACGGACACGCAATAAAGAAGCCCCGTGAAACCAACACATGAGGATAATTTTGTTTTTTCATTCTTATTAACAAGGGGAACTATGTTTAACGCGGAATATAAAAAAGTAGCAAGATCCAATTTTCTTCAGGATAGCCATATTCAATTATCGTAAATAAGTGGAAAATAAATCAAAAGGTAAACTGATTACAGGTAGTAGTAGCAGTAAAGTACAGCGGCTCGACTCTAATCTAAAGAGAACAATTCACTTATCAAAAAGGGAAGAAAATAACACTAAGAAGAAGAAGAAGAGACATTGGAATAATATATATGTTACCACCTTCCTCCCTCTGAATTTCTCTCCTCTCTCCCTCTCTCTCTCGCTCTCTACTGTGTTTTTATATAATATATGACCCCAAAGAAGCTTGCTTCCTTCTAAATTGGATGTTTATACCTCTCCTCTAGTCGCACTTGATGTTTCTGTAGATCCTCCTTACAAACAAATTTGATCCCAAGAATCCAACAGCTCCTACAAAAGAGTTTTACAAATTACAAAAAAGAAAATTTAGTCATATCCGTAACATCAATCTCTACTCTTTAGAGAATGGAGAAATCAAACTCACCGCAAAGGATTCCAAGGCCAAGACAGAACATCATGGTGTATCCAAAGTAGAAGCTTGTCTGGAAGAATCCGGACATCTTTGTCTTCACGTAGTAGTAATAGATTGAGTATAAGTAGACATAGACAGCCGTTGAAGCAGCGGAGAAAAAGGAAGTCCATTGCCAGTGATAGTTCTCTGCATTCAGCAGGAAATAAGTTCCCACGATTGTCACACACACCGTCACAATGACCAGAATCACAAATACCAGCAGCATGAACCCATACACATAGTAAACCTGTTAAACCAAAAAAAAAAAGAGCCATCAGGAATAGCCAAACTTAAGCTATAAGCCTGCTACTATAGCTTGTATCTGTTGTAACTACATTTACCTTGTAATTCCAGAAGGATGTGAAGACAAAGTACATCTCGATGAAGATGCTTCCAAAAGGTAACAAACCTCCCATCAGAGAGACAACCGATGGAGTTAAGTACCATTTTTTCTCAGGGATTGGGCGTGGAATGGTCTTCACACGGCACGGATTGTTTGGAGCACCGCTCCAGTTTCTTCCAACGACGGTCCCGAGGAGGGCTAGTGGGAAGGAAATAAATCCCCAGATTACAGACACAACCACCATTGTCCCAAAAGGAATAGCCGCAAGAGATCCATAGAATATGGCAATAGTGTTCAGGAGGAAGCCAATTCCGAAGCACAAAAAGGGGAAGAGAGAAGCCGTGAGGACCATGCACTTGATCCAGTGTTTACCTGATCAAACCACGCATTAGAATAAATCGAATAATCAAAGGGAAAAGTAAAAAAAGAGAGGTTCGCCAAGAAGAGTAAGTCATACCGCCGCTTCTTGAGTACATTCCACCACTCACATAACCAGACACAAAGGAAGTCAAGGCGTAGCAAACTATGAAAGTTGTGACAATTGCTCCTCTCCTAATGTAATCAGAAAACAAAGTGAGAAAAAAATCCAACCAAAAAGCTGAGGTCTACTGCCTTATATACAAGCAAACGAAAGATACTACAACTAATTAAAGGGAGATAACAACACAAACAAATGGTTGGAAGTGAAAAGAAGAGTGTAATACATACCCTACATATAGAGTCCCCACGATGGCCATTAAGATGACAAGAAGAACAAGTAACGCCAACTGTGCACCAGTACCAACAACAGCTGAGAGAAGAACTAAACTATATGGTGGTCTAAACACATCTCCATGCACAAGTTTCCAACCAGATTCTTCACTTACATCCCTTTCCTGTGCTCGTCAATATAATTAATGTCAGAAATGGTTATACAGCCTAAAAAACAGGTGTTCGACAAACTGCAGAGAAAATACTCAGTAGACACCAAAAAAATAATTGTGAAGCGACAAATAAAAGTTGAGGAGACATAACCAAGCTCTCGAGGTCATCATCTTCACGAGCATACTTCGCATAATCATTTCTGAGAGTCCTCATCAATATCATTGAGACCAAACCAGTGAGAAAAATAACCATCATGAACGAGTTAAAGATGGAGAACCAATGAATCTGCAAAACGAAAAAAAAACTATTACAAGACTTAACAAGGCTTGAACAAAAATCTTGAAGAGACTTAATTTAGAAAAAAAATGCTACCAAGCAGGAAAGAACACTTTCAGTATAAATACATTATGAAACTGTGAACCAATCATAATAAAAAAGAAAAAAGCAGAAGAGTAAAAAAATTAATATATAAAGCTAAAAGTTACCTGGTGTTCAAAGAACGGATAATCTAGATATACGTCAAAACGGCGAGCAAATGTGACATTTGTTGGTATCCATTGCACAGAATACGTCAGATCCACTGTCCTCCCTGCTTCCAATGGCCTTGGGTTGTCTTGAGTGAGATTAACATGAATGACCTATGAACACAAATAAATAAGATCAACGCAAGTACCTCACATGATATGCATATTATTGCATGATGGCATAGCAACAACCAACCTGATCTTTGTTGTATTTGACTATAATGTTCTTATGTGTGTAGAGAACATGCTTGCCACTTTCACTATTTTTGTCAGGATGCAGCTCACCCACAAAGCCTACAATAGCAATGAGAGAGTATTGATATACAATCTAAAACTAAAAAGAAAGATGATTAATTTTGGATACTTTAAGTAAATATACAAAAGCTCATACCCCACAAAGGCAGATCATCTGAAGTTAGAACCACCCGATGTACGTCCACGCAATTCAGATGCCACAAAACAATTGTGAGAAATAAGGTTAGTAATCCAAAGAAGTTACCTCGACAGGTCCATTAATATGAGAAACATAATAAGTAAGACCATATATCCTACAACTTCGAATGATGTAAAAATGATACCGGTAAAGTAGTGAAGATAAATATAGGGATGGCTTTACATAATAAAAAATTGCAACAAACTTTTCTTTGAAGAAACTAATATTTTTTTGTCTCATGCTAATATGCAATTTCAGAAGCAATATGAACAAGGAAATGTGAAACATACCCATAAAGAATTCAAACCAGTAGCTAGATTCGATGGCATCTTTGAAATGATTGACCTTAACTTCATCGAGTTCAAGCTGACAGATAACATTTCTGTCAATATTCTCTGTGGAGAAAAAAAAAAGAAAAAGGTACTGTAATTAATGCCCAAGATAACTAGTAGTAGCCAGATGCTAGGATAAGAATGAAGACATACTCAAGAACTTTATCGCGATCTCGCTGTCAATCAGCTCATTTCCACCAAGAACTTCACCAAGACCACCCCATTTGTGAACATCGTTTTTAGATGGGCGGCAAAACGGAAGACTGTAATAGTTGTATGTTTCTTGTGGATTGTTATATGGGCCAACTTTGTTCACCCACAGGGTAACCTGATCATCAGCTTGATACTGAAAAAAAAAAGTGAAAGCAAAAGCATCGACTTTAGTGATCAAAAGAATGTATATGCTTACGGGAGCAAATGAAAGTAAGAACCGAAAATCCAATAAAGAGTACAGAACTATATATCAAACCTAGACAGACCCATGTTGATAAAAAGGTTGGGTCGATACAATACATTTCCAAATCAAGAACAAAAGTCTTCACACAGATGATTCAGATTTGAAAGACATATGACACCAGAAAATACATTTTCCTGAGTGTTCAGCACTAACAGAAACTTATATATGTATAAATAAGTTTCTCTGATATAATTGGTATATTTATCATTACTAAGCATTTCGCTGTACTTTAGGCCCAGAGAAATAAAGTTTTATCACTTATTACGCCAACAGATGGGACTAGCAATAGCAATTACGCATGTTCTGCCTATATCTACGATCAATAGTTGGAATCGAACAATTTTGAGCTATAACTGGCCGGTGACCAAAGCGGGGAATACTTTAAGTATCACATTTTAGATCAATTTTCAAAACTTTTCTTCACGTATCTCTTCACACAAAAAACATCTACCAAACAAGAAGCTGCAGGTGAATATATCGCTTCTACTGCTCTCACCATATCCAAAACGCACGAAATAATATTGGTTCCAGAGACGAACGACGGGAAATGATCAATCAAATGCCAGACAATTACATAACTTATAACTGGTCAACGTGTTTTGTACATCAAAAAGACTATTACATATTTACGTGCACGAACTGGGTTTCTGAGTAGTATAAACGAGAATCTCAATCCCATAGCACAATCTATTCATAAAGCCGCGATTGCAGAAGTCAAAATCACAATGAAGAAGAAGAAGAAGTAAAAAATACTCCGACACTAGCAATGAAGAAGCAACTGGATAAAAGCTCAAGGACCCACCTCACTCATCCGAAAAACAAACAGATCCAAGCAAAAAAGTCAATCACAAATCAAAACACCATGCAATTCACAAGTTCTACGGACACAGTACTCGACTCGAGCTGCGTACAAAAATACAAAATGGCAGGCACCAGAGATCCGAATCTAACCTTGTGATCTGAATCGGAGCCGAGAGCAGGAGCTACAAGGGCAACGAGAAGAAGGAATACGGCGGCCACGGCGGAAGAAGAAGACGGCATCGCGAAAACCGACGGACGATCAGATCTGAGGAAGACGGAGACGGTGGTGAAATGTGTTAGACCAATGACTAAGCTCGATGATTTGTTTCAATTTGGCCTATGTTGCATCTTGACAGTACAATTTCAGCTCTCTCGTTTCTCGGCAGCGAGCGATCGAGAGAGCGAGAGACTCAGAGAGAAAGAGAGAGCACAGTGTTCTTCGTCAGAGATTCAGAGATAGATAGTCAGTGTATTGATTTGGCAGAGATTTTTGGGTCACAGAAAAATAAGAGAAGCTCAGAACTCGTTTAAATCACTTAATTGGGCCTATACCTTAAACCAGTTATAAGTTTAAAGGCCCACTAAAACATCTAGTTATCTATTTTGGTGGATTGGCTGTGGCGGTAGAAGATAGAAGCGCCAAAAAAAAATTCTAAAGCCAAATAGATCACTAATCATACTTTATACTTATTTTTTTTAAATCTACAGACTTCTTTCATTTCTTTCATTTTTCCTTCTTTTTTTAGTTCTACAGAGCATAATTTTAAAAGCTCTGAATTTCTTTTTTCTCTCTTTGATTTTTTCCAAATATATTATTTTTTTCTTTACTTTTTTCCTTATTATTATTTTCCATATTTACCTATTTCCTTTTTTACTAAAATCATGCAGTTAATATCCTAAAGCAACAATTTCATAACCACAACCATAAAACATAAAACAAAAACTCTACAGCAAAAAAAAAAAGCTAGAGCAACAACCAATCACCCCCATATTTTGGTGTCAAAGCCGTACTTTTTCTCTGAACTTCAAAAAACATGTTTTGGTGAAATACAAAACTTCATAAACCGCAAAAATAGAAAACTGTGAAATCATGTTTTAATAAACTCGGATGTTATGACAAACAAATAGATTTACATATAAACACACTATCTTGCTAGAAAAATGAAAAACATCCAGTGATAATATCCGATATGATCCCATATCAACAAAATACAGTATACAGAGAAGTATGGTTAGACAAGTAAAATAGAATTCTCTATTCCGTACAAACGGCGCTCGAATCAGCAAGGGAAACTTGGATTGATCGCATGGAAACTTGTGGGTCCCGCTTTGTTAAAAACTAAAATATTTAAATTAAATAAAGAAAAAGCATCATGAGAGCGAGATTCTTCATTCTCGATTTCTCATCATCATCATTATTATTCCAAGAGAAAATCAATTTCACCTCAGAACAAAAAAAGTCCATTCTTTGCTTTGCCTTCAAATCTCTCCAATCCAAATCTCAATCACAATCACCTTCCATCGTGTTATTATTTCTTTCCCTTTTCACCATCTCTGCGATTCGCGAGATCTCTAAATCGCATCCTTAATTCTGGGATACTGATTTGTGTTTTTGTATTGATAAGGATTTCACGTGAAAATTATTGTGGTTTTTAGCTCCTAGGCTTGAACTGGAGTTGGATTTTTAACGAGAATTTGGAGATTTTTTCGAGTTTTTTTTTTTTGTTTCTTCCTGTGGTTGTCGTTCTGTTTTGTGTGTTTGGAATTAGGGTTGCGGAGTTTGGCTAGCTAGCGAATATGGAGAAGTATGAGCTGGTGAAAGACATAGGTGCTGGGAATTTCGGAGTGGCCAGGCTCATGAAAGTTAAAAATTCTAAGGAACTTGTTGCCATGAAGTACATCGAGCGTGGTCCAAAGGTCCGTCTCTAGCTAATTCATCTCTAAAATTACTTGCTTATGCTGTTTCTGTGTGTCAACTCATCGCTGTTGCTGGGCAATGTTCTTATCATCTCTCATTTCCTCTACCCAGTTAAGAAACCACCATTCTTACCCGGTTTTAAAGGAGAGGACCGAATGTTATTTTGCTCATTTGGATATTTGAAATCTTTAGCTGATTGTGTGATTAATGTAGTCATAGTTGTGCTATTTTCTTAGCAAGACTGTAGATTGAATTAATATTGGCTTTGTTGTGTTTCGATATAGATTGATGAGAACGTGGCAAGAGAGATCATAAATCACAGATCACTCCGCCATCCAAATATTATCCGGTTTAAGGAGGTTAGTGATTTTCTTACTGCTTGACATTACTATGTGTTCTTCTCGCTATGATAAGTCACTTATTTCATAGCATTCATCTTCCATATTTTGGATATCTGGCTTTTACAGGTGGTGTTGACTCCAACCCATCTTGCCATTGCTATGGAATATGCTGCTGGTGGTGAACTATTCGAGCGTATATGCAGTGCTGGAAGATTCAGTGAGGATGAGGTGAGCTTGGCATTTGGAATTTTGGGGTCTTTTGCATCTATACAAGTACTATTTAGGATGATTTTGGTAGTCCTGTATGTGGTCTTTTACCTCTTTGAATAGTCTAGAAGGAATGGAAGAAGAGAAAACATTTCAATCTTCTCTTATATCTTATCGCATATCAAACAATTGATATATACATTCTAATCATTTTTGTCTTTCCTAGGCGAGATACTTCTTCCAACAGCTTATATCAGGCGTCAGTTACTGCCATGCTATGGTAAGGCAACTATATGAGTTATGATGATATTACTAATCCCCTAGTTGTTTGAAATCGGTTCGTTCATCAAGCTTGTAGTCACCCTTGTGTCCATTTTGATGCAGCAAATATGCCATAGAGATCTGAAGCTCGAGAATACTCTCCTGGATGGAAGTCCTGCTCCACGTCTGAAAATATGTGATTTTGGTTATTCCAAGGTCTGGCACTATACCATTGTCTTATGCTATCCTCTTTTGTTATTCCCCTTTGTCTTAAAACCATTAATCAAGCTATTTGTTTATCTTCTTTTGTAGTCCTCGCTGCTGCACTCTAGGCCCAAATCAACAGTTGGAACTCCAGCGTATATTGCACCTGAGGTCCTTTCTCGCAAAGAATATGATGGCAAGGTAATCTTATCGCAATCCGAGTCTTTGTTAAATCAGGCGTCGTGCACAATACAATGAACTCACATAAAACAATGGACTTACATATCAAACTGTCATGCTCTTTATCTTCGTGTTAGTCGGTAAGATTTTTAGTTTTTGTTCCCTCTTTCAGATGGCTGATGTATGGTCTTGTGGTGTGACGCTTTACGTAATGCTGGTTGGAGCATACCCATTTGAAGACCAGGAAGACCCCAAAAACTTCAGGAAAACAATACAAGTAGGCATTTCTTCTCTTATGCTATATATGTGTCTGCATTTCTCGCCTCTGAGTATATGTCACATCCCGCTCACCAATATGTCATCTTGTTATACAGAAAATCATGGCTGTGCAGTACAAGATCCCAGACTACGTCCATATCTCACAGGACTGCAAACATCTCCTTTCCCGCATATTTGTTGCCAATTCACTCAAGGTAGTTATACATCAATCAAACGAGCTAAATGTTTTCAACAAAGATGGTTTTGTTTGACAACTTTGAGCTACTTGTTGTCTCCGCAGAGGATTACCATTGCTGAAATCAAGAAACACCCATGGTTCCTGAAGAACTTGCCAAGGGAACTCACGGAGACAGCTCAAGCTGCATATTTCAGGAAAGAGAACCCGACCTTCTCTCTCCAGACGGCTGAAGAGATCATGAAGATAGTGGATGACGCGAAAACGCCTCCTCCTGTTTCTCGTAACATTGGAGGTTTTGGCTTGGGAGGGAAAGGAGATACAGAGGAAGACGAGGAGGAAGTGGAAGAAGAGGAGGAGGTCGAGGAGGAGGAAGACGAAGAAGATGAATATGACAAGACTGTAAAGGCGGTACACGCAAGTGGAGAAGTGAGAATCGTTTGAGTTTTTTTTTTTGGTTTTTTGTTTTTTTGTAAGAAAGAAGTTGTCGTTGGTTTGGTGAAAACTTGAAAATTCTCTGTTTTTTGTGTTTGCCATTTACGGTTTTTTGGTTTTGGGTTTTGGAGATTTGTAAAATTTGCAGTATAAGAACAAACAGAGGTTGATGATGAGTCCTTCGCTACATTTGTGACTTCGAATTAAATATTTTGTAAATTAGATTTTTTGAGTCCATACACTACTACTTTATTTCCTTGCTTAATCCTACTCTCATTTTCCCTTTCCTCCATGAGTTTTCGAAAATGTAAAATTCTGATACAGAGCTATTTTCGGAATGTTGAAAACAAAACGTTCAAAATTTTAAAAATAATTGTTTCTTTTTGTGCGTTTGCGATTTCAGAAAGAGAGGGAAGCTATCCCGCCATAAGGAAACCGCGAATTCAATACTTTTCCGTTTTCCGGCCTCGAGCTTAGTCGGTGGTGACCTTCTTATCCTCTACTTCGCCTTGTCCAGTTTCTCCGCCGGATTGCGTCAGTGCCTCTCTCTACAGAAGCAGAAGACTCCACTGGTTCTAAAATGTAATTCCTTGGCTTTTCGTTTCGCAACCATTTCTAGGGTTTTCTTTTCGCGCTTTCTCAGACTGATGCTTCGTCCTGCGAATTAGACTACTTTCGATTTGGGGTTTCGTTGTCTGTGGTTAGATAGAATCCTTTGGAGTCATGAATGGTCGATTCTCTTCGATTTCCTGCTTTTGATTTATTCTACCGTTTTTTCAATTTGCTGAAATTGGTGGGTAAAAGCTAACGGATTCGTTGTGTCTCACTGAAGTTTGTGTTTGACGTCAACATTCCCAGCCAAAATTTGGCAGATTTCTGTAAATTGCACTAGAATTTGTAAATTGCGTATGCTTATTCAGTGATAATGTGCAATTCATTCGGTTCTTCTTGCATTATCATCATCACTCACTAATCAGAATGCAATTTCTTTCTGTGGCTTTTATTAAGTGACCAAATTGCTCTGTCAAGGGAAGAGAAAATCACTGGAACTTCTTCAGCATGTTAAACCTATGATCAATCCAAATCAAACGAGGCAAGTATGATCTTTCCCTTGTACTATTTGCTTTAATTCCAGAAATTTCTGGCTGTTTCTTCTTTTTGTTTGCTCTCCTTGACTCACTGTTATATTGCAGTAGGAGTCATCTCCCTGAAGTTCAGAAACCTAAAGGTCCTCAAACTAATTGGTCGGAACATGCAAAGGCGCTCGAGAGTCCATCATCCGAGACTAAGTTTCTGAGCTCCAATTTCCTTTACGGTCTTGAAAGTCAAAAGCCTAGAAGAAACAGAGATATGGCTGCAAGGTATCGTGGTCATTATTCGACAACAATCAAACTATCTGCTGTTTGGATTCGTAGAAGTAGAAACTATCAAACAAATTCTGTGATTTCAAGGATAGCTTTAACACCACATTGTATAGTCTCGCTTTTCCATCATCACTGTGACCTTTTGAACTTAGTGTGAAGCTAATGATATTTCTCTTTGATGCCTCTAGTAAGAATATGTCAGCGAACGAAATTTTTTGTGAGGTTTTCTTAGTCTCAACTAAGTGATTCACAAGTATTTTAAAAGCTTTGTTTCTCTCTGTCTAGGTCAATCGCGTTTCCTGGTGTGAATGTGCATACTTTGGCGCACCCGCAGATTGCCAAGGTAATATTGTTGAAGGGAAACTTATGCATCCCCTCTTCTCATTGTAGTTCTTATATTCCTTAGTTTCTGATTGACCTTACCCTTTTAGATGAACCTCTTTATATGATCGGTACATATATGTTTTCGGTTTCCTATGCTGGCAGGCTTGGCGTGCTCTATCAAGTCTGTCAATAAAATATACCTACCTAAGACCTGGCATTACTCCCCCGGTTGATGATGGTGGCACCAATGGCTCATATTCTGCAAGGGAGAGATCCACTGTGAAAGTTACATGTAGCACTGATGGTGGTATAAACAGTCAACAAAACCAAAATCAAATGAGAGTTCCAGGAACTGGAAGATTCTGCCACAGCTTCCCTTCCTCTGTCCCTGGTGATGATAAAATTGTTGCTGAAAAGTTCCCACGGGGAAATGATGAGGTCAGAGAATCAGAATCCAGTTGCACGCATTTAAATGGAGTGGAGAAACCACTCAGGAGTTCTGCATTCCCAGCTGAGCAGTTGAAATCTGGAGGAGCATGTCTTGATGAGATTGATGATGATGACATACTTAAGGTAATGTTAGCACATTGTTTTTCGTTATTGCATTACTCCATGTAAACATGCTAGTTTTTCTCAATCTTATATTTGTAGTTTCGTGTAGTTCTGCTATCTTATTCAGATCTAAAGGAAATCTTTCCGTAGATGCTTATGTACAATAAGGCTTTGTGGTGAAAATACGTCAACTCAAGCTTGTTAACTCTTTGTGATGCAGTATATTGATGTCGACCAAATTATGATGGAACACTACCAATCAACAAGTACCCCTCAACCATCAGTATCTAATTTTCCACCGAGAACTCCACCTGTTGATAGAAGTGCTGCCAAAATACAAGAAGAGTGTTGTCTACCTCCTGAATTATGTTCCATTTGTAGTCATGGAATAAAGGTATGACTACTGTTTTCTTTTCTTTTTCTTTGGCTTCAATAATATTAAGACCTATTTGTATTCTCATTTTGCTTGATGTTGGTATCTATTCAGCTAGGGCTTTGTCCAGAAGCTTCAACCCATGTGGAACAAATGAAGAACGTATTGCTTGCAATTTCGAATGAACTCCTTGACGATGCTACTGACCTTAGTCCTGATCGCGTGGTACAGCTTCGTCAAGAGAGGTCTATATCCCATTCTGTTTTGCTCCCATGATCTTGGTTTTTAGAAGTGACCTTTTTTATAAGAGTAGTAATTTAGTTTACTTTCGGAGGCTGTGGTTTATTACCCAGCAAAAAAAACGGGAACAATACGGCAAGAAGAGATTAGGCTTAAAGAAATAATAGACTATGCATCTGTTTTTTTAGTCCGAGTATTTCAGCGTATCACAATTGTAAGTATCCTTTTAACTTTTGGCCAGTTTCTAATGTATTACAACTTATGTTGTTGCTAGGTTGGAACTGAAGAATCAAATTCAGCAGCTCGAGAACCATATCCGGGAGAAAGAAAGGCAAAAATCTCAGTGTTTCCCATCGACAGCTACTCCTACGTTTCAGTATGAAACACCTAAATCAACAAACCTAAAAATGGGTTATTCACAAACTGATTCTCGAGCACATTTTAGTGAACAAAGGCCAAGATCTCAGTTTTTCTCATCTACAGCTACTCCTACTTTCCAGTATGAAACACCTAAATCAACAAACCTGAAAACGGATTATCCACAAACTGATTCTCGAGCACAGTTCACTGAGCAAGGTAGATATGGATCTGATAGCTGGAACATGCCAAGAGATTCTTCATTTTCATCTGCTCCTATAGAGAGGGAACAATATGTGCCGAAGATTATTGATGTGACCTACACTGAAGGTTCAAACGACAAAAGGTGGAGCAGTCGTGAATTTCCTTGGACAAGAAAATTGGAGGTGATTAGCTGAGTTTTTCTTTTCTTTGTTCACTTACATTCCATACTTGCATTCCATGTGCTCATGTATTTCCTTGCAATGTTCAGGTTAGTAACAAAAAAGTGTTTGGAAATCACTCGTTTCGACCTAACCAGAGAGAAATCATCAATGCTACAATGAGTGGCTCTGATGTTTTTGTTTTGATGCCAACTGGTGGAGGGAAGAGTCTTACATATCAGGTCACTATACTTAAACCGTTACTTTCTTTAATTTCACTTTGATTCTTCAATCTAGTATTTCTTGTTTTTTGCTGAGATATTTGTATACAACCTACGCAAAAGAGATAAAAGTTTCAAGTTGTGTTCTCAACGGTAATCAAACATCGTTTTTTTTTTGCAGCTCCCCGCCCTGATCTGTCCAGGAATAACATTAGTCATTTCTCCACTTGTGTCACTTATTCAAGACCAAATAATGAACCTATTGCAGGTAAATGCTTCAGCAAACCCCACAGATTCTATTTTTATCTTCTGTTTCATTGGTATATTCTCACAGAGGATTCTTCCCATTTCACACTTTGATTTCTGAATCATGGTTACAGGCCAATATACCCGCTGCTTCCCTAAGTGCCGGCATGGAATGGGCTGAACAACTGAAGATCTTTCAGGAGCTGAGTTCCGAGCATTCTAAGTACAGATTACTATATGTCACGCCCGAAAAAGTGGCACGGTGAGTTGCTAGCATTTTAGATAAAACACACTCTTTCTGTTTTGTTATTTGTTCTGTATTCTTTACTAGCCTCGGGTAGGATCATACCATTGCCTATGGTATATGCAGTACTACCAGAGGTTTCTAATAATTCTAGATTGGTCATTAGCATAGATGTGGAATTAATGCAAGGCACGCAGCTCGCCACACTGAATGATATTACTGGTTCACGTAGCTAACAAGTATCTCTTTCTTGACTACAGAAGCGATTCTCTTTTGAGGCATCTAGAAAACTTAAATTCTCGTGGTTTGCTTGCTCGCTTTGTTATTGATGAAGCTCATTGTGTGAGCCAATGGGGCCATGACTTTCGACCAGACTACCAGGTTAGGCCATAAAAAGCTTCAAACAAGGCACCTCTCTTACTTTTTCGAGAAACATAACCTTCCTTTTTTACGTACCAAAAATATTGTGCAATTTTTGCAGAGTCTCGGTATTCTGAAGCAGAAGTTTCCTGACATTCCCGTGTTAGCTTTAACAGCTACTGCAACAGCCAGTGTGAAAGAAGACGTTGTACAAGCCCTTGGCCTTGTTAACTGTGTTGTGTTCCGGCAAAGTTTTAATCGCCCAAATCTATGGTAAAGTAAAACTTCTTAAAACTGTATTTGTTTTCCAGAAATGCTGCTTACCAAGAAGTTTGCAGGTATTCCGTTGTTCCCAAGACAAAAAAGAGTCTGGAAGATATTGACAAATTTATTAAGGAAAACCATTTTGATGAATGTGGAATTATATATTGTCTTTCAAGAATGGACTGTGAGAAAGTCGCTGAAAGGATGAAGGTTGGTCATTTGTACATTGAAGCTTTATCATGTCATGTGCATACCACAAATATCGTGTTTAACGTAGAATTGGATACTTTTTTCCAGGAGTTTGGTCATAAAGCAGCATTCTACCATGGCAGTATGGATCCTGCTGATCGTGCCTTTGTACAAAAACAATGGAGCAAGGACGAAGTCAATATTATATGTGCTACTGTGGCATTTGGAATGGGTACTGGTTTTTGCTAATGTTGTTTTGATTGATTGAATGTTGCGGCCCATTAACATTGCACATTCCAGGGATTAACAAGCCTGATGTCCGCTTTGTTATTCATCACTCACTCCCGAAGTCTATAGAAGGCTATCATCAGGTACTTTTAATTGTACAAGCAATCAACCACTCATGAAAATCTTATTTAACTGATTGCACATGAGGCTAGATACTAGTCTTTTTAGAAACTGACATGAGCTATATCTTTTAAAATTCCAAGGAATGCGGTCGTGCTGGAAGGGATGGCCAGCGGTCATCTTGTGTTTTGTATTACGGTTATGGCGACTATGTAAGTTGCATTTGATACAGTGAATTACAGTGAAGTATTATCTTTCATCTTTTTGCTCTTGGTCATGTTTATGCGTACACTTTTATTTCAGATACGTGTTAAGCATATGATTACCCAAGGAGGAGTTGACCAAAGTCCCATGGCTACTGGTTATAATCGTGTAGCAAGTTCAGAGAGAATACTTGAAACGAATACTGAAAACCTTCTCCGCATGGTACTTATCGTGAAGATTCCTATTATTTGCTTTCAAAGTTATACTTGCTGAGATATTTCTCCATAATTTCATTGCTTCAGGTTAGATACTGTGAAAATGAAGTGGATTGCCGACGTTACCTCCAACTAGTCCATTTCGGGGAAAAATTTGACTCCACAAACTGCAAAAATACGTGTGATAATTGTAGCAGTAGCCAGAGTTTGGTTGACAAAGATGTGACCTTGATTACAAGGCAACTGGTATAGGAATTGTTTAAAGTTCATCATTTCTATCTCCACTTGTTGGATGTTTTGTTATTGATCACGTGTCATTACCTTTTGTGCCTTGGACAGGTTGAACTGGTGAAGCAAACAGGAGAAAGGTTTTCTTCATCTCATATTCTTGAAGTCTACAGAGGTTCCTTCAACCAAATGGTATGTATTTTCCGTTTCTCTTCCAGATTCTGCTGAATCCTAAACCCCGTAACGCCTCATTGCCATGATTGGTATTAATTGTTAATGAATTAGCTTTTCAATGCCAGCAATCCATTTAGTGTGGCTCGATATCTTTAGAAAATAACAGTCTTCTCCGCATCTAGGTCAAGAAACACAGACATGAGACTTTGCAGCTCCATGGAGCTGGAAAACAATTATCGAAAACTGAAGTCTCCCGTATCATGCACTATCTCGTAACAGAGGACATTCTTGTGGAAGATGTTAGGAAAAGTGATATGTATGGAACTGTGTCATCGTTGCTCAAGGTACTTAATTGTGAATGAATTCCTCTTCGCTTCTCCCTCTCATTAATTCCTAACGTCTGCTTACCTTTTTGTATCTAGGTGAATAATTCAAAGGCTGCCACACTCTTTTCTGGAAGCCAGACTATAATAATGAGGTTTGACTCCGTGCTTGAGATACATCTTTCTTCTTAAGGGTTCGCTTGAATTAGGTTCAAGCAAACCATGGAAATTAGCCGTGGTTTATGTGGTAGCGGCTTGTTAAAGATCATTTTTTGCTAAGACTTGCATATTCTGTTGCAGATTCCCTTCTTCTGGAAAAGTATTAAAGCCGAGTAAACCCGGGGCAACCCCAGCCCCAGCAAAAGGTCCGCTAACATCAGTTGATGCTCCTGCAGAAGATGTGGTATATCACTTTGTAGCTTAATCTCGTTTTTTTCCTGTTGAGATTAATCTACCACTTTAAATTGGTAAGGATGGTTCATTGATCTTTTTTTCTTTAGAATCTCTCCGCCAACATGTATTCAGCCTTGAGGAAGCTTCGTACGCTTCTTGTCAAAGAAGCCCCTGACGGTGTCATGGCATATCATATATTCGGGTTAGTCGTAAATACCATTTCGCTTCTCATTTTCCATGATCTTCCAAATTCTTTACTTGATCACAGGAAATTTGATTCAAAAAAATCTTTTGGTTTGTGGTGACAGCAATGCAACGCTTCAGCAGATAAGCAAGAAAATTCCGAGAACCAAAGAGGAACTCCTCGAGATAAATGGTCTCGGGAAGTAAGTTATTTTAGCTTCCAAAACCTTTACTCTTAATTATCACCAAAGCAATGGTGATAAGCACGCAAAGAGTTTGACCATGGTGTGCATCTTTTAAATTTCCTTTCAGGGCTAAAGTAAGCAAGTATGGTGATCGGTTGTTGGAAACAATAGAATCAACAGTCAACGAGTACTATGGAACCAATAAGAAAGACTCTGTTATCAATAACAACAGTCCTGATTTAGGGAAGAGGAGAAGAGACGAGAACATTAGTCCGAATGTAGCCGGGGATGATGATTTCGCTGAGAGCTCGGGCCAGTCCTGCAAAAAGACAGTGAGAAACAAAAGCAATGCAGTTCTTCAAGGCTGTGTAGATGGAGATGGAGTAGGTATGGTCATGGAGAAGCTTGATTTTGATTTTGATATTGAAGAAGAAAATGGGTCGGAGATGCGACCTGAAGGAAGAGTATTACCTTGGTGAAGTTGTGACCACTATGAAATTGTAATTGTAAATTTTTGCAAACTTCTATTTCGATGTACCTTAATGTTCACTAGATACAGAAACTCTTTATAAGATATGTTGATTTTCTAAAATAGACTATGGTATAGGAATTTCCAAGCTTTTCAAGTTTTAAAGAAAAGGCAAATTCAGAGTGATACAGATGCAATTCTCTTGTTCTGTAAACAACAATTGATAGAAGCTGCAGAAGCATGTGAAGTCAATACTTTGTGAATACTCTTGTACTGATTGAAAGATAGAAAGGAAGGATAGCTCAAGAAGAAACTCACTAATCAATCTTGAGGAAGACAACTCGAGTGAACTAACCGAAGAAGAAGAGTGTATGGCCCATGGCCTCTTGTTCGAGTGAACTAACCGAAGAAGAAGAGTGCATGGCCCATGGCCTCTTGTTCTTCTCTTAAATCATTATGCTTTGTTCTACTAAATAATACCCCACTTGTTTCAAAAGTCGGTTTTTTTATTTGAATTGCTCAGGATAGATAGTCCATTGATCTCGTGAAACAAAATACAAACAAAAAAGGAAGAATATCGGAAAATTACTTATTTACTTCTAAATTTAGGCCCGGATCGAGATTTTGTCATTGTCCTTGAAGGTATATGATGCTTAGACAATATCTCTGCGATGAGTAGCCGACCAAACAAGTGAGAGTTCTTAAGAATGAGGTTTCTTGTGGAGGAGTCAACAACGTATCCTTGACCAGGCATCCATTGTAGAAGTTGAAGCAGCAGTTCCTTTTTATCAGGTTCCGAAATGTATCGGGAAATCGCCATCTCAAACTGAACCTGAGTCTCACAAAGAAAACACAGAGAAGAAAAATGAAAACCTTACTTTTTGTGATTCCCAGGATAATAAGTCAATTGTAATGTAAAAGATGGCTTCAAATTAATCATTTTTACCTGGTCGATTTTGTGGCCAGAAGCATGCAATGCCTTGAGAACATCGTTCACTAAATTAATATTACCGGAGATCATAAAAGCTCTGCCAAATTTCCTTAAAGTTGGCTGTGAGATCATTTTCCAATTGTCCTGAAACAGAATTTTGACCAAATTAGTAGACCACCTTCACGCAATGGACCAAATGTTAAATCTTGCCACAAAAAGGGATTTCAAACCTTCACTACAACGTATGCGTCTTTGAGGAGCTTCCCTTGGATTAGAGTGTGGAGAATTTTCTCATGCAGATCTTTGCAGATAGTTCTTTTGCTGTATCTCAACATATTGTAGACTGAGAATGCTTCCGAGTGAGCTCTAGTCTTACCGAGATGGTATATCAAGGACGAACAAAGTTCCTGCAGATTTCTCATAGTATCACATTACTTAGCAAAGACTCAGAGACAAGAAAACGCTAAGAAGAAAGGTTTCTATATCACACCACTAAAACAAGCAATGACATGAAGCTAGTTACCTCCTCAAGCCGGTGGCCTTTACTGTGCATGTCAAGTAAGGTTTGGTACGCAAGTAGGAGCAGTTTCTCCTTGATGAAATATTTGATCAAGATATGGAAAGTGTTATAGTCAGGACTAACGGCTTGCTCATCCATCTTCTTCATCATTCGCATAACGCTTTCCATTTCTCCGGCTCTGCAATAGGCTGTGAGCATCGTGTTTAACATAACCAAATCGCATTTTTCATAAGTGGCTTCAGAGTCCCTTGCCAGTTGTTTTGCCTCCTCGAAACGCTTATTTCGACATAAAGCAGACATCATGATGCTGTTTGCATAGCCATCTGAAAACCGGAAACTGAAAATCATTCTCTACAATAACAGAGAAAGAAAAGAAGCTATGATTCCTAAGATTGGAAAGGTCATGTACTAATCAAATATATAAAAAAACATACCAGATTTTACACCTTTCGCTTTCATATCATCAAAGATTGACCTCGCCTCTTCCAACTTTCCCGTCTTTGAAAGACCATCCATCAGCATACAATATGGCATCTACATAAGAAAATAATTTTATTGACTCGTTATTGTTGTTTACTCCATTCAACATTTTGCACAGATTACAAATTTGCAGCCAGGTTTAAATTGCTCTTTTCTACAATATGTAGAGCAACAATATTGTCTAGCTACCTCGTTCTCGGCGTAGCCTGCGGATTCAAGTTCAGAAAGTAATTCTCTTGATCTTTCAAACAGACCTCCTTTAATATAAACCTTTAGTAAAGTTGTCATCATCACCTGCCAATATTTGCAGCTAGAGTTATACAAGCGAGAAGGAATCAGAATACCGAGAGAATCAATCTCTCAAATAATAACAAGAAAATGAATCATGTAACTGGATGAGAAGTCATTCATACAAATCCATCCGTCACAGGGGACAAAAACCGCAAAATGTTTCAATGATTTCAAGAAAAATACTGAAAAAAACAAACCTTGTTTGGCACTAATCCTACTGATTTCATCTCGGTCATCAGCTCGTCAGCTTTCTTGTAATCCCCTTTCCAAGAATAAGAATTGAGCAAGGAGCTGTAATGATATATATTGAGTGAATGACCATCAACCTTCATCTGCTGGATAAAGTTTTCAGCTTCTTCACACCGACCATTTGAAGCACAAATGGCCAGGACCGTCCCATACATCACACCGTCCATCTGTATCCCGTTATGTGGCAGCTCTCCGACGAGTTCCATAGCCTTAGGAAATCCATTTTTGACCTTGATGCAACCTGCAAGCAGCTAAGACATCAAAGATAAAATATATCATAGAAGCTAAACAAAACGAGATGGTGCGACGGTTCTTTCACCTAGACTTAACACCCTAAAAGCAGAAACGTTTCAGTATGTCTCAATCAGCCGATGGATCTAATTCACAGGTGAAAGCTTCAGGTGGCGTACCGTATTATAGGTAACAACATCTGGTTTGAGACCATCGCGCTTCATCTGATCAAACAACTTGATGCAGGAGTCAAGCTTTCCATTCTTGACAAGACAGCTAAGAATGGAGTTGCATATAAAGACGTTGATTTTGGTTGAGTCGTCTGGAATGCTTTGGTATATTTCTAGAGCCTTGGAGACACTTTTTTCGCCCACAAACTTTATGCAGCTGCTGTACGTTGAAACGCTAATCTTTCCATGTTGTTGCATCCAATCAAAGAGCTACAACAATTGCAAAAAAAAAAGGAAAAAATACAGTGATTATGCGCACGTCTTGGAACAATAAACTATGATACTTTTGATGAATCTTGTTTCAGAATTATGAAATCAACAAACCTGGATAAGATCCTGCAATCTTCCAGAGATTCCAAAATCACGCAAAATCACATTCAAGTCTTGCACCTTCAAAACTCTTGCTAGTCTGCAGAGAGAACGATAGTATAATTTGACACGAGCTAATTTTTAGAATTTGGAGCAATTTCAACTAAAAAATTTAGGAGAAAAAAAGATAAGTTGTGATGAGATGAAGAGAAACCTCTGCAGAGAGGAGAGGAAATCTGAGGACTGTTCTACTTCAGAAATAGCGGATTTCCTAGTCAGGTAGGATTTGGAATGAGGTCTCGAACGAGGAGACTCAGCTACGGTCGCCGGCGATTCCACGGCGGAAGATGCCGCCGCAGTCGACGCCGCGAGGATTCGTAGTGAGACGGCGGGAAGGGAGAGAGAGGAAGAGGGACGAGAGTTAGTGTTGAAGAGATGATGAGGACATCGTAGCTCAAGTCCCAAAACTGGCGTCTCCATTTGCTTTCAAAGCTACCGAGCGAGACTGAGCGAAGCATTGCTGCTATGATATTAGGAATCAAATTACAAGTCTAACCTCGAATGCTAGCTTCAGGGGTGAAGGGCAGTATAGTAAATGTCGAGAAGGTTTTAATTAATTAACCTTATCCTGACTTAAAACTTGAAATTGAAAAACCAAATCTATCCTCAACGGAGAAGAAACGTTTACTGCGTTTGGGTCCACGTAGACGTACGAATCGCGTGTTTGATTTCACAGTTTAAGCAGACTTTGGGCTTTCTGAAAATGGGCGTTTAGTCAAATAAATGGACTATACAAACCATTAATTTGACCTACGAGCTCAACTAATGGATTATTGATCACTATCGAAGCGCATTGTTCATCGCATGCTCTCTATGATGCGATATTATAAAGAGTACAGTTGCATAATTTTTTAGAATTTTTATAAGACTTGTATTAACATCACTCTAGTTTTCTGCAAGTTAAAAAAAAAAAAAGATATACAGTACTGAAAAAATGTATGTGTGCCGTAAATAATTCGTTTTGTGATCTTTTACTTTTCTTTATATATTTTTTTCAAATTAAATAATCAAAAGAAACGATTATTAGACTCTTGATTGCTATATTTTCAATAAGTATTGTTACGTAAAAAAGGGGAAATTGAAGAAATCAGATTCTTTGGAAGAAATGGTACGGCAGGAGACCGACAAGAAACAGCACAGCCCCACTTCCCTTCTCTTCATACGTTTCGTGACACCCACTTCACCATTTTCTCACTTTAATCACATTTTATTTAACTTCTTAACCTATTCGAATACTATTTTTGTTGTTCGTATCGTACGTATTGGAGGAGACTCTACAACATACTTCATCTGGAATTTGAATTATATGTCGTCGTTTTCTGTATTAATATAACTTGTGAATAACTCGTTTATATTAAAGTACGTCCACCGTCATTTGGAATATTTTGTGATGCGATAATATTGTTTTCTAATACGATATACTGGTCACTGGAACATTATGCTTTTTGCATTATATTGTAAGATATGTATAAAAGCAAAAGGCAAATTAGATGGTTGGAAATAGATAAATTAATATTGGATGATGGTAACGAATAATATGGACGAGAAGGAAAAACAACAAATATTTAAAATATTATTAAGCGTTAAAGCAAAAGCAACCATCTAAAGTTAACGAGCAAATGTTAAGGTTCCTATCATCGTTTGTCTTCTTCTGTTGTGTTGTCACGATCCACGAAGTCGCAATCCATATGAATCGATTTTTTTAGTAGTATTTCACAACATCCTTCAATCTCTCTATTTTCCGACGTCAACATTAAAAAAATCCTCTGTAGACAAAATATAATTGGTCGGGCCTTTTTTAATCTAGTGATCATGGACGGTGCAATGTCTTTTCAAAATGATTTTTTATATCTATTTAGGGATGCTATTTCTCTACATCAACAATATAGCTAAACCTTTAATCAACTAATTATACTACTACAGTATAAACAGACGAAATTTTTCTTTTTCAAGATTTTTCAAAAAGTTGCTGTCATATTGTTCAACAAATTTGGCGCGCTTTGCAGTAGTCAACTTCATTATATACTTATTTTTAGCTGGTTTTTATCACACCAAAGAACTCGGTTACATATGTTTAGAGTTTAAACGTTGTGAGTTTTGTATGAAAAATTGGCAAAACCAAGATATTTTCAGCACGGAAGTAAATGGAATTGATAAAAAAAAAAGGAGAGAGAAGAGAGGTGAGTAATGTCGTGAAGATTGTCCCAGTTTGAATATCTAGCAAGATTAAGAGCTAACAGAAACACTAAGATTTCCACTACCAAGAACGAGTACAGAACATAAGATTCTTGGACGGTGAAGTTGTTTGCTTGATTTTGAAAAGTCTATCTAATCCTATACACGCAACTTTTGATATTTTCTTGCCGCGCCGCATCTGTGAAACAATAGATTGCGTCATTAGTTACTTCAATGATGATGATACTTTGATTTACTCGAGTCTTTTATATAACAATTAAATTCCTACGTATAAGTTCGTACGTGTAAGTGTGTAACTATGACCAACACTGGTTGAACTTTTTCCTTTTTGTCTCATATTGGTTAAACTAGTATATTAAATAATATTATTGTTCAACTGTTCTAAGTTCTAACTTCTAACATTTGTAATCTATTGGTATTGAACTTTGACGGAAAAAGGGTTTTGGTTGAACATTTACAATTTTTGTTTTCAAAACTATCCAATATTTGTAACTGCACCACTACTATAGTGACCGCAATATCTCCACAAATCACATATTTACTCAACGCAACTACCACATAATAAAACATTTTCTGATGAATACCTTTATTTGATGGGAATAAAGCTTTTATTCGACCGAGAGGCTTGTGTGTGTTTAGCCTTATTAGGCTTATTCAGACAAAGTTTTAAATCTCATGGCATTAAAATATGTAGAAGCTAGATAATTTTTCTTATTTTCATACAAATGTAATATCTCATAAGCAGTCTATATTCTAAATACTTTTTTCGGTGTTATATACGTAGAAATTTCCTTCAACTATTTTGTGAAATACGTTTTATTTTATTTTTATAACTATAGCTATAGTTGAACTATATGAATCATTTAATCAATGAACGTTGGAATAAAATATGGATGGATTATGGATTGACACTCCTGGATGATTTGACAGTTCACAAAACTTATACGATAATATAGATTATCCAAACTAATTATTGATTTGGCTTAAAACATTAGTTAGATTAATGGTTTGACTGGAATGAGAAAGAAAAAAAAATCTGTCTAGCAAGTTAAGAAAAGAATTTGTTGAGTACTAGAGATAAGAAATCAGTTTATGTGAAAGTATAAATTATTATACATTTTTTTCTTCTTGTTGTGAAACTATTTTTCCATTTTAGTGACCATATAAATGAATGATATACACAGTTATCTGCTTACATTTATTGTTTGTTGTTGTTACGAAAAGAACAAAAAAACTTTTCTTTTAAAATTTGTGCCCATTTAATTATGAACCAGTCAATATATAAAACAAAATTAAAATATTTATAGAAAAAAACAAAAAAAAAACATGTCGCATAAATTCGATAAAAAAGGAAGAAGAAAGCTGTTTGAATGGAACTTGGTGCATGGGGCAACATAAATATTTTACAATACAATTCAAAGAATCAATTCTCAAGAGGAAAAGCTCTTCTCAACCAGCAACGAACCTCAAATCAGTTCTTCCTGCTCAATCTATGACTTTTCGTCTTCTCATCTCTTCTTAGATTTCACAAGTTTCATCTGGGTGAGTATGCTGCGAATCCACTCGGACTCGTTTGTTTTGTTGAGTTTTATTTTGTTCTAATTCACCAAAATCTATCAAAATTGTTACTTGTAAGAGTCATGTTCTGAGATTCGAGCTCGATATTCTTGCTTCTGTGTATTACTTCTCTGTTTTCAACCTGCTTGAGAAATGAATTGGAATGGAGCTGCGCAATAGCTATTTCAAGTTTTCGCTTAAAATGCTGATATTGAGCACTGGGTTTGATTTGTGACTTCTTCAGAATCGATTATTTGATGGGCATTTATTATCTTGTAAAACAGAGTTTTTTAGAGAACAAATCGCTGATAAAGACTGTAGCTTTGAACCTGTTTTAGTTCACTCTGAAGTTTAGTCTAATTTTTCTGTGAAAAATGGTGCTTTTTCAGAGAAATATGAGTGATAAGATCTCCTGGAGAACATAGTTTTTTCTCCTAATTGTCTGGAAATTTTGATTCAGAATTTGGATGTGATGACTTGAGTTGAAACATGGATTGTTCCTAGGTGATCTTCTCATTATTGATCCTAGGATTTCTGATTGTAATATGCGATCTTGATTTTTCTTAGCTTATGCAGAAAAGTAGACCATGTTCTCAAGAATGTTCTAAGATCACTGGAAGCTAGCTGAAATGGATAGGTGTGTTTAATTGTTGACGAATCTTCTTGCAGTTCCTTTCTTAATTTCCTAGCTTGTTAAAGTATGAAACTTTGTGCAGCATCCTCAGGCATGGAGATAGGGAATTCTCAAACGGTGATCTCTATTCCGGTGAAGTCAAAGGGTCACTTCCTGATGGGAAAGGGAAGTACGCATGGTCAGATGGAACAACCTACGATGGAGATTGGCATGAAGGAAAAATCTGTGGTAAAGGAAAACTTATGTGGTCATCAGGAGCAAAATATGAAGGAGATTTCTCTGGTGGATACCTTCACGGTGTTGGCACCATGACTTCACCAGATGAGTCTGTGTACAGTGGAGCCTGGAGAATGAACATAAGGCATGGTCTAGGGAGGAAAGAGTATTGTAACTCAGATGTGTATGACGGCTCTTGGAAAGAAGGATTACAAGAAGGGCGTGGTAGTTATTCTTGGACCAATGGGAATAGGTACATAGGGAACTGGAAAAAGGGTGTAATGTGTGGAAGAGGAGTCATGAGATGGGCAAATGGAGATCTTTTTGATGGGTTTTGGCTGAATGGGTTAAGGCATGGCTCTGGTGTTTATAAGTTTGCTGATGGATGCTTGTATTATGGAACCTGGTCCGGTGGTTTAAAAGATGGGAAAGGAGTTTTTTATCCTGCTGGAAGTAAACATCCATCTCTCAAGAAATGGTGTCGCTCTCTTGAATATGATGACACTGGAAAGTTTGTGCTTTCTCGTAGCTCGTCGTCAACAAACGTTGAGGAGCTAAGGAACTCGAGCACTGTGACAAGAAGTCTCTCCGTGAGGACTTCAGCTAGTGGGATGGCGAGAACTTCTGGTAGAATATCGGATAGGTTTACAGATGAAAGCTGGAGGACCTCTGATCCTCCTCCTCCAAGAGACGTTTCATGTCATGGGCCATTATCTAAGTCTTCTCGGTCTTTAGGCGCAGGCCAAAGCGAGGGACAAGATAAGAACCGTATAGTCTATGAAAGGGAATACATGCAAGGAGTTTTGATTAGAGAGACTATAACGACTTCTGCTGACAAGTCACACAAGATAAGACCTCCAAGTCTTCCTAAAGAAGTCAAGACTAGGACTTTCATGACCTGTATGAAGAGGGAACATAACTATTATCTAATGCTGAATCTCCAACTTGGTATCAGGTAATTTATATATCCACTGCATACTTCTCTCTAAGAATGGAGTGTAATTAGTTTCTTCCTCTTAACACAACAACGTTTTTGAAGTTCACAGGTATACTGTTGGAAAGATTACGCCAGTGCCTAGGCGAGAAGTACGTTCTTCTGACTTCGGTAAGAAGGCCAGAACATTGATGTTCTTCCCTAAAGACGGCTCCAATCTTACGCCTCCACACAAATCCATCGACTTCTCTTGGAAAGACTATTGTCCTATGGTTTTCAGGTAAAACAGCTTTCTTCAAGTAGATAATACCAAAGAGGTTGAGTTTCAGTGTAAATAATCTATCAAAGTTTAGTTGCCTTATCTCTCTGTTTCTCCGCTTGATTAGACAAAGGAGTGAACAATTATGAAAGAAATGATTGTTTGATTATTAATTGACATTCTGTCCATGATTTTTAATGAAATGTTTCAGGAATTTGAGGGAGATGTTCAAGTTAGATGCTGCAGAGTACATGATGTCTATTTGTGGTGATGATGGCCTGACAGAAATTTCTTCCCCCGGGAAGAGTGGCAGTATCTTTTACCTCTCTCATGACGACAGATTTGTGATCAAGACATTAAAAAAATCTGAGTTGAAGGTTTGCACTTACTCGTCTTTTCTTAGTAGCTAACTCTTTAGATTGTAGGGGTAACATTACAGATACTTAAGAACTAAAATCATCCAGCATTTTTGCTTTCTAGGTTCTTCTCAGAATGTTGCCTAAGTACTATCAACACGTAGGGGACCATGAGAACACGCTTATAACCAAATTCTTTGGAGTTCACAGAATAACACTCAGATGGGGAAAAAAGGTAACTTCTGGTCACTTTTATAGCTTAAATTACCTTGTGTTTCCACTTTTTTTTAATTATGAGCTTTGTGCTCTTTTGATAGGTACGTTTTGTGGTCATGGGGAATATGTTCTGCACAGAGTTGAAAATTCATCGTCGTTATGATCTTAAGGGCTCAACTCAAGGGAGGTTTACTGAAAAGATTAAGATCCAAGAGAAGACCACCTTGAAAGATCTTGATCTTTGTTACGAATTTCATATGGACAAGCTATTACGAGAAGCCCTCTTCAAGTGAGTGCAATAACTTTATCTTTATATATTATTTCCATTGTGAAAGACTATACTCAGCTAAACATTTATAACTGTTTGTTGAATTTACTTGTTGCAGGCAAATTTACTTAGACTGCTCCTTCTTGGAATCTCTGCACATCATTGACTACAGTCTTTTACTGGGGTTGCATTTTAGAGCTCCAGGGCAACTTAATGATATCCTTGAGCCTCCTAACGCATTGTCAGATCAAGAAAGCGTTTCTTCTGTAGACAGTAAGTGTCAGTATTTCAAGTAGGACATCTTGAAGGGTCCTTTCTTACCGTTTCATATGTTTGTTTCAGTTGGTCTGACTCAGGAACTCTCCATTCCTCCAAAAGGATTGTTACTGGTGACTCACGAACCCAATTCCGTGAACACTGCCCCTGGTCCTCACATCAGAGGAAGCACACTCAGAGCATTTTCCGTTGGCGACCAAGAAGTTGATCTTATTCTTCCCGGAACCGCAAGGTTTAGTCTCATTTCCTTTCTTCCTTTCTTTCTTCATTTGGCCCCTTGCTTATAATCTGAACGTTGCCGTTGCTTTCTCTATATTGTTTTAGGCTGCGGGTACAGTTAGGAGTGAACATGCCGGCTCAAGCTCATCACAAGCTTATTGAGGACAAGGAAGAGTCAGCGACAATTGAGCTCTTTGAAGTATACGATGTGGTTGTGTACATGGGAATCATAGATATTCTGCAGGAGTATAACACCAAAAAGAAAGTTGAGCATAAATGCAAGTCTTTTCAGTATGATCCCATGACAATATCTGTGACCGAACCCACGACTTACTCAAAACGCTTTGTCGATTTTCTACATAAGGTGTTCCCTGAAGAAAGGTAGGATCAACAAAAACCATTCGTCTTCCTTTTATAGATCATCTGTCTTCTCAATACTTATATACATCCTTGATGTACATACATTTAAAATAACCTCAGTGAGTTTTTTGTAATTTTGTTGTTGAGCAAATTTGCTGTAAAGTCAATGTGCCTATTATGGATGATGCTTCTGTTATGGAGAATCCAGTGTATAGTTTTGAACTTTTGATGATGAAACACTACACTTTTGTACCAGTCGGTTAACCAAGAATCAAACTTAATATTAAGTTACGAACCGTGCATACAATTACAAAGAAACTAGAATACAAAAAAGCCAGAAATAGTGTATACTTTATGCTCCAAAAAGAAGCGCTAATAATAATCAGAAAGCACCGTGGAGAGTAGTAAGAAGATGATTTAGGGCGTGATTTGTTTTCTTCGCCCATTTCACTTGGAGCTTAAGGCAAAAGATAATTTAGGGCGTGATTTGTTTTTACCCAAAAGTTTCATCTGTTTGAGGCGTTCTTCTTCCTCTTCTGCTTTCTTCCTTCGCATTGCCTCTTCCCTTTGTCGTTGCAGCTCCTCGAGCTCTCGATACCGTTCCTCCTCTTTCCTTTGCCTCTCCATTGCTTCTTTTCTTTGAGCTTCTTCTTCTTTCTTCCGCTTCTCTTCCTCTATTCTATCCACCTCTTCTCTCTCTCGTTGCTCTCTTTCCTGCGACAAACACCGCATAACGCCCTGAAAAAAAAAGCTCTTCTTTCAACAATGTTCCATGATAGGCAGATTCATAGTACTAATAAGGAATTCGGCAAGAGCATCATAAATTTAGCAAAGTGAAGAAATGGCCGACAGTTTCCACATAAAAAACTAGTAAGAATCTTAGATTTGTTAAAGGGATTGTTTTCTTTGTTGGGATCATTACCTCTTTTTCTTTAGCCTCGACAAGAGAAGCCTCCTTCTCCTTCTCAAGTTGAGCTGCGACTTCTTCTTTAACTCTCATTCGTCCTTCATCCAACAGCTTTATAATTTCCAGTTTGACTTTCTCCAACTGTAAGCTTTCTTCAACCTTTTTTCTAATAGCTTCCTCAACACGTTTCATAGTTTCTTCCTCTATTAGCTTTAGTTCTGCTTCCCGCTGTCGCCTGGTGCAAACATAGTGAAAAGTTAGAGGACACTCGCAACAGATTTAGAATCTTAAATATCACCTGAACTTTCTCATATCTTGATGTCTTCAATCTTGAACAGGAAAATAACCAAAAATTTATTCCAAGTTTGAGAAAAGTAGTTGAGACTGTTTCAGGTTTCCTTCCTCTCAAGGCCAAGGGTAAAATCCGTGATGGATATTCTTACATCACCATAGACATAAACAAACTTTCACTAAGCTATTCTTTTGCTTTTAATATATATATATCCCTAACTCAATCATGATCCATGTATATGACTCTCAGAACTCATCAAATCTATCAAAGATAATACGGTCATCGGTTCCAGAAGATCAAATATGAACGAGTCGAATTATAGCTTATCTTCCTTAAGCGAAGCCTGTGAGAGAGTGCCATCAAACCTGTTGCACTTTTAAGACTAATAATCAAGCACTTCCACATTACACTAGAATAACGTTAGAGAGCACAAAACCATATTTTGAACATAGCTTCCATTCAAAATATTGTTTTTTTTAATTGATTTACCTTTTCCGCTCTTCCTCTTCCCTTAATACTTCTTCTTCATTCCTATGTTTAGCTGGCTCAAGCGTTGTGGCAATAGATCTTTTTGCAGGAGACGGAGAAGAGCTCCTACTCTTTTGTCTTTTGTAACGTTTTGGTGTTGGAGAGCGTCGCTTAGGAGTAACAGATCGACTCCGATGGCGCCTAGGAGAAATAGAACGACTTTTTCGTCTGTACAACAACACCCAAAATAAAGCAGTAAGCAAAAGCTGCAACTAACGAACTACAACGCACAGGAAAACTAGGCATCAGGTAGCCCACAACTTCTCTTTGAATGAACAAAAAGTATGTGCAGTTACCTCATACACTGTTAAGAATTATCAGCTCCAACTTTAATCACATGAAGAAGCTAATATGACAAGGGATCAATGAAAGAACACCCAACAGCAATCCATCACCTGCTCAACTTTCCCTCCCACAAAACGGGAAGAAATTGAGCTTATAATATAATGGTAAGAGCATGCATCCTCTTCCTAAATTCTCAGTCATATTTCTCAATATCTTATCTTACTTATAATTTTCTTGGTATTTTTGTCTCTTTATGATTAACAAAGCACACTAAGACAACCTTCAACAGGAATAAGAAATGATATAAACAAGTAATTCTGCCTTTACTGAATATGCAGTGTGCATTTCCCTAAAAAAAAGCTAAAGTCATAAGATATTCACATTCCTGCCAAAACTTTATACAGCGCTTCCAACAACCTAATAAACTAAGATATGTTTCCAACAAGACCATCACTCAACAAAAAGTATAACGATAGAGCCTGTATCATCTAAATCGAGACAAGTAAGTAGGAGCAGTTGAAGAAGGTGGATGCGTAGAGCTCAACTCTGTACAATTCACGTTTTTAGCCAGCAAGATACATAAACGTGTTCCACCAATCTGTCTTGTTAACCAATTAGCTAAGGTAGCTAAGGTAAACGAATAGCATAGCGCAGAAATATCACGGGTATCACCTGCTATATGATTTAGATAAGTATGGAGAGCGGCTTCTGTCTCTTCTGCTCCTCCTGCTGTGCCTATGCCTTACAGGAGACCTCGAGTGCCTTGTTCTGCGACGTGAAGGTGATGGGGAAGGTGACCTCGATCTCGATAAGTCCCGAGGCATCTCTAAATGCCGCTAACAGTATCTTGCTCACTGAAATCTCTCAACTTTCAGGGGAGAGTAACAGATTTTTCTGCAAAATCCAGATTTAACAGCTCATGTTAATAATTGAAAGAACAACCTTTCAGTGAGATTGATTATCTAGCAGCGAATTTCAGATTGAGGACACAATCTCTCCAATATTTCGAGGAACTCATCACTGAGCAGGTAAAAATAGTAATCTAGTTTGTTCAATTCTCTATTCTCTGCATAATTCGTCCCGTTTCCCGATGTAGGCTGCAGAACAAAACCCTCATAGGAAGAAATCTAGCAGAAAAATCTACATCGAAACGACACAAAAAAAATCCTGAGAAAATAAGCTGAAATCGTCTGACTTACCCGAGAATCGCGTTGTCGTTGATGATTGTTGGATCGCCTCAAGAGTCAACACGGAGAGAGAGGAAAATTGAGGAGGAGCAGAATTCGTCGGATTCGGATATTAGATGATGAAGCGAAGCGAGAGCTTTGTAAATTTGTAATTGGTTTGATGATAAATTGATGACTACATGTTCTATTGGTTTGTAATTCGTCGTGGACAAACATGGGAAAAAGCCTTTTGGGCTTAAAAATTCGACAAGTGTTTTTAACCTTTGTAAACTGTCCTGCCAAGTTTTAAGATTTGGATCGCAATTTTGATGATTTCTTTTTTGGTTAAAGCCCATTTTGAAGAATTTGTATATTCCTATTTCTATTGCTACGATTGAGGCATGTCTCTACTACTACACTCTAGAGTCTAGAGGCAAGGAAAAAGATATATAACTTCTGACTATAACGCATGGCTTCTTTTGTTAATCTTCCATTTAACGCTTTTTAGCATAACAATAGTTTTACATAGCCGCAAATTCCATGCTCTTCTGCTCTGCTTTATTTCACTCGACCAAAACACGTTTCACTAAACCCACAATTCTCATGCACGTCTCATATCCATATACACATCACACATAAATGCTTATGCCTAGGTTTTGGAAGAAACTAATCCTTATTATTAGAAAACATATAGTTAAACTACTAATCTAATATACACAAATTAAAAGAAAAATGAAGAAGCATAAGATCACAGCCTTTGTCAAAGAACTAAACGTACGCATGAAGAAAGAACCGATCACTCTCCGATACATTCACATCCTCGGCACAGTCATCTTCTTCTCCTCCGTCTCCTCTCTCGTTATCCTCCTCGCTCTTTACCTTAACCAACGCCTCCAAACCTCACTCTTCCTCGTCGACGATCTCTCCTCAAATCCTCTCACTTCTCCTTCTCTCTCTCTTCTTCCTCCTCCTCCTCCTCCTCCTCCACGCAGCTCCGGTAATGATGTGGAGGAAGAAGAGGTAATGCGACGAGCAGCGATGGCGCCACGTGACGCAATGATGATCGGGGCTCATCCAAAGGTTGCGTTCATGTTTCTGACCAGGTGGAATCTGCCTTTGTCCCCTCTTTGGGAATTGTTCTTCAAAGGACATGAAGATTTTTATTCCATTCACGTTCATACCTCGCCGGAGTTCACCGAGGAACCACCGAAATCTTCAGTGTTTTACAAGAAACGTATACCAAGCAAGGTATATGGTTAATATAATAATATATATACACATAATACAACAATATCATATTACGTAATGCGAACATATTTTGGCTATTAGATCGCAACATAGCTTTTTTATACAAATTTTTTTTTGTAACCCTACGTACGTATTACTATATCCTACGTGGCAATATTTGTCACTTACATATCCATATTGTAATAATGTGAAAATTATTTGCAGGCCGTGGAATGGGGGAAATCGTCGATGATGGACGCAGAGAGACGTCTTTTGTCTCACGCGCTTCTAGAAACTTCCAACGCTCGTTTCGTGCTCCTCTCCGAGACATGCATACCTCTCTTCAACTTCACCACGATCTACACTTACCTAACGCGCTCCACTCGCTCTTTCCTCGGCTCATTCGACGACCCGAGGCCCATGGGGAGAGGCCGTTACACCTCTAAAATGCTCCCACACGTGTCGCTCTCCGACTGGCGGAAAGGAAACCAGTGGTTCGAGGTCTCACGGAGAATCGCCGCAGAGATCGTTTCCGATCGCCGGTACTACGCAGTCTTTAAGGAACATTGTCGACCACCGTGTTACATCGACGAGCATTACCTTCCGACGTTGGTTAACAAAATCTGCCCTGAGATGAACTCGAACCGGAGCGTGACGTGGGTGGATTGGTCAAGGGGTGGGTCCCATCCAGCGAGGTTTGTGTGGAAGGATATCCGGGTCGAGTTTTTGGATGGGATCCGGTTTGGGTCGAATTGTAGCTACGAGGGTGATGATGTGACGAATGTGTGTTTTCTTTTCGCGAGGAAGTTTCACGTGAGCACTCTCGAGCCTCTCATGAAGATTGCTCCATACTTGTATGGAATTTAAGACTTTACTCATTTTTCTTTCAATTATACTTGTACTAAACTCGTTTGTTTGATTAAATCGTTACATAATAAATATTTTGTGACTTGTGAGACATTGCTCAACTTTACCAAATATTTGATATATATACTATATGGTGTGGTTGAATTAAACTAAGAAAAAAAAAGGGTGGCAAAATGGTCAACTTTCTTGGTGTGCAAACCAAGTTCCAAGAAATATTATAAAACTGTGTAGAGAGGAGATACGACTTTATCAAGTTTATATAAAAGTCTCAACCCTCTGTATTCTTTTTTTTAACTCAAGACAATTTTCTTCCATTTTGTAAATCCTTATCCAAAAGCTTTTCTTCTGTTATCTTACAAGAGCTAGCTCATTAAATTTTTCTCTGGATGACTATGGTGGTCGCAAAGAACACTAATCGAAATGTAGGACATCTGGATCTGGATGATGAACCCAAGAGAAGTCGATACCGATATGCAAAGTCAATAGAAGATAATGAGAAGATGATAGAGGAGATGGAACAACAATTGCTTCAAATCCATAAAAAGATCACAGAGAAAAAGGTATATACATTCATGTTTTTTTTTGTTTTTGTTAAAGAGGTATATACATGTTTGTTGAACAATCGTTGTCTCTCGCTATATTTGTATATATTGTGAATAAAACTAACTAAGCTGGTGAAACTTGTGATCGTTGTACTTAATGGCACAGCTTGTCCATGAAAAAGCCATCTCAGGATTAAACTCCAATATGCGATATGGATGGTTTTATAACGGAAGATGGACATCGGTCGAGGATGACAAGAGTTTCCGATCAGATTGTCCTGAGACGATGGAGCTAAACAAGCTAACTTTCGCTAATAACGCGTATCGTGACAAGAAATCTGTTATATCATTCTCGTCTGGGGAACGAGAAATTAACATCCATGTTAGAGAACCTAACTGCTAATAATTACCCTTTTTTATTGATGAAACTGTTTATACAATTTTTTTTTAAAAATCTTTTGGAATATCTGACAGAACCTAAACCATCGGATGTTACATGAGGTGCATAGCATGGATGGTGAGAGACGTCTTCTCAAGATGATGAATCAAAACAAGGAAATCGATTCTGGACTTTCTCTTAAACAAGTTGAAGAACAAGTTAAGTGTAAATCAATTATACACATTCTCTAACCTTTATTTATTTATTTTTTATAAAAATGGATACTCTGCATATGGTCAACGTAGGATTCTATTAATTCAGTTTCATTTGTATCGGATTGGTTTTGTATAAAAGAACATCAAATGTATCTAGCTAATTATATACACTTTTGGTGTATTTTTTTTTTCACGTGTTCCTAATATTCGAAGTTTTCTTTTTTAATCGGTGTATATCTCTAGAGCAGATGTGGAAGTTAAACAGGTCTACGAAATGGCCAAATGAGATTAGCAAAAGCGATGAAGAAAAAATCAAGAGAAAGATAAAGGAACTTGAATGGGAGAGATATCAAATGTTTGTTAATGCTCCTTCTAAAGCCTCTCTATGGTCTTCATTACCTTCTACCAAGGACTTACGCATCCAAATTAAGGTATATAACCAGCTTTCTTAACTAACTTTGATTGTACAAATAGTATAGTTATGATTTGGCCATTTCTGTAATTTGTAGGCTATGGATGCAAGAGATGAAGAAAACAGGAAAATAGTTTTAGAAAAAAGAAAGATGATAGAGTTGAAGAAAAGAAAGATAAAGAACACAGTTAATGAGATTAAGTCTATGAGAAAGATGGTGGAGAATATACGCAAAAGAAAGCAGAGAGCATTGGAAATTGTTTCACACGAAAGGAGTTGTTTAGAGAAACTCACAATTCTCTAGTTTCTGTCTCATTGCAAGTTTGTAACGTCTAAAAATGTGTTCCAACAAATTTCCATTAAACTAATAAATGAGCATTATAATGTTTTCAATTCCTTACAATTTTACTCGAAAGAGCTGAAATTACAGAAACTCGTTGGAAATTGCAGATTTGACCATTATTGTTCCTTTTTTTTCTTACCATACCCACACAATAAAAGTCCATAAAATTAAAGCTAAAATTAACGAAATTAATGACCTCATTGAAAAAAGTTTTTGAAAATAAAGATACGACGAAGGGTATATATGAAAATACAAAAGAGAGAAGTTGTGGATTCTGCTGTGCTGGCTGTTACCGAAGCAATCACCGTCAGTCATCAATCACCAACTGAAAAACGCCTCTGGATCTCGCCAGATCCATTTCGAACCCGAATCACAAAGCCAAAATTCGGCTCAAATCTTCACTTTTTGGTCTGAAAGCTTCTTCCTTTTCATTCCATCAATGGCGGCCTTCATCAATCTGGAGGATTCCCCAATGTTCCAGAAACAGGTAAACAAATTGGAAAATTTTACTTTTTTTATTTGTTAATTATTGCCATTGTTCTGCTGTAAGAAATTGTGAATTTCTTGTCTTGTGGCTGTTTTTGATTGATTGGATCAGGTTTGTTCCTTGGAAGGGACAGCTGATGAGCTTAAAGATCGTTGTCAGAAGCTATACAAAGGTGTTAGGAAGTTTATGTATGTCTAATCCACCTTTCTCTTCGTCCTTTCTTAATCTTTCTGTGGATATAACAAGATTCCACGAATACCATTTGTGGCATAATTTCGAAAAATTGGAACTTGGAGTGTTGGCACCATTTCGTCTTTCTTCTCTTACTTAAATTAGCAAATGAGGAATAATGTTTGATCATTAAAGCTTTGTTGATATTATTCTGTGCTAAGTCATAACCGTATCATTAATTTGTTGCAAGTCCACTTTTGTCATTGAAACTACTTCCAGGAATGTCATGGCATTACATTTTGTTTTATAGGGGAGCTTTAGGGGAAGCATCGAAAGGAGAAAGTGCATTTGCAGCTTGTCTGGAAGAATTTGGAGCTGGACATGATGATCCTATCAGTCTTTCAATTGGAGGTTTGTTGTTACACATCCAACTTCTTGGTCTTTCGCTAATTTGTTGATTAACGAGCCTATCTGATATGCATTCACCACTTCTGACCGTATTTGTTGTTATTCTTGTGAGTGACACCAGGACCGGTTATATCAAAATTCATAAATACACTTCGAGAGCTTGCCTCTTATAAGGAGTTTCTTTGCTCACAGGTATGCTCATACTTCATAGTATATCGTGAACAATTATAAATGCTAGTAAAGACTATAAGATGCTTATCATCACTGAGAACATATTTGGTAGTTTAAACGAAGATTTGGTTAGCATAGTGGTTTTTGTTGAATCAAAGTTTCCCGTCTTGATTACTTTCTGGAAATGTCCTGTGGAAATGGGATCAATGAATAGAAAAAAAGATAGTTTCAGTTTAAAATCATTTGGCACAGAGAGTTTCTCACCGGTCCTCAGTATGCAGTTTATTTTGGTGCAGATACCTTCAACCATGTCTCACTTTTATATCAATTGTGGTATTTTCTAGGTGGAGCATGTGTTGCTTGAGAGGTTAATGAACTTTATTAATGTTGATCTACAAGAAGCTAAGGTATTCGTTTTTCTCTGCTAAATTTGATCCATTTTTTTTTTTTTTTTTGCGAATTTACAGAGTTTACCAACCATCCCACACTATCATAATTTTTTACTCTTTACTGTTGTGTGAAAATCTACAGTTATTTGGTTATGAAATTTAAAAGGATGCGAATTCTGATTTCCCCATGATCGTCTGTTCACTTGAAATTGACCATATTCAATAGAAACATGTTTCTTATGTCCTCCATTGAACTTAGACATATGATCGAAAACTAAAGCTGTCAATTTCCAATTATCCACTTTGGTGTTTCTATCTTTGCAGGAGTCTCGCCATCGATTTGATAAAGCTGCTCATTCGTATGATCAGGTACTTTGGCTATAGAATCTACAGCTTCCTTAATTTCTTGTGTTGTTCTTCATATTCTTGATCTGAAGTGGTCTAATAAGTTCTCTTATTTACTTGCAGTCACGCGAAAAGTTTGTGTCTTTAAAGAAGAATACAAAAGGAGAAATTGTTGCAGAGTTGGAAGAGGTAGTCTCTTATGTATATCTTTTCGTTTGCTTTCTCTTCTTTGGCTTCAAAGGAAATGTGAAAATTTATTTTCTTTTTCTCCCCTGCATGGTAACTTACTTGTACTGTTTGATTTGAATGACAGGATCTGGAGAACTCAAAGTCAACATTCGAGAAGAGCCGTTTCAATCTAGTATGCTGACTCGACTAACACAAGCCACTGTAATTTACATTCAATATTGCTTCTGCATCTAATTAATTTGTTGCTTTGGTTGAAGAATGCAGGTAAATTCATTGATGACGATTGAAGCTAAAAAGAAGTATGAGTTTTTGGAATCTATAAGTGCAATTATGGATGCCCATCTGAGATATTTTAAACTTGTACGGTCTCTAATTTACCTGTGATCCAAAATTTGACATCTTTGTCTTGCTGTGATCCTTAATTTGGCCTCTATGTGTTTTCAGGGATATGACTTGTTGGGTCAACTGGAACCATATATCCATCAGGTACAAAGAAAACCCAAATGTCAAAATTTGAGACTTCAGTTTTCTCTTGTAAACGCTGATACTTGTAACTTGTGACTCCTGCAGATCTTAACATATGCTCAACAATCCAAAGAACAGTCGAAGATTGAACAAGATCGACTAGCAAGACGCATTCAAGAATTCAGGACCCAGTCTGAATTAGACAGCCAGCAACTTGCCGCTAACGCTGAGCCCTCTGGTGTTAACGGAAACCGTGTTGTTAGAACTATACCTTATAAAAATACCGAAACAAGTTTAACAGCAGACAAGGAAGTACGTGTTTCTCAATTCATTCTTGCAAGAACCAAGTGCAATTCCCATTTTTCCATCTTTTGGCTCTCTTATGTTGGCTTTGTGCTTGGTGTTTTTGTGGTGATTGATTGGTTAAGAAAGTTATAAATGTTTTCGTTTTGCCACAGTGAAATGGGTGAAAGTAGGCAAAAAAAAAACTGTTAAGAAAGAAGATGAAACAGTCTTTATACTGAGACACACACTGTTTAGGTGTTGATACGTTTTAGATAGTGTCAATTTCTTGATAGCCTTAACAAAAATCAGTCCTAGCGTCATGGCTTGTTCCCCATTGCAATTATGGAGCATACAGAGACTTGTTCTATGATCATTTCACATTAGGCTGAATTGATTCTTGTCTTAAAGATTCCTTTTTGTACCGATGCAGGTGATTAAACAGGGGTATTTACTAAAGCGATCGTCAAGTTTGAGAACTGATTGGAAACGGAAGTTTTTTGTCCTTGATAGTCATGGCTCCATGTACTACTACAGAAACAATGGCAATAAATCAATGGTATGTCTGCGTAGACCTCTTTTTTTCTTGCCTCCTTTCCATGATAGCGTCCTTAAGGTCTTTGGAATATGGCTATAATTTTTTTTTTTTTTTTTCTGTCATTCCAATTCGCAGGGATCTCAGCATAACTATAGTGGTTCATCTGACCATAATACTGGCGTATTTGGTCGATTTCGTGCAAGACATAGTCGAGCAGCTTCACTCACTGAGGGCAGCTTAGGCTATAATACTATCGACCTCCGCACTTCTTTGATAAAACTGGATGCAGAAGATATGGATCTTCGGCTCTGTTTCAGAATTATATCTCCTCAAAAAACTTACACACTTCAGGTACCCACATTAAGGCCTAAATTCAAGTCATATGGATCACACAGTACTGGAATATATTTCCTTTCCATCTCTCCAAATTCATTAAAACTATTCTCTTTGGATTTTCTTAACAGGCTGAAAATGGAGCAGATAGGATGGACTGGGTAAATAAAATCACAACAGCTATAGGGACGCTTCTGAATTCTCATTTTCTGCAACAGGTTGGCACAATAAGTCTCTTTCATCTACAAAACTGAATTGATAGTGAAGTTTCCTGCTAATACATATCGTTTTCTGCAGTCACCAGTGCAATACACTGGTTCTGGTTCTGCTCCTGCTCAAGGTGTTGTCTCTCTGGATCAAAGTCGACATAATGATGGAAGAAGAAACATTGGGGATGATGTCTCCACTATACTCAGAGGAATTCCGGGGAATGATGTATGTGCAGAGTGCAATGCTCCTGAGCCTGATTGGGCTTCGTTAAATCTTGGAGTTTTGCTTTGCATTCAATGCTCTGGTGTTCACAGGAACCTTGGGGTTCACATATCCAAGGTATGGAAGTTTGAACTAGTTATGCAACAAAATTTTGTAGCAAACTGGTTGTATGAGCTATTTTGTCTTATACCAAGATCTCTGAGCTGATGTCATAGATTTTGTACCCCTCAAATTTCAGGTGAGGTCCCTCACATTAGATGTGAAAGTGTGGGAGCCAACAATCTTGGACTTATTTCGATATTTGGGAAATTTGTACTGTAATTCACTGTGGGAAGGGCTACTTCACCTTGACGACGACTGGTACGATTCTACGGATGTCAAACATTGCGTCTTGTTTCATAAATCATGCATGTAGCTACTGATGTAAAGTGTTTTGCTTTTTGCAGTGAATATGGTTCAACATCGTCACGTGCTTCAGTTTCAAAACCATTTCCAGAAGATTCCTTTACTGTGAAGGAGAAATACATTCTAGGGAAGGTAATGTAATGTACACTGTATATTATATGCTTTGTGAAAGGTAAAACTAAACCTGATTGATGATTTATGATTGGGTCAGTATCTGGAGAAAGCATTAGTGATTAAAGATGAAAGCAAAGCCAAGCCTTCTGCTGCAAGTAGAATTTGGGAAGCTGTTCAAAGCAGAAACATACGAGAAATCTATCGACTCATAGTAACTTCGGGAGATGCGAGTATCATCAATACCAAGTTCGATGACATAACTGATGTAGATGCGTATCACCATGCGGATGCATCAGAGGAAGCGCCAGTGAAGAAAAGACATGATCCAACTGTGTGTCAGAGAATCAAAGACTCCAACGAACCAGGAAACTGTCTTCAAGGCTGTTCCTTGCTCCATGTGGCTTGTCACATCGGTGACTCTGTCTTGCTTGAACTGTTGTTACAGTTTGGTGCTGATCTAAACACGAGAGATTATCACGGAAGGACTCCGTTACATCACTGCATATCATCCGGAAACCACAAGTTTGCAAAGATTCTACTGCGAAGGTACACTTTATTAACATCTCAGCAACGCTCTCTTTCTTGTTTCATTGTTTGAGAAATGGTTGTGTTGATTATATTTTCTTGAATTGTTTTTTGTAAACGCAGAGGAGCACGTCCATCGATAGAGGACGATGGAGGGCTAAGCGTGCTAGAAAGGGCAATGGAGATGGGAGCCATAACCGATGAGGAGCTCTTTCTTCTCTTAGCTGAGTGCGCGTAAACCGGACACTACACAGCTGTATTAGTGTCTCCTTTTTGAAATGCACTAACGTTTTGAGTCCTTAATGAACTATAGTTTTCTCCAGCTATTTTTCAAGCTAATTGAGCTTTTTCTTGAAATTAATTTCATATTTCACTAATAAATAAATTAATAAATTAACTACTTAAAAACAGAAGAAAATGCACAAGTTTGAAAACATAAATAAAAACTGATAATTTTAAGACGTTCTGTTTGTTCCCAGATTTCAGCTTGATCGATATACAGTATATGCTTTTTAATTTTAATATATGTGTATGTTTCTGTGTAAGTTTTTTAAAGATAAACAATGAGATAATATCATAGAATTACTTTTTCGTCTCTATGATAATTACATCTAAGAGGCTATTATTTCGGTAAATTGACAAATTTGTATAAAGGTAATCTAAGAAGACAAAATCCATAATTTTAAAAAATGTTTTAACAAAAATAATTTTTTAAAATGTTTATATAAATAAATTATTTTGGTTATGGACTTATCATGGGTTAAGCCCAAATGAAAATAAAAACCCAAAAGAGAGAAAAACAAGAAAGAGACAAAAAAGATTGCAAGAGGTGTAGTTTGGTCTGAGTTTACGGTGAGATCTGTCATTCTGTTCTGTCTCGCTCCTCCGCCTGTGAGACATCGACTGAGAGAGAGAAATCGATTCCTGAGGATTTGATCCTTCGATTGCTTGAGGTACCGAATGATTATAAGTATTCTTTGTTAGTATAATTTGATTTGATGAAATCTGTAGTTTCGTGTTGGAATTTCCTTTTCCTAAGTAGAAAAGCAACTGAATTGAATTTAATTTTCCAACTCCTAGCTCGTGTAGGATGCTCGGATCGTGTATATAACATACTTCGTCTTTTGATCAATTAGAGACAACACGATGTTGAAAAGACCTCGCTCGAGTTGGGTATTGAGAAGACATGGCTCGAGGGTGGTGGAATGGCTGCCACACGATGTGGTGGAGATGATCCTCGAGAGACTTCCCGTGGAGTCTCTGCTGAGGTCCAGGTCTGTATCTAAGAAGTGGAAATCGACAATTGATTCCCGACGTTTCAAAGAAAGACAATTAATGTGTCGTAGGTCATCACGAGGTCCAGATGTCCTTTGCGTGTACCTCACTTATCATGGTGATGATGGTCTGGACACAGATGCTCAAAGGATTGAGATTGGATCATCAATAGCTTCTACGATCAGGTTCCCTACTCCCCCCAGACTGTACTGCCATGGTAGTTGTGACGGGCTTTTATGCTTCTACTATGTCTACGAACCGAATGTCAGTGTCGTGGTGAATCCTGTCACTAGATGGCATCAAAGTTTTCCTCTTTCAAGCTTTCAACACCTCCTCATCGACAAGTTAAAGAAGGGAGAGCTTGGCTACGGAATTGCCCAGCTTGGATTCGGCAAAGACAAAGTCAGGGGCACGTACAAGCCGGTTTGGTTGTATAATTCATCCCCATTTGGCCTAGACAACGCTACTACTTGTGAAGTCTTTGATTTTAGCACCAATGCTTGGAGGTACGTTGTCCCTGCTTCTCCTTTTCAGATTCCTGGTAACCATAAACCCGTGTATTTAGATGGGTCACTTTATTGGTTCACCCACTGTGAAGAAACCAAGTTATTATCTTTCGATCTTCATACCGAGACTTTTCAAGTCATCTGTAAAGCTCCCTTTGCCCATAAGTGTGACACTCTCCAGCTCACCATGTGCATACTCGATAACCGCTTGTGCGTGTCCCAGAAAAACTGGCCCAACCAAGTGATATGGTCGTTCGATTCTTGTGGAGGCAGCAAGACATGGAAGAAAATGTGTTCCATAGATCTCACCAAAACTTTTTCTTGGTTTGGGGAAACCAACTGGCCGCTGCTACCTATAGCAGTTCTGGACAAGAATAAGTTATTGCTTCAAGGTCATGATTATGTTAATACTTTGGTGATACATGACCTCCATACCAAATCTTATGATCTACTCTTCAAACCTACCAAATGCTTAGCTGCCGTTTATTATTTCCAAAGTTTATTATCTGTTTTACCACATTAATTTGTCTTATTTTCTTTATCAATGAAACCATTTAACATTTTCTGCATTTTAATTTCACGATGTTTTTCTTTGGGAAGAGATTTTTTTTATGGTTGAGTTTAAGTTCACAGGTGCGACAATAATTAATAAGATCATCTGAAACCATCAACGTTATCCCACAATAGACAAAATCATAACCAGCCGCAGCCAATACAAGCTTGTTGGCTGTTCTTGTCGACAAAAAGTCTCGGTCTACGTCGTGGTAGTTCCACCCTAATCGTAAGACTGGGTGGGAAGTACATTGACAAATGACAAGTGATATATCTAAATCATCTGCGGAAAGTCGGAAACGTTTGGTGACAATCTTTGAGTTTGCTTTCTCTAATCTTGTCGCTTTTTTTGTTTTCTAACAAACTGCCTTGTCAACATATCACTAGTAAACTTAAAGGTTACCTTAATTTCGTGGTGATCTTGTCATATTTAAAAAGGTTTCCTGATCAATTTAACAAGGATGGGTAGAATTAAAAAAAAAAAGAACAAAATTATCATTTTTACTTATGGGTTACTCTGTGTGAGTTGCTAATTCCCGTGAAACTTATCGCAAGATCCAAAATATTTTTATCATAAAAAAGTCACAGGAATTAGGACTCCTAGCATTGGAATACATGACAAACTGTTTCTAATATGTGAAAGTAAAACATGACAAATTGTATTGTTATGAATATGACAAAGGAAGACATATTAAGCTGTGGGCCTGTGGCTAATATATGGAAAGCCGAAAGGGATATAAGATCGGGATCAGCAGAAGTAGCTGTCAGGGATCACCAAGGGGCATGTCAGGGTTGCAACGCTGCAACGCTGAAAATTGAAAGTTTTTTTTAATTGAGAAACATATATGGATTAAAACATTTGAAATCTTCTAGATTATGAGTCAGTTAATTACCGATGATGGAGAGAATTTAGTCTTCACAGACCGGCAGGTGGGTAGACGACTTCCTAGATGCAGCTGGTGGAGAATAGTGACTGCCTCTCTAAGTCGCTGCGTGTCCCACTCCCAAGGAAGTTCGAGCTGTGAGAAATGTTAGTTATTCAAATTGTTATATACTCCATAATGCCATAATTAAAATTTGAAAAAGAGATTGTTTTAGTGTTTTTTTTAAATTCACTTTTTAATATTGAAAAGACTTTTTTGACCTTTTAATATATATCTATATATATACAATAGTTTTTGGGCTCATATTATTATTAATAGTATGATGTTTATTTTTTGAGATATATGTGTTAATTGTATTATACAATTAAAAAATAGATAAATCTGTCTATTGTTTTAAAATGTATATTTAAACAAATTTAATGATTTGGAGCCTTATATTAACAAAATTCTTTGTGAAAAGTTATTCATATACTTGGAAAACCTTTAGTATAATTCTTTTCTTAGCAAAATTATAAACAGGTTTTTCATAATATTTTTAAAAATTGGTGAGCAGAAATAAATTTTAATTTATTTGTTAGCTCAAAAAAATTATATAAACAGTCACGAATGTTTATTAGTTTTAAATGAAAAAAACATAAAATCATAATATTTCTATTAATTATTTTACAGAAACTAATTATTTTCATAATTAATTAAATTTTCGTTTTCATTTTTAATTGATTTATTAAATTTTATATATATATATATACTTTTTCAAAAAAGCTCTAAAAGGTATTTTGGTAATTTTTTTTCAAAATTTATCTATTAAATTAAATATATATAAACTATTGATTGAATTAAGTACCTGAGGAGATTGATAAGACTGGAAGAGGAATAGTCCGATAAAGATGATGGCTGCTGTTAAATCCGAGATTTTGAAATTGGAGCAGTCTTTCTCGAGGAGTGAAAGATCGGTGAAATAGTTCCAGAGACAAACCAGCTGAGTAAAAAGAATAAGAAAATGGTCGGTTAGCATTGGAAGTCTTTGTAATTGTAAAAGGCTTTATATAATAAGATCGTATCAACACATACAAAAGGTTTTGAGTGAAAAGGCTAACTCACAGTGAGAGGATGTGGCTCTGTTGAATCGATGACAGCATCTACCAACATCTTTCTAGTTGGTGCGTTTAGTCCATAGCCGATATGGTTCAGTATTTCAAACTCATTCCGGTTTTGAGCACCGCCGACGAGATCAGTAGGGTTTAAACCACGTTTCCTAGAGAGAACAAAAGGTTATACAGTTTCTATTCCTTTTGCAAAAGAAATGACAAGCTTTTGTAAAAACTTACATTGCTATAGAGAGAGCAGAAGATGCCACCGTGTGAGGGTTTAACGCTTTCACCGCCTGTGAATTAGATGCGAAATACTGATCCAGAAGTTGTACGGCGAGGTGAACAGCCAGTGGAGGAACAAAACCACTAATAGTGGAGCGTATCATCTCATCTATTATCTGAGCTCTGACATTTGCATCCACGCCGGTGACAGATAGAGGAGGAAGCTGCTTACGAATGTAGATCTGGATGTTATTGAGATAATCACCGTCAATTTCCACCTGAGAAAGCAAAATTCATTTGTCAGATTTTGTCTACTGAATACCAAAACCAATAATCAGGTTTGAGGGAACTCATGAACCTGTTCACCCTCACGGAGAGACGTCTGCAGATCCTGGAAATTCAGAGATCCATGGTGAGAAACACAAACATTAGTGGGAGACAGACATACAACATTTAAATCAATCACCACCCCACCTGCTCCTCACACCGTAGATCCTCTAAGCCACTCATCTTATCCTGAACCTGGTCCTGAGTTTACAAACATGTTAGCAATATTAGAAAATCTAGCAAAGCAATCATCGAATTGCAGAAAAGAGACCCAGAGAATCATAATCCATATAATTCTTCTTCACAAATTCTGTTAATCTTTAACGAAATCTACCAACTATGCAACGAAAATGAATAAATTGCACCTCCAAGCCAGCGTGGGGATGGATCTGTTGCTGTTTATCGTCGTTCTCTCCCTGCATCTTTGATTCTTCATTAGTCTTCTGCTGCAAGTGATAAAACAAGCTTTTACAAACATAAAATCTGGGCAAAGCTATCATTGGAAATCAATCAAATTGCAGAAAACAGACCAAAAGGATCATGAATCATATAGTTCTTCCTCAATCCTAGCGAAATCTACCAACTATCAACAGGATGCAACAAAATTGAAATAATCTCACCTCCAAGCCAGCATCGGAAGGGATCTGTTGCTGTATATCGTGGTTCTCTTGCTGCATCTTTGCTTCTTCATTAACCTTCTGCTGCAAATGAGAAAACAGGCTTTTACAACTAGAAAATCTGGGCAAAGCTATCATAGGATCGAATCGAATTGAATTGCAGAAGAATCAAATCCAATTTGTCATGCGCATTACTTCCAATTGGAGATGGAAAAGTTAACTACTGCAATATCTAAATTTCTTATCATCGGAGGAGTCCTAATTCCCGTGAAACAAACCGGAAGATCCAAAATCTTCCAGAAATTCATCATCAAATAGTCATAATTCCAGAATCATCGAACATAGATAATCTCAAAACAATTGAAAAACAAAGATCGACTAACCTTCGACTCCATCTTCGGCTTCTTCGCTGGAGGTGGAGAGGTCATTGTGTTGTTTTTCTGAAGAATCAGTTACAGAGGAATTGAAAGTGAGTAGAAGGAGAAGAAGAGTACTGGTTTATAGCGGGCGGGAGAAAGAAATATCTCAGTTTCAATCGAATTTTTATTTTATTTATTTTAAAGAACTTTTTTGTTTAAATAAAAAGTGTAGAGGACAAAATGTGAAGATCAAATTTGTTTGGCAAATTTTAGCCTCGAAACTGATTCAACCGGAATACCGGAATTTGAATAGAGAGTATCGATCAAAATCGATAATAAATTAATAACTCAGATGATGCAAATTTGCTAAACCGAACCAAAATTGAGTTGACCGATGGTCAGGTGGCCACTGCTATACCGCAAAGCCGAAATGAAGAAAACCAACTCTGACTTCGTTGGCGTTAATCCGTATCCTACTCTCCGTCGCCGGTAAGTCGGCAGTAACCCTAAATCTTTAGATCACGTGTGGTCTTTCTGTGTAATTGATTTCTTCTCTATGCGTTGTTTGCGAAAGAGGAAGCAGATGGGTTTTCAATTCTGATTGCATAAACCTATTTCACGTGGAGAAATCGGATTTTAAGTTTGAGATTCTTAGAAAGGGGATTTAAAAGTTGGAACTTCTTTTGATTCTTCGTGATCATCAGAGGAAGAAACAAAGGTTTTATGTCTATGCTTCTCCCCCCCATTTTCCGATTTTAGATTGAAGCATGATATGCTTTTTGTCATTTGCTTTGACGTTTTTTTGCCCATCGATTGGTTTCAGACTGTTCACAATATGCAATGTCTAAGCTTTTAGAAAATTTGGTGAAGCTTAACTGTGAGTTCGATGCTTGAGAATGGTGATTTCTTAGTGAAACCATTCATGCCTCGCAATTTAGTTCTTGATGTGTTTGAAGGAGTTTTCAGATTGTGTGCAGTTGTTGAGTGTTACACTAGAGCTCATTTTCTCTTCACAAAGCCCCTTGACACTCTGCTATTATGCGTTGCATTACCTTGAAAACTCATCTGTTAAGAACATGCTCTGATGGATTGGGATTTGTGGACTATGTTTTTGTTTGTATTTGTTGAGTGTTACAGTAGAGAACATTTCTTGTTGTATCTTCACATTCACAATAATTCCTTTGAGGCTCTGCGGTTAAGCAACACAATATCCTGAAGACTCATTTGTTTGCGACATGCTCTGATGTATTATTACTGGTTGCCGTTTTTGCATAGGAACAGTTGAAATGGCAAAGTCTTGTAAGGGTCTTGCTGAGGAGCTTGTCAAGTGTCTCAGTGAATCGATGTGTGTCAAGGTAAATTCAGAATATGGATTTTGCTTTACTCTATTTGGGTTGTTCACTACCACCTGTTAACTAACTACGAGTTTGCTTCATTTTGGTGTAGGACGAAAAAAGGTCAATTAGGGACTGCGCTGGTGAAAAGAGCCCATGTATACCGAGCGAGTGTGTTGGCCTAAGGGAAACCTACTTCAATTGTAAAAGAGGACAGGTATGTTTTGTCTTCACTACTTAAGAGCTTCCTTTTGAATCATGCGTGGTGTTTGGAAGCTAACCGCCAAATGATATGATTAAGCATGCTTGTTAGACACTTGAGAAAGGATTACATTCAATCTTGAGAGTAACAGTTGTGAAGCATATAGATTATTCTTGTTTGTTGGACTAATTGGACGTTGCATTATGTTTTCTCTAGGTAGACATGAGAGCCAGGATTCGAGGAAACAAAGGCTACTAACACAAGACAAGAGATAACTCTCAGTCACTGAGAACCTGCTTGTTCGATATTACATTTTCACTTTGTTATTTTGGTTGTGTTCTCATCAATATTCTTTTGATCTCTAATAGTTGCTTCAAAAATGAAGGGGTCTTACCAAATTAGTTACTTGCCATGTCAATATCAAGTTAGGCTTGTTCCTATACTCAACTTGATTTCTTTTCCTTTATAAAAGTTGTATTACATGGGACCATATGGGTTGAATCTCATCGTGTAGCTAAAAGAAAGTGTAAGAACGAAAAAAGATATCTCATCTCAAATTTAACCAATTCAACAGATGTTATGCAAGTCCTACAGGTCGATGAATCAAAACGGCGTTACAAAAATGAAAGAAAGAAGCTTTACACTATGAACCCTACTTCAAGAATCACAAGAGTCTTTCTAGGAAAGCAATGAAGAAAGGCACAGCCATTGTTCTCTATATGCTCACTTGATCTTCCCTTGGCAAGCTCTGAACAGTGTCCGACCATCTCCCCGGCGAGTGTTCGCTACTGTTAGACGAGAAAGGTGCTTCAGCTCTTGCATCCCTCACCATCTTCAACACCTCTCTCATCACAGGCCGGTTCTCGGGTTGAATGGTCACGCAAACATTTGCGATACTTAAAAGCGCCTGAAGTTTCTCCTCTGATGCCTCGTTCCCTGAAGAAGTCGGTTCCTCCCCTGATTCAGTCTCTTCCTCTCTCACCGCACGCACCCATCTAGAGATATCCGACCCGTATTCTTGAACAAGGTCCTGGAACGGTGTCCTACCCGTTAGAAGCTCGAGAAGAAGGACCCCGAAGCTGTACACATCAGCAGGCTGCGTAGAGGCTTTACGTGGGTCTCTACACTCTGGAGCTTTGTAGAAGAGAGAGACTGCGCTTGTCTCTTCAGCTGAGTCAGGATCATGGAGAGTGCTTAGGCCGTAATCCGTGAGGCAGGACTCGAAATCAGGACCTAACAAGACATTGGACGATTTCAAGTTCCCATGAGTTAAGCCAGGGTTCTGATGAATGTAGAGCAGAGCTGAGGCCAAGTCCTCTGCTATTTTCAAGCATGAGGTCCAATGAAGAGGCTTCCCACTTCCAGAAGCTCTAGTTCCTGCAAACAAACACACACACTGAAGCTAATGTATCCAAGTTTCTTCTATCTAAACCATCAAATCTCTGCATTGCTGTAATGGTGGATGTTCAGCAATTTGAAACATACCGTGGATAAGAGTGAAGAGACTGCCATTGGGGAAGTAATCATAGACGAGCAAGCGTTCTTCTTTGGCCTGGAAATAAGCTCGTAGAGGCACAAGGTTCGGGTGTCTGAGCTGTCCAAGGATCTCAACGTGTCTCTTGAACTCCTCCATGCGAGGATACCTGGCGTTCTTGAGCCTCTTCACGGTGACGATGAATCCAGACTCCATCACGGCCTTGTACGTGCTCCCCAACGTTCCTCTCCCCAGCGTCTCTGCCGAAGCTTTTAGCAGATCTTCCATGGTGTATCTCGCAACCGTCTCGCCTGAATCGCTGGCTCCGAGGAAAACCAGAGTTCCCACTGCTCCTTCTTCGCCTCTCTCCCATGAGAATCCTCTGTCTTTCCTCTCAATATCTCTCTCTGTCTCAGCAGATGGTGCTCCTTCTCCTTCCGCTATGCCTTTGCCTTTTCTATCTTCCCTTGGAGTTTTGCTCCGTCGCTTCCGTCTCCAGCAGAAGATGAGAAGCGTTAGCAGAAGGATAAGGATTAGGAGTCCGCCGGCGACGCTACCGGCGATGATTCCGATTAGCTTCGCTTTGTTCTTCTTCGATTTAGGTATCGGTTTTGGTTTCGCCGACGGCGCAGGTGAGAGTCCGCATGGGCTCTGGAGCTGATCGCCGCAAAGAGCGACGTTTCCGGTAAACGAAGACTCGTCGAACTGCTTCAGAGCTCGTGTTGATGGGATTTGGCCGGAGAGCTGATTGTTGGAGACATTGAAGTATCTGAGACTCGTCTGGTTAAGTGGAGGAATGGAGCCGGTGAAGAGATTGTCCTGAACATTGAGCGTGTAAAGGCGAGAGAGACGGAGCAGCGAGGTCGGAATCCTGCCGGAAAATCGGTTTCCGGAGAGGACGATGGTTTTCAACCGGTGAAGTGACGTGAGAGACTCCGGGAACTCGCCGGAGAAGCTGTTGTCGTTGAGGTAAACCGATTTGAGGTTGACCAAGCCGGAGAGACTAGGGATTGTGCCGGAGAGAGAGTTGGATTTGAAGCTAAGAACTCTCAGTTGGTCCAGCTTGTTCAAGCTCTTCTCCTCGAGTGAGCCAGTGAGATTCAAATACTCGAGAACAAGCTTCGAGACTCGTCCGTTCATACATTCTCTGACGCCTTCCCAATTGCAGAGATCCGTTCCTCGCCATGGAATCGAGTCTGATGGATCGATTGAGGATTTCAAGCTCAGTAGAGCTTCGACGTCGCCGGATCTCGCCGGAGAAACCAAACAGAAGATTACTGTAGAAGCGAAGACTAAGAACAATGTAGCCGGAGAAGAGAGCATTGTCGTCGATGTGCTAAGAGAGTAACGGACGGTGGTGAATCAATCAAATCGAAGAACGAATTTTCTCAGCTCGTGAAAGAATCGGAAATGATATATACTGGTCAAATCGATTTTCCATAAAAAGCTTCTTACTTTCCATTATTAGTCACTTTCCAGATCTGCCCCATTAGCTGAAGCATCTTCTCGATCGAAGCAAGAAAAAGGAAGCTTTACTGTGAAATGAGAAGACTAAAAAGAAGAAGAAGAAGAAAGTGGGAGCTCATTAATGGCGGAAGGAAATCGTCTGGCTGTAAGCGTGAGGAGGAGGAGGAGAAGGAGCATTAATGGACAAGTAGAAATTTTCCGGCATTTTCTTTCTCTCTCTCTCTCTCTCAGTCTGAGAGTATCTTTTCTCGAAGTTCTTGGTCGACGAAGATGTCACGTGAAGCCATGCCTGAAAACTTTTTTTTTTTTTCCTACTCTCTCTCTCTCTCTCACTCACTGTGCCTTCTTCAATGCATTCATGAATATTAGTATTATACTATTATATACTTATATCTGCACACACATTAAATCATTAATAATGGTTTTATGAAGGAGAGACGAAGGGAGAAAGAAAAATAATTCACGTATTTTTTTTGTTTTTATTATTGTGGTTGTTATTACTTTCCAAGATTCAGAGACAGATGGGTTCGGGGCCAAGGAGTTACTGATGCTGAGAAAAATGCAAGAAAATTAGGAGGGAGAATAAGAGTATGAGAGATCAATTGTGAATTGTGGTATGGAGAAGAAGAAAATGTGGTGGAGAAATTAAATTAAGAGATGATAATTTAGAGTAAAGAGAGACATTGTATTTCAGTTTTTTCAATTGGTGTCTGGTTCCTCTTGCCTCATCCAATTATTGAGCTGCCTTTTTCCATACCTCTTTTCTTGTTGAATCTTCACATGATGTATCAAATTTTAAAAACAATAAAATATGCAAACTCTAATTCATTTTGGACTATTCTAACCGAGGTAATTTTAAGTCTGGTCAAAAGTGCATATGGATGAATAAGAAGAGACTTTGCAATTCATGGTTGGTGTTCAATCTTAATTAAACTTAGAATGGAGGATAATGAAGTTATAATTAACTAGAATTTATGATTTGCTTAGCTTAGGCGTGATGAATAGAGTTCACGTAAAGGCTGAGCAAATATTAACCAAGGATCCAGTCCAACACCAACCCCAGACAGACTGCAGTCATTTAATTTGCATTGACTTCTTTGACCTTCAATTCGATCATAAGGTTTTCGATTTTCGAGTCATAAATGTAAATGACATACTGTTAGAGAACTCAAAAACCAAGATAACTGAGTACATTTTTTCCGATCATAATCGGAACTACGAATTTGCCTTTTTCCGATTAAACCCTAAAAACTTGGGTGGAATTTGGAGGGAAAACTTTTTGTTTTTTAATCGTGTTCGACTGTTGGTTGCTTTTTGACGTTATTACCAAATTATTGATTATGCAGTGGCCCACCATATTAAATGTTCAACATATTGAGATATATTATGGTCTGGGCCGAAATATTCTAGTCTTGGCCTTTTGCAAAGAAGAGCATGTGTTGGGTCCATCATTTCTGAGTTGTTTTTCAATTTATTTGGAATCAATCTAAAGTTTTAAAACAATTAGGGTCATTTACGGACAAAATCTCAATTTTGAGGACTTTTCTGCAGTTTTAGTTTCTTATCGAGACGTTTTTTTCCTCTGTTCAACGAGAAGAAGAAGCCCTATCAAACACACAAAAGCTCTTTCTCTCGCTCATCTCCGCCGTCGGCAGAAACATACCACTCAATTAGGGTTTCACGCCGGAGAATTTCAGTCCAGAAAACTTCAGCTATCACCCGAGATTATCACAATGGCGGCAACTAGTCAGTACACTTTTCCTTTCTGTTCTTCACGTGCTCATTGAATTTACGCTCGTCTCGATTTTGCGCATCTGTAGCTTGACGATTTCTGTCTATTTCGTGCTGATTTGATTCTGTGGTTTGTTTCTGCAGTGCCTAGGTCGTTTTTGCAGGCGATTGCGAAGGATGAGGCGGTGGCTCCTCCGCTCAGAGTTGTTCAGATCGAAGGATTGGTAACGTCCTCATTCTGTTCTCTGATCTTACGATTTTAGGATTCTTGTCGATTTCTGCTGGTCTAGTTAATTCATTGACGTCCTAAGAAGATTCTCCAAGGAGTTAAGCTGAGAATTTTGTATTTGTATGTGATAGGCTGTGCTAAAGATAATCAAACATTGCAAGGAGTTTGCACCGACCCTTGTCACAGGACAGCTTCTTGGACTTGATGTTGGTAGCGTCCTTGAAGTTACTAATTGCTTCCCTTTCCCTGTAAGTTGAAGACTTTACACTCATTGTGAGAATTTCATGGATTGTTGGCTATGATGGACGTTCCTGTGACTTACTGCAATCTGTTATCTTAAACGAGCACAGGTCAGAGATGACGATGAAGAGATTGAAGCTGAAGGTGCCAATTACCAGCTTGAAATGATGAGGTGTCTGAGGGAGGTTAATGTTGACAACAACACTGTTGGATGGTAGGTTTTAATGTCACCAGCCAGATTGATTGAAATCTTGCTGATATTTCTTTTGTGAATGTAATTAAAACTGCTTCATTTTTGGTTCAGGTATCAATCCACAGTTCTTGGGTCCTATCAGACTGTAGAACTGATTGAGACCTTCATGAATTACCAGGTACTTTCCAGAATCCAGTTTACTATGTTATGATGCTCTTAGATTCTGCTCTGGTGACGAACTTTATTTGAAACAATGGAAATTTGTGCTGAGACTTTGTCTGAAAATCTGTTAGAAGTCCCTTGCATAATCAAGAAATGAACTTTAAGAAATTGTTTCTTTTGCACTTGCAGGAGAATATCAAGAGGTGTGTGTGCATCATTTACGATCCCTCCAAGGCTGACCTCGGCGTCCTAGCTTTGAAGGCTTTGAAGCTTTCGGATTCCTTTATGGAGTTGTACCGTGGCGGAAACTTTACAGGCGAGAAGTATGTATCCTGATCGATTACAAATCTAGGTTTATGAGCCACGTGGTGAGCTGTAATGTTCTAATCACTATCATTTTCAGGTTGAGAGAGAAAAACTTCTCCTGGATGGATATTTTTGAGGAAATACCTGTAAGTCTCTAAAGATTTGCTCTCTTCTTTGTTTAAGTCTTACTATCTAATCTTTTAAGTACCTAATAAGCTTCCTGGGCGATTACTTTCTTTTTGACAGATCAAGGTTTCAAACTCTGCGCTTGTCAGTGCCTTCATGACCGAACTTGAGACTGATACACCAGTTTCACAGGTACAATGTTTGTATTTGGATAGTGATCTCTGCTTTCTGTCAGTATTCCAGATTCTGAGTCTTGATTCTTGGACGTTTTCTCTTTTATAGGGTGACTATGATCGTCTGCACTCATCAACCACTCCTTTCCTTGAGAACAATATGGAGTTTTTGATTAAATGCATGGATGATTTATCCATGGAACAGCAAAAGGTGTGTGGCTTATTCTGCTCTCTTGTTCAATTCTCACACTCAGAACTTTCATAATGTAACATCTTTTTTTCTTTTTCTAGTTCCAATATTACTACAGGAACCTTTCTCGTCAGCAAGCGCAACAGCAAGCCTGGCTCCAGAAGAGAAGGTAGGCCACTTGATAGCAAGAGTAGTGATTTCCTATAACAAGAGTAGTGATTTCAGCTTGTGTTTCTCTAGTTAATCGTCCAAGTCACTAACTAAGAGGTTTGCGTTAATAGGTCGGAGAACATGTCTCGTAAATCAGCTGGAGAAGAGCCTTTGCCCGAGGAAGATCCTTCAAACCCGATCTTTAAGCCGATCCCTGAGCCATCAAGGCTAGAGAGTTTCCTCATCACAAACCAGGTCTCAAACTTCTGTGGCCAAATCAATGGGTATGTTCTCGTGTGAACTTTTTATATAACCTTAACACCATTTCGAGCTTCAAAAGAGGTTGAAAAACGAATCGTCCCGTTTGCTATGCAGTGTTGCTGGCCAGAACTTCAGCAGACTCTACCTGACCAAGGCACTGCACGAGAACTGATTACAAGACTAGCCCAAGTTTTTGTCTTTGAGTCGAGTGAACTTGAGAGCTTTGGTGGTAGAACGGATCCTATATTTTGTTTTTTTTTCCTGGAAGTTTTAATATTTTTGTAGTGAAATAACTTGAAATACAAAGTATCTACAAACATCTTTTAAGCCATTGGAAATTTGAAAGATTTAGCCGAATCAACACCTACATTTTGCTGTTTTACTATATCAATTACTTGTCAAAATGGTTCATCTTCTTCTTTAAATTTCGTTAATGATCCAAAATAACTCACATTATTGTTTATTTTCTAAATAAAAAAACTCGATAAATTCATTTTGACAGTTTAAATCTTTCAAACCCATCAAAATATCACATTCCACTAAATTTTAATTTCTACTACAATAACATAACACAATAAATTAAATTAACTCAATATATACAATTAATTTTTTTTTTAAGTAGGGAACTTATATATATTGGGATCCCCTTTTAAATACATCATATTCATACTCTCAAGCCGGTTCTGTATCTAACCACCCTAAAACTTTTTCAAACTTTTGTTTTGCACCAAATTCTCACTTGGTGTCAAATGTTCCAAAACTACTGTCAATATTATCTGTTGACTTGAAATCCTTGCTTTTGCAAAATATCCATGGTGAACGGATCCTTTATTTTGTATTTTTCGAAGTTTTAATATTTTGGTAGCGAAATAACCTGAAATGCAAAATATCGAATAACATCTTTTACGCCATTTGAAATTTGAAAGATTTAACCGAAATCCAAAACCTCTGATTTATACATTTTAATGTTTATTTATATGATATCATATCTAATATCTAATTGATAGTTTCGATATATAGGGTGATAAACAAAATTAAGTTGATATATTGTTATGGGAATGACAAAAAGCTGTGTAATAAATGGGTAAAAGAAATTATGTTGATAAAAAAAGAAAGAGAATTTTCTAAGGGAAGAAGTTGCTGTATAACAGAGACAGCACCTGCAGACTGCTTATACACTCAGACTGCTTATACACTCAGAATGATTGCACAATCAAATGAAATCGCCTACCAAGCGAACAGGAGGTTTACGCTTGAGCTTGAGGTAATCTTCCTCATCATTGATATCCAGTTGGTGAACTTATTTTTACTTTCTTTGGACGTTTTAGTCACTTTTGGAATCATTTCATATATATACCCCTGGAATCCACTCGAGTTAACTATAATGAATGGAGAAATGGTTGATACTTCAAACACAAAGGGATGAATTGGTGTCCCCAATCTTGTCTGCTTTCTTTGTTTTAGATATTCGTGCATGTCTATTAACACAATGTAATACGGATTGTAAAAATTCCCGATTGGGTCTAAACTTTTAAAAATTCATTGAGGACTAGATTATATATAAGTTAGCGAGAAATGGCAAATTTTAACATTAAATGGCTTATGCTTGGCGGATTTGTCGTATCTCAACTCAGAAGGAGTTTTGGGTCTTTGGGAGGAGGACACAAGAGGCACTTGTCGTTAAAACGTCGTAGTTTTTTGTTGCTTTTTCATCGAAAATGGCGGTTTATCATCTTCTCCTCTCGAGCCCTCCCTCGCTTCTTCTTCCTCCTTCTCCTCGCCGCTCTAATTTCACTTTAACCCGCCGTATCCCAGCTCATCCTCGTCTCGGAAACTCGGCGACCCCGCTTTCATTTTCGTCACCGGTAGTTCGGAAAATTCTCGTCCGTAGCACTCTCCGGGAGGATCCCGTCTCTCCGGACGCCGAGAGTCCTACTCTACTGATCGGTGAGGATTCTGCCGCTTTTGAATTAGGGAAACAGAAGCTTGTTTCCTGGGTTTATTTCGGGGTTGTCCTTGGAGTCGTTCTCTTCATCCTCGACGTTGTTTGGATCGATAATTCCACCGGATTCGGAAAATCGTACATCGATGCCGTCTCTAGCATCTCCGGTTCACCGGAGGTATGGAAAAATTAGAGGCAACTAAACCAATTTTAAGATAACTGTTGCGTTACTTGATTGAAAATTCCACTCTTTTGCAGGTTGCTATGTTAATGCTTATCTTCATATTTGCAATTGCACATAGTGGTTTAGCTAGTCTCAGAGATCTAGGAGAGAAGCTCATAGGTGAACGAGCATTTCGTGTTCTGTTTGCTGGACTCTCTCTTCCTTTAGCTATGAGCACCATTGTGAGGATTCTCTTACTCTTCAAATTTTTCTACGGATCAGCTGTTTGAGTTCTTCATGGTTGCTTTGGTAATTCGTTGTGTTTTATGCAATTCTTGTTTCAGGTTTACTTTATAAACCATAGATACGATGGGTCACAGTTATGGCAGCTTCAGGGTGTTCCTGGAGTCCATGAAGCTATTTGGGTCGCTAATTTTGTGTCCTTCTTCTTCCTCTATCCTTCAACCTTCAATCTTCTGGAGGTTGCAGCTGTTGATAAACCCAAGATGCATCTGTGGGAGACTGGCATCATGAGAATCACTCGTCATCCTCAGGTACTCAACATTTCCTTGATAAATCTACATATCAGCACCAATCCTTGATAACATATACAGAAAGATTGGATTTTTAGGAAACTTGTTAGTGTACAGAAAGATTGGATTTTTAGCTCTAGTTTACTCTTTCTGTAGCTTCGTGTTCAACATTGTGTACCACAATCAGGAACCAAGGTCAATTAGTGACTGTGTTATTTAGACCGGAATCATGAGAATCACTAGTGGTCATTTTAATTTTCGTTTGTTATCTGCTCTCTTCATCTTCAAGAACCAAAATTTTTTCTACTCCTTATTGTTGCATATCTTTTCTCTAGATGGTTGGACAAATCATTTGGTGTTTGGCACACACTCTCTGGATCGGAAACACAGTAGCTGCGTCAGCGTCTCTGGGTCTGATTGCACACCATTTGTTTGGGGCATGGAATGGAGACAGGAGATTGGCTAAAAGATATGGAGAGGCTTTTGAAAGCATCAAGAAGAGAACAAGCGTGATTCCTTTTGCTGCCATATTTGAAGGACGCCAAGTTTTGCCAGAGGATTACTACAAAGAATTTGTGCGGTTGCCTTACCTTGCAATCACTGCGTTAACTGTTGGCGCATATTTTGCTCACCCGCTGATGCAAGGTGCAAGCTTTAGGCTTCATTGGTAGATTCCTTTGCAGTGTCCATTATATGAAGATCATAAACACTTCTTTAAGGAACAATGTATTATAATTACTGCATTATAAAGGATATATATTGTTTGTGAGAAATGTAAAGATGAAAAATTAGTACTTAGATATGAAAAGTAAAAAACAAGCATAGGTAAAGTATTAAAAGAAATCTATAAATCGCAGTCTCTAACTAAAAGTACTGATTAGAATATTTAGCTAAAACTTTTTGTATATATAATGCCACTCAGATGTCATGGGGACTCTGATGGCGACCACCAATAGAAGAAGTTTTACTTTTTTTTGATGTTAGTTAGAAATCGAATAAATGAATTTTATTTTAACCGATACGTGATGCGAAGATCTAGATCCGAAATCTTAGAATGATATCTAGATTTTGATGCCTAGATATCTCTAAAGTTAAAGGCGATTGACTCATTGGTCTAAACTGTTTTTCCTTTTTATTCAGAAATCTAAAACTATATCGAAATCAAACAATGAAACCCACAAAACTCAAGTGTTAAATTGAGACTCAAGTGTTAGAGAAGTTAAAAAAGAAAATAAATATGGAGCCAAATAAAATAAGAAAAAGCTCGAAAGAGGGGCCAAATGAAAAAGCGAAAGGCATTTGAATACAACAAAGTGCTTCTGCAAAATAAGAACGAAACAAAAACCAACACTTACTTACTACTACTACTAAACAAACACTCTCCTCTCTCTCTCTCTCTCTCTCTCTCTCTCTCTTTCCTCGACTTTGGAGTTCGCAATTTGCTTTCTGATCTTATTCGCACATCGCGTCTCTTGATCTCCATTTCCGCTGCTCGCCGGAGCATCTCTGCGGTGTTACGTATTTGCGGCGTTTCTCTTGTCGGTTACATCTCTAATTGCGACTCCACCGTTGCTGATTTTGGGCTTTCACTGAAGATAAATCTATAGCTTCCCTGAGTGTTCTATCTTGTGAGTTGCTCATCTTATGCTGCGCTCTCAGTTGTTTTTTTACGGCGCTTAATTAAAATCTCCATTGGTTTATTTACTTGCTTACTCTGGCTTCTGAATTGTTTAAAACCCTAAATTCGATACCTTTGTGGGCATCCTCGCAGCTCCAGGGATGATTCCAATGGATAATCACTGCGTGCCGAGCTCAAGCACCACCACCGGTATTGTATTTCCGGCTAATTACGGTTTTAATGCGATAAACTCCGCCTCCGGGTTTCACCCGGCGGTGGATTCTCCGGCTTCGATGGTTGAAGTCAAACCCCCTGAAGCCGCTTTGGTTATGGATTGGTCCGCTGAGGAACAATACGTATTGGAGAACGGCCTTGCAAAGTAGGTATCTTCATTTTTTTAATGTGCAAATGCAAGTTCTTATTTGTTGTTGTTAATTAGTAGCTTTTCGTACTATGATCATATTTTTAAAACACACACAAAAAAAAAAATTAAAGTTGAAATGGGGAATTGTATTATGACTAGTGTAGTGGGCACATCATATTCTCCATGGTGGATTATTAAAGTATGTTCCTTTGTTCCTTGCGAATAAAAATCTAACGCCTTTGAACTTTCCATGATATGTAATAATACCGCATCTTGTTGTTATCTAGGAGGACTTGGACCATTTAGCCAGCTCAGGTTCGTGACATGTTTATTTTTCTGTTTGTAGATTAAAAGATGAACCGAAAATTTCAAAGTATGTGAAGATCGCTGCAACTCTACCAGACAAAACTGTGAGGGATGTAGCCTTGAGGTGTAGATGGATGACGGTAAGTTTCCTTGAGATGTGTGCATACTTGATGTTGTTCATGTGCTTTTGCTTATATGAGAAGAAAATTAAGTTAAAAAATATAGCATTCCTTCTTGAAAGGGTATGTAGCTGTTATGGAAATAGTGATCTGAGGGATATTTGTATCACTGTTTAAAGCATGTGCTGAAATATGAGGGAATCAGGATGATGATGCAACTTTGTGTGTGTGCTTTGTGATAAAGATAAAGTATTGTTGGAAAAGTCACCCTGCCATGTCGTAAAGATTGGTAAAGGATGAGCGGAAAAGAGAAATTGACAAGTATTGCTGACGCTAGTTCTGTCTTTATATTAGCTTTGGAGTCCATGATTGTGGAGGGAATTGATGGAAAAGGAAATAAGCGTAAAGTTTTTCTTTAAAAATGATTTATGTAGTTATCCTGAAATAGATTATGCTTTAATGAGTGATGGCAAAGATCCCTATACTTTTTGAAGCTTAAGAAATCTATGTTGGCATGTAATCTTTGGTTAGAAGTTATAGCACCTTCATCGCCACACAACATTTGGTTACATCATAATATTAGATGTTTGCATAACAAGTGGAAGAAAAGGATTTAGTGAAATATAATACTTTATTATCATTATATCACCATTTTCTTCATGTCCCTGTCCTGTGATTCAGATATATGATGCAATCAAACTGAAAGTTCCAAAATTCTTCCTTTTTCTTTTGCATTAGTGCTTGTTAGCCTCTATGTTTATCTTTCAGTAGATATATGCAATGATCTTTGAGTTTGTCTTCGCTAAGACGGTCATCTGTTTTCACAGCGAAAGCGGAGAAAAAGAGAAGAAAATAGTGTCGGGAAGAACATTAGCAATAGAAAGGTATACTTGCCCACCTAAACCTTTCGTGTGTCTTTACGATTTTAATAAAATGAATCAACTGATTATAGGTAGGTGGCCTTGTTTACGTTTGAAAAGATTTTGCCTACAAAGATGATATTTGTGTATCCTAATCTGAGCTGATAAAGTGATAATAGTATTTTTCAACGGAGAAACTAACCTATTATTGCTGAGAAAATGAGTTGTATGGTAATAGTAGAAAGACCACCAGGTGCGATGTTTGTTGTGCATGAATTGACATCAATAAAGATTGTGATCTAGTTGCATTGATTGATGGGCACCAAACAGTGAGGATCCTAGTAAGTAGAAGTATCAGTGCATGTAACTTCAAAATCAGTATCTAAGCTTGGGGGCATATTTCTAAGAGTATTATTGGGCATAGTGATGGTTGTTATGACATTTGATAAAGGGATATATTATACTGTTTGTTCTTTACTGGGTCGTATGAACTTTTGTAAATCTGTATGCTTTTGAACTTGGTTCTAAAGACCATGCTTCTTCATGGTAAGGTGGTGGATACATCCCCAGAACTGAACATGCTATCCAATGTGCCCCAACAAAATGCTTTATATGTCATGAACAATATGTGCCACAGTACACACATGCCTCTTGAAGGTTTAGTGCTCTTTAAATTCTTCGCTCTTCTCATGGGTTGTGTGGTCATAATAAGACAAGAAAAACACCCAGTATTTTCAGCTAGGTATCTTTGTTGAACTCTTCTTCTCAGGTTTAAGTGACGCGGTAATGGATCTTCTACAGCAAAACGCTCAAACTTTTAGTCAAATTTCTCACAACCTCTCTGCGTACAAGGTATCTTGCAATCCTTCGGACATTGTGTACCAGACTAATATTTCCCAAATGCTCAGTTGTTCATTGTAAAGAATTTCATACTGTTTGGTTGTGGGTTCCTCGTTATCCTTTTGCAATGGAATTCACACACAGATATCCTAACTTAGTGCATGCAGCTGCAGGATAACATCAATCTATTTTATCAGGCAAGAAATAACATCAGCGCCATTCTGACTGAGTATGTGGATCTGATAGCTGATTTTAGTCTTTCAAAACTGAGACATGTCATCTGTCTTTCCTTTCTTTTACACAATTGCTAAACTCTTTCTCTCTTGCTGCAGCATGAAGGAGATGCCTGGTATCATGAGTCGGATGCCGCCTTTGCCCGTCTCAGTCAATGATGATCTTGCAAGCAGATTATTGTCGAGTACTACACAGGTAACAGGTTTTGTTATAATTGGTCAATATAGCTTCATGACCCTAAAAGTGTTAAAGAGTCTAATATCGTCTTCATTGTCGTAACCTTGGCCTTGCATCCATGTTGCGGAACCCAAATTTGTGCCTTAGATCTAGAAAAGGAACCGTTTAAGAAAAAAGATATACATAGAAACAACACAGGAACCATTAATGTCCTTTAGTTAATTGATTTCTGAGTATTTCTCTTTGGAGATAGCCAGGTTTGATGTTAAGTGAATTGTTTTCCTTTTCTCGCAGCCAGTATTGTACACCATTCCGCCAAGCATCCACCTGAAGCAAGAGCCGAGAAGTTGACCGACGCTAATGAAAATAGCACTAGTACCTGGTAAAAGTGGCAATGTTTCCTGGAACGACATGACACAATGGTTTATTAACCGCAGACACCGCTCCAGCACAAGAGATCCGACAATCGGTATTGGTAAAATCCTTGTGCTCTCGAGTAATTTGACAGAGAAGAATGAACTACAGGCCCTGTAAGGATAAGGTATAACAATTTGAACATAGGATTCCTTGAAAACTCATAGCTGAGTTCTGGCATAGGGTGATGGATCTCCAAAGCCTTTCGCTGTCATCTTGTTGATGCATAAGTTAGTATAATGACAATTGTTTTGAGTTTGGTCTTGTAATACAAATTATGGTTCAGGTAATAGTTTGTCATCCACGAGGTGTACATATTCTTCATCTTCATAAATTATGAGTTTTACAATTCTCTTAAAGTAGTAAATATATTGCTTTTAAAGTTATGTCAATGAGATAGTTTTGGCAATTGTTTCTTCACCTAAAAACAAATTTATATGAGTTCTCTCATAAAAGCTTGCATCATATGTCAAGCTTACTTTCCTTTCAAGTAATCTTTCCACAAAAGAAAACTGATTTTCACAAGCCATTAAAAATGGTTGCCTTCCTTCAAAGCTCATATCGACCATCTATCAACAACTTCCAAATCTTTTCATCTTTCTATGAGTTCCATCAACACCGGAACAGTTGAAAATGTTGAGTTCTCGATCCAAAACCTAATCAAGAGTTGGTGCAGACGGCGAAAATGGCTACAACTCTGCTTCTTCTCCTCAAAACAACAACAGCAACAAGAAGACGTTATTTCCATCGAACCACAATGGAGAATCTCTTTATCAGAGTTCCTAGAGTCATACCAAGTTCACCTTTTCACCATCTTTTTGCTCTCTCTCGACATCATTTTAATGTCCCTCGAACTATCTTCGTCTCTGATCTCCTGCACATCAGTCAACAAAACCAAAACCGAGAACCAATGGTTCCGTTGGGGAGGAACCGCGATCCTGAGCATTCTTGCTGCTAAATCCATGGTTCTAGCTGTTGCTATGGGGAAATCTTTCTTCAGACAACCTGGTTGTGTACTGGACGGTTCGGTTGCGATTATAGCTCTGATTCTCCAAGTGCTTGTCGACAAGAAAGGTGCCGGTTTCATCGTGGTGGTGAGCTTATGGCGGGTTCTGAGAGTTGTGGAGACAGCGTTCGAGCTAAGTGATGAAGCCATTGAAGTCCAGATAGATGGAATCATGAGCCAGTTTCAAGCTCTTAGTAAAGAGAACAGATCATTACTAGAGACTCTTGCAGAGAAAGATGAAGTCATCAAGAAGCTAGAAGAAGACCTAAATCGATACAAAGAAAATGTTGATATTATGTAAACTCAATAAGCAGAATCTGAAATGCTCTCTCTTCTTTTTCTATTAAGAATGAAGAACTCTGTTTATTACAACCTCGATGAGACAGTTGATTCTAAAAAGCTAACTAGATTCTGTCAGGAAACGACTTATACAAGTGAGATGGCAGAAATAGTTTGCCTTTAACTAGGCACCAATCTCTAATGAATAAGACAAGAAACATTAAAACAAGTTTTCGTCCTTGCCACAACAGAAATTAGAAGAAAAAAGAGAAACTGCTATGCCCCTTTTGGTAAGAAGCTTTATTTAAAGACTTAACAATGAGAAGAGAATCAAGAACTTGGCGCTGGTGCCAATACCGAATCTGCAGAATCAAGATATTTCCTGTCCATGTGAGTTGAGAAAGTAATATTCTTGACGTCGCCGAAAACCGATTTGTCTAGACCGAGATTTTCAGCACTGGATTTTCGAATGATCCGAGCAAGACTGTCCAATTTCTGGTGAGGATTGTATCCAAATAGATACATAGAAGTCTGAACAATGACCGGAGGAGATACCGTAGATCCTTCTTGATTCGTGAGTTGAGCATAAACATGATCACATGGATCCAAAGATATGAACACCTGCTCAAGTGTATCCTTTAGCTGATCAAGTTCCCTTCGTATTTTGAATATCGATTTTTGGAGAGTGAAGTTGAGCCGAAACTCTAGTCCTCCAGAGAAGTGTCTTGGCCTAAACTCCGACGGATCATCCACAGTTATTCCCCCGGGAAACTTCAAAACCTGAAATGAGGCTGCCTTCCCTAAACCTGATGTGGTCAGATTCAGCTTCAATCTTTCACCAAACAGCTTCACAAAAGTCGACCGCAGTGAGGTTAACGAGTGTTCGCTTATTGCAGTGCCGTTAGCGTCAGGCAGAACAGCAAACTCCACATCTGTGTAGTCAGGTGAACCTGAATGATGAATAGACAGAATAGTCACCTGTTCAAACAGTAAAAACATAAATTAATTAGATCTCTAAAACTATAGATTAAAACACTATTAATTTTTGGAGCAAAAAGATATATATACCTTTGTGTTGGAAAGATGTATACTCTGAGAGATATCATGCTCTAGTCTTTCTTTATGCGAAATAACCTCAGAAGCTGGTTTACGGAGCTTAAAGTATGCCTGTATCGATGCTGCTTACACAGAAGAAGAAAATGTAAACAAGATCTTAAAAGGAAAAAATAATTTAAGACATTTGAGGATTTTGAAGCTTTGAGATATATAGTGTTGTCATATTAGATCTCTTTCACATTTAACCGGTTTAAGAAATCTTTGAGAAGAACTTATTAAAATATGGAAAAATGTGAAGTGTCTCACTATAACTACAACATTTAGGCATATTCGAAACTAAAATTTCTGCAACTAAATCAATAAGAGCTCTTTTAATTTCAGTATATAATCTTCAACAGAGTTAACGTATCTTTTTATTCAGAATATTCATGAACCCTAGCATTTAGTGAGAAATTTATACAAAACTTTGTCCCCCCAAAAACTGGGAAAACAAAATGAATGACGCTTACCACGTTTAGTTGTGACGTCGGCGTCGAATCCAGAGGGCGGTTGACGCGGGAACAGCAAGAATATGGCTGAAAGCATAACCGCAATGCTAAAGAGCAAAACGACGATACACGCGAGAGTAAATAGTCGCCAGAAACGGCTCCGACGACTAGAGGCTTGAGGAGATTCAGGATTCTCAACGTCGAGATTCTGCTGCTGTTGAGCTTGATCGTGATCGTTCACCGTTGGCGCCATCGAGTCCTTTCCCATTAAAAGAGCTGAGCCAAGGGTTTTTTTTCTTGGGAGGGGAGAGAGAAAGGACAAGATTTGTCGTGAGGAAGAAGTAATATAAAGTGAAGGAGTTGGCACGACCAACGTTAGAGAGAGAGTTGAGAGATTGTGACTTGAACAGAAGCAAAGTGGGACTTGTCCTTATATACAAGTCTCTATTAGTAGTGAGGTGGAAGTGAGCTCAAGGCAAAACAGCATCTGTCGTGTTATTATTTGTTAATCAAATTTGGGAGTTAACTATATAATAAAAGTTAATGCCTAAACATAGTGCTTTTCAAGGTGACTAGCCTTGTGGTAAAAATTAAAAATTTATATCTCCATTTTTGAACTTTCCTTCTACCAAAATACATGACACATATGTGTATTTAAATTCATGTTTGCAAGATTCAAATTCACATTTAAAACTTAATTATAGGAAACACTAGAAATTATACACCTAATATTCTTTTCAAAAGTTTAAACGTAAGTTTTTAAACGATTATAATATTTATACAAGACTACATTATAAATCAGTTACAAAAGAAAAAAAGGATTTCCAGAGAGGTGCTAGTTTAGAGTTTTGTTAAAAAAAAAATGTATGACGCATTGTACTTCTAATACAGTCACTTGTTTCAGCAAATTTTTACATATGCCATATAACTGATTCTTATTTATTTTTTAAACTTTTCATATTGTACATTCAATTTTTTAAAACAATCAGTTTTGTACTTCAGAATAAAAAAAAGTATTTGAAAAAGATTAAAAAGTAATCTGGGTTCTTAATAGAGTAACTAAATAATACTGACGCAATTCTGGAAATAATCTATATGAAATATGGAAACGTGTGGTATTGGATTCCAACGTGTATGTGTAGCATTCCCTCTCTTTTAGTAGGGGCCTGATAAAAGATATTTCATATTAATACAAATTTTTGATTTTACTTTTTGTCAAAATAATTCAATTTCACTATCCTTTTACTTGCACAAGAGATCATTTTATATTTTTATTTATTCACCAAAAAAAAAAGAGATCATTTTTTTCCCTTTTTGTTTGAATATGTTTCTTTACTTTTTTATTTAACGCTCTACTTCACTTTTATTTAATCTGTATCGGTTTACTATTCATTTTAGATTTTACGGTTTGGTTTCAGATTGGGATACTGGTTTATCGAAACCAAATACGTATTAAAAAATTGTTGAAGTTATTTCCCGTTTGAAAAACCAAATTAGAAAAATGAAAAATACGGAAAGTGGCGAATGTTTTCGAAAAGAGAAAGAGATCTCTTTTTCAAAATTTGAAACTCCGCCTTCCGTCTCCTCACGCGCCACCTTCTCAATATCATTTCCCTCTTACATAAACCCAAATCCCTCTCTTCCTCCTCACTCTCTCCCTCTCCTTAGATTCAGATTTCTCCCAGAGTTTGCGATTCGATTCCTTCTTTCACCAGATTTCTTCAATGCGACCCAGATTTAGAGATTCACACAGTAAGACACCTCCCTCACCCATAATCTATCGATTTCTTCGAATCTATTGCTTTTTTTCTTGACCTGTATTGGATTCGTTACATTCAGTAGCTGAATTTCATTGGTAACCCAGAAAAATTGACGTGAAACGAAGATGAATCTCTGTTTACTGTTTATGTTCATTTGCTTTATGTTTCTCTTCCAATCCCATTTTCTCCGGATCTAATCTGTAACTTGGATTTCTTTGCTTTCTGTGGATTTTCCGTCTTGTAGTTTGAAAATGTGGGGTTTTTTTTCTGTCGTCTCCTGTTCGTTTCATATATCGGTTACAATTTTGTAGCTAATTTCCTGGTAAATTTCGATCCTTAGAATTGCTTGATTTTGTCCGATGTGTGAGTATTTCAGATTATACGAACGAGAAATTTGATCAATTTTCAGATCTCAACTGTGAGAACTTGTAGGGATTTATAGCTCTTGAATGTTCTTATGCCAAGATCCAGATCCGTAACATCCCGCATTCATGTTGCATTTACGAAATGTTGAGAAATTCTGGGGTTTTACTTGTTCCTCTTTGATATTCATTGATTTGCAATTCCAGTTATTAGGATGAATACAACATTTCTCTATGTATCGTTATGTTTAGTAGCTGACCACCAACTGTTCGATGAAATGTTGCAGCGGAAATGGAGTCTCTTCCCGATGCGATCCTTCAATACATTCTCTCCAAAATGACAGCTGCAAGGGACGTCGCTGCCTGCAACTGCGTCTCCACGCGGTGGAAAGAGTCGACAGACTCCGTCACGAGCATTTCATTCCCCCGGAACGCGTTCGAAAGCATCCCGGAGATTCAAGATTCCGACGCCACCGTCCTCAAGATGATCTCGTCTTTCCGTCGCCTCGAGGAGCTTGTGGTGTTAAGCCCCTTCACCAGCCAAGGCCTAGCATCTTGGATGACGCAAGTCGGTCAATCTCTCAAGCTGTTGGAGCTGAGAATGGATAATCTCACTAGCGATGAGGTTATCCTAGAGGCTCCTTTGAAGCTTGATTGCATTGGCTCGGCCAAGAAGCTGGAGACTTTGAAGCTTTGGGGTGTTTTGATGATGACACCTCCCAAGTGGGATGTGTTCCCAAACCTCACCAGCCTTGAAATAGTGGGAGCAAGAATAGACGATTGCGCGTTGTGTTATGCGCTACGTGCATGCCCGAATCTGACTAACTTGCTTCTACTAGCTTGCGAAGGAGTTAAATCAATCACGATCACTCTTCCGTACTTGGAGCACTGTAAGCTTGATTTCTTCGGAGCAGGTAACAGCTTGCTCTCCCTCACGAGCCCGAGACTAGTGTCCCTTGATGTTCAAGGCTGTAGCTGGATCAGTGTCCCTGAATCCAGATTCTTGAAGAGCCTATCCATCGCCAACATTGCTGGTAAAACATTAACAAGTCTTGTTTGGCTCCATTTTAACATCTGTAGATGTGATTTAGTGACTTAGTCTTACTTTGTTTCTGTAATTGGAAACAGGGAGAGTTTACATGGTGGATTTCCGTAACCTTTCATCGCTTGAGGCCTTGTCGATTCGAGGCGTGCAATGGTGTTGGGATGCGTTATCCATAATGCTGCATCAAGCGAGAGACGTGAAGCATCTCTTCATGAAGGTGGAGTTCACTGGCAATGACTCTCTCGTCCCTTTCCCTGAGATTGATTTCGTCGAGTTCTTCAATAACCATCCCAAGCTTCAGAAATTCGACATCCATGGAGCAATGTTCGCTGCACTCTGCCAGAAGAACAGCCTAAAGAAGGTAAAAACAATCTCTTCTTCTTCATTTTCAAAACCTTCCCTTTCATTCAAAGTCTTGTCATTTATGTACATTCTCTTTTGCAGCTTGAGACTGGTTTTTCAATACCGTGTTTGGAGGAAGTTGTGATCACAGTGAGGTCTCCGTTGAACGCAGAGCAGAAGATGAACACGCTTGAGTCGCTTGTGAAGTACGCGAAAGGACTGAAACTGATGGTGATAAGGGTTCTTCGGATGAAGAGCAACCACAGCAGCGCAGATGATTTCTGCGACGATATCTGCAAGTTTCACTACATGAATGAGCATCTTGTTCGAATAGAGTGAGATCTTTTTGTTTCTGCTGATTCGGCCATTGATTTATGTTTCTCAGTTCTGTTCGCTGAGCATTTCTTGTTTGAACTATTGATAATTTTTGTTTCCTGATTCATTGTTATGAACTTATGATTCTTGTTCCGACAACTTTTCAGTTAGTTGTCTTTAAAACAAATAATTGTGGACACATTTCTTAATTTTAATTTTATTGTCTTGATCTTATTATATTAATATATGCATACCACTTGGTTAGATTTTGAGATTATGCTAAGTATGAATCAAATCAAAACTTAAAAGGAACAAAATCTTTGATGTTGAAAATAGAATTTGTTCGTTCTGGTTTTGTTTTGTTATCCATGGCTTTATTTTTCATTGTTAGACATGTGTGACTAATAATATATCATCCTATGTTTAAAAGACATTAGAATTAGATCATCTCCTAAAAACAAGAAAAACCTCAGATTATATTAGGGGCTCTAATACATTTTTTATACAAAACCAAATAAAAACAGGATAAACGCAAAACGCGCAAAACCAACAATTTTCAAAACGAAACAAAAACTTCTCTATATATAACAACAAGACTCGAGGCACAGAAAATCACCTCGGCTAATTTATTCTCAGTTTAAACGTAACAGATTTAAACAAGCAAATAAATAAATGGCGGGCCGCGACACTTTCCAGCTGCGTTTCGCGGCTGTCGCGGCATCCGCCGCCGTATTGGTCTTCCTCATCTCCGGAGAAGTCGCGGAGGCGTCGCGTATGATGAACATCTGCTCTCACACCGCGTATCCGTCCCTGTGCCGGCCTTTGGTGAAGCGTATCTCGAACCCGAGAAAAGCCACGCACCGAACCATCCAGGCTTTGGAGGTACAGACGAGACTGGCTCTGACCGAGGCGGCTTTGTTCAAGGACGGCAACAACGCGATCGCCACGTGTTACTCGACGCTGAGCGACGCCGTTTTCAACTTGGCGAGCGCGAGGAAGAGCATAAGGAAACGCGATGTGATGGGGATGAACACGTTTCTGACCGCGGCTGTGTCTGACTACGGCACGTGCGTCGACGCGTTTATTGAGACGAAGCAGGTTAATACGGTTCAGAATAAAGCGGTTGACCTGAGAAAAATTGGCAGCAATTGCTTGACGTTGTCTACATTGATTAGTTGATCGATTTTCCTTCTTCTCAAAACAGAAACTTACTATTTTCGTACGTCTTTATGGAGAAACCAAAACAATCTTAACGTACTTTATTTTTATTGTTTTTGTTTTGGGGGAGATGTTTGTTGATCATTATTCGTCGTGTAAACGCCACTGGGTGTTATTAATTATATTTGATTTCGTGTAATTAATTTACTGTTAGATTTTTTCTTATGATAATTTCAACAATCGATCTGCTGAAGATATGATTGTTTTTTATCACCCTTTTTGGAATCAACTTATACATTTTTCCCGTTTACTCTAATAATTCACGTTTCGTTATTTTAAGCTACAAATAGGCAAATGCTTAGTTATGACTACTACTTTCACGTTTAAAAAAAACCAAATCTGCAATATGTTTTTACCATTGTCAACATCCATCGAAATGAATAATTCATACTAACGACAACATATTTTATTTTCAAACTGTATAAATTTCCGAAAGCTCATATATATGTATAATGTATGTTATGATTTAATTTAATTAAGAACCATTCAGTTTCTTATTTGATACAAATTGATAGGTCATGCTCGTACGGTATGGTGGTGCTACCTGCTAGGCTAACCGATTTATGGTTTGATGTATTTTCGGTTATGCGTGAACTACTAATAGTTTGACTGAAATATATTGGACCATATACACACAGTTGAGTACATACATATTTCTGAGATAATATTTTATTTGTAACAAGACTACAAGAGCTTACTACGCAAGATAGCATATTATGTATCAGTTTAATTTCTAGTAATAGCATTTACGTTGCATGCATCCATTATACTCGTTGGGTTGTTGCAAAGATGATAAGTTGATAACATTATACAAAAAATCATCATTTGCTTCCATTTTGCGTTTATCGGCTCATTTGCTTCTATTTAACATATATCCTTTCAGAGTGAAGCTCCAAGTAGAAACACCACACATAAAAACACCATATAATGAGTGCATGAATAATTGAACAAAACAAGTGGGCTTTGGACACTACAGGCATAGAAGGATAAAGAAATAAAATATCTTCTGTAACTCGTGGTTTGTGAACACTGAATACAAAGGAAAAAAAAATCATGTCGACCAAAGAAAAAGATACAAGAGAAAGAAGCCCATAAAATATCAAAACAAGAAGACAAAAACAGAAAATCAGAAAGAAAATATAAAAGCAAAAATCAACGGTGAGAAAATCCCGTATAAAAAAATAATATTATGAAAACATTACAAGAGTGGGGCCCACAGGTACCGTCCATCAACGTATCATTTCTCGGCCCAGAAGAATCCCACTGGACTCTCTCTCTCTTATTCCGGTGCCGTTCCTCCTACGTGCTCGAATCGCGATGTGCCACGTGGCGTCATCGTAGGGTAAAGTGTCCTTTTCCCTGCGATTACACGTGAATGTGTGAGTGACTCATGAGTGAGTGAATGTCAAAGAGCGAAGAAACCCAGTTACTCACAGAAGATCATCCAAAGTTCTGAGATTTTGGTTCCTAATTATTCAAATTCTTCGTTCCGGGTCGTCCTCTGAAGTTTAGGTTTGCTCAATAGGTAAATTGTTTCGATGGATTCCGCTAGTTCTATTGATGCTTTCCTTATAATTTCGTGTTTCTGCTTTTGGATTCTGTCGATTGAAGTTGCTTTTGCGATTGACTAACAGCAAAAAGTGTAAAACAATTTATTTGATTCAAATGGAAAGCTTTCGCCACAAATTGAAGAAAAATGTCATCTTTGTGATTGTTTTGTATCATTTTCGGCTTCATTTGATTGTAAAAGACTATTCCTTTCTTCTTTGTGTAAATTGCCCTTATTCCCATTAGCTCAAGTGACAATTGTCTTTAAAGTGAAAAAGAAAAGATCAAAAAGAAGAAAAAGTGTTTTTTGGTTTGTCTTAAGTCTCTGTTAGTATAACTTGTTTCTCTGTTTCATCTATTGCAAAGCTTGATTGTTTTTGTTATTCTATCAATTTATATAATCAATGCTTTAATTATCAGATCCGGCAAGTTTGATACAGCGACAAGAAGGTGTGACAAGAAAGCATGAGTAACTCCGTAGTGCATAACTTATTAAACCGGGGTCTGATTCGTCCTGTGAGTTTTGAACACCAAAACAAGCTAACCTCCTCTTGCGCTCCTGCTGTTTCTGTGTACCAAACCGCAACGGTAAATCCGGCATTGGGGAAGATTGGCAGATCAAATCTGGAGACAAAGTTATACGGGAAAGGTCTTAGAAAGGCAGGACGGAGTCTGATCACTAAAACGGGAAGGCCTGTCTCATTTGTTCCACGAGCTGTGCTTGCCATGGATCCTGCTTCTCAGGTAAACTTGTATTGACATTGTTTTGAATGGGATAGTTGGTTGCAACTACTCTATGTATGTTAGACGTTTGATGTCCAAGAACCTGTAATGGACCTGGATGATATGCAGTTCTGTGTGGAATGAAAGTTTTGCCTGCTTGTTTGAGCTGATTTTTTCCCTAAATGCAATAACGGATGTTTAAATGTTCATGAAACGTGTTGTGCTTGTACATTGCTCTCGAAGTTGAATGCATAAGATGGTTATCAGATCGATATGTGCTAAAAAAGTTTCATCCTTTGAACAGGCAGCTGAGAAATTTAAGCTTGACGGAAATATTGACTTACTGGTAAGTGTAGCCTTACAATTAATGGTTGTTATTGTCGAGTTGGGATTTGTAGCCATAATATTTATGTGATGGTAAGTTTTATGCATTTAATTGAATAGGTCGAAGTCACTTCTGCAACTGTGAGGGAAGTAAATATCCAGATAGCTCATACAAGTGACTCATTGCTTCTGCACTGGGGTGCAATACGTGACAACAAAGAGTATGTCCATGTTAAGTGATGTTCAACTTGCCTAGTTAATAGGTTTCTTCAAGCTTGTTATTGCATATGGTTTCGTTAACTTTCTTCATTATTCTCCGTGCCAGAAAATGGATTCTACCTTCTCGCTGTCCGGATAGAACTATAAACTACAAGAACAGAGCGCTTAGAAGTCCATTTGTGAAAGTGAGTTTTAAAGACATGCATTACACCGCTACTTGTGATGGTATATGATTTCCAGCTGATACCAGTGTAACTTAAGATTTTCAAATGGTGCTTTGCGTTCTCACTTGCAGTCCGGTGGCAGCTCTAACCTTAAACTAGAGATAGATGATCAGGCCATACAAGCTATTGAGTTTCTTATATTTGACGAAAGTCGGAACAAATGGTGAGCTTGTGTTCTCTTCTTTTGACTATTTAAGCCAGAACATAGAGTTAATTATTGTCGTTTCTAATAATCTTGACATATGCAGGTACAAAAATAATGGTGAAAATTTTCGCATAAACTTACCTCTGGAAAGGAATGTGGAGCACAATGTTTCTGTTCCTGAAGATCTTGTACAGATCCAATCGTATCTTAGATGGGAACGTAATGGTAAACAAAATTACTCCCCTGAGAAAGAGAAGGTAAGACGTTGTGCCAATACAAGCATATCTTCAGTTGCATTTATATCAAATACTCGACATTGTCCATTATTTTATAGTTAAGGAGTATAATTAGTTTCTGGCAAATAGGAGGAGTATGAAGCCGCCCGGATGGAGCTACGGGAGGAAATGATGAGAGGTGCTTCAGTGGAAGATCTCCGAGCAAAGCTGTTGAAGAAAGATAACGCTAGTGACTCTCCGAAGACGAATGGGAATTCATCCAGTGAACGGAAAACGATTTCCAAAGGGGATGAACAGAATTCTGTTTCCAAGCAACCGAAGCAGAAACAAAATTTCAGAACTGAGAAGATCCAGCGCAAGGGAAGGGACCTGAATAAGCTCATCTTTAAGCATGTTGCTGACTTTGTTGAGCCAAATTCTAAATCATCAACTGAACCACGGGCCTTAAAAACTCTTGAGATATATGCCAAAGCAAAGGAAGAGGAAGAAACCACTCCAGTCTTTAGCAAGAAAATATTCAAGCTTGACGGCAGTGAGATTTTGGTCAGTTGGGAATATCTATCTTTTCTTCTTTTCTATTTATATACTGGTTCAATATACATCCGAACACTATCTTCTAACGGCAAGTCATTTGTTCCCTCTACTTAGGTTCTTGTCACTAAACTTTCCGGAAAGACGAAAATTCATGTGGCAACTGATTTCAAAGAGCCGCTTACCCTTCACTGGGCTTTGTCTCAAAAGGGTGGAGAGTGGTTGGTAAGATTTTTCTTCTTTATTTCCAAAACAAGATCATACTTTTGAGATTATGACCAGCGTTTGCTCAATCGCCTTCTTGTTTGGTCTCTTTTTGTCTGAGTATACGAGTCTTTGACACTGCAGGACCCACCTTCAGATATACTGCCCCCAAACTCTTTGCCAGTACGTGGCGCTGTAGATACACAACTGACTATTGCTTCAAAAGATCTTCCTAGTCCGGTATGACTAGTTGATTCTATTATATCCTATAAGACTCATAGAATTTGGATCCAGAGATGGTATGTAAAAGGCCACATGTTAACAAAAAATGTAGGTTCAAACTTTTGAGCTGGAAATAGAAGGTGACAGTTACAAGGGCATGCCATTTGTACTCAATTCTGGCGAAAGGTGGTTCAAAAATAACGACAGTGACTTTTATGTGGACTTCGCTCAAGAAGAAAAACATGTGCAGAAGGTTCCTTTTCCTTCTTGGTCTTCTGAATAGCACTTTCAATTGTGTCTCAGTATCCCCTAGAAACTGAAGTTTTAATTTTTCGGTTTGAAAGGATTATGGTGATGGAAAAGGTACAGCCAAGCTTTTACTGGATAAAATCGCAGATTTGGAGAGTGAGGCCCAGAAGTCTTTCATGCATCGGTCAGTTTTATGCTTAAGCATTCTAGTTCTTAGTTTCGTGCTTTATGGCTTAACTGATATTCCTTTTGTCAAAATATTTGCTATTCAAAGTCTTTGAACCCGATAACTCAACTTTACATGTTTCGTCAGTTTTCTTGGGTTTTCAATTTTTA